CCCCCCCCCCCCCGGTCAACCCTCCCTTGGCACTCAATCAAGATGGCCTCTCCTGTCCCCCGCGGTATCCGTCAGGTCCTTCAGAAGTCCCCCTCGGACATTGTCATCCTCTCCTCGCTTCGTACGCCCGTCACCCGTGCGAAGAAGGGTGGCTTCAAGGATGCCTACCCCGAAGAGCTCCTCGCCCACGTTCTGAAGGCCACACTCGAGGCCAACCCCGAAGCTCGACCCAGCCTTGATCGACGATGTCGCCATTGGTTCTGTGCTGCAGGAGCTGGGTGGCGCAAAGGCTGGCCGTATGGCTCAGATCCACGCCGGTTTCCCTCACACCGTTCCTTTCCACACTATCAACCGGCAGTGCTCGTCTGGTCTGGCCGCCATCACGGCCATCGCCAACGGCATCCGTGCCGGTGCCATCAACGTCGGTATCGGTGGTGGTATGGAGTCCATGACGCGCAACTACGGCTCTCGCGCCATCCCAACGGTCCTCTGGCCGGAGCTGAAGGAGTCCCCGTCCCAGGACTCCCGCGACTGCATCATGCCCATGGGCATCACCTCGGAGAACGTTGCCTCTCGCTACGGCATCAACCGCGCCGACCAGGACGCCTTCGCCGCTGAGTCCCACAAGAAGGCCACCGCCGCCCAGAACGCCGGTCTGTTCGATGCGGAGATCGTCCCCGTCACGACCAAGTCCTTCGACCCCGAAAACCCCGAGGCGCCGCCCAAGGAGATCACCGTGACCAAGGATGACGGTGTGCGCCCCAACATCTCCGTGGAGAAGATGGCCAGCCTGAAGCCCGCCTTCTCGCCCACCGGCAGCAGCACCGCTGGAAACAGCTCGCAAGTCAGCGACGGTGCGGCGGCGACGCTTCTGATGCGTCGTTCCACCGCCACTGAGCTCGGCCTGACCTCGTCTATCAAGGGTCGCTGGGTCGGCACCGCCGTGGCCGGCTGCGCTCCCGATGAGATGGGTGTCGGTCCTGCGGTGGCCATCCCCAAGCTGCTCCAGCTCCTGGACGTCAACGTGTCTGATGTCGGTATCTGGGAAATCAACGAGGCGTTCGCTTCTCAGGCGCTCTACTCGGTCCGCAAACTCGGCATTGATGAGGCCAAGGTCAACCCCAAGGGTGGTGCGATTGCCATCGGCCACCCTCTGGGAGCCACTGGTGCCCGTCAGCTCGCCACTCTGCTCCCTGAGATGGAGCGTACTGGCCAAGAAGTCGGAGTTGTGAGTATGTGTATTGGAACTGGTATGGGCATGGCTGGCATGTTTGTTCGGGAGTAAACGGGTCTTTTCGTTCTTTGTATAGATTTGAGCTAGCATTATGATATCAGCGCAATGCATGTATATACTGCAATTACTATTGAAAATATTCACCAAATACCTCTAAGTCGATCAGCAGACAATCCCTAAATAAATACCTTACTGAATAGATTGAAAGAGTCCTGTTGGTATCTACTGTAGACCTGCCAAGCATATCACGTGACAATACCTCGCGGGAAGATCCTCCGTTGAAACTTTTCGATGGCCCGACCTGACTTTGGCGATTCGCGCACCACCACCACTCTCGCCATGCGTCCGTCAATGCGGCTGTTGAACCTGGAGGTTCCCTCCCTCCAGGGTTCTCGAACCCTGTACGTCTGCTCGATCTGCCGACAAGAAACCCGCCCGCGGCCGCTCCTCGCCCGGCAATTCCTGCGCAACGCCTCCTCCAACACAACCCCGATCACCGAACGAGTGCGCCGCAAGATCTGGGGCACGGACAACCCGCCGGGCCTGAAGGATCCGTACGGGGAGAGTCTCCTCGAGAAGCGGTTCCGCAAGGACCAGCCGGCGACGGAGCCGGTGGAGGAGACCGCTGAGCCCGTCGCGGTGGAGAGCGTTGCCGCTGAGGAGGCCGAGGCCGCGGCCGCAGAGGCGTACGAGCCCGCCTCGACGTGGGAGGGATTGCCCCGTGTGGGACATTTGGGCGAATGGTCGAAACTTCCTCGCTCGGAGGCGGATGTGTACGACTCGTATGTTGCCCTCGCCTGGATCGTGTGCGGACCGCGGACGAGAATGATCTCGTACTAATTTAATGCAGCTTCATGCTCAAGAAGAAACTTACGAAGAAGGGACACCTGGCTCTCGCCGCGCACCAGGCCGCCGTCGAACTGTGTCTGATGCATTCGCTGAACAAACCCCTGACGAGCGTCTGCGACGTCAAGGAACACGACAAGGCCGTCTTCAAGTTGCTGTGGAAGTGCAAGATCCAGCCCACCGGCCAATGGGGCGCGGAGGCTCTGACCTACCCCGACCAGGAGACCAAGGACGCGCTCATCTACATCTTCGAGCAGATCGGCGCGCAGCAGGAGCCTGCGGCGGCCGTTGCGGAGGACCAGGTGGAAGCTGAGGAGAGCGTCGAGGCGTCCGAGTATGAGGACGTGGTCGAGGAGCAGCAGTGGGAAACCTCTGCTCCCCCGTTCTTTGGCTACGCCGACGTCCGTGACAAGGGATATCTATCCTTGCCGTTAGACGATCTGACCACCAAGTTTGCCGTAAGTCACGCCTGTCGGGGATACGTTGCAGTTAGCTGATACCGTTGTGCCTTCTAGTTCCTGAAGAGATTCTCCCAGCTGAGCGGCCACTACTTCCCGGACCCTGCCATCCACTCCATCTCCACCGTTGCCGAGGCCGTGGAGTACATTCAGACCGTGCTGAGCCCCAAGCCCAAGAAGCTGGCCGAGTACCTGGCTGGCAACCAGCGCATTCAAAACATGCCCAATGTCAAGGTGTTCCCGAAAAAGCAGAAGCGGATGGATCAGGATGAGGAATTGGGCCGCAAGAAGGTCATCGAGGCTGAGCTTCGTGCCAGGGGCCTCATCGAATAGATCACAAGTCGGAGTTTGCGATTTAGTCATATAGTTCTTGTAGCATGTACTGTTCGATATTTGTACTATAGAAATCAAAATTCTAAATCAGTCTGCATGGGAATCATGTATTCGAGTAGGTATAATATACTATCCATGGATGTCATAGCCAGTGAAGACACAAGGAGATCAACCCAACCAAACGCCGGAAACAAACACAATGCATCATCTTTTGGCGGCCGTAGGCATGGTAAACCCTCTCGTCATAAAGTCCGTGTTCTTCATCTTCCCGTCTTTAGATTCTTTCGTGAAGAGGCTGTCCAGATTCTCATTCAGCCCCATCATCTTCCTCCGCTTCTTCTTCTCATTCTCTTCTTCGAGCACTCGCGCAGTCAGCACGGCCGTCGCCGCGTTCTTGATCCCATTAGCCGCACCGGGGGTCGACGTGGATGAGTGACTCCGAGAGGGCGCCTTCTTCTCCTTCTCCGCAGCGCCATCGGTCTCCGCCGCGGCCGCCTCGCCATTAGCCTGCTTCTTGCGCTTCTTCGAGCCAGGTGCCTTCTTAAGCGAATGCGTCAGGCCCTGCTCCGCCAGCTTCTGCGCGCGCGCCACCAGCGCCTGCTTATCGGCCTCCTTCACCGGCAGAATAGGGATGACATTCTCCGCGGTATACCCCTCATTACACTGCAGACACTTATCCTCCTTCAGCTGGCGGATCGCCTCCTCCGAAAACACATGCCCACACGGCACCAGGTACACGGACTTGACATTGGGGCCGAGCTGCTTCGCGGTGACGGGGCAGATCCACGCCTCGCGCCGGTCGAGCTTGTGCTGCGCCGGGTGCTCGCCGCGCTCGGTGTCGATCTCGAACTTCAGCTCCACCACGTCGCGCAGCCCCTTCACCCGCCCGCCCAGGATCTCCTCGCAGTCCGCTTTCGAGCTGATGCCCTCCGTGTCGTCGCCGGCGAGCAGGAATTTCAGCACGGCGTCTTTGTTGTACAGGTTGCCCGCGCTGTCGGACACGATCGGCCGCATCAGCGGCTTGTGCGATAGCGGACATGTCGTCCAGTAGTGTTCTTGGAGCTCGCGCTGCGCTTCTTTCACTTGGGCGGTGCTGGGGTTGCGCGCCGCTTCGCGGACGAGTTCGCGGCGCGTGGGAATACTGCGAGGGTTAGTGCGATGCTGAAGATAGTGAGAATTGGAAATACTTTACCTTCCACCGTCGTTACCCATGGTTCATTAAGTGAATGTATGGAGCGAGAAGAAGCGTAGATGTAGGAAAAGTAGAGGAGACCGTTGGTCGCCACTGAAAAGACCCAAGATAAGGATGACTAAGCTCCCCTCCCCAGATTAGATCCGGCACTAACAGCTGGCCAGAAGCTCTCTCCGCATCCCCCGTCCTCTGCATTGGCAACAGCTCAATGCTGCGATCATGATACTTCCGCAGGGTTCGGTCTTGTTTGTGGGCGTTGCGGCATGCGCCACCGCTGTGGCCGCGGCCAGCGATTCATCGCGGCCTCGCGGTGTTGGCCCTGAATGTGAGTGATGTTTACTCTGTAGTTTGGATGGCGTTGCGAGTTGCTCCATCGATGAGCACCCATCCAATTCCATCAACAGCTTCTCTCGAAGTCAAGGCTAAGCTAAGCTAACGCTGTCCAGTCGCCAAATTCTACAAAGACCCCAACACGTTCGCCTGCATCTCGCACCCGGCCATCCAGATCCCCTTCTCGGCGGTCAACGACGACTTCTGCGACTGTCCGGACGGCAGCGACGAACCGGGGACGTCGGCGTGCTCGTATTTATCCAAGAACTCGGCGCTGACGGCGGCTGACCGCCCCGGCAACAGCGATCTGGAGCTCACGGCGGTGCTGCCGGGGTTCTACTGCAAGAACAAGGGCCACCGGCCGTCGTACGTGCCGTTCCAGCGGGTCAACGACGGGATCTGTGACTACGAGCTGTGCTGCGACGGGAGCGACGAGTGGGCGCGGGTGGGCGGCACCAAGTGCGAGGACAGGTGCAAGGAGATCGGCAAGGAGTGGCGCAAGCAGGAGGAGAAGCGGCAGAAGTCGATGACGGCGGCGATGAAGAAGAAGAAGGGCCTGCTTGTGGATGCAGACCGGCAGCTCAAGGAGGTCGAGGACGGCATCAAGCGGCTTGAGGCCGAGCTCCAGGGCGAGGAGATCAAGGTCCGGAATCTGGAGGCGGATCTGGAGGAGATCGAGAAGCAGGAGCGCAGCAGGGTGGTCAAGGGCAAGAAGGCCGGCAAGGTGAATGTGCTGGCTCAGGTGGCCAAGGGCCGCGTGGAAGAGCTGCGAACCGCCTTGGTTGATGTCCGCAAGGAGCGCGATGAGATCCGCTCGCGCGTGCAGGAGCTGGAGGACATCCTGTCCAAGTTCAAGGTGGAGTACAACCCCAACTTCAACGACGAGGGCGTCAAGCGTGCGGTGCGCAGCTGGGAGGAGTATGCCGCCCGCGGCACGGCCGAGGGTCTCAAGAACGATGCCCGGGACCGCGATCTGGACGAGATCGCCAAACCGGACGATGACAAATCCGGCGTGAACTGGGAGCAGTGGGAGAATGAGGAGGATGGCTGCGACGTAGATACTGGTACGTGGCTGAAGTATGGGGATGTCATGATGGATGTGCTAACTATCTGATCTAGTCTACAAGCTCGCAGCATACCTGCCTCCTTCGCTGGTCACATTCATTGAAGACAAGTTCTCCTCTTTCAAAAAGTTCCTCGAGAACAACGGGGTTCTCCCCAAGAGCGAGGACGGGTCGACCTCCGAGTCCAAGGCGGTGACGGAGGCCCGGGAGGCCGTCAAGGCGGCCCAGGATACGGTCAAGGAGCTGCAGAAGCAGCTGAAGGAGCACCGGGAGGATCTGGAACATGACTATGGTCCTCAGGGCATCTTCCGGGCTCTCAAGGGCGTCTGTATCTCGCAAGACTCGGGCGAGTACACCTACGAGCACTGCTTCTTGGACCAGACGAAGCAGATCCCCAAGAAGGGCGGGGCGTCGGTGCGGATGGGTAACTTTGTGCGCATTTCGTCGGTGACGGTCGATGTTCTCAACGAGGCTGGGGAGGTGGTCCCGGAAGAGCGGACGTCGCTGGAGTACACGCGCGGACAGACGTGCTGGAACGGCCCGGCACGGTCCACGACGGTGATCTTGGAATGCGGCGAAGAGAACGAGATTGTCAAGATTGCGGAAGACGAGAAATGCGTGTATTCGATGATTGTGAAAACGCCCGCGGTGTGTGCTGGGGGGGAGGGCAGTGAAGTGCCGAGGGCGAAAGATGAGCTGTGAGGCGGATCTGCATAGAGACTGCATGTAGGGTTAGAGCATGATTGATTATGTTGCATTGGTTCTGTTGGTGTTGTGTATGTCGTACAGGAGGAGCAAGTCGGATGACCTGTTGATCCATTTACAGGTGTAACACTGCCTGCTGCCGATGCCTGGTAGTATATATCGTGCTGGTGTTTTGTCTACGCTACAGTACCACAACCCTTGCGATAGCTGGTTACAATAATGATACCACGATGAGTAGCGTTTCATAGTCCAAGCAATATATTTAAATTTATATCTGTATATTCCAACAAACACAACAACAATCAAAAGCCAGCTTGCTTCATCCTCGGGCGTTCATCCTGCGAGATCCATGACATAGAACAACAGCCAGCGAAACGGTCATTCGAGGAGGAGTCGAGCTCAACGGATTTAGTGCTAACGACGATCAGCTCGATCCTCTTACCTCGTAAGTACAGCGACATACCTTGCAGGAGCCGCAAGAGCAAGAGTTGCAGTCACCGGAGCAGCAGTTGCAGGAGCAGGGAGACATGGTGGTGGATGGTTGTATGACAACGAAGAGGTTCGCAAAAGTAGTGGTAGTAGTAGTAGTGATACTTTGTAGTAGTAGTCGGCTTGAGACTGATCTGAGATAGAAGACCAGATGACGGGAATCGTCGAGAGCTTTATACCCAAGCCGGACCCTGGGCCCGAGCCTCTGGCCCGGCTGGGATCGCATGGAGCGGCTGTCTGCGTGGAGGTGAGGCCTGTAGCCTGCAGGTCACGGCGTGTCGCCTTGTTCGCCACGACCCACGGCCGGGCTGAGGGACAAAGATGCTGCTGATCGCTGCGTGCAGGTCTCTTTGTCTTCCAATGATGGTGGCGGAGGTCGAGCTGCAGGCGGGGCGTGATGGGGGAGTTATCATGCCACGTTGGGGGTGTCCAAGTATCTATTTGTCATGGCGATGACTGGCACATTCCCCTTGCGGATGCATACAGGGAGATACAGCGAGGTGCATGCTGTATGTACAACAGAGTACCCATGACGGTCCAGCCAGCATGATCGATCTATCTGATAATCAGATATGGACTATTAGATGTAGTTGAGATCTAGTATGTGCTACATTAGCAAAATGTAGAATAGTATAAACTGACAATAACAATATAATATAACAGTAATACCTACGCTGTATATCATTAGATTACCCGCCAGTGCCGCAGAAATTCCCAGCATGCAACTCCCCACTCGCTAAGAAGACGATCCAAATCTACACGAAGAAGAAAACCTACGACGACCATCCAGATGATGTCAGAAACTCCTCGTGGTCATTTAGTTCCAAAGCCTATCGTTGGATCTGAGCGTTTCCTCCCATGCCACTACCGCCTCACTTCAAGACGTCCATCCTCCACTCAGCACCCACAGTAAGGCTGACATTTAGTTCTTCTGAATCATACGACCACATGTTAGCTGAATTCCACAACCATCCATCCGATGATCTTCCTAGAGTAGTCAACATACCGGGCAGTTGCACTGGCCGGCCGGGCACTGGCAAGAGGCGCCGCAGGAGCATCCGTGAGCTGCAACCACCGTCAGCATATGTCTTCCGATTTCGACCGACACGCAGCAGAAAGACACCAGAGAGTCCCAGTCCCGTTCCTCCAGAGGGAAAGACTCGGAGTACGAAGTGGTGATTGTTATCTCGTCTACCCCGCCATTCTCCACCAATAACCCCTCTGAACACACAAACACGTGAGCCACTTACCCATGATGAGATGGAGTTATACGAGATGAGATGAGACTCGAAAGGAGACTGGTGGAATTGTAGGAGACGTGGTGTGGAAGTGGTGGAAGAGATAGAGGGAGAGGGAGAGAGAAAACGGACGGGATGAAGTGGGGGACGCACGGGTATTTATACTCAGCCTGTGACGCAGTGCGCCCACTGCGGCCATTTAGGTAGTCCTCTACGATGAGCACATTTCTGCAGCCGACTCAACTGTCCTCTACCGCATTCGTCGAGATATTACCATAGTAGACATATCCTGCATGAAGCGAATCATGTAATCTGATATCTGCCTCGCTGACTTCGTTTTAGAGGTCCACCTTACAGAACGATATGGCCCGTCCCATCGCCTGTCTGTGTCGACAAGTCGCCCAGGAGGTGCAACTGGACCCGTCGATAGATGAAACAGTCTTCAATCTGTGCCACTGCAACGCGTGTCGCGCCGCCACGGGGCTACTGTTTTCTTCATACTATGCGCTCTACGGCTTATCTCCGAACCTGAGCGGGTTGCGTGAATATCACCAGCCCGACCAGATCACTCGCTACTTCTGCGGCACATGCGGTACCCATGTTCTTGCTCACAACGCCAGCACTCGTCGATACTTTGTGGCTGCCGGGGTGTTTTCCAATGACTTGCCCCCAATACGGTCAGTCCGTCATTGGCGGGCATCGGATACAAAAGACGGAGGGCTGAGCATTTTCCTTCCTGGTGACACAGACGACTCGAGCTGTTTGCTCCAGGGCTTCTCCACGAACCAGGAACGGGACCACAGCCTCGAAGACGACGCTTGGGACTCCAAGCCGGATGACGGCAGAATCCCGGCGAGATGCCATTGCGGCGGAGTGGAGTTCTATGTCACAGCTCCGGATAAGACATCCTCAAAAGCCACATCGCCATGGGCCGACTTGCTCGTTCCCTATTACTCTGGTTCATCGGCGAACCCGGACGACGTGAAATGGTGGCTCTGCGCGGGAAATACCAAGTATCTGGCGGGCACATGCGCCTGTACCTCATGTCGGCTGGGCAGTGGGTTTCCCATCCAGGAGTGGGCCTTCATTCCGAAATCCAATCTCTTCAATGCAGACGGCTCTCCCTTGGCGTTTGGCGTGGGCACCATGCAACAGTACGAAAGCTCTCCGGAGGTGTATCGGGAATTTTGCAACCGCTGCGGAGCCAACGTGTTCTGGCACTGCAAAGAAAGACCGCTTCTCATCGATGTCAGTGTCGGTCTACTCCGGGCGAAGAGTGGTGCAAGAGCCGAAGGACTGTTGCACTGGCATCGAGATCGAGTCAGTTTTGCGGAGATGGGACAACAGACGTTGGTGCAGCGGTTGGAAGCTGGTCTCTCGGGTAGGGAGAATCGTGAATAGCATACATCGTGATAGTATCAGTAGACTCATGTATCTATAAGCATCTATCTATATCTCCGAAAGTCAGGACTGTTTGATCGAGAGTCATTCAATGCTCTTCGTATAGTTAGTCCACGAGGGGTAGTAATCACCTCACCGCCTTCTCAAAGTGGACTGATCCTCTCGACCTGCAAAGAAGAAAAAAAAAGTGTGGGCGTCGCGTCCATCTACAAATTTAATTCTCTCTCATCTCTCGACCACCACCACATCTTGCCTCCACTCCTCTGGCATTCATCATGCCACCCGCCTTCGAGTTCCGAGGCAATACAGACCGCCGCCCACACCACAGCCATCATGCGAAACACGAATTCACCTTTCGCTATCCGCGACCAGGCACCGCCGAACGGCCACTCTTGCGAGCCAAGAGAGAGTCCACGCCGGAGCTTCTCGTGGCCGAGGGAAGTGCGGACGATAAACCCGCGATGAAATTCGCACCGCTCGAGAACCTCAGCGACAGCGAAGAAGCCGACATGGACGTCTCCTCGTCCGACGAGGCAGCGGACGACTCCCGTCCACGCAAGAGACGCGCCGTGGAATCGACCGAAACACCTGCGCCCGCTCCTCCGGCTCCCAAATGGTCCAACCCAGACCCCTACACCGCGCTCCCGCCGCCCGACGAGACGCAGCAGAAGAAGGTGGACGTGGTCAAGTTGATTCGCAAGGCTCGCGTCGCCGCCGCGGCATCGCAACCGGCCAAGGCGGATCCGGTCACCAGCAATGAGGATTTCATCTCATTAAGCGGGCTCGTCGATGAGGAGGAGGAAAAGAAGTCTAGACCCCCGGAAGATGCCCCGTCAGGCCCGCGGCGCCAAATGGACTCTGCGTTCGGAAACCGCAAGAGAACGTACGACGATGAGATCAAGGGTGTTTCCAAGAAAACGGGCAAACCGCTGAGCAGGTACCATTCGGATGGCTCGATTATTGACGAGTGGAGGGTCCGGAAGTCTCAGGCGGGCACGCCGTGGTTGAGCAGCATGCAGCCGTCGCTGCATATCGGGTCGAAACTGCACAATGAGATCCTTAGCTTCTACCATTGGGTCAAGCCGGTGGACTACGAACAGATTGTCCGAGAAGACTTGATCTCACGGCTCCAGTCGGCATTTCAGAGCAGATACTATGGCGTGCAACTTCGACCTTTTGGCTCGTTTGCATCCGGCTTATATCTCCCTACGGCGGACATCGATCTGGTCCTTCTGTCGACAAATTTCACGCGCAACGGGATCAAGACGTTCGGAGAACGGAAGGGTCAGATATATGCGTTTGCCGCGTTCCTGAGAAACCTTGATATCGCTGTCCCGGGATCGATCGAGACCATCGCTCATGCGCGCGTGCCCATCTTGAAGTTTGTCGACAAGCTTACTGGTCTGCGGGTGGATCTGTCGTTTGACAACGACAGCGGGCTGATTGCCAACAACACGTTCCAGCAGTGGAAACAGGAATATCCTGCCATGCCGGTTATTGTGTCTGTGGTCAAACAGTTCTTGCTGTTGAGAGGGCTCAACGAAGTCCCCACCGGTGGGTTGGGAGGGTTCTCAATCACATGTCTTGTAACAAGTCTACTGCAACATCTGCCCCATGGCCATGTGACATCGAATCTGGGCAGTATCCTTCTCGACTTCTTCGAGTTTTACGGTGAGCTCTTCGACTTTGAAAGCGTGGGAATCCGGATGGACCCTCCGGGGTATTTCAACAAGGTGAGACTCCAGCCCGATGCTATACACCGTCCGATGACTGACATATCCAGCGTGTCTACAAATCCTCCAGAGACAACAGTCCGCGCCTTGCCATCGAGGACCCCAACAACCCCGACAACGACATCTCGGGCGGCACTAGAGAAATCTCCCTGATCTTCAACTCTTTCTCTCAAGCCTACCGCGCGCTGAAGCAGCGCATGGTCTCCATGGGCATGTCCGGGAACGCCGACGGCAGCATCTTGGAATGCATCATCGCAGCCAACTACGACGAATACACCGAGCAGAGGTGGCAACTGCGCGACGTATTCCAGCATCACCCCCGATTTGCCCAATACCGCCGCGCTTCCACTCCCCCGCCTCCGCCGCAAGCATCTCCCCCTCCTCCACCACCGCTGCCGTCGAACCCTCCGCCTCCCCAGGAGCCCAAAGAGCGACTGACCAAGCTGCAAAGAAAGCACCAGGCCTCGCGCGACCGCGCCGCGCGGCTGAAGAAGCTGCGTCCAGACCTTACATCCATCCCCGAGATGATCAGCAACGAGCAGGCTCTGAGTCTGGGCGGCTACAAGACCCAGTCCGCGATGGACCGCGACCTGACACTCCGGGAGAAAGCGCAGAACGCTAACGCCACCGACTGACGGAGTCCGAGTCTTGTGTATTCTCTTTGGCGGCATTGGTTTTGTACACTATCTTCGTTTTGTTTTCCTTGCATTAGATACCCAATTTGTCGGCTCATGGTTCGAGCGAGATGGCGTCGTGTGGCGGTTTTGTCTGCGTTTAGATCGGAGCAATTGAATTCCCGCGTGATGAGTGATGCTTTTTTTCTGTTGATCGCTGCTTTACTAATAGACCAGGCCAGGCTATTGGTGTGGGTGGACATGCGGTTGGTGATATTCCATCCACCTTACCTTCCACTATGATATGCAGTGCTGACGCGCATCAGGACAGGAACAAGCCATATTTACATCTTATGTGGAGACACAGGCTGGTGTCTTGTCTGCAGACAACCAGCCTTGCTCATTAGAATTCTGAATGGTACAGTTCGGGACGACGGCCATCGGCTCGTCCTGCGATCTCCCTTCCACCTCTTTCTCACCAAGGAAGCGCTATATGCGAGTGCTTGGAGAGGATGCAGACATGGATAGGGAGCGGATTGCAGCGCGTGCAGGTAGACTAGCATTTTGCTTAGAACGAGAGCGGATACGTGTATCCTGTATATACAAATGATGCATCAATCGTCAGACATGGCCGGCCGAAACAACGCTGTTCCCACGGCAAAACAGAAACAGAAAAAGCATATGAAACAGTCTCCGGTAAAAGGACAGCAATCTAATCTATAAAGTCACGTCGGACGGCGCAGTAACGGGTATCTTGGTATCGACAGCATCCAGCGGCGGCGTAATCAAGGGCTCATCATTCTCCACCTCCATTTCCAACGGTGCGGTCTTCAGCCTCTCGCACAGCGCCACATGCTCCGCGGGCAGAGTGTTGACGAAGCCCGGACCGGGACTGGGCCAAGTGTAATCCACCCAGTCAGGACCGAGCAGCTTCTGAATTTGGCGAGCAAGGTCGGCGATGCGGGCGCGGCGGGCGCGCGACCAGGCGCGGTCGGTGAGGCCGTCCTGCGGGGTGGGGATGGCGTCCGTGGCGGGCTTGTCACCCTCCTCCTCGTCGTCATCCTTGTTCTCGAGCCCGTCGATGATGCTGTGCCACACCCGCAGGGTCTCGTCCAGCTCGTCGAGGGTGCTGACGCCCATGACGCTCACGCCGAGGCGGTGGCCGGTGCCGATGGAGGCGACGGAGAGGAAGCGCGGGTCAGCGTCGGGGCCGGGGGCGAGAGGCGGGCCCAGAGCGCCGGCGGGGGCGCCGTCGCGCAGCCAGGACTCGAGGGCGAAGCGGATGGCGACGACCTCGAGCTTCTCGGCGTGGGTGGAGTCGAGCCAGGTGGCGACGCGGTGGATGGCGGCGCGCAGGCCGTCCGGGGCCGGGTGGAAGTCGCCCATGCTACCGATGGGGACGCCGTGGCGGCGCAGCAGGCCCATGCCGAGCGGGGAGGCGTTGGGGACGACGTCGACGCGGGCGGCGCGCAGGCGCGGCAAAGCGAGCGAGCGCAGGCGCGTGTTCTGCAGGGTGAAGTTGGCGTAGGACATGACGGCGTCGAGGGGCTCGCCGGTCTCGCGGAGGACCAGCTCGGCCAGGTCGCACAGCACCTCGACCGGGTAGCCCGAGATGCCGATGTAGTGCACGGTGCCGTCGGTGTCGCGGAGGCGGCGCAGCTCGCGCACGGCGGCGAGCACCTCGGCCGGCGTGACGAACTCGACGTCGTGGCAGTACACCACGTCGAGGTAGGGGGTGCGCAGCCGGCGCAGGCTGCAGCGCACGCTGTGGCGCACCCACCTGGGCGAGTAGTCAAAGGCCGAGCCGGCGACGCGGCCGACCTTGGTGAGCAGCCGGTAGGTGTAGCGCGGGAAGTTGGTGCGGACGAAGTCGGTGGCCAGCGCGCGGCCCAGGAGTTCCTCGGCGGGGCCGTAGTAGGGCGAGGTGTCAAAGGCGCGCACGCCGCGCGAGAGCGCGCGGTGGACGAGCTCGGTGGACGGCAATGCGTAGGGGTCGGCGTTGTACTGCCAGTTGAAGGTCGCGGTGCCCATGATGAGTGGCGGCAAATTTGCCGACAACGGCAGCGAAGGTCGGCCCATTGTGCGGTCGACGGAAGGCGAGAGGCAGGAAGAGAGGAGCTGGGGATAGCGACGCCCCTAGCGACAGTGGACAGAGGGGAAGGAGGGGATTGCACTGGGTAGATCACGGCGACATGGTACAAGAAAAGAATTCGGACGGTGGACGGTGGACGAGATCCTCCGGGAGGTAGTGGCGGGGATTCTGATTTCTAACCAAGTACCGCCGGCCGATTGCACCATAGCCAGCGTCGGACATCATTGCTCCTACCGTAATGGTGGAGCCGAGGCCTAGAGAATCTGCGAATTCTGATGCGATGGAGAGATTTCATTGTCGGATCGGAGGTTGGAGGTTGCGCGGCAATCCTGCAGACACTCAGATATAAGATGGTTGATTATACACTGGGAACATTCCATCCGCTTTGCATATGTAGACCTACAGTACCTACACCACACAACACTGATATACAACATATATTTATACACTGTCACCTGCTCACTATAATACATCTAACAGGAGTGGAGAAATCGTCGACAACAGGGTATCCTTCACTCTCGTTCCATGCCTGGACGCGAGCATCTATTGTCCCCGTCAATGCAAACCGACACAGGAGAAACGATTCTAACACGTTCTTTCCAACCCAACCAGAGAAACGCCATGCTATGCTGCAAACAAAAAGAACGAGAATCCCATCGGGCGATGGGCGATGGGCGATGGGCGATGGGAGTGTGTCGTGGAGCTCACGGTAGAGTTCACGGAATTCACCGGTCCTTGTACACCTTGGGCTTCCAACCCTCTTTCAGCTCCTTTTCTTGGGCGGCCTTGCGCTCGGCTTGTCGGACCTCCATTTCTATTCTTTCCCGGGCACGAAGAATCTTGGACTGTAGGTAGAAACTGCCGCCTTTCTTAGGGTCGTTGATGTCGAAGAGCTTTTTGAATCGTTCCATCACGGTTTCGAGGTTGGTCTCGCCACCCTGGGGAGGCTTCACGTTGAGGATCTTGCAGGCCTCATCGAGGGACAGGCCAGACGACGCGAACGAGTTGCCCGATTTCCCATTCTTTGCGGCGTACTTGGACGAGGCGGAGGCTTGTTTGTAGGCTTCGGCGAAAGCGCGGCCGAACACGCGGGCGCCGGTGACGACGACTTGAGTGACGATGCGATGGGCCTAAGGATCTCGGGAGTTAGATTGTATACTTCAAAAAGAGAAGAGAGAGAGACTGTACCATGATGGGGGAGGTGGGGAGCGACACGAGAGAGAGAGAGAAGTGAATTGATGGATGGAAGCGTTTCGAAGGGGAAAAAAAGGGAAAATTCGGGAGGCCCGAAAGGGTTTAGCGTGGCTCAACAGCATCTTCAGATACAATAGAACAGTATACAAATACATAGAAGAGGTAGTATACACCAATAGATATAATTATAGATGATATTAGATATTAGATATTAGAGATATAGAGATATGACTAGGTATGTAGTATAGAATGAATGAATCAATTACCAATACTCCATACGCTCATCAATACAAAGTCCACTCTCCCTCTCCATACCTCACTAACTATACCTAGGTCCAGCTCAGTCACATGTTCTCCATCGTTCGGTTCAACCTGAACTTCGCTTTTCCCCCCGCAGGAATGACGGCGATCAACTCTTCCTCCCCCGGCTGTAATATTAAATCGCCTTTCCTTCTCTTCTCTTCTCCTTCGCTCTCTTCCTTTCCCTTGGTCTTCGGTCTTCACCGCCCGCAATGACCTTGCTGCATACATATGACGTCTCTGTTGGATGGCAGCTCTCGGTATCTCTCCTCCCTCACCATCAACCATCCCCCATACGCTTGCCTACTAATGCCGTCTAGACGATCTTCCGTGGATAGATTCCATGGCCCCTTCAACTTACTCGCAGGACCATGCTGATTCTCAGCCTCCGACGGTCGCTGCCTTCTCGCCATCCACCATCTCCGGCTCCTCTTTGACCTCCCGCCAGCGCTCCAGCATCATCGTTCATCGCAAGTCACCTCTCCTCGTCTCGACTCCGCCTCCCGTCACCCGAGCTCTGGCCTATTCGCACCCGTTCATCCTCCCGCTCAATAAACTCGTGGGCTTGCTCACCTGGTCCACCGGCGATGCCTGGCAGAGTTTCCTGCTCCTCGCTAGCTTCTGGACCCTCGTTCTCTACGGCGATGTCATCATCCTATGGGCCGGCCCACTCCTGGTCGTCATCGGTCTGATTTTGGGCATGTACTGGCGCCGATACTCCCCGCTGTCTTCGTCCCGAACCGTCCCCAACGAGAACAAGAAAACGTCCGATCATCAGCGAGGTCCCTCCGATGGATCTCTGTATCATCATGACAGCTTGGACGAGATCGTGGAATCCATGCGTGTCTTCACCACCCGCTGTAACATTCTGTTGGAGCCTTTGTTGGAACTGACCGACTTCCTCTCCACCCAGCGGACCGCGACGTCTGCAACGACCCGTCCCGCCCTCACCACTCTATTCTTCCGGATCCTCTTCGTTACCCCCATATGGATTGCCTTGACCTTACCTCCATTACGTCTGATCACCACCCGTCGGGTCGTCCTCATTCTGGGTACCATCATCCTTACCTATCACTCCCGTCCCGCCCGAGTGGCCCGCGTGATTCTGTGGCGATCCTTGACCATCCGTCGGATATGCTCCATGATCACCGGGCTCTCATTCTCCCTGACCGTCGACAAGTCCAAGTCTCTCCTCACCCAAAGCCACGGCCATGCCGCGAGCATCGCCACCCGGCGACGGGGTGACTCCTCCGGTGTCCGCTTCACCTTCGTCCTGTACGAGAATCAGCGTCGATGGCTTGGAATCGGATGGACCTACTCCCTCTTTCCGTCGGAGCGTGCCGCGTGGACCGACGAGCATCTCAACCAGGTCCCATCCAAGGACGAGTTCGAGCTCCCGCAGGTCCAAAGCGGAAACGCGAAATGGCGGTGGGTGGAAGGAAGCGAATGGCGCATCGACGGGGGAGACGGTGCCAACGACAAAGCTGATACCAAATCCACCGATGGCGGCGGATGGGTTTACTACGATAACAAGGTGAGCTTTTTGTCTCTTTCTCCGGCGTACAAATGGAATCTCCTTCTAACCATCAACACAACGCAGTGGAACGACGGCCGTCGTGGCCAGGATGGCTGGGATCGATACACCCGCCGGAGACGGTGGTGTCGCGATGCGGAGCTGATCGAGATCAACAGCTCCACGGGAGAACCGCTGTCCGGTTTAACCCAGGCACTGGCACAAGAAACAGAGCAGAACCAAGAATCCGGCAACCCTGACGCTTCAACAGTCGATGCTGCTGATTCCGAGAGCCTGGCCCCGTCGATCTCGTCCTCTAAGCCCCGGAGACGACGGTGGTTCGGGAGTTCGAAGAGTGTAAGCGACAAAAGCAGCGTCTCCTCCGCACCTCCCGCCTCCAACCATGATCCCTCGCTTGAGCTCGGAAAAGTAACCTCTGGCCCTAGTTATAGCTCATCCGGAAACCTCGCCTCCAGACCGATTAGCATCCCGTCGCATTCGCGCAAATGGTCCAGCAACTCGCGCAGTTCAAGCCGCAGCGTCAGCTACGGGGGGGAGGGGAGCGTGCATGGGAGCGGTGCGCACAGTGACAGCTTGAGTGTTCGAGAGAAGGAGATCTCCCACGCCCAGGACCACCTAGATCGATGGGGGTCCCGGGCGACGGGGGGGATTGAGCGAGCTGAGCGCGAGATGGGGCTGGGCGATGAAGTCAACATGGGATTAAGTTGAGGTGTAGTGATTTGGTTTCGTCCGGGTTGGAGTAATCGGCATTCATTATGATCCATTCTTAGCTGGCTAGTATTATGAGTGAATATACCCCAGTCATTTGCATTATCAAATAACGGTAGAATCGAGTAGCTCAGCCATCCCGTTATATACAAATCACCACCCACACAAGATGCATCCGCAGAGATAAGATATCATTTCAAAGGACTCACCCCGGCCATCCAAATATCCACCTTGGCAAACCTCCCATCCTCGCCCACCTCGAAAAAGTTACAATTAAACATATCGTTCTGCGTGCCATCGGCCAGCACGCCAACATACCGCTGCTGCGTCGCGACCGTCCCGCGCGCTTCATCCACCGTCACGCTCACCACCTCGTGCGACATGGTCGTGGAGCTGGCGATAAACCCGGCAAACATCTCCTTGATCTGCGCCGCGCCCGTAAACGTGGCCGGGCCCGTGTGCACCGTCAGCGTGGCGTCCGGGGCAAACAGGGCCGCCACGCGCTCGATGTCTCGGGCGTCGACGGCGGCGAAGAAATTGATTGGGAGAGTTTGGAGGTGTTCCCGGGTGACTGACATGATGTTTATAAGGTACGATTGGGTGAGGTGTGTAGGTATGATTTGGTTCTGGGTGTTCGGTCAAGGCGATTGTGCAAGGATGGGCTGGATTCTATGGAGGGGAAACAGGCATCTATGTATGAGGTACGGGAGTATGAGGGGTGTGGGTTATGAACTAGTGGGTTAGTGCGATGAGAGTGCAAGCGACCAACGGTGCTTTTCCTCTCAGGGATAAGTTTGAGCATGCACAGCCAAGGGAGTACATCCACAATATATTGGCAACTCCATTCGCGTTCCGTATTGAGCTTCTGACCATATATGTTTCTGGCGTACACATCTTCGTATGTCATGACACTATCAACAGGGTATCTAACTAGGCGACGATCAGATTCCATCCCAACTCCTCCAAAACATCCATCCAATGCCTCCTCTCTCCATCCCAGAGAAGACGCAAAAGCTCCTTTGCCCGCTTGACGTTGCCAATGCCAAAGTTGGCCTCGAGTTTACTCAAAGACTCAAAGACACATTCCCGGTCCGCATCCTCGTCGGTTTCGCAGCCACACATGAACAGTGGGAACGTGAGGGCGGAATATTCGCAGTGCTCGTCCAGAGGCAAGGACGCGATCCTTAAAAGACATCGTCGCACAGCCTCTGACTTCGTCACCGAGATGAATGATGGCCATAGTGACGGTAATATCGGATTTCCGGTCCCTGAAGCCATCCTATCGAGGGTCGAATGGAGGTAGATGTATGCAGCGTCGCGGAAACATTCGGCCACCATCCGCAGCCGGAAAAGAGTGTCCTCAGAGATGCCTTTTGGTATTATACATTGCGTGTTCTCATGTGTCCAGTCGTGAAGGGCCGCGTCGCTGGGGAACGATGAGCCTAAAGGTTTGAACCCATGGATGGTGAGCACTTACATTGAATGGACCTCGGCAGCGAAAGCCACAGGATCATGACACAGTGTCGGTAGATCCGCAATTCGGGCGCATATTCGAATAATGTCTTCGGTGTAACCAACATATATATCAAGCTTCGTCAGAGTCATGGTTTCCGAGCCGGGGATACGACGAGTGATTCGGCCCCGATTGGTGATCTTGGCGATGTTCTGGGCGTATACAAGCCTATACATCATCAGTCGAGTGCCTCTCAATGAATCCAGGCGCGAATTTCTTACAGTCCCCACAGAAACTCCGCTGTGTCTCGATCAAAAGCGCCAAATCCACCGCGCGAGATGAGTAGTTTTTCCAAGGCATCCAGATGCACAGACCATTGTTGCACACTGCCCCGGACAATTTCGTACTTGACCAGTAGGCCGACTGCTATTATCGACTCATCCGGCAGAGCGCCGCCGGGGTTCCCTGCAAGCACAGATCGCAGCCCGCTCAGCGTTTGCCCATAGTAATCGGCGGCGGTGTTTTGCGCGCACAAGCTATTTTGGGATCGGTTGGCAAAGTGCATTGCAGACAGGGCACAGAGTGCCTTCATCAATAGTGGAGATGACAGCGCTCTTGGGATGAGCAATGACCGCAGGGGATTCTCGTCGTTCTCGAGGTTGGCCAAAAGTCTGGAACCGTGTTCCATGTGGTATTGCAGATAGTGGGATTCGATGTTTGACAAATGGCTGATGAAACCTGTAGGATTAGGCACAATCACTGTCACTTCGTCGACCTGTTTAGTTTCGAAAAGAGACTCGTTGCAATTGCTAAGGTCGTTGCTTTCGGCGGACGGAGAGCGAATTTGTATGGCGCCATATTCGGACGATGATGGAGAAGGAGGTAGGTAGAGTGATGAGCTTGATACCGGAGAGGAACCTTCAAAAGAAACCGGCGAATATGTTGACGCAGCAGGCGATAAGCTTGTGCGCCGTCGTTTCGAGGCCGAGGATTGTCGGAACACTTGTGCGAATGGATTGAGAGGTTCTGCCCACATGGAACCGTACCCTTCACAACTTAGGCCTAATCTGTTGCAGGTACGACAACTATTGTAGCATGTCAGCTGTTACTGTTGCTTAAAGCGCTGTCAAGTCTGTCCTACGTGGGTTTCGCTTCGTCACAGCGCTTGCGACGTCTCTTGCAGGTCAGACAACCAGATCGCGTCCATTTTGCACCTTCTCGTCGCGACCTCTTCTTGGATTGAGAGTGGGGTTGTGTAATGGGAGAGAAGTCAATGATGGAGGTTGTAGTTGTGGTGGTGAACATGGTGAGAAGATGTGTCCCATAATATATACAACACTGAATGGATGATCAGGACGACTATCTATTGAATGGTCAGTGCGCTGTGGAGGGATTGATTGCGAGATACGTACCTAGAGCACCAGATGAAATACTAGCTTATCCGACCAAGCAACGAAGGTGTTCCTGGAGAAAGAAAGATGAACTTGCAATAGAGGAAGCGGAAGAGGAGGAGAGGAGGGACAAGCGGACGAGACTCCGACGCCATACCGAAAGGGGCAAAAGACACGCCCTTATCGGCGGTTCCCCTCATTTTCTTCCCACTTATCGCCATCTGATCTGGTCCTTCCTGATGACTGTTGTTAGTCCTCAGCTCATGGGTCTGCAAGGTCGATCATTCATTCTATGTACAAGCATACAAGCATCGATGTGCTTGGAGTAGTGCCCGGAAGAGCCCTTATCATGCCTCCCATGCCACTGGCGTCTTATACCGCTCATCCATTGACTCGTCGCGCGTCTCTACAACCCACGAAGCCCACCCTCCTGATCCAGTGGAACGACGATATCAGTTCTCATCCGCTAAGAAAAGCGTGAGTAATGAGAATGCAGAATGGCAATGGGAATATCACCAGGCGAACTCCACAAGAACCGCCATAGACGGGCCCCACAACAGAGCCGTCGCCCGAAATGGCAAGTCCATCCAGACCCATACTGATGGGCGATACTTCTCCCCGGAGTAGGGCAAGGCATGATAGAGACACATCCAGCTATATAAGCCCTCCTCCGGCTGCTCTTCGTCTTGGGACCCTTTCATTCCTCTCCGTCTCTATCTTCGCCGGCGGCAAATCTCCAGGATAGACATTACATATCTCCAAGTCCTTCGGGGTGTCCTTTTGCCCACTCGCCACACGAATTGACAACGACCGTACCACCCCAACCATGGCGAATCTTCATCCTTTTGATCCCGTCACCCCCCAAGAGATCCAGCTTGCTGTGCGGATCCTCGAGGGGGCTCTGCCGGGGGTCAAACTTCGCTACAACCGCATCGATACCCACGAACCTATCAAGAAGGATGTACTTCCATATATCGAGGCAGAGCGCTTGGGGAAACCTCTCCCACCGCGGCCAGCTCGTCTCCTATACTCCTACTTCCATCGTCTCGACACTAAAGTCTGCTGCAAGGCATTGATCAATGCTGACGCGCGATCTATCATTTATCTGAAGGAACTGCCAGAGGGCGTCCAGGTAAGCTGATAGAGTCCCCGGATCTTATCTACTCCCTCGCTAATCACACCAAAACAGCCGCCCATGGACGTTGATGAGCTGGCGGATATCGAAAAGCTGTGCATGCAGCACCCCGCCGTGCTGGCGGAGATTGAGAAGCTCAAACTCCCCCCTGGCATGTCCGTCTGCAATGACCCTTGGATGTACGGCTCCGATTATTCAAACGAGAAGCGCCGTCTGTTCCAATGTTTCATGTACATGGTCGCTGTGGACCATCCTGAGAACAACCATTACTCTCTCCCCTGCAAATTTTGCCCCGTCTTCGACGGCCACACCCGGGAGTTGGTTCGCATTGACTATCTCCCCCATGGAGCCGACACCCAAACCACGGAAACCCAGCCGTGGAAGCCAGTCAAGGCCATTCAGTATGCTCATGACCTCTTGGACACGCCGCTGCGAACGGATCTCAAGCCATACATTGTCCAGCAGCCCGAGGGCCCGTCCTTCTCCGTGGATGGTAACTCGGTCTATTGGCAGAAATGGCGCTTCCGCGTTGGATTTAATAACCGAGAGGGAATGGTTCTCTACAACCTGACGTATGACGGCCGCAACGTCTTCTACCGTCTCTCCGTGTCCGAGATGACTGTTCCCTACGGAGGTGAGTGTCGCAAAACGAGCAATCAAGGAAATCGCATTAACGAACCTCCTAGACCCCCGCGCTCCTTACCACCGCAAGCAAGCTTTCGATGTTGGAGACTGCGGCTTTGGTATCAATGCCAACCAACTCTCGCTTGGATGCGACTGCCTGGGCCACATCAAGTACTTTGACGGCTACCGTGCCGACTCCAAGGGTAACCCGGTTCACTTGAAGAATGTTATTTGCATGCACGAGGTAGACAACGGCCTGCAATACAAGCACACGAACTACAGAACCGGTGCCGCCGCCGTTTCTCGCAACCGTCAACTGCATATCCAAATGATTTGCACGGTTGCAAACTACGAGTATATCTTCATCTTCATTCTGGATCAGGCTGCAAACGTGGAGCTCGAAGTCCGCGCCACTGGAATCCTGTCGACCGTCCCCTTCGATAACGAGAACGGAGAGACTGTTCCCTGGGGAACGAATGTCGGCCCTGGAGTCATGGCGCCTTTCCATCAACACATGTTCTCTTTCCGCGTTGACCCGGCCATTGATGGGTTCAAGAATACCGTTTACTATGAGGATAGCGTGCCCCTCCCGGAAGATGACAAGAACCCCTACCTCGTGGGTTATACCACGGAGCAGACGGTCATTTCCCAGTCTGCAAGTGCGGAGACTGATATCAACCGCCACCGTGTCTTCAAGATCCGCAATGACAGCGTGGTCAACCCGATTACCTATAAGCCCGTGGCCTACAAGCTCCACGCGGCCCCTAGCCAGATGCTTATCATGGGCAAGAACGCAATTGGTTACCAACGAGCCGAATTCGCGAGCAAGCCTATCTGGGTGACCAAGTATCAAGACGATGAATTATTCGCTGCCGGCGAATTTACAAACCAGAGCCGACGCGCCAATGGTGTTGAAACCTGGGTCCAGCGCAAGGACAACACGGAGAACGAGGATGTGGTTCTGTGGCACTGTAAGTTGCAAAACCATGCGCTCTTGCATTTTGACGAGAGACTAACTTTGCTGCTTTCTAGCTTTTGGTCTGACGCATAACCCTCGTGTTGAAGACTTCCCTGTCATGCCCATGGAGCGCATCAGCGTCATGCTGCGCCCTGACGGCTTCTTTACCAAGAACCCTGCCCTGGATGTCCCGCCATCCACCCAGTCCTTCAATAAATCCACGCTTCACGCTGAACCTGCTAATACCGCCTCGTGCTGCTCGGCCGGCGGCAGCAAGGCCAAGCTTTACAAGCGAATTGACTAAATCGATACCCAGCATATGACCTGTACATAGAGCATTTATCACCATTGCATATTCAATCGCATTTCATATAGATATTCAACGAAAGAAAAATCTGTCATGAGACCAATCACACATCATGTTTCTATTCTCGTTAATACATGTCTCCTGATAGCTATTATACCCCCTGCCTTGTCGCTCCATGGACCAACAAGGCAGGAAAATCAGAATCATCGTACATAAAATCGAATCCAGTGCAAGCATACGTTCCTGACGTCCCCCTGCAAGCTATGTCCGTTCGCATCATGACACAAGAAGCGCTAGACAGATACTTCATTCTCTCCGTTCCATCTGGCCTGCGAGTGCAAAAATCCATTGGTCACAAAAAGAGACAACACAAGTCAATATACGCCGGTCTATGCGGTGACCGATCAACACCACAACGGTGGAAGACATCTCACAGACCGGTGACGATAGACATTACGGCATTTAAGCCTTAGGGGCGATGTGAGCGCTGGGCACAGCGCCGTTACCGACCTTCTCGACAGCAGCCTGACGGGCGCCGTTGAGGCCGTACTGAGTCTTGATACCCTCGATACGGTGGGTGGAGTTGATGTTCTTAACGAGAGTGAGCTGCCAGCAAGTGGCACCACCCTGGCGAGAGGTGATGGTGGAGGAGGCAAGGAAGTACTCCCAGATCTGGAGGGTAGAGATCAATCAGCTGGTGATCATGTTATTCAAGACGTGGAAATACTCACGCGGAACCATCTCTTGCCGTACTTGGCCTCCACCTTCTCGCGGTTGCCCATCCAGTTGCGGTACCAGCGCCAGAGGGTGGCGGAGTAGTGCACGCCGATGGTGTCAATGGCCTTGATCTCGAAACCCGCGGCCTCCAGACGGTCGACCACGAAGCCCAGAGGAGTGCTGGCGTCGGCACCGGGGAAGATGTACTTGTTCATGAACAGACCCCAGATGAGGTCCTCGTACTGCCAGGACTTGCGGAGACCAGCGATCTGCAGGAAGAAGACACCGTCGTCGTCGAGCATATCGTAAACCTGAGAGAGGAAGGAGGTGAAGTGACGCACACCGACGTGCTCGGCCATCTCCAGACAAGTGATCTTCTTGTAGCCACCTTCGCAGCGGGGAGCGTCGCGGTAGTCGAGGCACAGGATCCGACTCTGAGACTCCTCAATGCCCGCGTTGCGAAGTCCCTTGTTACCCCAAGCGGTCTGGTTGCGGCCCAGCGTGATACCCGTAACGTGAGCACCGTAGTGCACGGAAGCGTACTTGGCGAGAGTACCCCAGCCGCAGCCGAGATCGAGGACGGTGTCACCAGGCTTGAGGTCGATCTTCTCACAGACAGTAGCCAGCTTGTTGTCCTGGAGCTCCTCCAGGGTTTCTTCCCGGTTGACGTCGCTAATCAGACCCGAGGTGTAGATCATACGGGGACCCAAGAACCAAGCGTAGAAGTCGTCACCGCGGTCGTAGTGGTCACGGACCTGCTCCTCATCTATGATACGGGTCAGTGGACATTGATTGACTTGCGAAGGCACCAGGTAGGTATTTACCTTGGGAACGGGAGTGCACCAGAAGCTCGGGAAGGAAACCAAAGAGGAAATGCTTGTAGAGACCCATGGTGAAACGGAAATTGGCCCAATCATGTCTGAATTCGAGAGCCTCCAGAGCATCCATCTTGAAGTCCACCTCACCATTGAAGTACTTCTCGTAGAAGACCTCCATAGGGATCTTGCTCTTGCCACGGTAGGTAGCGCGATCATGTTCGCTGTGGAAGTGGAGGTAGTGTTCGACGGGGCGGCCGGCATACTTGGCCTTTTCGTTCTTGCGGGGAGAGATGGAAGAAGCCACGGTCCAGAAGGCCATCAGGATGGGGATGGTGGTGAAGATGGCGAAGAAGATGGTGGTGTAGAAACCACCACCCACCTGGCGGGCGAGGTACCAAGGAACCAGGAAGAGCAGCGCGAAGAGAAGGGTGTTGGAGAAGCTATCACTGCCAGCGGCATCCGCAGGGACGGGGGCATTTTTAATGGCGGGATACTGCGTGCCAACGAAAACAAACGGTCAGTTTGCATACATGCGACATGTTTCGAGGCCCAATTGCACCAGCTCCGGGGGAGATGGGACAAGGAGGAGCCTGAGCGAACGTTGAATCCAATGGAGCTTCTAAACTGGTCGACTTACCGATGTCGTGCGCACACCGCAGTCCTCGTGGGGAGTCGTACAGGAGGCAGCCGGAGTCTCGATGAACTCAAAGTCCTCAGTGGACTGAGGATGGATCTTCGTCTCAGCCATGACGAATTGAGGGGGGTGAAGAGGGGGAGAGGAAGAAGAAAGGGGGGAGAGGGGGGAAAGGGTTGAGAGGGAGAAGGGAAGAGGAGGAGGAGCGAAGAAGCAGAAAAGATCAGGAGAAGCTCGAGGATGGTGGTTTGCTTGGTTTGCTTGTGGGATCAGCCCAACGCTCAGTGTTTATTTCAACGGGCATTACCTAGGTAGATACCTTGGTATTCTTCTGACCAATCGGTGATTCAATTACGATGAATTTATTTCGGAATAATATTAGCTACTCATGCTACGTGTTAATTGTTTCCCGGAGCATTCGGATCATATTCAGACTGTAATGTGGGTGTAGCGGTGAAGATCAACAACATGGGATGGCTTCGTATGGATCCAGGTACAGAACAGAGCGACATCAGAGCTAAGAGACTAAGTACGGAGTACGGAGTACGTATTGCGCCAAGAAAGAGGGTCCTTCATATGCGCCAGTTCCAATCATCGTGCTCCCAATCACCCAGTTCCGAGGCTCTTTTTGGGTCCCGACTCTGGCGCCCATCGGCCCTGAAACATCCCCGATCGGCGCCGCTCAATCTCCTGTTCCTTGGATGTGGTCACGACTGAGATGAAATGCCCGAAAAATCGTCATAAATAACAATAGCACTCGCTAAAACGTACAGAGATCCTCGCGATCCTTCGCATATAAACACTAAAGCGCCCCATGATCATATTCTGTCGGTCCGGTCCCCAGAACAATGTACAAATACACTAATCCATAACGTCATCAAGGAATCTGCGAGGCAGTAGGCGATCTCACAGGGTGAGCTGGAAGTTCTGTGATTCCTCATCTTCTTCATAAGTGGGAAGCAACTCTTCATGTTCAAGTCCAAACGACTCCGGGAACCGATCGGCTAGAACGCTGTCTAGCGGCGGCGTTCCTTCCGGTCGTAGATAGGTCTCGGTGGAAAAGATGTCCTGCGGCACAGGCGGTTTCGGTGCGACAGCCGACTTGCCATGCAGTTTTGCCGACACATCACGGCCTTTGGTGTAACCGACAGTGGTCCGGGAGGTGGCGGCCGCAGCTGTGTTCCGCATGGTGGATGGGTTGGTGGGAGCACGAGGCTTCTTCGACGCAAACAGAGAGGAAGCGACTCTGGGTTTGGGTTTGGGAACAGCCACAGACCGGCTGCGCGTTCCCGACAGTGCAGTAGCAGCATCGCGAGCTCGAGCCGTGGAGATATTGCTGGTGTATTTCGCACTGCTCGGCGTGACTCTGGTCCGCCGTGTTCCGACACGACGTTTAGGAACTTCTTCCACAGGAGGCTCCTGGGAAGGTAGATGATGATCTAGCTCTTCAAAACTAATGCTCTCCACCTGTTTGAGAATCATCTCGTCCATCATTTTGTCGCACGCAATTGAGTCTTCCTGCATCTTGCGTTCTCGCTTTGTGAGGCCATCGCTTCCAATCTCGTTGTCGCCGTATACACTTTCCAATCCTAAGGCCATGTTCTTGGGCTGGAATTGCGGGAATGTAGTGTCGTATGTGATGTCATCGGGGATATCCGGAAGCTCTGTGTCAAGTTAGACAATAGCTCCAATCAAAGCAGCACGGCGTAAGTGGTCTCACCCTGAGGCTTAGGCGGCATGTATTCAATGTCCGGTACGTCATCTTCCACATCCTTCGTCTGCACTTCAGGTTTGCTTTGCTCCACCAAGGGGGTGAATTTCTTGACTCTCTGCGTGGAGGCTCTTTTTCCAGACTTTTCGGGCTTAACAGTTCCCCCCAGCGGGGCGGGTGTCTGCAAGCCTTTAGCTTTGGCATTGGTTGTCTTCATACCCAGCGGGGCACGGTGACGAGGATCTGCTGCTACAAGTTAGCTTGCGAATAGATCATGGACGCGTCCTTGAATATGTTGGATTTCGATGCGTACCAGCCGGGGTGACAAAGGCATCTTTGACGGATGGTTTGGCATTCTCCTTGAGCTTGACCGTTCCTTTCCCGGTCCCTTTCACGGTTCTCTTTCCAAAAGCTAACGGATCATTTTCATCGTTCAACGGAACTTTGAACGGCGTCTTTGGAGCTCGGGCTCCCGGGGTTCTCGGCTGAAGTTGTTTGGTACCTTGATTCAAGGGTTTGGAAGCAGCGGCAGTCTGGTGGGCGTGCACCAAGTTCTCCTGGTCTCGGAAGGCCAGCATCGTGGCGGTGTTGGATACGCGACCACCAAAGGGCTGATAGACCAGCGTTGGGACCGTGGGGGAGTCAAGAGATCAGAGGGTGGAATCGACGCGTTTTTCAATATCGTTGGATTGGTTGAGAGGGGGGTTGGAGGGTGAGATATGCAAGCCTGGTGATGGTATGTCGGGATTGAGTTCTAGATTGCACGCAGATGGACGCGATGCGGCATGTATTTTGTCAACGGTTGCCCGTGGAGACGATGGGCCAGTTGGCGATCTCATTTGGCAACCATGGGCGGGTAGTGGATGACATAAGGTAACTATTGTATGGGCTATACCGAGTTGATGCGTTATTTACACCGTCGGGGGTTACTCGATCTCCACTGAGGAGAGGCGGCGGTATGGTAAAATCCGCAGGAACCTTGCTATTATTAGGCGTGATTCGCAGTCTCGCCTTCCCAATAATACCACTAGCACCCAGACTAGTTTAGGGGGGTGGTACATGCATTCATACTATGGAATAGGTACCTCCTACAGGCTGACCGCTCAGGCAAGGACGACACTAATCACCTCCCTCACTGGGACTCTCTCCTCCACCTCTTCTTCCCTCTCCCATCACTCTACTTTCTGGTTTCTCGCTGAGCGAAAACCGGTCGTCTCTCTTAATCCTCATCGAACCAACCTTCACTTCTACTCTACATAGTTGCTCACCCGTTACCAACCTTCTGTTTTCTTTTCTGCCACCATGGATAAGATCAAGGAGGTGAGTTACCCGCCCAAAAAACCCCTGGCGGGGTAGCTTACGAGCTGCCTGAAAATGCACATGCACACCAAATCTCCCTTGCCTATGTCCAGCCGTCTGCATTATATTCTCCTCCCTCTATTCGTTTACCGCAGAATCTACACCGTACCTGATGAAGAAATACAAAAACATTGCCCCTCCATGCGCTCCCAAGATGCCAACACGTCATGGATCCCGTCGGACTAACCCGGTCATGATCTAGAGAATGAACACCCTCCGTCTGGAGGCTGAGGAGGCCCACGAGAAGGTGGAAGAGTTGAAGGCCAAGGTGAAGACTTTGGAGCAGGAGAACTTGTCGAAGGAACAGGAGATCACATCCCTCAACCACCGCAACCAGCTCCTGGAGGGTGAGGTGGAGAAGCTGGAGACCGCCCTGAAGGAGGCCAAGGATGCTGCCAACCAGAGCGCCCAGCACGACACCCAGAACGAGGCTCTCCAGCGCCGTCTGCAGGTGCTCGAGGAGGAGGCTGAGGAGGCTGATCGGAATCTGCGGGAAGTAAACGAGAAGTACACCTCCCTTCCCCCGCTGCCCAATGCTACTATCAAGTTACTAACTCAGATTCTTCCCAATAGGCTCCGCCAGACCGATGTCAAAGCTGGACATTACGAACGCAAAGTGCAGGCTCTCGAAGCGGCTCGTGACCAGTGGGAGAGCAAGTATGAGGAGATGGCAAAGAAGCACGCCGAGCTGCAGAAGGACCTTCACGATCTCGAGGTCTCCATAAGCAATGTTTAAGGAGCTTCGGATTGGATTTGTGTGTAGATTTCGGGGAATGTTCGGTTCGGCCTTTCTTCTCGCATGTTTTTTATTCTGTGCACCGTGTGACTACTATTTTCTTATCGAGGCGAATCTACAGTAGTCTCCGTGTGTTCCAATTGCCTTGAACTTCGCCGATTTCTCTTCCAGGTACATAGAACTTATTTAATGCGAGGGTTCTTGCGATGTTGTCTGATTTTCGACAATTTAATGGTCATGGGTAAGGTACAATATGAGGGGTATCATCGCTCGCGCCGTGCCTGCGCTTTTCTCGCCCTAGACATGCGTTCTTTCGCTCGGGCGAGCTTCCGTTCCTCCTTGCTCTCGTATCGGAACTTCTTTTTCTTCTTCTTCGGCTTGGTGTCGGATGACTTCTTTTTCGTCTTTTCCGCCGCTTGTTTCGATTGCAAGTCAGCCTCGGATTTTGACGTCTGAACTTCATCTTCGGAGTCCTCTTCCGCCTGCGATTTGAGTAACCCTTCCCGAGATGGGTCCATCTCCTCCACAGTCACAGTCGTGTACTTGTCTTCGTCGATATACTCGGCTTCGTAGTCCACCGCGGGGGGTTCTTCGAATCCTTCCCACTCGTCGCCCTCATGTTCACTGCCAGATCCCGTAGTCTCGCCATCCGTGTCTTCCTCATTGAGCCTTTTCAGTTGCTTCTTGTGCTCTTCCATCGCACGTTGGAATTCGGCGGTTCGTTCTTCGCGAATCTGCAGGAAGTTTCAGATTAACCAGCGAACGGTCTCTTGGACGCTGGGATGACAAACCCGTCTGCGTTCTTCTCTCTTGATCTCCCGGGCCTTTTGCTCGGCGATTTCCTGCGCATGTTTTATCCGTTGTTGCTTGCGTTTGCGAAAGCCTGTGAGGAATTGCTGTCGGGCGGTATGATCGAAAGTGATTTCTTCGACCTTGGAGACCTTGCGTCGTTTGGCGTGGGGTCCCATATTTTCGGTCTTGGAGGAAAAATGTTTAAAAAAACGTCTATCTTCCAATCAATCGTAGTTGGGATTAAAGCTGGTGACCAGAGGTAGAAATTGAGGGTGAGAAAAAAAGCTGCATGCACACCCACGGCGGCGGGCTTGCGCAGGAAACTAAGCTAAGCCCGGTTGGCTCGACCGCCTCCGAGCCCCCCAAGCCAATCCCATCCACCAGCCTGGCTCCGAGACAACATCATCATCCTTCGGACAGCACCACGCTCGTCTGGGACCCTACAACCCCAAACCTCCACACGATGTATCTGCGCAGCTTCTCGTTGCTCGCTCTGGGAGCGGCAACGGCCAGCGCATTCCGCGACACGTCTCCCTTTTTCCTTGCATCGACTTCCGAGTATGTGACCACCGCCGACGGCGTGTCCTTCTATCCCGGACGACGGGGCATCCTGTCGATGAATAACAGCAACTAACCGTGACGTACAGAAACCTCGGGAGCCACGCACACATCAAGACCGCCCCCGCACTGCTAGAAGACCTCTCTTCGAAACTCAGCGCTTGCCCCTCGGACTACTATGTCATCGCTTCCCAGCCCGGCGTCCATAGCTCCGATTTCGCCGCCCGCAAGTCCGCTCCTCGCCTAGGCGCGAAGATGACCGGACAGGACAGGGCGATTCAGTCGACCGTGATGGTGAACGAGGTCGCCGGGGTGTTGGAGCCGAAGCAGATTCAGGGTGTTCTGGAAAGAGAATGCGGGGCGCAGACGACTGTGATTGATGGTTCCTGTGAGATGCTTCTGGTGGGAATAGGTGGAGCTTATGGCTAACTGAGTCTATATAGCTGGATCGTATCCGGCCGACTTTGGCGCCGAGCCTCGCGTGATTGTCGTCGATTTCCCCGTCCTCCCCTTGGGATCTGAGCGGTCCCAGAAGCTCACCGATAATGGTATGTGGTTGCGGTGGATATACTGAGGGGTGTTGGTGTGCTAAATTTGCTGTAGATGGCCTCCTCGCGGACATCATTGAGCGGATTCCGTCCAAGAAGTATACCCTTCTCTACACGACATCCCCCAGGGAGTATGAAGGCGTCGCATCTGGCATCTATCACTCCGAGAACAATCCCTACGACGACCCTGTTCACCAGGACCTTAAGCGCGATTACTCCGCATATACGAGTGATGATGAGTCCTCGAGCAAGTCTCTGTTCCAAGAGTATCAGTACCTCAGTCCAGGTATGTAACCGCATGAGCGTTCGGGCTATGGACAAGGCTAATAAGAGGCCTAACTGGCTACAGGACTTTTCATGGGACTTCTTGCCTCCTTTTTCTGTCTTTCTATTCTATATGTGGGCTTCAGCGCTCTCAGTAGCTTGCAGGTGTCGTATGCCGCCTTTGAGAAGGATACGTCTGCCAGTGTGCAGAAGAAGCAGCAGTGAGTGGGGTGGGGTTTGCTTACTTGTTCACTAGCATTGGAAATCCTTTATTTCTCCTTCGGTTCTTTTATTTGCTTCACACGTAGATTATAAAGCGACCATGTCAATGTTCTGAGTACTCTAGAGTATGATACTGTATACCATGATTGCTATTCTGTCTTGCGCCTTTTATGAACTCGTATGCAATCAGAGACATACTACGATCTGGAAACAGCACCAAGACCTTGTCTACTACCTACTAGAAAATGCTAGCCGGTCAAGTTGGCTGAGATCTATCGATATGCCTAGACAATATATTATGATGCCTTAGGCAGCATACTTTGGAAACTCATGCCTCAGGCACCTTGAAAACCTACCACATCCCCTGTCCCCAATTCATCGCTGGTCAAATGAAAATTCCTTAGAAAATCGCCATATCCACCGAGTGAATATAGCCTCATCTTCAAGATCTTCGACATCCACGCTCATGAAGAGTAATTCCTCGAAGACCAGGTAGTAGTAGGGCTATATATAGATATCACGTGCTGCCCCTCTCTGACAGTGGCCAACCTGAGGCAGCAACTGCACCAAACGGGAAAAACGCAAATCGGCCGTCGGTCCGCTGATCTTCTCCCAGCGATCGTTCCCTTCGCCTCTCTCGCTTCTCTCTTTGGCCGTCTTTGCTGTCCCGTCTGAACCCGCTCGCTCACCCTCATCATCAGGAGTGCCAGTCCTTCGTTTCTTGCGCATAATTCCTCGCAACAACCGTCGTTTCGCATCGATCATCCTCCTTGTCGTTGCCCCAGTGTTTGGGTGGAGACTATCCGAGAGAGATCCACGTCTTTGCGTTTAATGTGCCTGTGTGTAAGAAGAGGGTCTTGCTGAACCTCGATAAACAATCGCACTATATAACGACAGTCATACACTCCGTCATTCGTTGTCTTTGGCGCGCACAACTGATGCTCTAACCCTGCCGGCGCAACCTCCAGCGAAGCCCCTTTTCCCTGACCTCTCCCGTGGAACGACCTGGGCCTGTACCCAGGGTCTTTGCGCTCGCTGGACTGAACGATAACAGCAATGATATTTCTATCTGCGGGCCATCGCAAGGCCCATCGGCCTTCGATAGCCTTGCTTGTGGTCCTCGTCATCGCTCTTCTCGCCCAAATATCAGTCGCCCAAAAGTTGACGGAGGCCCCCGACTCTCGGACGACTGATGCTGCGACAACGGCAGACCCTGCCACAACGGAGCGCACCACGGCTGCGGAGACGACTGCCGCATCAACAGCTGAGACGACAGCTGAGACGACTGCACGCACCACCGCAGAAACCACCGCCAAAACCACCGCCGAGACAACCGCCGAGACCACTTCCGAGACCACTGCTAAGACGACCGCCGCGACGACAGGATTCACAGCAACAACATCTGAATCGTCGACATCTGCATCCACCACTGATTCGACCACTTCCACCACCCAGTCCTCCGGTCTAGTTCCCGTGGTCACGGTGCCGCCCGTTGGCGATGCGCCCTACATGCAGAAATCGGACACGCCAGAGGGAACCGTGTTTATCGCTGTCGGAGCGGTTTTAGGGTTCGTAGGACTCGCCATTCTCGCATGGCGTGGACTGGTCGCCTGGTCTGTCAACCGATCGGTTCGTCGAGCAGCGTTGATGCACTCGTCCGAGACAAAGGGTCTCCTGCGCACCAGGAAGAAGAGGTCGACAGTGCACACTCAAGCCTCTATGCCGGCCGTCTCACTCGACAAGTTAAGCAGTAACAAACGCGGTAGCCATGCGAATCCGCGATCCTCCAAGGTCCCAAGCTCGAGCAGCGGTCTCTTCTTCTCCCCAACCGCAGGAGCGCACACAAGCGGGAATCGGGGCTCCAGCTATCTCCCAGCCGGGTACTATGCCGCCGGGAGTTCCGCCGCTGGCAGCCACCCCAGCATGCATTTCTCTTCCTCGGATCTTCCAGGCCTTGGTCCCCAGTCGCAAGGCTACGTCCGCACGCGATCGGGCCCCAGCCCGCCCGGCACACCGACGTACGAACCTTCGCCCCATCATGCTGCACGACAGTCCTATGTGGGCGGTTCCACCAGCTCGTTGAACCTGTCCTCGCCGCCACCCCAAGGAAGAACTCCTAGTGCATATCTTGAAGACCTGTTCGAGAACCATGCGCCTCAACAACAAAACCGAAACAGCCGCCGCTAATCCTCTAAGCACTGGAAAACCTTTCCCACGAGAAACGATATATTGTTCTTTGTTTTTCTCGCCCATATTTTTGATCTAGTCGATTTTCTCGTTAGCATAGTCCCACCTGTGCCATATATACTGTACATCTTTTCTCGCCCGCAATATTTGTGATTGAAGAATAAGCATTTTGGTTGATTTCTTTTTCGTTCCCATCTCTTATTGTGATTCACTCTGGCGATGGGTGTTTGTGGGTGATTTTCGTGGGTGGACAGTCGTCAGGTTTTACATGTCCTCGACCAGAGGTCCTTTCATGTTGCTGCTTATATTGTTGTTTAGGCCAACCTAGTGAGTATCAATACATAGGCGGGGTCTAAGACGAGGTTTGGAAAGCAGCCTGGAGAGTGTCCTTGTGGTAAAGCACATGCAAAGGTCACTGAACATACAGATAGTGCACCACAACCCCCAACGCTCTTGCCGGTATAATACAGACGCGAAAGCAAATTGACACCGTCCGTTTCGCCCGTGAAACGTACTATATAGAAGAACCCGAAGTGATTAAGAAAAGAGTAATATGACAAGGGAACATAGGGTACAAGGGGCTAAGGAAAGGATCCAGCAAGGACGGCATAAACACAATGAAAGCAATGAATCCGGTCTACATGCAGATACGTATCGTGTCATCTATAAACTCCAAAAGCAGCGAGTGATGGATTTGAGAGCATTGCTCAGTCGGAATCCAGCTTGCCGTTGAATTCGCCCAGGAGGATATCATCTGGAGCGGGGCCGTGGCTGTTGCGGACTGCAGGGGACCAGTCAATTTCGAAACTATTTTTGTCTCGCAAATAGGGGGTGAACAAAGGGACATACTGTTTTCCGCCTCCACACGGAGGAAAACCCACATCCATCGGCGAGCGACTTCCGCTGACATGAGCAGGAACAACCCGAATTCCGTTTCGGTGAGCCAGAGAAATCCTGGTACGAACCTCGATGCCCATGAGAACCGAAGGAGAAGATCCACCAGAACAGCCAGGTAGTACTGTCGATCGGAGAAATACCGGCGACGGCGTAAGCCGTAAGGATGATCAGTACTGCGGCGTGCGGACGAGAAGAATGTAAGGTCCCAATCCTTGGTAACATCCCAATAGAAGGAATAGGAGGAGTTGACCAAGGAGCAGAGATACAGCAACCGGGACAGGCCGACTTCACTGAATCCGTAGAACTCGAGAGGATTATAGTTCCTCAATTTGGCAGCCAGGATAATGACTGGAAAGGCCGAAGCGTATTTCAGGGCGTTGGCCAAATGCTGACCGCCCTTGTTCTCCCCTTTCAGACCCGCTCGGCGGACTCGCACGTATTCAATCAGACATTGTCGGAACCGAATGATGCTAGGCGCCGCGATAATAAAGGGCACGACGTAGTCTTTTCCACACCGCCGGTCCGGTTTAGATGTGCTAGTGGTGTCCGGCCCGAAGAACATGCAGAATGTCACGACCAGGTCACCGAGGACCTTGGCATAGCTGGTCAGAGCATCTGCAAGAAGTATGTCCCCGAATTTCCCGTCTTGGGCCTCCGCCAAACCGCCGATACTAATCCGTCTAAGGGTCACAAGGAATCGGTGGCGTCCAGAGCGTGAAAGGCGATTGAGGGGGAGAAGGAGGAGAAAGAAGAAGATGAACAGATACGACTGAGGAATCAAGTCCAGCCGTTCCACCCGTTCGCGCGATCCATGGGTGACGATCCAGAAGATCAGAAGAGAGAGAGCGAGGGGAATGGATAAGACTGTAGCTAGGTGGTACGCAGAGGCATAGTGCGGTCGTTGGGTCGGAGATTGACGAGGGGAATAACGGATGAGAGCCGGCACATCCTGTGTAGAGATCAATCGAGTCAGTCAAGCAACAGGTCAGGGAATGAAGCGACCTACAATGTTCTTCTTCGAGAGGTAGTGGAGGTTGACACCCCAGCCCCAGAAACCTATAGATCTGCGTTAACCCCTGTTGTTTATAGACCACAAGCGGGATGTATACCAGCAACCAAGATCACCGCCACGCGGTATGGGAATGGAAGGACAAGACTGAAGCCATCCAGTTGAGCGTGTTGATCAGGACCCATATTCCATTGAAGAAGCGGCGCCGATGGGGTAAATCCAGCGCCTAACCAGGGGAAGGAGGAAGACCGGCGGGGAGGGACAAGAAAGGAGAGCGAACACACGGCAATGAACTGACGTCGAGAAAGAAAAGAAGAGAACGAGAAGTAGATCAATACCCAGTAAACGAGAGACTAGGGGTAAGTCCGGGAAGGCCAAAAATAATCATTCATGACTAGTAGATAGTAGTGTGAAGAAGAGCTCCGCGCGACGGTTTCAGTGCCAGCAGAAGTGGGTTCCGCGCGGCACTTCGCATTAGGTCTAGCCCCCGCCCTTGCCGGCCAGCCTATCTGGTCACGTGCTATATTGACATCACGTGCATTCTGACAGAGCGCATGGCTTACCTAGTCCAATCACGTGCCACTTACCGAGGCATCGCGTCGTCCCGTCGCATTTCCCCGGATGAGTCTCCAGACAGGCACCATACAACTTACCCCAGGTTCTTTGGGTCTCTCTTTGATCCCAACACCTACCAAAAAACCTCACCTATCTAATCCATGCCATACCTCCTTTAAAGAGACATGGCCGACGAAGACCTCTCCCTCTCCTCCACCACCGCTTCTCCCCCGACCTCGGCTCACTTCTACCCATTCGCAACCTCTCCAGATATCATCCGCTCGCACGAGAAAGACATCTTCCTGACGGCAAACCTAGTCAACCAGGCTCAGACGATTGTCCGCTCACTGCGGGGTGCTCGAGTCGCGCATGCCTATTCCGAAACAATCAAGAACCTAACAGAGCTTCTCTATTTCTCCCTGACAACGTTAATCGGCAACCGGACGCTCGGAGAAGAATACTGTGATCTCGTCCAATTGGAGGATGATACGCTGCAACTACCATCGATCGCTCGGAGAGCGGGCTATATCGTGAGCAGTATCCTGCTGCCGTGGATGCTCCAGAAGGTCCTCCCCGCTTTTCGGCAACGACTTCGGGCGAAACTAGAGCGCAGCATTGCTCGGCAGCAATTCCGCGCCCAACAAGCAAAAGAAGAACTCAAGTCTTCCAAGAGCAAACCTCAACAACAGCCCCTTATCACAAAGCTCCGCGTCCAGAAATATATTCTCGAACACCTGGATTCCATCACTTCGCTATCTCCGATCTACGCGCTGAGTATTGCGACGTTCTATTTCACCGGCTCATATTACCACCTGTCCAAACGCTTTTGGGGCCTGCGATATGTCTTCACCAAGAAACTGGAAGAAAATGAACAACGCGTGGGCTATGAGGTTCTTGGGGTGTTACTCGTCCTTCAGATTGCGGTCCAGGGGATCCTGCACGTTCGGAAGGTCGGTGAAAGCCTGCGACAGGAGGACGAGAACGCTGGCTCCGAGTCGCCCGGCTTCAAAGACCGGGCTGGCTCTCTGATTAAATCAATTGAGAACCCTTCAAGCCTCCCTCTGCTCCCCGCCTCCGAGCCCCGGTATGATCTTGAGGAGGATGCGAGCGCCATTCCGTGGATCCCGTCCGGGCAACAGAGCAAGTGCACGCTTTGTCTAGAAACTTTCAAAGACCCCAGCGTCACTACATGCGGACACGTCTTTTGCTGGATCTGCGTCCGCGACTGGGTCCGGGAGAAACCCGAGTGTCCCCTGTGCCGACAGGAAGTCCTCTTGTCCAAAGTCTTGCCGCTCAGAGGGTAGACTGCCTTTATGTGTACAGCACTTTCTTCATCGTTCGTCCGCGATATGTACATTTCAATTCATGCATATACCCCCTTATCTAGTAGTCCAATAACAACGATGCGATAAGACAACCTACAAGGTCCTCATCTAGTTATTATGTGTTCATCCTCTGGTTCCTAGGTTTGGTGCAGCAGAGCGATGGAAGTATTTCTTTTCATCGCATGAATAATCCTTATGTACAAATGCACTCTATGGTATCTTTTGCTATAACCTGCAGAAAATGCAGTGCGGCGTTACGATATCGTCTTAGCCACCGGACTCCCAGCCGGTCGTACCACTTCGACCTCGTCCGGATCTGTTTGCACCGGTGCGTCATGCACAATGCGGATTGGTATGTCGAGCTCCGCATGCGCAGGCAACGGAGGGACAGGATCCAACGCCTTCCGTTTGGCATCCATGGCATAGAATAGACAAAGGCAGGCATACGGGTCGGAAGCCGCATCTAAACATACCGAGTCAGTCACTTCATCGCTAGATAGTACTAATCTGTGTACTCACACTGAACCTGGCGGTAATTCAACGCATGCGTCCAATCACCACGTCGAACTTCATCCTCCTTCGCCAGCGGCAGGCCAAAGTGCTCCTCGACCTGCTCGCTCAAGTTGACGAGGCGTTTATTGATCAACCGGGGGTTCGAATAGCAGTACTTCACCAGTTTGTGCAGGTGGCTGAGCTCGAAGATGGCGCGCGTGTTGATGCCCAGGTACTTGCGTACGCGCGTCGAGTCCGCCTTGATGGACACCCCGACCTTGGTAATGCGGGGAGACTCGAGGATTGCGCGCAGCGAGGGCGCCACCAAGTCTGCGAGACCGAGCGCGGGCCGGAACATGGCGATGTGAAAGAGCGCGATGCGCTCGCGGTTCGCGAGCTGCACCAGCGACACGTTGTTCTGGATGCTGTCCTGCGTCGAGGCCTGGGCTTTCCATTCCAGATCGAAGCCGAGGATGTCGTCGTGCAGGAAGTGCTGGGCCACGTCTTCGGCGCTTTTGACCGATCGGCAGTAGTGCACCGTGATGTCGCCGCCGTCGGGGCGCTTGTACATCTGGTGGCTCCAGAACTTTGCGGGTGGACTTGGGTTGTGCGTTGTGGATGGTGATGTTGGCGTCGGGGTGTTGGCGGAGATGTCAGATCGAGTGGTATCTTCATTCTTGTTTGCGTCGTTGTCAGACAGTAGACGGACTGTAGGGGCGGAGAAGTATCTCCGGTCTTCCCAAGTGGAAAGAAGTCTATTTGGTTTGCGGGTAGACTGCGTGCTTGGTTTAGGCCGTGGAGAACCAGCGACGGAGCTTGATATCGTCCTCAGGAGCCCTAGTGGCAGGGTAGTACGAGGCGAACAGAACCTCGACGGCTCGCGCCTCACGATTAAATTCGGTCTCAGCTTCTCAAGATGCTCCTTTCTGCGGAACAGTATATCGTGAGAGCAGTTGGTCGACCGTTGGATCTGGCGACACTGTCGCATACTTGCGCCGCCGCGAAACATTCTATCTGTTCGTCCGACGACTGAAGGACAGCTCCTGCCAAACGAGGCTTTGGATGTATTCCCTGGAGGGCACGACCAGCATGCCAGAAATTGGCTGTTCCATCGTGATCGACGCCTCAAGCTATCGTCGATGAGCATAGTCCGGCTCCGGTCCATGAAGCAAGGGGAGCTAGAGCTTGCCGCATCCCATCTCGGGCACCTCAGCCCCGTCGCGAAAGTCCGGGAAGTCCACATAGCCCACACCGGTCATAGTGAGTAGATTGGCGAGATCATTTATGCACTGGATGCGAAACGCAGTAAACTGCGATAATGGATGGAACTCGCAAAACAATGAAGCGCTGAAGCGGTAGATGTGATTGGTGGTACAAGGTCGGAGCGGAACAACATATGTCCTTGCTCGCCAAGCTTGTCCGAATGGAATAATCACGGCGAGGATCCGCCAACGTCGATTTCTATATCGATCTACTGCAAGCTGCTCATCTCAGAACGAACAATCGACTTGTTCGAGGAAACGTCGGATTCAAAGAACGTTACCAGAGCGGACTCGACACATCCCGAGAACACAATGGCGTCACAACTTCTCCCCTTGGGTAATGATCAGATGACCTGCACATCAACGCGCTTGCTCGCTAACTCTTATCACAGAGCTGATTGACAAGTGCGTCGGCTCCCGGATCTGGGTGATCATGAAGAATGACAAGGGTATGGTGGATTTCTCCTTGTTGTATCTCGGAAGCTGACGTGCGCACAGAGTTCTCCGGCACCCTCCTCGGATTCGATGACTACGTCAGTAAGTTGTTCTGTTATGTTGATTCCAGGTATATCCACTGACTTGTTATAGACATGGTTCTGGAGGATGTGACTGAATTGTAAGTCTATCTCCTTCCTGCACTTACAAGCGGTGCTTCACACATGGCCTCTGTCATGATCTGTCCATATGCAACAACTCGTCTGACCAACTGGTAGCGATTACTCTGGAACTCAAGAGAAGCTTCCGAAGATATTGCTTAACGGCAACAATGTCTGCATGGTATGATCTCTTCGAGATAGCCTGCTTCCTGGAATTAACGCGCGTCTAGTTGATCCCCGGTGGTGAAGGGCCTGTTGGTAGCTCTTAATTCACGAGAATTATTGTGGTTTGCTTGTTTTACGAAAATCCTTGGGAACGACTATGAACGATATCATATAGAATTTCCTCTAATAGCAAAGTCATTGCTCCCGGTTTACGCAGGGTCTTATAATGTTTTTTGCCGCCCAAATTCCAAGTGATGCCATCGAAATAGCCAGGTTTCATTCAATTACTCTACATACACCATCTGCGGGGTATTTTCGGAGCAAAAAGAATGTTCAGCTTCAGTGGACCATCTATACAGGCCGATTCCGACCTGGATTATGTTAAGATACAACCTACACGTGACAATTGGTGATAAACGGGACTCGACAGCCGCTCCGACGCCACAGAAGCTGGCTTCAGCCTCGTTTGAAGGTTCCATTGCCTCTGCCTTAACTTCCAGAAGGACTGAAGTAGATCTCCAGCACCATGGACCCTTTCCCAGAGCCAACCTTGGAAGTCACCGACACGTAGTCACTTCCAGGCAACAGCCATTCGGAGGACCTCAGGTATGTACGGCGTGGATGATTACATTGCATGATGGCACCACAATGGCCTTATTGGACGCCATCATCCCAAGACCGGCGGTCGCCGCTCACCCTCCTATAAAGCCGTCCAAGGTTTCGTGCAGGTGATGGAATCCCATTGGCAGGGACTGTTCCTGTCTGCGGGTCACTCAAGGAAGTCGGTCGGTCAGAAAGGACGGATTTTGCCTCCATTCTGTAGGCACTGCAAGAGTGTACCTAGGTAACGCGATGGGCTAGTAGCACGTGCTGTGATTAGTCTGGACGGGGATTCCTCCTGGTCAAGCCACCGCCCGCCACCGCAACCTAAAGCTTGCGAGGTTAGAGTTGAGATAGTCATTGGATGTACGGTCGAGTGTCGGGACCTTCAAAGACGGGCCATGGTGTACTCCGGAGTAGGAAGAAAGTCAGAAACTCCACTGGACGGTTCCGTATTCCCCAACGCTGGAAGGTTGGTTTACCCCAGACTGGGGAGAGACAGCGAGGCAATCTGTTACATAACAGGATCCGTCGTCCCCGCGTTTTGGCGGCATGAAATGTGGGCATGGGGGATAACTCTAACTTACTTTGCTCGACATGGTCGGGATAGAGTCAAAATAGACGAGTACACCTCACAGAAGCCGGCAACAATAACCATTAGTCACGAATATTGACCGTTCTTTGTGCAGCGGCGTTGGAGTATGCGTGATTTTCCCCGTCGCCGTGGTTGCCACTCCCAGAAAACGCCATATGGCGGGACCGGCCGCTAGGAGAATTAAGGAGCGCCTCGACAAGCCCTTCGTCAGTGCCAACCGGACCCGGCCCGGTAGGACCATTAATCAGCCAAAAGACGAGCAGGATGAGGGAACTCCCGCTAGCCCGGGGTCCAACAGCCACGAGGTCACGCAAGGTGGTATCCGTGCAGGATTCCGTTGCATCGACTGCGTCAATTACGCTTCCATATACGAGCGCGACGCCCAGCGCACGTTCTAATTGCTTCTCATCGCATCATAATCCATCACGCGCTGCAGCGGCAGCAAATCCTGCGGGTGAACTCTGGGCACACACCCCCAAGAAAAGGAGTCGCCCGTCAAGACATTACAAGATATTACGAAGCTCCGGTGCCCAGCCGCGATGTCACCACAGCCCGTTCCGGGCACCAACTCTGCCGCCCGAGTCGTCTCTCACTGGCCGGGTGTGACGCTCGGCCCTTCTTTCTCAGCTCAGATGCTGGGCCCTCCGCTTGGCTGGTCGGTCGCCGGTTCATCTCCTGCTTGGCCTTGGAGCTGGATGCACTCGAGGAGACTCGAACATCAGGTCGCTTAGAATGATTGCCAAGGCGGTTTACGAAGAAAGTAGCGAGAATTAAATGAACTTCGTGAGACATTGCGGAGTGTTTGATGTGGACTTCTGTAGACCCAAATAATGACCGATCGATTATGACCGAATTGGGATCGACAGGTGTTTGAGCAGCGGCAGTTCGTGCAGCCATGACCGCCCCATTACACGAGCTCCTATGCACATAGGCCTCATGCTCATGGGAATGTCTACCTATCAGACTACAGAGCATCAATCACGGACGCAGCGCAAGCTGTCGAGTTGCCCGATTACGCCAAGGAAGCAGAACGGGGATGGGGCCCGTTTTGGAGAATTAGTCTCCGCCTGGACAACCTGCACAAGACCGTAAACCTGCAACATTAACCGAGGGCACCTCGACGGCGTTTCGGCGACATGCAATAACAATAATAATACCCATCAGAAGTGAAAAAGCCAGGCCGGTGATTCGGTGATTCCAGTCGACCGACAATTCCCGAGGCTATCCTGCCCCTCGCCCCCTATTATCAGGGATTATGCTCAGGAGACTAGAGACTTGGACACCATGGAGAGGTCTCGGCGACAGCCATGAATCAAGCACGAGTCAACGAATGGGGCATTTGCTCGTGGTTGCTCCAACGGATCAGGAAAGGTGGAGAGCGCCCCAGTTCGACTGTGGTGTAAGTAGTACGGAGTACATTTTGGTGTACACACCTAATGAGCCTGCCCTACAACCGCGAACTTCAGGCTTCTTCTCCCGCGCTTCCATGCATGGACTGGGTTCTGTTTAGCTCCAGGAGATCGGACAAGTAGGATGTTTGCCGAAACGCCTCCATCCAGGACAAGGGAGAATAGAAAAAGAGAAGCTTTTCCAAGCTTCAACTATGATAAGGAAAGATAGCTGCCGGAAGGTGCAGATAACACTTGAGAAGGGTGAGGAGCGCATTTCCAGAACATCCGGGCGGGAGACAGGGAAGGGAGCGAGGACCAACAAATCACCTTGCAGAATCGGATGAAACGTCATTATCTATGATTGGGTAGCCACGCCAACCGGCGTACGTCAGTGAACCAGAGGATGCATCTTACGGCCGTACATACTGTGACTACTACTACTAGGGAGGCAGAGGGAGACTGGACAGGACAGGACACGGGAAGCGAACAGCGTCTCTTATCTCTCTGCGGCTATGGACACCGCCCCGTGATTGGCAGAGGCACGGCATCGCGTGGAAGTCGAAGTGGGGAGGTCGATCCCGAATGGAGCTTAGCGGGGAAATGCGCGGGAAGCTTCGTTCTCTGCCTTCAATTGCCCCTCCGCGAACGGCCCTCTCTTTACTCCAGAGTACTCTGTCGGAGGTGGTTGTGGATTTCGGCCACCATCGGAAATGCTATTATTATTGTGGTGACCGGAATACACTCACACAAGCTATCGTGGAGGATTCTGAAGATGGAACAGCATGCAAAGCCACCTGACCGGAGACCAGACGTTACTACTACTACAGGTCTAGGGCCAGATTCCCTTTTCCGGTTAGTCGATTCCATCTCGTGGTAACCTCGAAGCTTCAGTGTCCCAGGATATTAGCAGAGTCTATTATGTACTCCATCGCGGTCGCTATCGCAAGTAGAGTCCGATGTAAGCGCCGATGATGATGACTACGTATGTAATCTAGATAGTTACTGCAACGAGATAGATAGGGGGACTGATAGTTGATAAGCGACTCCATCTTCATACATATACTCTCTCCTACCCATTCACTACAGTGCTATCCAGATGCATGACTCCACCACGCTGGACCCTGACCGTGGGCCCGTTTAATTAGTTGATTCATGTCTTCTGGCTACTGAGGGACAGAGATGGTGGGGAGGAGCATCACGCGATAGGCGGGATCATAATGACTTTCGGGACCTATTCGCGTCCGTCTGGTGCTGACATCTCGTTTGCGGGTTGCCTGTTGTTGTTCGTGTCTGGAACGGTCGCCACCAGGGACATGCATTCTGGTAGAGGGACCAAGGTTATCGTGATATGTGCTACTTGAATCATAGAATTCGGAGATTCGGTGGAGCCAAAAGAACATGAGATGATGTTCAAGGGAAAAGCAAACAGAAAATAGAAAGATCATATTATTGCGACAAGCATATGTAAAGGTTAATAAATTAAGGGAAAAAAGAAATTCAAAAAAGAATAAAAAGAAGAAGAAGAAGAATACGGGGGAAAACCACCAGCCAAGGACAGGCAAAGCCCCGGCCTAGGCTGGCCACCAACCCTGGGAAAGCGAAACCTTGACAGGAATCCGTTGGATGGAAATGCCAGAATTCACGCAACCCCGGACTACGGACCGACCACTTTACTTATCGACCATGAGCAGAAAGAGGAAACACTAATACTGTCAGGTAATGGGAACCCAAATCATAGGTCGATGATACCCTCTCTCGCTGACCCTCCCGGGGGGAGCGATAGGCCTAAATTAGGTTTCCCCATCAATGTTTCTGTTCTCAGAAAACGCCCGAGAGGGACTAAGTCCGGGATCCCTCCAGATGGTCTTGTTGGCTTTCCGCCACAACATGAAACTAAATCACCTCTCCCCTTCTATCGCCCTCTGATAGGACTATCGGTCCTGCCACCAGATGTCGATCGGCCCATCGCCTCTCTCGTGTCTTTGGCCCGGTACTCTCTACTCTACTCCTACCTACCTACTTATAAACCCCCGGGATCCTCTCGTTCTTGCCTGTTCCTCGTGGAACTGAGCGAACTTCCTCCTCTCCTTCACTACTACGCCTCGGGGATTTATTCCTGACCCCTCCTCATCCTACTGCTGATCCTTTCCTCTCCCTCTCTCTTCCTTCTACCTATACACGTTTATGTCCCAGCAACTCTAGATCAAACCCATTCGCCTCACATCTCCTTCACCATGGAGAAAGATCACATCGAACCCAAGGCGGGTCCGACATCCTCCTCCGACTCGACTCCTCCGGCCTACGGGGAGTCGGTCTCTACACGTCCTGGCATTGGTCGGCGCATTATCGACAGCTTCAAACGGGACCCCAATGCCCATGTCACCACGCGAGCCACGAGCGGTGCCGATGGCAAATCGTTCGATATTGAAAATGCAGCCCTCCAGACAGCTCAGTCCCCGCTGCAGCGCAGTCTCAAGAGTCGTCACCTTCAAATGATTGCTATTGGTGGTTCAATCGGTACGAATTATCCGCCCCGAGTTGACGGCCTTGACTCCCGTCATAGTGAGCTCAGCTGACCCTGAATTCTAACCCTCCAGGTACTGGTCTGTTCGTTGGTTCCGGAAAGGTTCTGGCGGTTGGTGGTCCCGCCTCGGTCCTGATCGCATATGCCCTGATTGGTTGTATGCTTTACTGCACGGTGCACGCTCTTGGTGAAATGGCTGTCCTCTTCCCCGTCGCGGGATCATTCGCCCACTACTCTACTCGCTTCATCGACCCGGCCTGGGGTTTCGCAATGGGCTGGAACTACGCATTGCAATGGCTTGTGGTCCTGCCCTTGGAGATTGTCGCGGCGTCCATCACCGTCGACTACTGGGAATCGAGCATCTCAAACGCTGCGTGGGTCGCAATCTTTTGGACGGTGATTGTCTCTATCAACCTGTTCGGTGTCCGTGGTTATGGTGAAGCCGAGTTTGTCTTCTCGCTTATCAAAGTCATTGCGGTCATCGGTTTCATGTGAGTGATCTTCAAGGCGGCTCCACAACGCTGAAGACTGACATCTCGCAGCATCCTCGGCATCATCTTGAACTGCGGCGGTGGTCCCCAAGGTGGTTACATTGGTGGCAAATACTGGCACGACCCCGGTGCATTCCACAACGGCTTCAAAGGCCTATGCAGCGTCTTCGTGAACGCCGCCTTCGCCTTCGCTGGAACTGAGCTCGTGGGACTTGCTGCCGCCGAAACTGCTAACCCTCGGAAATCCCTTCCGACCGCTGTGAGACAGGTTTTCTGGCGTATCTCTTTGTTCTATATCGTCTCCCTGACTCTGGTCGGCCTTCTTGTGCCGTACACCAACCCACAGCTCCTGAACGGGAAGTCCAGTGCTGACGCCAAAGCCTCTCCGTTCGTTATTGCCATCAAGAATGCCGGTATCAACGTCTTGGACTCCATCATGAACGTTGTGATCATGATTGCTGTCTTGTCCGTCGGCAACGCATCGGTTTATGGTTCGTCTCGTACCCTTGCGGCACTTGCGGAACAGGGACAGGCTCCTCGGTTCCTCGCGTACATTGACCGCAAAGGTCGCCCTCTCTGGTCCATTTGCATTGCCTCCGCTCTGGGTCTACTTGGATTCCTGTCCGCATCGGACAAGCAGGAAGTTGCTTTTGAATGGATGATGGCCATTTCGGGACTGTCGTCGATTTTCACTTGGGGTTCGATCTGTCTCGCCCACATTCGCTTCCGCCGTGCCTGGAAGCTCCAAGGACACAGCCTGAACGAATTGGCGTTCCAGTCGCAGCCCGGTCTCATCGGTTCCTGGATCGGATTCATCTTCAACTGCTTGGTCCTGGTCGCGCAGTTCTGGGTCGGTTTTGCGCCCATTGGGTATAGCGACATGACCACTGGCGAGCTCGTCGAAAGCTGGTTCTCGGTCTACCTTGCTGCCCCCGTCGTCATCTTGTGCTACATCCCGTACAAGCTCTGGTACAAGACCCCCTTCCTCCGCGCCAAAGACATGGACCTGCAAACGGGTCGCCGGGAGCTCGATATTCAGTATCTGATCGAGCAGGAGCGCGCGGAACAGGCGGAATGGCCTATGTGGAAGAAGGCGTACAAGATCTTCTGCTAGTCGCGACGCATGTAATCCAGCGGCGTTGTTGTGGTTGTCTTTGTGCCTCATTTGAGACCGGCTTCTCTTGACGTCTTTTCATCCTGTACGATAATGATGAGCACCCATTTCCAGTTCTTAACAACATGAGTTCAACATCGTCATGGCCGATTCATGTACTCCGTAGCAACGGGTGAATCCGTGTTCCTTTCAGCCCTTCCAGAACATCCCCAGTCTTGGCATGTTTGCACCTTGACAGCTGAGACAATCGGTAATATTGGTAAAAGATATGCCTGTTGAAAGACACCATGGACTGATCGGCGGCTCCAGCTCAACGCTATTGGGGGATGAGGGTACAACGGAGTACCTTACAGTGTGTGTCTTACGGGCAGTTGTGTGTACACTTGGCCCTAAGCGCCGTCGGTGGACGGTAATGTTTCACCGGCGTAACCAAAAATAGCCATCCCGCAGAGACACGTGAGGCTGAGGCGGCAACGGCGTCGTTTCATGACGGTAAATTACAGTTCCATGAGACTCCCGCCCGATCTCGACCACCAAAACTCCCCAGGGCTGCGTCGTCGTCGTCGTCGTCTGTTGTCTTCCGTCCTCCATCCCCTACTGCACGACGCTTTCGCTGTCTTTTCGATTCTCTTTATCGCTCTCCTTTACCCTTCTTCTTTGCTTTTGTTTAGCACCGAACGCCCTCACTCTCCCCGCTTCCTCCTTCCAGCCGTGTCCGTCCCATAGGTTCCCTCCCGGGGTGTATGTTTGTCTTGAGCCGATCGCAGCCACAAAGAGCTGGCAACAAGCTTCGTCCAGATTAAGCATTAGGGGAAGAAGGCGCCCGTCACTCTTTACAAATACTTGTTCACGCAGCGTGGGGTTTGTCTACCTAGGTAGCGAAATCGCCAGTGTGTTTTTGCGCAGCAACAACAGGACCCAGTCATTCGCTCTACGCTAGAGACCTGAATGATCTGCCTCTGCCAGTGTACAACCTAGAACTTGGCGAAATCCGATAAAACCCAACCGCGACAATGCCTGGCTTTGCAGATTCCTTCTGGACGCCTGACTATGCCACGGGCCTGGGCGTTCTGTATGGGAAACTGCAGCAGGGTGTGGCTGAGAACAAGCAGATCCTCACAATCGCATCCATGCGTGCGGATGCCGAGGAGCTGTATGGGTACCGACTGGGGGAGATTGCGCCGACTGTGGACCGCATAACGACGGGATTCGGAAAGGATGATGGGGCTAGCGTGAGGAAGGTACGTGGCTTGTTTTCCAGCCGCTGAAGCGTGGAGAATCCTGTTCTCGTACTGACAGATCTTTATGTTGACAGGCGTATGAAGGTGTTCGGACTGAGATGATCGAAGCGTCCAGGAACCATCAGAAGATCGCATCGAATATTCGCGAACTCGTCGTGTCGCCGTTTCGGCGCTGGTGCGACCAGCACGAACTTCGCATTGAGCATTCGCACGACGACCTCCAGGCGCGCATCAAGGAACACACGAAGCAGGTAGAGCTTGTCAAGAAGCTGCGAAGCCAGTACTTCAACAAATGTCGCGTGGTCGAAGACCTCGAAGAAGAGAACAAACTCGCGTTCCAGGCCCCCGAGACCAGTCCCAAGGTCAAGCCGACGCCGAAGATCGTCCTGCCCGATGAACAGGTAGAGGAGGAAGAGCCGGTGGAGATTGGGGAGCGGGTCTACGCCCCTGAGGATCTCAAGAAACTACTGGTGCACATGCTGGAAAATATCAAGATCGGCGAGGTGAAGGTGCCTATCATCGGAACCTACCAAAACACCTCGACTGGTGTCGATATTGTTGAATACACTCAGAAGCACATGAATGCCAGCAGTGTCAACTATTCGGAGATGATCGGCCAGGACCTCGTCGACAACGGTTTCCTTCGCCTCGTGGGCAACATGGGCAGCACGTTTGCCAATAGCTCCAAGATGCACTACCAGTGGCGTCCCAAGGTGTTCCAGGTCACTGGTATCCCGGAGAAGAAGAAGCCTCTGATGCGTGTGACCTCGATCGCCAGCAGCGAGGACGGTAGTGAGTCGCCGATCACTTCTGTCTCGGAGATGTTGGCTGGCTGGAATCCGCTCAACAACCCCTACCCGAATGAAACGCCTGCCGAGAAACTGCGCCGAGAAGCCCGGGAGGCCGATGAAAGGTACAAGGCCGCTGTGCGGAAGCTTGATCAGATCAGATGCAGACTTGAGGAGGAGATCGTGGAGAACCTTCGCTTTATGGAGCAGTGCGAGCTGGACCGGCTCAAAGCGATCAAGGCCGTTGTCTTGGATTTCTCTGGCGCCATCAGCAACGTGATCCCAAATCTGCAGAGCACGGTGGATCATATGATGCTTTACCAAGAGACGATCCAACCCCTTGGAGATCTTAGATACCTCCTCGAAAACTATAGAACGGGCGGCTTCGTCCCCCGGGTCCAGGCCTACGAGAACTACTACGGCTCTGTGGAAGGTATGTTATTATGCATGGTACATGACAGCTCACAGGATCTAACTTTTCAGACCAAAACTTTGGCGTCGACCTTGAAGCGAGAGCAAGGGCGGACCGGAAGCGAGTCCCTGTTATCTTGACTACGATTCTGACCTACCTTGACAACCGTAAGACACCTCGATGAGCTTCATTGGGCGGTTGGTATTAATGGAATCTCACAGGCTATCCGGAACTGGAAGGCGACGAGGCTCGACGTGCCATTTGGCTCTATGATGTTCCCTTGGCCGCCACGCACAGGCTCCGCAATGAATTGAACAACAGCAAGGTTGACTATCAGGAGGTCCTTCAACGATATGAGGTCCCGGTTGTGGCCAGCGTGCTCAAGCTGTACCTTCTCGAGCTGCCGGGTACGTGTGAATGTTGACTATCGTGTGCAAACATGTGCTGATCATTTCCAGACTCTCTCGTGTCCTCCCAGGTTTACGAGATTGTGAAGACCATATACTCTACGACGGCCCACGAGACGACGGAAGAGGGACGTATCAAAGTCTTGCAGAGCACACTTGGTCAGCTCCGTCTCAACAACATCGCCACTCTTGACGCCCTTATGACCCATTTCACGCGCTTGATTGATCTTACGTCTGCCGATGAGGCATACATTGCTTCTCTGGCCCAAGCACTATCTCCTTGCATTCTCCGTCCTCGTACGGAAAGCAGTCTTACGATGAACGAGCGCCACAGCTATCGTCTGATCCGTGACTTGTTCGCCCACAAGGATTCTATTTTTGGTGAATTGAAGCGCCAGTCCAGCGGCCTGGGAATCGGAGGATCTGCCAGCCGTCCACGTGCTATCAGCACTGATGAGAGTAACCGTCGGGCCGCCATGGAGGCCCGCAACCGTGCCATCGTTGATCGCAGCAGGGCCAACAGCCCGGCGCCTCCCCGGAAGCACCGTCGTGACCGCTCTAGCGGCGCGTCTGAAGTCGGCCGATTCCCCATCAATGTCAGCCCAACCGAGAGACGGACTACAACCAGGAACAGCCTGGACGTCCCCAGCACCACCACATCCCCGACTGGCGCTGACGAGATGACAACCGTCAACATCAATGCTTCCGAAACTGTCGCTAACGGTACTTCGAATGACTCCCCTGCATCTGCTGCCACCACTGAAAGTCCCACCTCGGGAGGCGCTTCCACCCCTCCCGCGGCTCCCGGATCGGACGATTCTCCTACTCCGACTCCCACGCCCGCCCTTGATGGGGCCGAGAAGCGAGTCTCCGTCCCCCGGTCTGGTGCCATTACCCGCAAGCCCGGTCTTGGTAGCCGATCGAGCTTCCCTGCGGCTGCGATCAGTGACAGCCCCGTGGACAGCAAACGGAGCAGCGTGGCCGATACTGAGCCCAAGGGCGTTACGTTAGAAGATAAGCCGATGGACGACTGAACGAGTCAAAACTCAGACGATACGCGACAATGCACCAATGGATGAAATAAAGAAGAGCATGTCCCTTCATACTCGAGAAGACCTGACCTCTGAGCATTGCGAGCAGCCCCCGTCAACCCTTTTCACACTTTCAGCGGGACTTGTAAGTTGAGAGGAGTGTTGGCATCTTGTTTCTTGTTGTATGCCTTTTTTGTATCCCCGTACAAAGTACTACGTATATCTATCTATCTGCCGCATACCCCATTTCTATGTATCTTTCCCCTCGCTTATGCTTCCCTTTGTTGTGATTTTTGTATGCATAGTTGTCTTGTTTTCATTGTTTTTTGTCTCGTGCCTCTTCTCAAAGCGATATTTGTAGAACTGTTCACAAAATTGATTGTATAGCCGAAGGCGGAATCCCTGAAGATGTAGAATGCACTTGTCTATTCACACTATCAATCACTACTTATATCGTTATAATCATGTCTGTGGGACAATATCTAAACATGCATCGCTGATGACAAATGCTATTGAGGCGACGCTGGCCAAGATGTTCCGCTTATAACCAACGCCCTGAGATAAGAATGCTTTGTTACCCAAAAAAGAAAACGCCATCCAATGTGAGAAATTGCATGTATTGTGGGAGAATCACAGGCCTTGGCCCATGAGTAATCTTCGAAGAATGCCTTCTCCGGGGCCCGCAATCTGACTTTCGATCTCCCTCTGGGAAACGAAGCAGACAAGACCCTGCTCATCCATCGCCCTGCTGGGAGTCAAGGCCCCAATAGCAGACTTGGAAGGGCTACGTCTCAAGTTCGATCCACCAGCAACAGTGCCACCTCGGCCTCGTCCCTGGTATTCACCGACAAGGCCAAGCGTCTCCAAATTGCTCAGGACATCTCGGAATTCCGTGGCAGTGAGAGGGTGAAGAATATTGTCCTTGCGACAGAGGGTACAGTATGTGTCGAAAATCTGTTTGACCGTCGGAGGCATGTGCTTCGTCTTAGACGGAGTCGGCGGGAATTCCCCGTCACGTCGCTTACGATCAAGCGCGATCAACGCGCAAATCGCTGCCTTCTGCTGGAGGTTGAGACCCTGAAGCCGCTGGACCGTGCCCTGACCAAAAGCTGCAGAGGTGATGCGTGCGATGTGGGCAATGCTGGCGCGGGGTGCAGTCAGAACGGTATAAGCCAAAGTAAGACTCTGCATAGATCGAGAAGGGGATGAAAGATTGTTGTTCTCGACTAGGATAGTCTTCGAAGGGCTACCCTGCTCCGCATTCTGCTTTTCGAGTTTCTGTAAAGTCTCCTGCTCGACCAGATCGATCGCGCTCTTGACAAGCTCAAAGGCCTTCCGTAGATCACCCGTCTGAGCTGCGACTTTCTTCGAGCACAGCTGGATGGCTGCCGGCTGCACAAATGGCACGAAATTGGGGTCTTCGGCTTGACCCGCAGGGATGAGGGAACGAAGGCGGTTGATGATAACGCTGGCGATCTGGTTGGCGTTGTACGGCAAGAACGGAAGCAAGCGGGGCTTGAGGTTCTTTGCCTTAAGTTGTGGGAGAGAACGATCCGTCAGATCGAGAGCATTGGCGATACCAACCAGCAGAAGCTTTGACTGGCCCTGCAACGACCATTCAAACAAAGTCTGGAGAACTTCAGCGTCGGAAGTAAGCAGATGGTCAATTTCGTCCAACGTGACCAAAAACATATCATCCCGCTTGTCCTTTGGGACAAAAAGACCTCTCAGTCTCTCTGCCTCGCTCTTCTTGAATACCTGGCTGTCATCACAGAGTTCTTCAACAAGTTTGCTGTACACATCCCTGGCCAGCCGCATACTCGCACAGTTCACATGGGCGACTTTGACCGAGCTCAGATCCATCTCACCGCACACCTCCTGAACCATTGCACTTTTACCGGTACCCGGAGGACCACTAACGTACAAACAACCTCCCTTCCGCGACTCCACACCATCCTGTAGAAAGGAGAGAAGCTTTTCGCGTTCTGCATCCCGACCGACAATGCGACCCGAGCTTGCACCACGTGCGAATAGCTGTCGCGCATTGGTGTAAATTGTTTGAGTCGTAGTCGACGTAGTCGTCGGTGTAGAGGTTTGTCGAGGAGTACGAGGAGTCAACGACTTCCCGCCAACCTGGACGCGGTGCTTGGGAGTGACAGGGGTAGAGTCGATCGCATCACGATATCGAGATTTGGAAGGAGTCTTGATCTCAACTGGCTTGGAGTTCTCATCGCCATAGGTCTCTTCCGAGGGCCGGGGCTGGGCAGATTTGGAGGCACGGAAATGAGTGTTGATCTTGACTGGAGAAGGCGGCTCTTCGTGTTGCGTTGTATGCTTGGGGCGATCATTTTCATTGGACGGTGACTTCCGAGTACTGCCATTGTTCTCGTTCTCATGGTGGAAGATACTGCCACTCCTTGTCCGGCTTGCGTTCGACCGCAGTGGGCGAGTGGAGGAGACGGTCGGTTCGGAGAGCTCTTGCAAAATCCGGGGGGTTCGCGTGCAGCGCTTGCTTGCACTGCGCAAAGGCAACGACGGAGCTGAAATAGGCGTGTCAGAATGTCTAGAATATACGGAAGGTGAGAGACGATAGAATACCTTCTGTGTCAATTGAGCCGCGTTGGCGCTTGCCGAGGACCGAAACTGTCATGCTTGGAGGCAACTTTGGCAAGTGCGGTCGAGTAAATCGGAATTGAATACGACGGAAAGAGAAATTAAAAGATGAGGAAGGTGTGGACGAGGTGTATGTATTTCCGAGAGGGCCAGGTACTTTCTCTCTCCGGGACTGAGGTGAAGGGATCGGGGACTTGAGAGTATGTACCTTTTCCCAACCTGGTAAAATGGGGTTTCACGCAACGACGCGTCGAGGTGTCGCGTCGCGTCTGATGGTGACTGATTAGGCATCTCTGCCGAAAGTCACCTGATCAGTCATGCTTTGTGCATAAGACTTAGTCAGCTGTCACCGGCGGAGAATCAGATTCTCCCCGGAGCAAATGCGTCACTGCGATGCCACCTGAAGGCCGCTCACTGTTCCACTGACCAGCGACTCACTCTGAAACCCTTCTTCGCTCTGTGGCTACTCCTGCTCTTTATTATCCATGCCGACGCGGCTCCGTACATACAACTTATCACACTTCTCTTGACCAGAGCCGCAATTTCTTCCTGCAGTTTGCAGCTGTTTGCATCAGCTTCTGTCAATGCCTTAAATCCTACGGCCCCATCTTACCCTCTATCATTACGATTTCCCCTCTCATTCACCTTTGTCCGAGCCCCTCCCACATCTCCAGTGTGCTCTCCGATAACCGTTGCCCGCCATGGATACCGATGTGGTGGCTCAGTTTACTGAGATCACCGGTTCTACCCCGGAGCTGGCTACTCAGTACCTTCAGCTAGCGGACTTCAATATCGAGCAAGCCATGCAGCTTTACTTCGAAAATGATGGTGCGCCTCTCACACAAGAAGCTCCAACATCGCATTCTGCCCCGCAACCGCCTTCCCACTCCACTGGACACCAGGATGAGTCTGGGGTCATCCACGTTGACTCCGACGATGACCTTGCTGTTGACGAATCTCGATCCACACCTCGAAACCGGTCAACCCATGCGTCGACATTTGAAGATGACGCGGCGATGGCTCGCCGTCTTCAAGAGGAGATGTACGGTGGCGGAGGTAGCGGGGGCGGCGGGGAAGACGATGTGCGAGCGCCGATGGCCCGCACAACAGAGACTTTAGTTGGGCCCGAAGCCGATTTCGATGACGATATGCATGCCAGTATCCTGGGACAATTACGAGCCCGCTCACAGCGTGGAGGTAAGCTTCCCCTGCTTAACTTTTTGATTTGGCGGTAAGCTAACCTTTCCGCTTCCCTTAGGTCGGCCTGGAATATTCAACCAGAGAGACTCCGCCTCGATATGGACGGGAGACGACGAGGCGTCTCATCGGGAAAGACTTGCAGCGGCTACGGGAGGTGCATCCGAGGCGTCAAATAAGTCAAACATGCTTGCCGAGATGTATCGACCCCCCTTTGAGATCATGTCCAGGCTTCCGTGGGACCTGGCCCGGGAGGAAGGCCGTGACAACGAGAAGTGGCTGTTGGTCAATGTCCAAGACCCCTCCGTCTTCGATTGCCAAGTGTTGAACAGGGACCTGTGGAAAGATCCCGGGGTGAGGGACACAGTCAAAGAGCATTTCGTCTTCCTGCAATATTCCAAGGACGATCCGCGGGCGTCGCCTTATCTGCAGTACTATTTCCCGGCCAGCGACGTTTCGGACAACTACCCTCACATCGCCATTGTGGACCCCCGTACCGGAGAGCAGATGAAGGTTTGGTCTGGGCCGCCAGTGATCAAGGCTGCCGATTTTCTGATGCAGTTGCACGAGTTCCTTGATCGTTACAGCCTGAAACATAACGTGCGGAACCCCGTCGCGAAGCGAAAACCCGAGAAAAAGGAAAAGAGTATCGATGCTATGACGGAAGAAGAGATGCTGGAGATGGCGATGAGGAACAGCCTTGGTGATGGAGCCGGACAGCCCCAGAAGATGGAAGACCCCGACGAGCTGACCCGGAGCATGGAAGATGTGAAGGGCAAGGGAAAGGCCGCTGACACGGGGGATGTCAGCATGGGTGAAGCCGATCAGAGTGAAGAAGCAGACCCCCGGGTGTCCGTATTCCAATCGATTCCTGCCGACCAACCCCACACCGAGCCTCCTGCCGACCCAGCAACGACTACACGTATCCAATTCCGACACCCGTCCGGTCGAGTTATCCGCCGGTTTGCTCTCACTGATCCTGTTCGACGCATCTACGAGTGGCTCAAAGCTGACCCGCCGTTGCCAGACAAAGCGGGCGTGGAATTCGAGCTCAATGCTATGGGTCGCAACCTGATCGATTCTCTGGACACCAGCGTGGAGGATGCAGGCCTGAAGAATGGGACGGTGATGATCGGATATATGGAGGATTAGGGGGTGCTTGGAAGATCCGCACCACCGCATGAATCATGAGGATATCTGGAGAGGGATGTTTACGTTATTAGATGGATATTAGATCTTCTAACCTTGATCAATTGATGACTAGCGCATGCTCAACCTGGTTAATAATCTAACTATCGATGATGTACAACTCGATCGCCTCACCGCCGATGCAACCGCCCGGCAGAATCAACCCCGCAGGTCCCAATGAGCGCCGGCGGTTCCTGAGCTGAGCTGAGTGTACATCTTCCGCTTCTCCCTCGATGCAAGGGCCAAAACACTCCAGCGGCTGGTGGAGTAGCTAGTCCCGGCGTCTTCTTCTCTCCTCTCTCGTCCTCCCTTGCACCTCTCTTTTTTCTTCTCATGTCTCATCGTCAATTGCGCTCGATCTAGGATCCCATCCTCCCCTCCTCGCCTTCTCGCGGGCGGTTCGGTATGTTTATCTCCGATGATCAACTATCACGCTTAATCCCCGTATCCACTGTCTCACGACCATGACGGTGGGCTTTGTACACCACCGTCTCCGTCATCTTCTTCAATCCGATCCATCGCACGACTTTCCCAACATGACGATGTACATTCCATGACATACTTTTCTCTGAACTAATGAACCAAAGTGGGAATCGTTACAGAACCACCTGGAGATCGCTTGCTGGACGCTGTGAAAATTCACAATGGAGGGCCTCGTCGATCCGGAGACGCTTTACATGAAGCAAAATTGCATCGGTATGTTCCACGCAGGCCTCGAGCACATACAATCCATACACCCGCTAACATTGATATCATAGGTGGTGGAAGCTTTGGCCGTGTTTACAAAGGGTACCTCATCCTCCCACTCCGCTTTATGCACCGTTTTCAGAGTGGTGTCTAACAGATCTCCAGCGTCGATAAGCGCACTGGTGCCTCCGTCGCCATCAAGATCATCGATGTGGAAAACGCTGAAGATGAGGTCGATGACATTATCCAGGAAATCGCCATCTTATCGGAACTCAATTCCCCGTACGTCACAAGATACCATGGCTCATTCCTGAAAGGCTCAAGTCTATGGATCATCATGGAATTCTGCTCCGGGGGTAGTTGCTCCGATTTGATGCGTCCAGGCCTCATCCCAGAAGAATATATCATGATCATTCTGCGGGAGTTGCTCAAAGGCTTAGACTACTTGCACAGCGACAAGAAACTGCACCGTGATGTCAAAGGTAGGCCCTCGATTTTCCCCCACTCTGTCGCGACCCAACAGTGCTAACAGCTAACAGCTGCGAACATCCTCCTGACCTCAAATGGTCAGGTCAAGCTGGCGGATTTTGGAGTCTCGAGCCAATTATCCGCGACAATGACCAAGAAGAACACATTTGTTGGAACGCCGTTTTGGATGGCTCCAGAAGTGATCAAACAATCGGGCTATGACTACAAGGCGGACATTTGGTCTCTTGGTATTACTGCCATCGAGCTGGCCAACGGGGAGCCACCCTACTCCGATATTCACCCGATGAAAGTGCTGTTTTTGATTCCGAAGAACGCCCCACCCACCTTGCAAGGCGACTATAGCAAGGCATTCAAGAACTTCGTGGAGCTTTGTTTACGCCGCGACCCTCGAGAGCGACCGTCAGCGAAAGAGTTGCTCGAGCATCCGTTCATCAAGCGGGCCAAGAAAACGACCTATCTGACCGAACTGATCGAGCGCTACGAACGCTGGAGTCTTTCGCATGGTAACAGAAATGCCGACGAGGAAGAAATGACTCCAGAACCACCTCAGCCTCCCTCTAGAACTGAGGAAGATGAGGACGATCTCTGGGATTTCGGCACCGTCCGTCCTGCACGCCGTCCACCCGGTCTGAAGCCTATGAAGGAGGCAGAGGTGAATACTCGTGGTATGGACGGAGCTGACTGGGATCTCGGCGACGATTCGCATAAGGCCTCGGAGCCAAACAACAGCAGCTATCCTGCTCCACTGAGCCCTTCAAAACCAACGCAGATCAAAAACGTCCCTCCGGCCGAATCGAAACAGCCACCCTCCCCTTCCAAGGTCCCATTGCCACCATCCCCAGTCAAACAACCTTCTCGAGAACACAGACCCCAGACACCCTCTCGCCTTCAGAAACCGGCACCTCCACAATTGAAAGAGAGTCCCGGTAGCCAGTACGACAAAGCTCTGCAACAGGCCTTGGCTCAGGACTTATCCTTTCTCCAACTCGACCACTCCCCAGACTCCACTCCATCCAAACCATCGCACCCGGGGCCGGAGCGCAGGAAGGCAGTAGAGGCATCCCACAACCAGGAATCGGCCTCAGCACAGCAGTCCAAGACTCTCGCAACCCAACCCCCCAGACCTACCACAGACTCACGGCCCCCATACCAGCCACACGTCCGCGCTCCGCCTCCGAAACCCACTTACACATCATCTCAGCCACAGCCCCAGGCTCAACGCAGTGCACAGTCACCCGGCAACAGAACCAGCTTCGGCGACCTCCACAGAAGGATTGACGCCAGCCTACAGACCCCAAGCGCGGTTCCCCAAACCAACGAGGTCACCGCCCTAAACAGCGTCATCCTGCCCGCGCTCAAGGCCGCGATCCGCCGTCGTGCGCGTCGTCTAGAGCTCCTTTCGCGCAATGCCGCTGCAGAATCCACTGCGGGCCGGACGGACGCCATGGAGCTGCAGTCTCGGCGCGACTACGTTCAGCAGATGATGGAGTCGCTCGTCAGTGACGTGAGCGGAATGTTTTCTCGGATTGAGCGCTGGGACAACGAAGCACCCGTCGGAATGGGCGCGGAAGTCACCTCGTTCTTAGAGGGCTTCTTGGAAGAGGTACTTGTTCGAATTGAGCCCGCTGATGAAGAGCTTCCTTCTGTCAAGACATAGACGTCTTCTCTCATCTCGGATAAAATGCAGTCAAAAGAAATGGTTTGAAATACTTTGTCACAGCTGGAATTCCTGGACAAATGTACGGGAGTCGGGTCGATTTTGTTCTTTTACGGAGTTAAGATTTGCAAGGTATCTGTCATAACAAGGTTGAAAAGAAACATGAGTAGGGTATTGTACATCGCATAGAAGCTTCGAGGATAATCAAAGCATGTGAGAAGCATTCCATCCACTAGTCCTCTGGTCCTGTCAGGAAAGACATTCCTCCAGCATGCAGTAGCTGTCTCTGTCTGCTTGTGTGCCTTCCATGCAAGACCCAGCGCGTCGTCGACCTCCAAGACTTTCACTGCTCCGCTGAGCAATTTGTGAATTCTACAGGCCCGTCTTCTGGGGTGAAAGCCTCGCAGGCAGTTTCCTGTGTGGGAATGCAGATAGACCTGACGACGGTGCCTTGCAGTCCGGGTCCACTCCCGTGCTCGGTATGCATATGCGGTTCGCGTATGGCTTGGCCTTTCACTTAGGACACCAGATTATGGATGGATATGTCACGGTGGTGCCTGGCATGATGGTTGAGACATCGTGCCCAACAGATTCCTCTTCTCCGATGAGCAGCCCATACTATCCTCCAGACGACCGGAATAACCAATCCGTCTCTGGTGTGGGGATCAAGTAGTTCGTGATATTGAATTCATTCGTGTTTGCTGTAGTCCCGTCAACGACAGCGTTGGCAGTACCACTCTCGGTCAGGCCATGGATAGACATTGGGTTGTTCACCGGCTCGTTCATGTCGAGAGTCGCAATGTCGGAAGCCCTGGTAGCGGGAACACGAGGGACGTTGAAGAAGCCAAACACATCGAGATACTCTAATTCGTTCGGAGCGAGGTTTCGTGGCAGTATGGTCGACGCTGGGACGGCTGGTTGGCTACCCGCTGGCGAGGAGCGAGGTTGTCGGGATATCAGAAAATCCAAATCAAAAGCACATCGACGCATGTCAGCCAAAATCTTCACAGTCGATGGTGTAGCTCGCTCGGAATCATCAGCACCAGATTGCTGGTACTCGCCATATTCGTCGAGAACGCGTTGCAGGATCGTACTGTAACGCTCCGCCACCTTCCAATGCCTTCCCATTTGGGCGAGAGTATCGACAAAAAAGACAATATCGGGGCTCACAGTGTGGGCGATGGTTGAACCGTGGACCAGCAACAGACGAGCCGAAACCCAGAGAGTAAATGCGAACGGGGGACCGAGTTTGTCCAGCATATGATTGTCCACAACAAACCGAGTGATAGACAAGATGTTGTCAACGGCAAGCAAACAACGCTGACTTGCACTGTACGACGGGGTGAAGATGGGTGATCGTGTCGTCGGATATGCAGCCGATGAATGCAGTCGGATAACCGCACTGGAGAGCATCAGAAAGTGTCTGCCTATCAATGCAGAGGATATTATACTCACGTCTGGTAGGTCGCGTGAAGCATCACCCAGTCACAGTGAAGACTCTTGCTATGTTTGGATCCGTTGAACAAACGAGACGAGTTTTCGTAGGCATAGTCAGTCGGTAAGCCAAACTCCCAGGACGTCAGTTCAGCGTCTAACTTGCGGTAGGTTGCTTGCCATTCCTCAACATCAGATAGGACCCCGATATCCACAGGTCGTTTCAAAAACAGGTGGATCCGGGACAGAACTCCAAGGATTTCCACATATAGACCGAACGAACCAACGTTCTCGGCGCGGTTGAGGTAATCAGCTTGATCACTGGAATGGTGAAACCATCTGGTTTCTACCGGCTGGTTCTTCGTGAAAAATTCCTCTTTACATGGGAGCCTGCGGTCGATGTCCTTGTCATCCAACGCAAAGTCGAACGCGGTTGCAATAGTGGAATACCGGTCCAAAAGATAAACCATCCAAAATAGACGGCGCCTACCCTCTTCTTCAACCCAGGACTCTGGTTCGGGGAGAGTAACTGCTCTAAGGGTGTATATCGATGGATAAACGGGGGTTATAAGGGACGATTTTGACTCGACGGCTAGGCCCAATTGGACGACGGACCGGGTGATCAAGGCGAGCAGCTTCCATCCTGGAGGGCCATTGGACGATCCTACAAGATCCAGCGCTAGGACCACCAAGGCTTGGAGTGCCTTTACGCTCGAGTTCTCCAGGCCGTAGAGGAGGACCTTTTGTTTCGATGAATCATGATATCGCTTGCGGCTTTGCTCATTCAGTCGGCTGTCGTTGGAAAATCGCAAAGTGGTCGCGACGATCGCATACAGGACCATGCGGTCAGCTTCCTCGAGCGGAGACGGGCCAAAGAAAGTATCCAAAGTAGTCCGACGATGTAAGATCGGGCACCATGAGTTGATGTGTTCGAAGTACAAGTCGACTAATGCGTACAGCAAGTCATACGGAGGAAGATCCAGCTCCGGGTCTGCGAAAGACTGTTCCTGGTTTGAGAACAAGTTGACCGGTACTTTTAAAGAAGACTCGTTGCCTGTATAGTCATTATGTGGTACTGAAGCTGTCACCTGTGACAGGGTAGCTGAATGCATTCCAGCATGGATGTTGTTATGCATTGTGGCTTTAGAGGAGATATCCGAGGGACTAGTGATAGAGGCATCGGATTGACGAGGAACTGGGACGGAGGACGGTTCCTGGAAGTAGAATGCATTGCGAGGACTCGGTCCGTGGGCGGCAGAAGGTTCGGACGGGGAACTGTATGAATAAGAAGCTGGCTGAGGAAGTTCGGGATTCAATCGCGGCGGATTCTGCAGTATATGAGTCTCAATGAGGCGAGCCTGGGTCTGGATGACTTCTTCCAATCGATCTGATGGTACGTCAGCAATGCCAATCTACGGGTAGATCGAAAGGAGAGGTATACCAAGGCGCTGCTCCAATTCTTTGCCGTAACCCGCGCGAAGGCCAGGCTTCTTCCGTTCCTTATATTCGCATAGTTGGCCATTGCGAGAACACCAACCACAGCTGGGTTGCGCACGATCTACTTGTGTGAGATGGAGCTTTGATCGGATCCGCCGCAATGAGCCGAGGTAACTTACCACACTTCACTTTTCTCTGCTTACAGAGTTCGCACCTTGGTTTGTTAGTATAGCGATACTAAAACCATGTACGAAAGCGTGCGCGTGTTCCAGGAGACAGGAGTAGAGCTAGGGTGGAGGACAGTGACTTCGGTCAAGCTCGGGGCAACAAAAGTACGACCCAGTACATACGATACAGTGAGGGGACGTTTGCGCTTCAGCGCACGAGTGCCATTCTGATTGATGCGATCATTATCGCTATCAGCTGCTGACCAAGATTCATCAGCACTGTTATCTCTGTCCTGATCCCCCAAAGGCCTGGACGGCGGCGGCAATGGTGGTGGTGGAGTCTGCTGTGCAGAAACGGCTGCGACAGGGTTCGGCATTGTACTGTAGCGAGGTCGGGGAAAGCAAAGCAAGCTCCATCAGCAGGGAATCGGCACGATGCTCATCATCATCGCGATGACAGTGTGAAGTCCGATCGGATAAGCGGGGAGAATATTCGACCCGGAAGATCTAGAACGAGAAGAGAGAAGAGGAAAAGCGACGATGAGGAGGGAAATGAACGGAATGGATGGGATAAAATGATCTGGGGAAAAGGGAAGAAAGAGAAAGTCCGGGAGGGAAGGATTCATGCCTGAGGCCATCCACCCCCGCAAAACACCAACTTTGCTTCTCCACAAGTCACGTTCCCCATTGTTCTTCTTCCTCCTCCTTACACCTTCTACCTCTTCTAGAATATTTCCTATCTCCATTGCACTGCCAAGTCTGTCAGGATATATGGTCATTCTCTCTTGAAAAAAGATATTCAGGAGACCAAATGGAGAAAGTTTGATTGGAGCCTACACGACGGCGAATTCCCCCGTCACGATGGAGCTCGGGGGAGTATTGCCCCGAGACGGAGTCGGATCCGAGGGACTCTGCTATCACAGGCTGTTCAAATATCTCCCTTCCCCCGCGAGTGTTCTTACGAAAATTAGACCAACCCTTTTTCTCTTTCATCCTTCTCCCCTTCTCCCCTCCTTCTGTCTCGCAATTCATCCGTCGTCACCCTAACACATCCTCGTCGCTATGGGTTCTCTCGCTCCTTTCCCCCGCATCAAGGAGGTGCGGTCCTACATCATTGACGGTGTTGGATCTGGCGGTGATTACCACAATGTAAGTCCAGAGAGCGCGATCGGGACTCTCATAGCTCGCATGCGCTAAGCAGATCAACAGGTGAAAGGAGGTCACTGGCTCATTGACAGCGACATTTCCACCCCCATGACGAAATGGGCACAATACCGGGGCTCGCGTACTTCCTGGGGTATCAATGTTTTGGGTTCATTCTGCGTTGAGATCGAAGCCACCGACGGCACCAAGGGATTCGCTACCGGCTTTGGTGGTCCCCCGGCTTGCTGGCTAGTGCACCAGCACTTCCAGCGCTTCTTGACTGGCGCAGGTATGGGTCTCCCATGACAGCCTCTGGTTAAAGAGTAACGGGATGAAATTATGCTGACATCCCTCCTCATTTTCACAGACCCCCGGGATGTTAACGACCTCTTCGAGAAAATGTACCGTGCCTCGATGTTCTACGGCAGAAAGGGTCTTCCGGTGGCCGTGATTTCCGTCATTGACTTGGCCCTGTGGGATCTCGTGGGCAAGATTCGTAATGAGCCTGTCTACAAGCTCATCGGCGGCGCAACCCGGTCACGACTGGACTTCTACTGCACTGGACCTCAGCCGGCCGCCGCGAAGGCGATGGGTTTCTCGGGAGCCAAGGTGGCTCTGCCTCACGGTCCCGACGAGGGTACCGAGGGCCTGCTCAAGAATGTCGCTTACCTCCGTAAGCAGCGTGAGAGCGTTGGCCCCGACTTCCCCCTGCGTGTGGACTGCTATATGTCCCTGAACGTCCCGTACACGATCCAGCTTGTCAAGCGTTGCGAAGCGGAGGGAATCGACATCGACTGGTGGGAAGAGTGCCTCAGCCCGGATGACTTTGACGGCCACGCTCTCCTCAAGAAAGCCCATCCCACCGTCAAGTTCACTACTGGAGAGCACGAGTTCTCGCGGTACGGCTTCCGCAAGCTCGTCGAAGGCCGCAACCTCGACATCCTCCAACCCGACGTGATGTGGGTGGGTGGTCTGACCGAACTGCTCAAGGTCTCTGCTATGGCGGCTGCCTATGACATTCCTGTGGTCCCCCATGCGTCCGGACCTTATTCGTACCATTTTGTGGTCTCGCAGCCCAACACTCCTTTCCAGGAGTACCTGGCTAACTCGCCCGATGGAAAGACTGTGGAGCCCGTCTTTGGAAACCTTTTCATGAACGAGCCCATTCCCTCCAAGGGATACCTCGATGTCTCGATCTTGGACAAGCCCGGGTTCGGTCTGGAACTCAACCCCAATGCTCCCCTGATCCCCGCGGCATCCATTCTCACCCCGGCTCCCCAGAAGAGCCTGGCGCCCCCTGTCGACAAGGAGCATGGCGTTAACGGCAGCGCTCAGTAGACTTAGCCGCCTTGCATCGTGATGTTTTCCTTTATGGCTGATGAAATTGTGTTGTGCATGTACATATTGTATACATTTCCTATTCGAATAAATGATAGAATTTCAAGAACTCTCCATCTGCATATGCCTTATTCAAAGAATAATATTTCCGTTTCACAAGAAGAGATCGCAGTCCATAGCCGTTATCTACATGCCCGGAGAAATGGACGACCGTATAGTGACGGCGGCGCGGGGAAATGCCATTCGGGGCATCATTAGCACGAGAGGCCGAGGGGAAACTCCACCAATTGCGCTATCTTATCGGCGCCCCCACGGCGGGGTTGAAAAAAGATGCCTCCTTAAGCCCGCCGGAGAAAAACACCTTGCCCAGCTCCCGGTCAGTGGAATTGATTAGCGAGTCGCTGTTCACTTTGTTTAGGTCTCTCCATTTCTTCGTCAGGAACAGAACCCCCTCTGCAAACGACCCGTGGCCATATCATCCGCAATGCCTCTTCCCCAGCTCCTAGTCGGTAAGGTTGCCGCCATCACAGGTGGTTTGACCGGCATTGGAAAGGTAAATCCATCCTACGCAGGACTGAAAACACCCGGCTCACCTCTCCAGGCAATCGCTCTTGAATACCTCCGCCATGGCGCAAAGGTCGCCATCAACCACCTTGGCGGCGACAAGGAAGCGCCACTCCTCGAGGCGATGCAGAAAGAAGTAGCCGCGATCACGGGGGACGAGAAGCGATTTATCACCGTCGCTGGCGACGTGTCGCTCCCCGAGACCGGCCGGGACTTTGTCGCGCAGACCGTCGCGGCGTTTGGCCGGCTGGACGTGTTCGTCAGCAACGCAGGCGTCTGTCGATTTGAGGAATTCCTAGAGTAAGACACAACCCGTCCATGTGGTCGAACCAACCCCTAACCTGCCTACTCGCCGATAGGGTCGACCCTCCTCTTCTCGGAAACACGGTATCGACGAACCTGTCGGGCGCATTTTGGGCTACCCAAGCGGCCGGGCGCCAGATGGCGCTGGCGCAGTCGCCGCCCGGAGGCTCGATCATCGGCATAAGCTCCATCTCTGCTCTCGTAGGTGGCGGACAGCAGACGCATTATACGCCTACCAAGGCGGGCGTGCTCAGCCTGATGCAGTCGTGTGCGGTGGCCCTGGGTAAGTACGGGATCCGATGCAATGCGCTGCTGCCGGGGACGATCCGGACGCAGCTGAATGATGAGGATATGAGCGATCCGGTCAAGAGGGAGTACATGGAGGGACGGATTCCCTTGGGACGGCTTGGTCAGCCGCCGGACCTGGCTGGGCCGGCGGTGTTTCTGGCGTGTGAGGAGCTCAGCGGATACGTGGTAAGTTTGATGTGTCTTTGCGTGTATATGAATGCGGTGCTGATCTGAATGAATCTAGACCGGCGCCCAGCTTCTTGTTGACGGTGGACTCTTTGTAAACCTCCAGTGACGACTCTGCGTGTTATGACATAGGGATGTATTGCATTATTTATGACGGACCGCTGTATATACTATAGATCTTCAAATATCAACTCCATATGCTTTGACAGCGGCCCCTCCCCATACCGCTCTCGTTTGGTCTGCGGTCAGCCCGCGTCGCTCAAGAAGAGCTTCGACCACACTCTTCCAGCGTCGCCACGAAACCGCGTTGCCGCCTCCTCCAACATTGCAGACAGGCCAGTCGGACCCGAACATGACTCGCTCGGGTCCAAACGCATCAAACACCACGTCAGTCCATGGGGAGAGCATCTCGACGAGGGAGGGCATGTCTGGTTCTGGCGTCGATGACAGAGGAGGGAGCTCGGAGAAGGCACCTGAGAGCTTCATGTATGCCGTAGGATAATGTGCCATCGCCATAACGAGCGACTTCCACTCCAGAAAATCCGGATGGTTCGAGATGGACTCGGGGCCCGAGTAAGGCAGACGCAGGTTGGGTTTACAGAGGTGATCTAAAGGAGCATCAGTAAGACAGCTCTAGATACCTGACCCAAAAACACATACTGATAACCATGACGAGGCTCGACTTCTCCTCTTCGTAAACTCTCCGCATCATCTCAACCGCCTCGCGCAGTTGTCTGAGGCCTCCCTGTCGCGCATCGACACCGAGATCGAACGTCAGCTGGCTCTTCCCCAGCCAGCTCAACCCGTCAATAAAGCCCGGCTGCAGCATGACCCCAGCCGGTTTGTCCTGCACCAGATATCGCACCCCGCAAACCTTCCGCCAGACTTGCTCCGTGCCTGTCCGCTGTTTCACCAGAGCCATATATTTCTCCAGCGCCGCTGACCCCCCAGGAACGGGGGCCCAGGGCACAAACCCTAGACAGAGATGACGGTCCCCCTCATGGTGACCTTCTCCAGGGACGGGCTGACCGGTGATGACCCGCGTCAACAACGAGACTTCATCCAGCGCATGCGACCAGCCATTGCCCGACTCCTCCACGGAGGAAATGCGGTCTGTCTCGAGGAAGATGAAGCCCCGGAGGTAGGTTGATTCTGTGGAGTCGGGAGAAGTGGGGGTGGATGCGGTCGCAAGACGGTACTCATCAAGGCAATGTTGCGAGCCTAGGGGGTTGTTGGGACCATACCAGGCGAGGGTCGGGAGGTGGGATTCGGGGAAGAGGTGGATGTGCGAGTCTACTATGGGGATGGGCATTGTGTCTGGTAATTTAGAGGGTGAGACTTACATTACAGGAGGATGAAGAGAGGAGTCTTCTTTTGATGATGTTGACGGGTCGGGGGAATTTACACCGAGCGGGGAGGAGCTCTCTCGTTTTTCCTACAGAGTGAGTGAGTACCTTGGAATGCGATCCTAGAATATTTAACTCCCACGATAGCACACTTCCGTTCTTGTTCTCTCATCTCTTCTTCTCCCGATGATCGTCTGGATCGTCCGCTTGCAGATGTTATGCCCGAAATAACTCAGCGGGGCCATCATGATCAGATCCTCTCTATTCCTCTATTCTCACAGCCGAGGCTTCTAACCTCGACCCCTCATGGCCATATCGGCATCTGCATTGATTGGATACGCCTTACCACCGCCGTTGTGGTGTTTCTACCTAGGTCGGTATAGAATAGGGGATCCTCGACTATCTGATCTTCCCCGCGGCGGGGAAGGCAACATCTCCACTTGCGCCTCTTCTCTACCTAGGTAAACTTAGGCAATCCCATGGTCGAGCGTACCAATGGCCTATCAAGCACTCCAACCATGACTCCCTTGGCATGGGATGTCTCGACAACCGTCCGCTGGTTTAAAAGAGGGGCTGCGGTCCAGAGTCCGCTAGCTATACATTGGCTTTCCCAGCTCCCCCCCCTTCTACTCTCCTCTCCAACTCTCGCTCTACGTCACGCATATCCTCAACACCACTTTCACCGCTGGCTCGGATAGACATTCTCACTCTTCAAGATGGCCGCCCCTGAGATCCCCAAGAAACAAAAGGCCGCCATCTATGACAACCCCGGCACTGTGTCCACCAAGGTCGTGGAGATCGACGTCCCTGAGCCTGGGCCGGGCGAAGTGCTGATCAACCTGTACGTGGGAGCATCTCATCAGTCTTCCCCTGCACGAAACGAAAGATCCATCCTGCTTCGGCCCGTACTCTTTCTCGAGCTGACCAGTACAGGACCCATTCGGGTGTGTGCCACTCAGACTATGGCATCATGGCAAACAACGTACGTGGTCTCCTTCCCCAAACCAAGTCATCCGATTAACGTCAGGTCAGTGGAAAATGCTCCCATATCCTACCCAGCCCGGTCAGGTCGGCGGCCACGAGGGTGTCGGTAAGATTGTCAAATTCGGCCCTGGCGCCGAGACCTCGGGTCTGAAGATCGGCGACAGAGTGGGCATCAAGTGGCTTGCCAGTGCTTGTGGTAACTGCCGTATGCAACCCCTACCCTCCCCTTGACCATGCAAATCCACGCTCACCGTCTCTTTAGAACCCTGTCAAGCGGGCTCCGACGGGCTCTGCTTCTCGCAAAAGGTTTCCGGGTACTACGCCCCCGGCACATTCCAGCAGTACGCTCTGGGCCCAGCCAACTATGTGACGCCGATTCCAGACGGGCTCGCCTCCGACGAGGCGGCGCCCATGCTCTGCGCAGGTGTCACCGTCTACGCAGCGCTGAAGCGCAGCAACGCACGCCCAGGCCAGTGGGTCGCCATCTCCGGCGCAGGCGGCGGGCTGGGCCACATCGCCGTGCAGCTGGCGAGCAAGGGGATGGGGCTGCGGGTGATTGGGGTGGACCACGGCAGCAAGGCGGAGCTGGTCAAGGCATCTGGGGCGGAACATTTCGTCGACATCACGAAGTTCCCCATGGACGACAACGGCGAGGCCATCGCCAACCACGTCAAGTCGCTGGCCGACGGACTGGGCGTGCATGCTACCGTCGTGTGCACTGCGTCCAATGCCGCATACGCGCAGTCACTGCAGTTCCTGCGCTTCAACGGCACCCTTGTGTGCGTTGGCATTCCCGAGAACGACCCCAAGCCTATCGCCACTGCATTTCCCTCCGCCATGATTGGCAAGCATTATACCATCACCGGATCGGCAGTCGGCAACCGGCGAGAGGCGATTGAGACATTGGAGTTTGCGCGGCGCGGCATCATCAAAGCGCATTTCCGGACGGAGAAGATGGAAGCCCTGACGGGTGTCTTCCAGGAGATGGAGAAGGGTACGTTGCAGGGAAGAGTCGTTCTTGACCTGTCTTAGGATGTAAGCTCTGCCGTGCGAAATATATAACTCAATGAAGTACATATGTAAGGAAACCACATCTTACCTACCACAACAACAGGATAGATTTTAGCAATATTTCCAGCGAGTATTATCCATTCAATTTCAATGGGGCCAACAAAAAAGGTTAGAATAATAAGGGGACACGAGAGGCCTGCTAAAAAAACGAAGCAAAAAAAGGATGACCTACGCAGGATTCGAACCTGCAATCTTCTGATCCGTAGTCAGACGCCTTACCATTGGGCCAGCAGGCCTGGTTGATGTGAATGGGCGTCGTAATTGACGAAATAAGCCAACATTATGGCTTCAGGCAAAATAACTCCGTAGTATGTTTGTAGATGCCTTCATCATCGCTGTTTTTTTACTATTGCTGATCATTATGCTAACCAAATGGCCAGAACGCTACCAACAAGTGCCAAGGTATCTAGTAACACGCAAGCTGCAATACCGTAAATGGCTGTAGTCATAATTTGACACACCCATTATCACTAGCCAGCAAACCAAAGAAGACATCTGTCGAAATTGGCGGAGCAGAACAAGATCATCAACCGGCTACTCTCACAATTCTTGTAGGCATTTTCGACGTCCATTGGGATCGCTGTCTCTGCTGGTTAGATCCATCGAACTGCTATATATGGTCCGGAGATGACTTACCTAGCTGGGGATTGGCCTCTAGCTGACGACCCCCACTCCATCAGCGCGGAGATTGTGGCCTCGCGCTCCTGTGCCTCCTGAAGGCCTCGGACGGCCTTGAACTAATTTTGCATACCATTAGTTCGGTGAGCACATACGCAGTATATGACTGATGAGATACATACCAGGAGATCTACATCCGTGAATTGCTCCCGGCAGGAGCTTTTTAAGCTTGCGCAGGAGCTCCTTTTCTTTTCCCTGGGTGTGGAGGATACACCATCGATAAAACTGGCTCTTTAAGCTCGTCTTGGCTTCACCTAGCATAAACCAGGCTACTGAACCCCAGCACCACGTCAAGGTGTGAGCTTGCTAGGGGAACTCCAGTATCTAATACTGGCATTAAAGTACCCAACCCAGTTCATCGAGTTCGTCAACAGGGACATTGTAATCGACGTCTCAATCCGAATGGCCAGGGGGTGAGTTTTTGACCGCAGTCAGAGGACCAGAGAACCACGTACCTTTTTCGCGGTGAGTTTGCCCGGTGTATCAATGACACACCCTTTGCTGCTCGGCGGGTCGGCATGGTCTTTCGTCTCTCGGCCAGCTTTAGACCCTGCGGGTCTTCCCACGGTAGGCGCGATCGCCGCAGGCCAAGTAACCGTTGCAGCTCCTCATCCGCGAGGCTTTCGACCAGCTCGCCTTCCTGCTCGTGGTCGGACTCCGCAATCTCCGCGACCCGCTGGCGACTCGTCGCATGCAAATTCGCCGCGATCTGCGGCAAGATTTTTCGAGTGTTGTTAAACTTGAGCACCATGTCAAAAGAGTGCACCATTGTGAGCGTCCACTCCTTTTGCTGTTCGGTCTGGCCTAGGCGGTGGAAACCCCAATTGCCTGGAACCCCCAGCCCATGTTCGGCGGGGGTTCCAGGAGGATGGCCCTGGAACACAACTCGTGTAGGTTTAAGCCCAACGCGCCGCAACTGTAGGTGGTGCTGAAGATCTGGGTGGTGGATTCTCCGCATCTGGAGCTATTGCTAGTTGTCAATTGTGAAGGACTTTTGGCCCATAAGGTTCGAGCGAGTAAGAGGGGTAGTATGGGATCTCCGGATTGAGGACCTCAAACGCGCCTTGGATGTAACTATAATAACGAGTTAGAGATGGCATACACAGATATAGAGCACGGGAAGACTTGCACATTCCCTGAGCTGTGATCTCAAAAGATTTTGCCCAAGGTTTCTATGGTAATAGTCACTTGACTCTTGAGAAGATCTCTTGTCGATGATAAAGAACAGACGTTAGAATAAGCTCATGCCAGGAATAGTTAGGATGAGCGCGTACGCAAATGCACGCGAGAATGCGTCGCGGATTTGATCTCTCGTGTCGAGTGCAGACATTCCAGAACAGTCCTGCGTCATAGGTTCTTCCATCTCCAATGTGTTGAGAGAATCCATCGCCGATTGGAACACCAGGAACCTTGCTGACTACCATGTAGTATATGTTTCCACCGGGAACAAAAGGATCCCACTTAACCTGTTTTCCTGCAAGCATGCAAAGAGATGTAGTGTATACTCGCAATTATTTTCATGGAGGAGTTCGTAGGCATCGATGCCGATTTTCACGCTGTCAGGATCTGTATTTCAAGCCTGCCCCTCAAGGCGTGCTCTAGGTGACGGCGAGTTCCCCCATAAGGAATTTGCATCCATACCTTAAGGATTGCTCTTTTGTCAGAATCCTCGCTGTTTTCACACTCGAATACAGCGTGAGCATTAGATGGTTTGTTCTAAGCCTTCCCTTCTGCTTCCCAGGTGTAGCGGATGGAATATACGCTGATCTTTCGAGTCGGTTTCCATGAAGATGGAGGAAGAAGGGGGGAAACTGATGGCTTGGTTGAGCCAGCGCTCATCGGAGAAGTATGTGACTTCAGCTTCAGACATGTTGGTATATATGTGTGTATCAGGAAGAAGGAAGAGGAAATTGAGGAGGAAGAGAAATACAAGATATAAGGTGAGCAGAAGAGTGGTCTGCATTCACATACATACGCAACTTCTACGACAACCAACAATGATAGTGATTTGCAGTAAGTGACTTGACCAAGGGTTGACGATATGGTCACCCATGAATCAATCGAATCTTGTGAATACCTTACTCCGTTAATAATGGATATGCATACTTATTGAGATCTTGAAGTGATAAGGAGGAATTTAGACAGGCAGGAGTATATCGCTATGAAGATAGAGCCACTTGAGCGAGTATTCTGTCTTCACTCCCTCTGTGTGAAATGCCGATTTGACTGAAGTTCAGACTCTCAAAGGGCCGACAACTCATCAGTAGGGTCATGTCCCATCGTCCAAGATGTACTCCGTATGGTACACTTTCCATCGACTTATGAGGTAGAGGGTTCGTCAAGATGGTATAACAAAACACCACGTGAGGCTTGGGGAAATTCTACTTTAAATAGATTCAATACTACCGCTTATTTTCTTCTTGCTCCTCAACCCTGTTCTTTTCACTTTGAGGGACTGTGATGAAATAAATGCCGTGACACACAGAGAATGTACCGCCGAGCTTCAGGCTTTGGAAGGAACGTCTCTCCGGTATTCTGAGTCCTTGGGGATGAGTCATGCAATTTTTTAAATATTAGACTATAGTACCTTGTCAGTCACAGCTGTTCTACGGTCAACTACTACCTAGGGTAGTTCTTCCGCATAGCTCGTGGCCGTCGCAGCTAAATATGCCTTGCGAGCAGCGCAGCCCACCGTCTGCGCCGCAATATGCCGCAGTCACTGGAGCCAGGACTCAAAACTCAGGTACCCCTTAACTGCGCACGGTGACTATCTGTGGCACAGCTTCGGCCGGTTCGCTATGACCGCTCGCCCTGCGCCACTCTAGCTTCACCCCCCTGTGAGCGCATCATAGAATGACGAGAGTGATCTACGAGACCAAGGATGTGCCATACGTCAACGTCATGACAGCCAGGAGGACTAAGGTAGGTAGACGACGATCTGCGGCGCGTACAGATGGACACTTGGCTCCTGCGGCAACCGATCAATCGACAGTGGCACAGCGTGAGTTCACTCAAGGTCAGTGATCAGAGTTCATCGACTGTTCCGAGCCGTTTGGGTCTCTGGATAAACTTTGGCTTTCCATTCCTGGTTTTTCCCGTCGACTGAAAGCATCCCTTCGCTACTCCCCTATAAACGAGCTACTCCTCGCATGGTGTCTGCATCTGCGGTAGCCTGTCCTCTGGCCCAGTCCGGACGCCTGTTCCTGGACAATGTTGGTTCATAATGCGATAACAGACCGTGTGAGAAACACTAGGGCACCGTGAGCGAAGCCTTCGGGGTTGGTTTCGTCATGCGGCGCCTCCTCCAGGGCCACTGACGGGGAGGCTCTGAGCAGAACCAAGTTCAAGCGGCCTGGAGATGTTCCTATCGTGCCGTCTGGTGTGTGTCGGGGCAGCCTGGGCCAGCGTACCCGCTTCCTCCCGTGGATCACGACAAAACTCTATACCGAATTTCGACCCTGACAACACCGGTTTTATGAAAGCCTAACTGCGCAGTCCCTCGTCCGCATAAGTATACGCCCCATGTCCGCCCCGACGAGCCAGTTTCTCTAGCTTCCCATAGCCGACGGAATGCCCCCGACGCCCTCCCAGCCCGAGAGAACACCCCACACAGACCGCGGAAGCGGGCTCATGGACACGGCCAGCGACGACAACAACGCAGAAGAAGGCGACTCGGGCCAGTCCCTGGTCATCCAGGGGAAGTCGGGCATCTCCTACGACCTGGCCGGGCTGGATCCCGACTCAGAGGCGAGAGCGCTTGTCGGACTGACGAGCGAGTTCGAGGTGATCAGCTGCACGACCACAGAGACTGGCTACGACTTTCAGCTTCTCGAGCGTCCCCGAGTCCACCTGAACCACAATGCCTACACATGCACCTGCTCGACGTTTGCGAGCCGCCCCGACGTGGCCTGCCAGCACATTTTCGTGAGTTCCGCCGGTCCCCTTCACCCTCCCGACCCACGCACGACGGCGAGCGCTGATTCCTGTCCCAGTGGCTCCTCGACCAGCTGCACGGCTGTCTCGTCCCGCAACGCCCTCCCTCGGAAGTCCCCCTAGCCAGCGATGGCCGGTCGCTCGGCTTCGTGCGCATCGAAGGCCTCCTCAAAGGCAACCTGGAGATGGTGGCAGACCAGCTGAACTGGCAGTATACGCGCTCCGAGGCGGAGGGGGGCATGAGCCGCCCGCAGAACGTCCGCGACATCATGTCCGCCTACCGCCCTGCGGTCCTTCCAGACGAGTTCCGGCTCGACCTCCTGGACGACGCGGGCCAGACACGCACCCCGGAGCAGTGCGTGGTGCAGGGCGACTTCGAAGCCACCATGTTCCGGCTGGCCGTGCACGATGACGCCGTCTACTCGAGCCTGTGTAAAGCCATGCCGCCGGGGGCCCGCGCAGCGATCTATTTCGACAAGATGCAGGAGCGGACGCGGCGGTTGTTGGCGGATTTCAATCGGTACAGTCAGACGGGACAGGCCGCGGGGGCACCGACGATGAACGTGCGGGAGGTCGTCGACGAGCTGGGGCGAAACGTCCACCGGATCAGAGAAAATACTGTCGCGCGGGCACCGCACGGCATGGAGGGCGCGGCGAAGACGCTTGTGACCTTGCTGGAGGACATTTGCAATCGCAACAACGACGCGCTGGATAGTGTCAAGCTGCAGGTGACCGTCTTACTGCGTGATTTACCACGAATCTAGGACTGTAACAGGGATCCCTTTTCCTGTCTTTAATCCCGAAATTTTCTGCTTATACCTTAGCTGAACCCAGAATCAGCGGGAGCATCCTTCCTGTTTTACCCGGGATACATCTACTAAAGGCCTTACCTTCTCAGAGATTTCCTACTTTCCTTACGGACTGGGGCATAACATGCAGCAGTCTGTTGCTGGAGACTCCCCGGTGTGAAGGCCAGTCAGTGCGGAAACCCAAATAGACAGAAATGAAGGAAGGATTGCAAATGGTGGGAAGGTCTGGCCTGTAAGGGAATCTATGATACCCTTATGTAGAATTTTCTTACTTCGATGAACGATCACCACGTTTGGATAACTTCTCCCATTTCCTACAGGGACCTGTCCCCGTCCGCGAATGTAAATAAAAAATATACAAGAATCAGACGGATCATCACATCACACCACCCCTTGCAAGACATCCCATCTGGGCCCTTACTGTCGTGTAGTCCATCATATCCTCTACCGTTATTCTCTCATAGCCTTCCGATTGGTACGCATGGGCAAGTAATCCAGCAGTGACCAGGTCACCTCCCAAATCCAAATAAGAGTCACTTAGGGAGAACCTTTTCTTCGCCCCGAGGCTCGCAAGAACCTTTTCCCATGCATTTTCCACCACGCGTCGAAGGCTCTGGAATTCATAAGAGTCTTCACCTTCATCTTCTCTGGTTTCCGGAATTGAGGGACAGTCCGCATAATCGGTGTTTGGTGACAAGGGACTGAATGGGATGAGAATGTTGTCGCTTTGAAGGAGATCGTTGACTGGTGTTTCGTGATGTGCAGGATCGCACAGCCTCGCGGCAGCGGCGCAGAACATATCTAGCATCGCCTGTGCACCTGACTGAGGTATGTGCGAGGAGAAGTAGAGCTGAACCTCCGTAGACTCACCGCAAGGAGTGGTTAGAAGCCAGACATCGACAGACGAACCAACGCGGGCGACACCCGGCAAGGAAACTTTTGAAATATCGTCGAGGTTTTGGTGCTGGACGATCGAACTGAAGCTGGTCCATGACGGCCAGGACGTGCAGGATTTGATGATAGTGCGCCAGCCGACGCATTCGTGAGGGAGTGAGTCAATGTACTGATCGTGCAGTGAGTGCATGAACTGGAGGCTTGTTTGATTGTCGGGAGCGTTATCTAGCTTGGCCCGAACGGGAGTGATATTAAGGAAGGCGCCGATCGTGGAGTCGAACCTTTGGGGGTAAGCATTCCGACCTGCCGTGATATGACCGAAAGTAATGTCTCTGTTCCCAGAGAGTGTGGATAGGACCAAAGCCCAGGCTGCTTTGAAGATGGTAGCAGCGGTGACTCCCGTTCTCCCCCGGAGAGCAGGTGCGTCAATAGTGCGAGATAGAGACGAATCGACGGGGCCGCTATGGCGAAGGCCCTTGTGAGAGACGACCTGTGTCATTGAGGAATCGTGCAGAAGATCGGACCAGAAAGCCAGATGTGGCGTGTTGTCCCTGCTTGCGTTCTCATGCAGGAAATCAAAGAAGTTCGAGCGGCGAGTCCCAATGAGGCTGGTATAGGCAATCTTGAGATCATCCAACATCAGAGGAACACTGATCCCATCATACTGTGCGTGCGAAATGTGAATGACCAAGCGACATGCGGCGTTGGGTCTCTCAACCAACGCAAAGCGGACTGGAGGTTTTCCGAGCCTGATGGTTTCGAGCTCCCACGAGAGAGGGGCAGCAGTATCGGTTTCATCATTCCACGTGAAGCGCTGGAAATCGAGAGCCACGTCATTGAAGCCAACGACGAGGATGCGATTCTCATGACCCACGAATGCGGCTCGAAGAATGGGATTATGGCGGATCAAGATGTGGCACGCTTCCATCATGCGTGAGACGTCCACAGGTCCATCAAAATCGACGAACAAGTGGTTATAAAATGCTCTGTGGAGAGTCATTCCATGGATTGCGGTCCACGCCTGATAGTCAGTGGCCTCCCCAATATACTGGATATCAGACTCGACATCGGGCAGCTGCTGGACGACTGAACGATGTAAGGACTTGTCCATCCTCAGCTTAGAGATAGGGCGAGGGAGAGCTTTGGAAAATTTCAAGCCTGTTGCGAGCTTCGAAACATCATCTAGGCGCGGGTACTTGAAAATATCAGCAACAGAGAGCGAGAGACCGTCGGCGTGGGCAGAGGCCGCGAGCTTCATCGCAAGGATGGAGTTGCCGCCGAGGTCGAAGAAATCGTCCAGAGAACCAATCGAGGTCAATGGCAGCTTCAAAATTCGACTCCATAGTTTCTGCATCTTTTGCCCTTGCTTGGTGGCAGGCTGTCGCTTGACTCTCTTTTGCTTGGATGCGTTTTCGCTGAGCATGGCCGATTTGAAACCAGCTTCGTTCAGAATGGTCGCTCCCAGCGATCGAAGTTGGAGGCGATCTTTTTTGCCTGAAGTGTTCAGCGGCATGGTCGTTAGGGGAACAAATGCTGAAGGAACCATATATTTTGGTAGCAGAGACGCAAGTCGTTTCTCGAGGATGGCCAAATTGACCCGCATCTCGTCCGCGATGGGTAGAACTCGAACCTCTATATCTCGCCTTCCAATCGCCTCATGGCTGGCATAAAACGCGGCTAGACAGGCTGACGCTGGTTCAGAGCCTTGGATCAGTTCAACCGCCCAGTCAATGTCTTCTGGGCCGTTAGCTGCCAGGTGCTCTTCAATCTCTTGAAGCTCAATGCGCTGCCCGTGCAATTTAACCTGAGTATCCTTTCGGCCAATGTAGACAAGCGCACCGTCTTCGGGGTTTTGAAAGACCAGATCTCCCGTCTTAAAGATTCTCTGGGTTCGCTTTGACCCGAAGTCCGCTTCCGTCATAAACGCAGGGTTCTCAGACAGGTAGCTCTTAGCTGTTTTCTCTGGGTCCTTGAGATAGCCGCGGGAGATGGCTGGCCCTTGTATCAACAACTCTCCAATAGTGCCGATGGGGACGAGGATGTCATGGTTATCTGGATTCACGACCCACAGGTTTGCATCAAGACCGTGACCCAGGGTCCTCGGGTTGAGGCTGCGATCAGTAGAGAAATCGCTCATCATTGCTCCGATCACAGTCTCGGCCGGTCCATCTAAGAAGGTTGGATTATGTCCACATTCATAGGGTCTTGGGGTAAACTTACAGAAGTTGATGACTCTGACGTGATCCGCCCAAGTAGCAATGTCCTCTTTGGCCATAGGCTCGCCACCGAGTGACAGTGTCTTCACTGTTGGCACTGATTCTGGGGTGAGTAAACGAGCGACCGTCGGGGTCAGCCCTATCCAGTTGGTCCTCATTTCGGTAACTGTTTGAGCGAGACGGTTCATTCGATCTTCCTCTGAAGGCACGCAAACACATCCCCCTCGCATCAGCGTAGTCCACGTATCACCCAGGCTGACGTCAAAGGCATATGATGCGAACGAAAACACCCGACTATCCAGTCCGACGTTCATGGCCGAACCGTGTGCCTCCGAGCTGGTACATATATGAACGTGCTCGATGACAATTCCTTTAGGTTTTCCTGTACTGCCTGATGTGAAAATGACGAATGCAGGGTTGTTGTAGTGGACTGCCGTCTCGGGATCCTCAGTTTGGACAGGCAACTCGTCGAGGAGTGCCTTACTGACGGCGATCGTCTTGTCTACTAGTCCCGCAAACCGATCCTCATAGTGTGGGGATACAACAATCACCGGGGATCCGGTGTCCTGAATGATACCACTCAGACGATCCGAGGGATGCGAAGGATCAAGTGCAGCACATGCCCCTCCTGCTTTGAGGATTCCAATCATAGCGACGATTGTCCACGCCGACTTGTCCATGACTACTGGCACTAGGACTTCTGGCCCAACACGGAATTGAGAAATGTGATGTGCGAAGGCCATTGCGTACTGGTCTACCTCAGCATAGGTTAGCTGGTGATCCCATGCATGAATCGCAGGCGCCTTGGGCCAAGAAAGCGCCTGTTTCTTGAACAGGTGGTGGACACAAGTCTCCATAGCTGGAGGAATCTTCTCGTTCCATCTTTTGATCAGTTGCTTTTCGTAGTTGCTACATCGTGTAATCTCCTGCAGAGACCTCTGGAGGTTGGCGCTGATCTCCTTGAAGGTGTGTGCAAACTGATGCATGATGAGTTCCATTCTGGGCTCGCTGATGAGGTTCGAGTCGAAGTGCGCCGAAATTTCCAGCATCCCGTCGCCAATACTGCACTCTATAGTCAATGGAGTAGCCCTCGCGCTGTTATAGTCGACTTCCACCCGTTCGCTTCCCAATATCGTCCCACCTATCGCAGAAAGAGGCTGGACCACGAACAGGCTCAGGAATTGGCAAGCTGCCCGAGCATCTGCACTGAAGCGAGAGATGTTTTGTAGACCCTCTTGCTCGAAAGGTATCCTTTGGGTTGCTTGGTCCTGGACGGTGTGTAGAAGCTTCGCAATCGGTTGGCTTCGATCCAATTTCACTCTGACAGGGACCGTTGCCACGGTTGGCCCAAGAATATCCATAATTGCTGGCACGGGAGCATTGCGCCCAGTTACCACAGTACCAAACGTGACATCAGTAGACTCCGTGTACTGAGAGAGGATAATGGTCCAGGCAGCCTGCAGGATGGTCGAAGTGGTAAAGTCCCCTTGAGACTCTGCTCCCAGATCAACTGGAAGATGGACTGATTTGTTAACAGTAGGATAGTATCCGGGATTGGGCAGCTGTGGGAATCTCGCTTGCTTCGCCCCGGTGAGTAAAGTACTCCAGAAATCCCTGCTTTTCTTCTTGTCGATACCGCTGATGTGCTCGATGAATGTGTTAAAATCAGGGTGTAGCTGATTTGCGTTAGGGTCCTGATGGTAGATCCTCTCGACCTTCCTGAACAAGTGAGACAACGACCATCCATCGTAGACAGAATGGTGCGCAGTGAAGACAAAATAACGACTTGCGCCCTCTTGGATCAGTGCATATCTCGACAAACGAGATTGGGGCGTGAGTTCCAACTTCTTGTCTTGTGCAAGATATGTCTGCAGGCTGTCCCCGTCCTCCCACTGGATGCTTTCGGAGATGACGACTTGCCATACTGAGCTTCCGATGGCGATAATCCTTGTTCGCATGGTTGGGGTCTCAGAAACGGCAATAGACCATGCATCCTTGAACCGATTGGCGTTGATATGCTCTGGCAACCTGAAGACGAACTGGGAGACGTAGGCACCAGGCTTCTTGATTGACAGCGCCATCACTCCCTCCTGAAGTGGTGTACAGGGATAAATGTCGACAATTGACTCTGATTGCACTTGGCAAATTTCGGCTGCTTGGGCTACCAGTTTGGCCGCCGAAATGGGGCTTTCGACCAAAGCAAAGGCCTCCAGCGACACTACGTCAGGAGCCTTCCCAGCCTCCAAACATAAGGACATTTCCCTCAAAGTCGGGTTTCTGAATATTTGAGGGATTTCAATCGACAGATTCCGATCACGGACGAGGTTGACGAGATGCAATGCTGCAATTGAATCTCCACCCAGATGGAAGAAGTTGCTTTCGGCTCCAATACTCGATGCCTCCATTCGCAGGACTTTGCCCCAGAGCACTTGTAGCGTGCGCTCATTGTCGGTAGTAGGGCCGTCCTTAGGCTCGTCTGTTGTAAGGGAGTAAAGTGCCTGATCCTTCTGGGAGAGGTTTGCAACTAATCGACGAAGGAGCTGTCGGTCGAGTTTCCCAGTCGGCGTAGGAGGCATTTTCTTCAGCTGAATATAGATGGACGGTACCATGTAAGCTGGCAAATGCCCTCTCTAGCTTTTGCCGTAGATCTTTCATCTGCGATCGGAACGTCCCCGTCATCGGATCGAAGAGGTCTTCGTCGCTTATCGTATCGGTGCGACCGGCATCATGACAAACGAATGCTGCCAAAGCCTTGGATATCTCTGTTCCTGCGCGATCAACGAGTTCTACTGCGACCGCTGTGCGCTCAGGGAGACTAAGGCTCATGTTGTACTCGATCTCGCCGAGCTCCAGACGTTGGCCACGCAACTTCACCTGGTTATCTTTCCGTCCAATGTACATCATTGTTCCATCCGCGTTATATCGCACGAGGTCCCCGGTACGGTACATCCTCTGGCATTCACCGGGGAGCCAGGCCGGGCTGTCAATAAACGCCTCTGCAGTCTTTTCAGGGTTGTTGAGATATTCACGCGCCAGAATTGGGCCCTGAAGCAGAAGCTCACCGACGGATCCCAGAGGAGCCAACTTGTCGGGATTGTTGGGATCGACAATCCAGGACACGCTGCCGAAGGCTCGACCCAGTATAACTCGATGGCCCTCATCTCTGTTGACAGTATGTGACACCGAAAAGATGCAGCATTCGGTCGGGCCGTAGACGTGGATGAATGTAACGTGGGGGGTCCAAGTAGCAAGAATATCTTGTCCTAGAATTTCCCCGCCTACAGCCAAAGTACGTACGGTTGGGACGGACATCGGCTTGACCGTGCGAATAAATGATGGAGTCGAGAAGACCCAATTCACCCGCGCCTCGTTGATGAAACGCACGATATTTCCCATTCGCTCCTGGTCTGTAGGGACGCAGACTGTGCCACCCGTGATAAGAGTGGTGAAAATCTCAGCAATGGCGGCATCGAAGGTGTAAGAGGAGAACTGGAGCACCCGAGAAGAAGCTTCAAATCCCATAGGTTTAGCATGCTCTGTGCAGCTAGAGCTTACAGCACGATGTTCAATGACAACACCCTTGGGTTTCCCAGTGCTGCCAGACGTGAAGATGATGTAGGCCACATTTGAAGGAGTTGCAATCTTGCTGGGAGGAATACTCTGGGTGGACAGATTCCAATCTATTGCCTCCCGGCCCACCTCTAACACCGTTGGGACATATGAACGGAGGCTCGCACTGGTCGAGGCTGATCCAAGAACAAGATGAGCCTTTATGTCTTCGATGATAGCGAGGTGCCGTTGCGGCGGATGTTTTGGATCAAGTGGTACGAAGCCGCCGCCTGCCTTGAGTATGCCTAACATTGCCACGATGGCCCATATCGATTTCTCGAAGCAAATAGGAACCAGGACTTCAGGGCCAACACCAACGGTCGTTAACTTGATTGCGAGGACCGAGGACATCGAATCTAATTCCTTGAATGTCCAGGACTCTTGGGATGAGTAGACAGCCTCATCGTCAGGACGTCTCTCAGCCATGGACTGGAAAATTTGGTGTAGACAGCGATCTGTCGGAGATGGGATGTTCTTGTTCCAGTCAAATATCACATCACAACGAGCATCCGATATTTTAGCATGCCGGATACTCTGGTCAGGGTCATTGACGATAACAGAAAGAGCCTCCGCGAACATTTTGCCAATGAACCGTATTTGCCCATCCGGAAGTCGAGATTTCCAGTATCTGAACGCAACGTCCACAGCGGCAGGAGAATCCACGACGTTCAGGGTGAGATCATATTCGCTCGGGTCATTTTCTGGTAGCTGCTGGATCTGTAGCTCGTCGATTGCCAGTGTGCCACCAGATGTCTGGAATGAGATTGCTGTGTTGAAAAGGTGCTGTCCTTGGAGCCCCAGGGTGCGGTGAACTTCTGCCAACGGCATATGTTGATGCTCTAGGCTCTGTCGGAATTGATTCTTTGATGCCTCTAACACCTTTATCAGAGGCTCCTCATCAACCATATCGAATCGGCAGACCAGCATGTTCATAAACGCGCCTACTGCGTCCAGAATCCCATCCACGGGAACATCTCGTCCAGATGTCAGGCATCCAAAGCAAACAGAATTTGAGTCCGTGAATGTTCGTAATACCAGCGCCCACGCGAGTTGGAACACGTTTGCTGTGGTGAGCTCCCTTTGCACACAGAACTCTCGAATCTTCTGAACGAGAGAGGGCTCCATGCTTATAGCCTGCTCTGCGTAATCGGTCTGTCGTCCTTCGCAACATGGAATATAGCAAGAAGGACATCCAGTAAGGTACTTGCCCCAGTATTCTTGGTCCTCAACACTAGACCTTTGGCTGACATAGAGCACATAATCCTTGTAAAGAGGACCAGGTTTTGGGATAAGCGCGTTTTTGTAAGCAAGAGCTAAATCTCTGACGAGTACCTGGACGGATGCACCATCGAACAGAGCATGGTTGATTGCGAGCTGACAGAACGCTGTTGACGGCCCGGTGCGGTAGATGGTAAACTCGTGCTCATGTATAGACGCAGATTCCAGAGCTTCTCGCCCTTGAAGGGGTTTGAAGACACCATCTTGGCCACAATGTATAAGGGAAGCGCGGGGTTTGTAACTCTTGAATACAACCTGACTGAACAATGACTGCAGGCTGACGCTTTGAATAAAGGCTGTTCGCAGAATGCTGTGTCGTCGTACGACTTGAGACCACGCTTCAAGCAGGAGGTTACCATCAACAACGGCTCCCTCTCCAGCCTCGATCATCCATCGAATGGATGATCTGTAAAGACTAGGGTTGCTCGCCTGGCTTGCTAGAATCCCGTCCTGCATTGGAGTGCAAGGATATATGTCCTCAATCTCAGTGGGGCCGCTTTTGTCCAGCTTGCTTAAGCGTTCGTGGACCAGAGTATTCAATGTCTGATAATCCAACGCCAGCATCGGGAAATCACTTAACGTATACTCCAAGTCAAGCCCCTTCAACCCAATGACCGCGCTTTCAATAGTGGAAGCAAACTCTGCAACCCATTTCTGGATTTCTGGCTGGTGCCTCAGTTTCCTCCCATGTGTCATGGTGAAGCGGAGTCGGGAACGCTCCATAAGCACCGATACTTCAAATATCGCAACATCGAGGGCCTGACGGCCAAGGTCCTCGGTGATACCATTGGGAACTTGCTGCAAAATTGCATCTGCCCTTTCCAGCTGCTGGTACTGGCCGAAGAAATTGAAGAGGATTTCCACAGGGAAATTCTTCGTGTGAGTATTGTCTTTTCTAAGGACTTTGTTCCGGAAGTACGCGACCTCGTGCCCGGCAAGCGTCCTCCGGAAATCCTTGACTCGGCGGATCATATCGACAATTGTCCCGTTCTCCTTGGGCATCACAAGTATAGGGAGCAGGACGGTGAACCAGCCTACCGTCCTGGAGACGTCGACCGCTTCGTCACCCAGGTTACGCCCATGTCCCTCATCGAACACAATGGGCAGGGACCTGTCATTGAAGATTTTCCCGAAAGAAAATAGAAGTGATGCGAGCATAATGTCGACAGGGTTTGTACGAAGTGAAGAATGGCAGCCCTTCATGATCTCCTCTGTCAGATCTGCGCTCAACGTGAAACTGTGCGTGTGATTGTCGATTTTCGATAATGGCAACTCTGTTATTCCCCAATATTGCAATTCCGGGAGAGCATCTTCGAAAGATCGGAGAGCCGGGGGGAGAACTGCGCTTGAGGTGTATTCGTCCTGAAAATGCAACCAGCTCTGAAATGGAAGAGGCTTTCCCCCGACGAGCATTCCGCGCTTGAAATATTCTTCCAAGTCATGCAGAATGATTCGCCATGACACAAGATCAATAACCAAATGGTGAGCAGTTAACCGCAAATACCTGTCCCCGGTATCGGCTGTGATGAGATCCGCCACAAGCAGAGGCCCTGTCTCCGCGTTCACTAAGGCGGCACTGTGCGGCATGTTGTCGGGGGTTATCTCGGGGCCGCTGACACGGTGGGAAATGAGTCGGTAGGATGATTCAGTGTCTTTTGATATGTATTGTACCCATTCCCCTTCGTGATGAGTGAAACGGGCTCGCAACATCGAGTGTCGCTCAACCACTGCCTTAATTGCCAGATCAAGGATCTCGTCATCTATCTGGCCCCGGAGATTCAGGAGGAAGCTCTGATTGAACTCATTATCACCGCTTGGCACAAGACCGAAATACAGCTTCTGCATCGGGGAAAGCGCGAATATGGCGCCGTTCTCTTCTTCGTCCCAGTCCTGTATAGTTGGTCTCTTGGATGATGTGACGTGAAGGGCCATCTCTGAGATTGACGAACTGCGGAGAACATTTCTTGTCGCTAGATCCATCCCTTGGGTCCTGCAGCGGGTGACGATTTGCATCGCGGAGATCGAATCGCCTCCCAGACTGAGAAATGATTGTTGCAGATGGACTTCCGCAACTGGGATATTCAAAACATCACTGACTATCTGTTGAAGTGACAGCACTATATCAGACACAGGTGTGTTCGCTGATGTGGACTGGGGCTGGGCCGTCGCTGCTCTGAGAATGGATTTGTCAACAGTTTCAATCCATTGCGCCAGAGATTTCCTATTAACCTTCCCAGAAGGCAGGAGCGGCAACGACTGAACTGCAATCAGCTGGCCAGGAACCATGTAGCTTGGTAGTAGTTCGGAAAGCGAGCTGCGGATCTTGTTGATTCTCGTTGCGGCCTCGTCTTCCAACAGACGAATTTCGCCATCGAAATTGACTTTAGCTTCCTCTTCCAGGACCAAAATCCCAACAATTTGATGTTTGAGGAAGCCAGAGGAAGGAAACAAAGCCAACGCCTGGCTAACCATCCCGTTTGTGGTAAGGTGATGCTCGATCTCTTCCAGCTCAACGCGTTGGCCGCGGACCTTGACTTGGGCGTCTTTCCGGCCGACATAAAGTAGGGAGCCATCTGGCTCATATCGTACCAGGTCACCAGTTTTGTAGAGTCTCGTCGGTGCGTCCGGCAGCTGCGTAGGATCATACCAAGCTGGAGCTTCAATGAAGAGAGAGGCCGTCTTCTCCTCGTCTTGGAAATACCCGCGTGCTAATGTATGCCCTTGCACCAGGAGCTCTCCTACACACCCTACCGGCATGAGCCTGTTATGATCCTCTGGGTCAACTATCCAGGATATGGTGCTGATGGCGTGGCCGATGCACTTGCTGGGATGGGTAACAGTGAGCTTCGTCATGTTGCAAGCAATTGTAATCTCGCTGGGACCGTATGCATTCATGACTATGCGATTTTCCAACCATGATTTCATTGTGTCTCCCGAGAATGCCTCTCCACCCGTGACGAGAGTATGTACTTTTGGAATACTCGTGGGATCGAGAATCGCCGCTATGGAGGGCGTGAGGAAGACGAGATCAACATTGTTGTTATTGATGTACTCCTCGAGGTTGTCGACCCTGTCGGAATCGGAGGGCATGCATATACAACCCCCGTGGAACAAGGTAGGGAAAATTTCAAGTACGGAAGCGTCGAAGGTAAAAGACGAAAATTGAAGCATCCGTGTCTCATCGACAGACCCCATTTGAGTACCTAAGGTCAGGCAACTCTGGGCGAGAGAATGGTGCTCAATCATGACGCCCTTTGGAGTACCAGTACTTCCGGATGTGAAAATGACATAGGCTAGGTTGGAGGGAGTGACGCTGCTAAGAGTCCTCCTTGACTGGTCCAATTTGGCCAGTCGTGTCACCTCCAGCTGGGAAACAACAATCGTGTTGGGTGCCAACATATGTAATCTCTCAAAGCTCGCCTCGGAGGTGAGGAGGACATCGGTTCCAATTCTTTGCACTATCCCGTTCAACCTCTCGAGAGGGTTCATAGGGTCTAATGCGACAAATGCTGCACCGGCCTTGAGGATGCCGATCATCGCGACAATTGCCCAGGCGGACTTTTCGAAACAGAAGGGGACCAAAGAATCTGGCTGGACCCCCAAAGATAGCAGCCGCTGCGCTATAGTTTCCGAAAAGCTTTCCAACTCGCGATATGTGAATTGGGCATCCCAGGCACTGACTGCCAGGGCGTCTGGTCTCCGGTTGGCTTGCGATGTTATGATATCATGCGCGAGTTTCATAACCCTTTCAGGGCAACTTGAATTCCATTGTCGAATCTGGGATAAATCGCTGGGGCCACAGATCTGTAACTGGCCCAGTGTTGTGCTACCATCGGAGGCAGTGAGAACACCAAGCAGGTGTATGAATTGGTCAAGCATTCGGTTGACCTCCCCTGGCTGCAGTACCGCATCGTCGTATCTACCGATGATGGATAGATCCGAAGCACTCCAACCACAGGAGACGACGAGTCTTGCATCTGCGTGGCTTTCGCCATTCTGCTTCGAGATAGTATCCGTTGCACCCTGTCCCTCGAGACAGGGGGATATTTGAAGTATGCAAGGGCACGTGTCGTAGTGCTTATAAGCACTGTCACCTGCTGCTGGTCGAGCTTCGAGGATGTTGAGAAGCTCTACCAGCATCTGGTCCCTATATAGGGTTGTCTCAACTCGCCCCAACCCGGGGATGACCTCGTTGGCTTCGTGATTTGGGGCATTAGCCTCTTCCAGCTCCTGGAGCACGAAAGACACGTCTTCGGTATTAAGTGTCAGGCCAATGAGGATTGCCCAGGCTGCTTGAATCGCAGCCGAGGGACTCACATTGGATCTCCACGAAATAGGCAGTCTTTTCCAGGGCGTGGAAAGGAACGTGCCCGTAGGTCTCGCAATGAGGCTAGGAGGGAATGCAGACACTCCAAGCCCGGAGACTTTGGAAGATTTCTCTGGCATTGTGATCAAAGATTCAAGAAGGATGTGTTGTTGGCAAAATCAGATTGATATGATATGGAGGCGATTGCTTTAATGAAGCGTGTCTGGAGAACGGAATTGACATATTTATAGTGCGATTGAGTCGAAACTACCTAGATACACTATGAGATCCTCGCGGTTTGCAACATCTCCAACGTGCAATTGCTGTAGTATTACTTGTAAGCACTAGTGAGGCACCCTGAACTCGCCTTCAACCCCCCGGCAGCCTAGTTTTGTGCGAAGACGCTAATTCGCCTCCTGTTTTCTCTGCAGGATTGCTTTTACAAACAATGTTGCATATTATTATCGAGTGTGGTTTACGGTAACCCCGATCCCTGCTGGACGAGTATTGTTACGACTACAGACGTTGAATCACGACCATCTTCGACAATACTGTACGTGCTGGCCAATAGACAGTGTCTGACGGAGATACGCTGAGCGATATTTGGCAGACCGAAGCTCTTGACCTCTGCAGTTCTAGCCAGTTCACGATAATCATTACTAGCGCTGTCTACAGTACTGGACACTGTATCTTCTTCATATCAATGTATTTCGGCCCCCTTTACTGCCATACACACCCCCTCCTAACTGCACATGAAGATAATTACAGACTATTGTGACTTCGCCTCAATTCTTCACAGATCCCTGCTTCCCCAATCTTTGGTGTCCTCTCTGTGCTACCTGGGACTTGATGCATCCAATTCCGCTCCAATGCATCTCTGCCGTCCTCGCACGTTTAGCCCCAAGGAGATCCACACCACTCGAAGCCGGTATGAACAGCAGTGGCGTTGGTCATCAAGGTATCCTGTTGCAGGAGGATGCCGGCGCAATGAATCGTGTGCTCCTCCAGGAAGATCCCGCTCTCAATTGGCTTCCGCTCTCTGTAGGCCCGCATCTGCATTTCCCACAGATACGCACAGTGAGCGTAGTGGAAGAACTTGCGCGTCCACAGCACCTCATGATCTCCACGCCGCATTTCCTCCTCTGACACGGGGATGGTGAGACTCTGATCGCGGAACCAGCTGTAGTTGCCCCGCTCAATGTACTTCTCCATCAGATCGGCGGCATAGCAGTCGGCGTGGATCCAGCCGCCCAGCATCACATCGTACTTACAGCCCATCTGACGAGCCTCAGCCGAGTTGGTGCCGCAGCCTTTCCACATCTCGTGCATCTCTTCTTCGGTGAGCTGATGGTCGGGGATGTCAGCGCACTGGCTCTTCGTCCCAGACTGGTGCCAGACGGACAGCAGCAGGATGATCAGCACCAGGCCCGTTGCGACACCACTGAAGATGGAGCAGATGGAGGCGAAAGCGTTGATGCGTCGGCGCTTTTTGTGCAGCCGGCGGCGTTGCTGGGAGCTCAGCATGGCCTCATACTGGCCTTTCATGAACGCTTCGCCGTCTTCTTCCAGAGAAGGCGCCATATCATGGCGAGATTGGGACATGTTTGGACTAGGGTCCTAGTGCAACGCGACTGTGTTGTGTATGTAAGCGGTGTAAGAATGGTGTTCAGAAGTTTGTGGTAGGATCCAAATCTCCATGCAATTGATTCCTCTCCTCATTCTGGCCATATAAGCTGGGTTCTGGTCCGGATCGGGCATTCCTCCGGTGTATGTACAAAGTCGACCGTCTCGTCAAACATTCGCCATCTGCAGTAAGCATACCAAGGCCGCAGGATCGTCAACTTGAATAAAGCGTCCAATAGGGCTGTCACTCCCCTGTCACTAAAAAACTAGCTTAGACTAGCTGGACTCCCCACGCTAACACGGGATGGGCGTCTGGATACTACCTTTTTAATCCTGTAACTCGAGCCTCCAATGTCGTCTTTTTGCGCACAGACTGGCGGGTGACATCCCGCCTCCGGGCTTGCAGTCAGCAAGTCCCTATCACGATGGGCAAAGGTCCCAACGACTACCTTGGCAGACATGGATATGATGATCCCTGGTCGATAACGGACATGGCGCCATTGGTGGCCGAGGCTACATAGGCTGGGGTCGAAAGTGTCCAAAGCACCAATCTCGCGGGCCACCGGCCATGTCCGTTGTTGGCGCACTTTATCTGTTCTTTGTTCCAAGGCATACGGTGACAAAGAGATTCATTTCCATGTTTCTTTACCCCCCTCTTCTTAGCCCCCCCGTGCTTCATTTCCCTTGCTTGTTCTTCATTCATCTTCTGTCTGAAAGCCGATTTTTTTCTTTATCACAGTCCGATTTCTATCAGGTACCGTGCAGGGAAGAGCCTCTCATGCCCCGCAGCACAGACGAAAAGAACTTGGGCGGCAATCAACGCCTGGACGTTGAAGACACTCCTCCCATCCACCGCCTCATGGAGCATACGAACAATGCAGACCCGGAGATTGTCGACTTTGAGGGACCCGAGGATCCCGCGAATCCCATGAACTGGAGTCGCTGGAGGAAAGGGCTCACGATCCTCGCCCTCTGTGGTCTAAGACTCGTAACGTGAGTCTACATGCTTTCGGATGTCCTACCAGATAGAATACTCATCGACAAAGTCCATTCGCAACCTCTATGATGGCGCCTGCCATCGTGGAGATAAAAAAGGATCTGAACTTCCAGAGCGACGAAGCCGCCTCGTTCTCTATATCAGCCTACGTGATTTCTTACCTGCCCTCCCAGATTGGATGCAATGCTAATAATCCCCCTAGGTTATTGGCTTTGGTGTAGGTCCCATATTCCTCGCGCCCATGTCTGAAATCTATGGGCGCACCATTGTCTACCACATCGGAAACCTGCTCTTTACGGCCTTCACGGTCGGCTGTGCTCTTTCGCAGAATATCGAAACGCTGATAGTGTGCCGGATTCTGGCTGGCCTCTGTGGCGGAGCGACCATGACGAACCCAGGAGGAACCATTGCAGATATGATACCCGTCGGACGGCGAGGGGCCGTGCTCAGCATTCTCGCCGGGGTTGATGTGATTTCTCCGGTGCTAGGTCCCAGTGCGGGTGGATATATTGCGTCTGCTTGGGGCTGGAGATGGATGTTCTGGTTTCTGAGCATTTTGGTGCGAACAGGTCTCCGCAAGCCTTATTCTACTCTACTGATTCCCCTTGTGTAGAGCGGCTCGATCGGCGTCTTCTCCGTTTTTGTCCTCCGCGAGACATACGCTCCTGTAATCCTTGCCAGGAAAGCAAAACGTCTTCGCGAGAGCACGGGGAATGCGGACCTTCGCGTCCGAGGGCAAACGACCAAATCCTTGGGGGTTCTACTCTCCCGGGCCTGCCTCCGCCCTCTCCGGATCCTGATCTTCAGTCCCATCATCCTGGCTCTTTCTCTCTATATGAGTCTCGTCTACGGCATTATTTACATCCTCTTCACCACGATTTCGGTGGTTTTCCAGGGTGTTTATGGCTTCGACACCGGTAATGCCGGTCTAACCTTCCTTGGGTTTGCCGCTGGAATGGTCCTGTCCCTGATGGTAGCGGGGTATTTCAACGATAGTATTCACAAGAAGCTGAGCGCGAAGTACCACGAGGAAAAACCGGAGTTTGTCCCCCCATGCTCCTGCTTCAAAGGACCTTCTCATACTGACAGATACACTGCATAGATTCCGTCTTCCCTTCCTCATGGGTGGAGCACTCTTTCTCCCGATTGGGATGCTCCTCTATGGTTGGTGTGTACACTACCGTGTTCACTGGATCCTGCCTGTAATTGGTACCAGTTTTGCAGGAGTCGGTGTGACATTTTGTTTTGTACGTGGTTTTGCCTGTCTTCTCCCCCCAACTTCTCTCTGCACCTCCTAATGCGACATTCGCTAGGTCCCAACACAAGCCTACATCATCGATGCCTTCCCTCTTCACTGTGCCAGCGCACTTGCCGGTAACAATCTTCTCCGCAGCATCAGCGGAGGTACCGTGCCGCTTGCTGGCCCAGCCCTCTACAGCAGATTAGGCGTGGGGTGGGGTAACACCCTCCTGGCACTTCTTGCTGCCATGTTCGGAGGGTTACCGATCTTGTTCTACAAATACGGAGAAAGACTACGCAAACGGTTTCCCGTTGACCTCAGTGACTAAGAATGACTGGCCCGACTTGTAAACTGCTTAGATTACCACTAGCCATGACGAGTGCTAGTATAGTCCATTGAACCTACCATGATAGTGAATACAAGAATACAAGGATACACGAATACAAGAATGCTTTCAAGACAGAAGTTTCGATCCCCTCTCTGATTGATACCTCGGTGTAAAGTCGAGCCCGACTGTTCTATGGTGCTTGGCATGCACGGCTACGAAACTGGAATCATATCAACGTCTTTATCCGCTCTAGAACGCTAGCGGACGTCTTGGGGGCGAAAAGCACGGGTAGCCCATTCGGTAAGCCTCATGCAGCTGCTAGCTGTTTCACTACTACTACCTAGGTAGTAAGGCGGCAACACCCGCATGGAGTGGCAAGTAAAACAAACTTGGGGGCCAAATCCCATTGGGCTCCTCTAGAAATCCGGGGTCCGTCGGCCTTATTTTGAGCCCCCACCGCAGTGTCAGCAACAGCCGCAGAGAGCAGGTGATATCCATGATATGCACGCCAGTCTGACTTGAGCAAGCACTGGAATTGAAACTGATGCTACAATAATCAATATAGCAATCCGATTCGCCCATACCGAGACCTCTTTTCTCGCACGAGACTGTGATATAAGCCAGATGACGAGCTACAGGCGCTTGGAGTCGTAATACCTCAGGAATTTCCTAATTAGGAAAGTCCACCTCCCGCGACAGTGGCGCCTGTGCTGCAATGCAACCCTGCAGAAGCTGTAAACACTGCAGTGAGATTTCAGCGTGATGCATCTAACCTCCAATATGGATTCTCTTAGCTTGCGGAGTGGCGATCTTGAACTGACTGCTTTAGTGATGCAGCACGCTTATCTGGGATCGAGATCCTGGTCGGCGCGCAAACATGGCTTCTGGGTGAATGAATTACCAACAGATCTGGTTGAGGACACACGGCATGCATGTACCCTGTACTCCAAAAGTCCCGTCAGACTCTGCAGATTCAACTTGTCATCTGCAGAGTGGCTTCTCGGCTGTCAGCTCGTAGCAGAGAGTTCTTCTCCTGTACGTTTTTGTTCCAATCTCAGCTCAATTGAATCCCCCAGAACTCACAATTGCTATTCTCTTCATCTATTCTTTCATTTCTGGGGAGATAGCACGGATCAATAGCAAAATGAAAGCTCCCGGGAGTCTGTTATCCGCCCTTATGTACACGACTTGCTTGGTGCCTCGGTCCCTTGCCAGCGGCATCCAGTACTGTCGAGACGACCCACGGCTCTGCTTCGGTGTCACCAGCACCAAGAACGCGACAGCAGGTGGCCACGACATCCATGTCTCGCTGACCGCAACACCCTCCGACAACGGGGGCTGGGCAGCGGTTGGGATTGGGAAAAAGATGGCCGGTTCGCTGATCTTTGTGATGTACTCGGACACAGATCGAACATCGCCGGTAGCCAGCATCCGCACCGTCGAAAGCCATGACAACCCCACCGTCTTAAAGGACCACGGGACACACGTCGAAGTGCTGAATACCTCCATCACCGCGATGGACCACCACGCCCATTTCGTGTGTTACTCCTGTGAAGAGTGGTGGAAGACACCCATCGCAACGGAGGGCAAGACATCATTCATCTACGCCGCAAACCGAGCCCAAACCTTTGACAAGGCGGAATCCGACTCTGTCCTCATGTTCCACGATGCCTACGGCATTGTGGAAGGCGACATGGACGAAGCGCTTCTCTCCTCTACAGACGAGCTCATCCCCGCCATCAGACCCGGCGAGACGACCGGTTTTGTCTTGCTAAACGAAAACGGGGACTTGAAGTCACACAAAGGTTCGCCGCTGCCCTCGTCCTGGCCCTCTCCGGGAACGATCCACGGAGTCGTCATGGGCGTGGCTTTCATGGGATGTTTCCCGGTGGGTGGGATGCTGATCCAGTTGCCACTGGGCCGTGCGTTCACATATCACTGGATGATTCAGCTGTGTGCGTTGCTGCTTGCCCTTGGCAGCGCCGGTTATATGGTGACTCGATCGACACACTTCGATCTCCATAAGATTCTTGGTCTTACGGTGGTCGGCGCGTTGGCGGTCCAGGCGGCAATGGGCTACAAGCACCATACAGTCTTTGTGCGGATTGCGCAGCGGTCTGCGTACACGCTCGTGCATAGGTGGCTTGGCCGGAGTCTCCTGTTGCTAGGAACCGTCAACGTTGCATTAGGGCTCTACCATAAACGCCGCCCCACCGGGGCTATAATGGCGTGGTTTGTCATCTGGCTTGCTGAGCTTGTTGCGTATGCTTGGGTCATGCGACAGAAGCAACGGCGGAAGAGACAGCAGCACCAGCCGCAGCTGGTGGCAAAGGACGAACACGAGATTGGGCTCTTTGATCTTGGCAGCAGCGACTCGGATGACTCTGAAGACTCTGAGTTTGAGGAGGAGGTGTGAACACTACAATCAAGGGACTGGTTACATTAGCAAGGACTGCGGCACATCTATACCAGGAGCTGAGGGCTTCCGAACACCACGATGTTGATACCTACCAAGTATGGAGCGATTCGATGATAGATGCCAGGAGAATGAAATCTCGCCTATGCGCCAGCTGGCGGTCTGGAGAGACAATCCGCGGTACATTGCCCAAGCATGAGGCGCTGTATAGCGCATGCAGGGTCCCCGTTCCTGGTGACACGAGATCCATTCCAGAGATTGCTTGGAATGGCGCCCGCCCCCAACTTTATCATCACCTACCATCTAAGCCCCTAGCTTGCATATTTTCGAAAGTCCATGGCCTCAACACTACTGTCAAGGGGACAGGACGGGAAGATGACGATGAGCAGCTCTATCATACGTAGGGCGCTAGGTCTATCTAAGCAGGTGGCTCGCCCTTCGGCTCGACAGTATCCCCGTTGATTCGGCGATTTATAATCTGGAATTCGTAGAGTTGCGAGGGTGAGCTGTCAGCCAGAAGGATTGGTATGCATGTTAGGCGTGCTACATGCCGAAATCAGTAAGGCCTCGTTGGATACGGAAGGCCTGCTGTTGGTCACGTCGGGGTCTAACCACCGGAAACTTCTTCCTCTCGAGTTGCGACATGTCGATTCCTTCAACTGCTGTGAGACAGCTGCAGAATCGTCTGTGCGACAATTTCATTTATCTCGGCAGCTCAAGGCCCCCCCATCTAGTCATAAATACGCGGATTCCCTGTTGCAGGAGTCGCCGTTGTGCTCTCAAGCGTAAACTGTACCGCCTTCACAGTCCAATCCATCACCATGTCCCGTGAAATCGACAGACTCCCCCAGCCATGCAGTAGAAGGAAAACCAAGCTCATCATTGCCAGCTGTAGCAGGTGAGTGATGCAGCCCTCTCTCGCATTTTACCTTGTTGTGGGTTTCTGACGGCGGAAAAACAGAACAGGCACCCTGGGCCTCTACTCCGCCCTCAAGATCTTGGGCTACCACCCCTACCACATGGTGGAACTGGTTCTTAACGGGGGCGTCACCCACATGAAGTTGATGATTGAGAACGTCGTCGCAAATCGCAACCGCCTATCAGGCATCAAGCGCTATAACCGCGGAGACGTCGAGAAGTGGCTGGCTGATTACGATGTAAGTGCGCCCCGCCACCGGCGTAGCCGTATATCAGCGCGTGATAGACGCTGATGCAAGGACCGAGGAAGTGCCTGATAGAAATTCCGTCGTACCTCGGAACAGATGTCCTCGAAGAGTACGCCACAGACCCAGACGTCCAGTTCATCCTGACCGAGCGCGACCCGGGCGCGTGGGCGCGCTCGGTCAACAACACGGCGGGGAGGATTGTGACGATGGCGGCTACGTTCCCGTCCAGCGTGCTGAAGCATTTCAATAGGAGCTTGGGTGTTTTTTTCCATCTCAATGAGCTGGTGTACTGGGCCTTCTCGGAAGCGACGAACATGGATAACCCGGATAATGAGGCTTGCCTGCGCAGGTCCTATATCGAGTAGTAAGGGCTTGAGTCTTTAGTGTGGTGTTTGGGTGGGTTGGGCTAAGCTTGAACTGCAGCATCCAAACTGTCAAACAGATCCTTCCGAAGGAGAGAACCCTCGTCGTCAGGTTGGAAGATGGCCTAGGCTGGGAGCAGATCTGTCCGTTTCTGGGTGTTCCGATCCCGAAAGAGGACTATCCTAAGCCTAATGATCCAAAGATGTTTGAGGAGATATCAGAGACTCTTCTCAAACCCTGGGTGAAGGCGGCCATGGTCAGGCTGGGCATGTTTGCGGTGTCCACGCTTGGAGTTGTTGGCTATCTGGGGTGGAGATATTATCGGAAGTGATACAGACGACGGGAGATGAAGTTATTCCATGATAGTGACGATCGGAAAGGTAAGTCTCTTCCCAACAAGGAAATTGCCAAATAATCACGTGATTCATGTGTTGCACTATCCCTCGCTGGACAGGCCTCGTGGCTTCTCATAGTCCTGGCCAGGGTCGCTTGTTGATGCCTTGAATGACGACTTAAAGATGCTGATATTCCTGGCCAGCTAGGGATCGATGTATAGAAGACAAGGTTCCAAAGTGGAAAATTTCACTTCCTGATGCTTAATTCTCCGAGTTGCTACCATGGCTGGTGACTGTTAGAGCCCTATCACATTCGAATCTGACAACATGCGATTAGACCATGATATTGTATTCAAACTCACAATTAAGCTAGAAATGAGGTACATCTCAAGGGAAAAGGGTATAGATAAGGAAATTCGTCAAGTCATAGGAAATGCAAAAGAGGGTATAGTGACAGGGGAGACCACAATACTTGCAGTCCATGTCTATGGCGGAGGATTGACTCTGGCAGCGTTTCTCTTCTTGGCATTCTCCAACGCCCTTCGAAGTCGCTCCTGATGTTCCGGATCTTCCTCGGAGCTCTTTGACTTAATATTGGCTGTAGGCGGCCGAGGGCCGGGGAGCAGGGCACCGACAGATTGGCCGGCAGGCAGAGGCTCTATCGGTGCTGGCTCTTCAAATATAGGCGCTTTGCCCAGGCATTTCAGCAGGTCGTTCATGGTAGCTAGAATCTTCGCCGGCCCTGCGCGCACACTGGCGATCTTGGATTTGAGATCGTTCTGGATCTTCGCATCCTCCTTCTTTTTCTCCTCGTCTAACCGGCGGAACACGTCGGCGTCAGCACCCGAGCATCGAGCCTCCGCCACGGAAACCTGGTAGTCGGCTTCGTTGAGTGCGGCATCCGCCAGTCCAAAATAGCGCAGGATGTTTTCAGAGTCCTGACGCAGCGAATCGACAGAGTACTGCACCGATTTGAACATTTGCTCAACTTCGGAGTCGGCCATACCGGAGGAACGAATCGCCGCCAGGTCGATTTTCGAAACTTTGGCCAAAATCTCATCGAGAAGACTTTGGTTCTCGCCTAAACCGTGGATGATAGCTTCATCAAAGGCGTCCATCAATCGATTGGCCCTCTCATCACGATCTCTGGCCGCTCTTAGGATGTTCTGCTTCTCCATTTGGTCGAAGTCGGCGTCTACCTTTTTCAGCTCTGCCGAGTCGCCCATGAAAACGAGGGGTCGTCGTTCAGCTTTCTTTCTCCGGCGCTCGAGGTCCAATGCGATCTGAAGACGTTTGTGATAGCGCAGTTCAAGTCGTCGATATATGTCGTTGACCAGTTTCATCGTGTGGGACAAGTTATACTTATCCCGCTCTGAATCTTGAATTCTGCTGTTTTCAAGGTTGAGCTGGCTGAGTGCCGACTCATAGAGGTCCTGAAGTGCCGAGATCTCTTCCGTCAGACGTGTTTCCAGAGGCTTGAACACGGTTTTTACGAAGTCGTCGACTTCTTCCCTCTCTTCATTCAGCTGCACACGAGCCTCTGTTTGACGAAATTCTTCCTCCAGTACGTTGATATCCGCATATCCGATTTCCTTTTCGTTGAACAACGCATCAACATGCTCTTCCGACTCCTCTTGGCGTCGCATGCGCTCCTTGTCAAGCTGTTCCCGTCGAGATTTATTCGCGGACTCCCAAGAGGTTCCCGCCTCTCTGATGTAAGTGAAGTCATTGGGATACTTCTCAAGGTCTTGTTTGGTTGTGATATGCCATGCGCTTTCCGACTGCTTGGCTAAAGGGGAGGAAACCATGGATCGCAACTCGTCAATAGATCCAGCCGGTTTTCCCTGCCGAAGGGCAGCGGGCAAAGGTGGAGGCGGTGATGAGATACGGCGCGAAGACTTATTCCTATAGGCAACGCTCTTTTCCCTGATGAGCCCAACAAAGGTCTCATCATCCTCTTCCTTTGTTGTTGACGGAGCAACAGAACCTGGTCGTTCAGTAGGCGCCGGGGCTGGGGCATTTGACATCATTCTACCACTTTCTGCAGAGGCCTGTCGTAGGGCTGAGTAGGCTTGGTATGCAGGGCGGTCAAAGATAAGGTTGTCGGAGCCTCGCTGCGGGCCTTCTGCGTAACGGAAAGGTGTATAGATGGCATTGGGAGGATTGGTCGTCAAAGGAGACAAACTCTGTTTACGCATCGCGTCGCTCATTGTGGGTGGCACTGAAGTCGGTCGAGACAACTGAATTTGCCCTGAGAGTCCGTGGCTGTGTTTGGTGCCCACGGCGACGGAAGAAGATCTCTGCAAACTCGTCGCGCTAATAGGTGTATGCAACCTGGGCAGGATAGGACGTCCGCCTGGGCTATATTTGCCATCTTCCGTTTCTTCTGGCACGTCGGTCGATCCAAAATAGCCCTCCGTTTCCACGGGTATCAGTCCGGATTCAATCGGAGAATCAATCTTCTCGGGTTCGTTGGCCTTAGGCTGCGGCGATTCTTGAACTGGGGTGGGTTTGTCGGTAGAAGGCTCATCGCTCTTTTGATCATGATCGACATTGTACAAAATCTCACGCAGTTTGGTTTCTTTCGCCATGAAAGCCGTGAATATTTTATAGCGCTCTTCATCGGAATCCGCTACGGCTTCCTTTCGCAATATTGCAACGTAACGCTCTAACGAGGATTTGGACCAAGGGTCCAAGTCTTCGAAGGGATCCGGCGCCTTGCGTTGATATGCCGCCTTGTTCTCGTCTTTATTGGTGACGCCGTCTGAGCTTGACGTTATTTCGTTTGTAGCGCCATCCGTCTGCTCTGATGGACCGTCCGGCTTTTGTTTAGATACGTCAAGAGGACTCGGTCCTTCTAAAGGAGTTGAAGGCTTCGTTTCCACATCAGAATGATCGGTGCCTTGGCCAAGTGTGGGTTGTTTATCGGGAGAAACAGGACGCTTCCAAGCTTCGATAACTTTGTCGATACTTTCCGAAGTACCAGTGCCTGAGGCGGTGCTGTATTTAGACTCCATAGTGTCCACCCTTACCGGGGGAGGCGGTTCTTGGTACCCTAGCGATGTACTGGGGCTGACTGGAGATTGCCTGAACTGGTCCGACGGTGCTCCATTACCCTGCATATGTGCATGCTGCGTTGGGGGCGAGACATTTGGAAGCGGCGTAGCTGTAGTGGACGGACTGACAGAGGCGGTGTCCGCCGGGGCCACGGGTGAACTGGTCGGGAGTTCAGAATAAGTCCGTGAATGAGCCGGGTCTCGGCGGGGCTCAAAGGTCGCAACATCATCAACGTCTCCCGGAACGGGTGAGAGATGCTCCCAATCAGAGGGGCCTCCAGATCCCAACGCAGAGGCTCCAGTGGCGACTACGAGAGGGCTCATTTTAGGAGGAACAGGCGGGGCTGTTGTTGGCAGTGTGCTGGGCGCAGTGGCCGCTGGAGGTTGCTCCGGAGGCGGAGGATAAGGACTCAGGTTGACTGTAGGGGGGACTGGGGCGCTTTGTGGGGGAATATCATATTGCGAACTGACTGGCTGGCTGGTGATGGACGTTGAATATGCGGGTGGTGGGGGTTGCTGCAGCGGCTGAGTGACAGGCTGTGATACTGCATGAGCGTACCCTGGTGGAAGTGGAGGCGGAGGAGGTGGTTGTGGTGCAGGACTGAAAGACTGCTGAGAACCATATGGAGCGTTCGTCATCCATTGTTGATGCGTTACAGGGGCAGTCGCCGGAGGCCCATATCCTGGAGGCGTCGAGAAAGACTGATGGGTTTCGATCGGGCTTATCGTCGGAGGTGGTGCGCTGGAGTAAGACTGGCCGGTTGTGCTCGAAGGACGAGGCTGTAGATGCCGTTAGACCGCAAATAAGCTACATCTTATCAATCCAAACTCACTGGAAGCGGTGGTGGTGTTGGAGACGGAGTATGATGGGGAGGCGGATGTTGATGGTTGTATCTCACACCCCACGAGGTTGTATCAACTGCCTGAGAGAAACCAGAAAGCGGCGATACGCTGGGAGAGATACTCGGTCCCGGAGCACTAGTCATGGATCCATAGGTATTCGGGTTGTATGAAGGTGCTGATACTGCGGGATTGGGGGGTGGAGGAGGCGGCGGTGGAGATACAGTGCTGGGACGCCATGACGACTGCGTAGGAGCCGGCCGACGCCATTCTGGCTGTGAAGGCCCGGAGCTTTGTTGACCAGGTGTGGAATATGGATGGGATCCATACATGTCTAGTTGATTTCTTTGTTAGTGAAGCACACGGTATATTGTGTGAGCTGCTACACACCGGAGAGGAATGCGACGCGGGGAGATGCTGGAAAGGAGATGTGGACAGCAAAACACGAGGGAGGTCAGCAGATCAGACGACGGGCTCGATGAGGAAAAGAAAATGACTGTCTGGCTGAGACCTCTTCTCACCACCGTGAACAAACTACAGGCTGGTGATAGTTGGAGGGGAAGAGGAAGCTGGTGAGTGAAGAATTAATGGGAGGAAAAGCAGGCTGTGTTTCTCCGCTTGGCGTGCGATAAGAAAGAGCCTCGGGGAGAAGACGCATACTAAGTCCCGTGGGTTTGGTTGGGTTTCCATCGGGGGGACTTTTCCCCACATGCTTTGCTATATTTATCCCCAGGTACCACCGATGTGTGCAATGCCCCGCGATCTCACAGACATCACATCCTGACGAACTGGAGGAGTCGTGCAAAATGGTTGATACTAATACCTCGAAGCACTCGATAACATGTCGATCACGCTCGAAATACTGAAGACATGGGGATTATCGACAAAAACGACACCGGATAAGCCATCGAGGTCGTCTCGAATACAACCATCTCATACTCCCGAGTACCTGACTGATGGCCTTTACCTCTGTTCGTCGTGATTATAATGTTATTAGACTACTAGTATAGCACCTCTCGGTCAGTAACTCAGGGACTGTCACATCTGATTATCACTTTGAATATTCTTTGTCCGCAGTTCAAGCTTCATTCAGTTGCCATAATACAACATGCTACTCTTCTATGGCTCAGATAGATATTAATAGAACCCGCTTTGTTATAGTACCTTCTTTGTCACGACGACGACCTCGAAATACACAGGCACCCATCGACGAAGATATCTGACCTCATTCCCCATCCCCATTGTAAAGAGAAACCTAAGACCTATCTCACAACCTGCTTCGCAGCCGTATCTCTCTCCTTTATACATCCTCCAATAATGGACGAACAATACGAAGTTGACCTGACACCGATATACCACTCATACTGTGACTTGGATTCAGACCTGCCATACTTCCCTTCAAGACCGCCCACCCTCCACACCATCAAATGGGCCCCATACGTATCTCCCGAGGATGCACGTCTCGCATACAAATTCTGGTCCCTTCCAGAATCCGATCTGCGTGTGGACATCGAAAGAAAAGGCCACTCTTTCCTCGCCCATGACCAATCGAAACATGCACTAGCAAGAAACGTGTACGAGCATCTGAGCGCGCCGGAGCAATCCTTCGGACCACTGTCCGGAAGCCAAGTCGATAGCATCATGGAACGGAAATGGACATACGAGGAGGTCTTTGGGCTCGATGATCCCCGGAAGGAGGACGTGCATGTGAATGGCAAGAGTCTACGAGACGGCTCGCCCTGGACCGTGAAACGACTGCAACGGGAGCTCTCCAAACGCGGGCTGAATACCAGTGGAAGACGACAAGACTTGGAAGACCGTCTGTACGATGAGGAGCGCCACCGGCTTTTACCACGGAGCGACCTCTCGCACTGGGGAACCAACAGGAAGGGGCATAGAGAACAGCATGCAATCCGGTTCACACCCAGGAATGGCCTGAACGCCTTGGATATGTACACCAGCGCCATCCAATTAAGCCCTCACAACCCGGTGTACTGGCTGAGCAGAGCTTATTGCCATTATAGACTGTCATTCTTTGACCTTGCATTAGGCGATGCGTACCGAGCTCAACTTATCTGCGAGGCGATGCGGGATATGGAGATTCACAGCTATACCCGTGGACTGGAAGAGCATGCCCGCCATGCCATCGAGCAACATATATATTCGATCCCCAGTGAAGGTGAAATGTCGCCGGAAGCTAAGCTAATGCGCGGGATTGGAATTATTGCGTTCACACCAACCCTCGAACTGACCATTGTCAATATCATCACCCTCAGCCTTCTTGCTCTTCAGTGCTGGGACGACTATGACGCAATGGAGAGGTACTCCGTTGCAAAGTTCGATATAGCACGACACCAGCATGCGTTCCTGCAGCCTGATCAGTGGACGGTGGATCAGGAACCTCTTGCCGGCATTCGTCGGAGTCGAGAGCAAGACGATATTCTCTTCCACGAGAAGAAAGCCGGGGCTTGCCCCGGTGGCAGGAAATACCCCTACGATGCAGACGACAAGGACAGGTACAACAAGAAGTTTGTAGACTTCATCAACAAGAATCTTCCCCATGGGTTTCCCAAGAAGAAATGCGAGGTTGGCATACGGTCGATTCCCGGGCGACCAGATCGGCTGACGCTGGGGATGTTCGCGACCCAGCCCATCAAGAAGAACGAACCCATCTTTGTCTCGGATCCTTCAATGAGAGGACACCTCAGCATCAACAGATTGAAAAGCGATGAGCCAGTGGCCGACGCCGGGAAGCCACGATGTGACAATTGTGGACGGAGGATCTCACAAAAGGTCGTGAAAAGATACTGCGACCAGGGTTTGGACATGTTCCTGAGAAAGCATCCCGAAGGCTGCCTATGCATTATGGAGGAGATACCTATATACTTCTGTCCCCAGGAGGAGTCAATAGAACCAACATGTGCACAGGTCGCGCGAGAATGTTATCATCACAAGGCCTGTGGAGAGAGCTGGCAATGGCTGCACGACGCCATGCGGCCTCAAGTCTTGGACACAGATGACAAGCCTCACTTTCACCACTCGAACGAGGATCACTGCACGTTTCTGAGCCTCGTCCTGCGCGAGATCCTTGACACGACGCTGCTGCGGCGCGCTCAAACCGGCAATCCTACCCTCATGCCTCACGAGCTTGACGAGATGGTCATGTTAGAAAGTCACAGTGACTGGGACTCGCAATATTTCCCCTTCACCCTTGCAGCAAACATCCAGGTGCCGTTCGACATCTTGATGAATATGGGGGTCGATATATTCAGCGACCTCGCCTTCGACACCTGGACCATCCAAACCGTCCTGAAGAAACTGTACACCAGCGTCGTGCCGGGGGATACGCGTCTAAGGGAGCCCCTGGAGGCAGTCAAGGAGAAGGACTTTCCATCTCCGGGTGATCAGGACCGTATGGTGAGAGATGGCGAAGATTTCTCGAAATACGACCCTACCTTCCAAGCTCTATACCTGTTCCCCGCATTCAGCATGTTCAACCATGCCTGCTGGGGCGCGAACAATGCAGTCTGGGGATACGGCCAGGAGACGCCTAGCCGGGTCCTGGTGTGGGCGACCAAGGATATAGAAGAAGGCGAAGAGATTTGCATTCCCTATCTTCACCAGGCAAATGAGACCGAAGCGACCCTGAAGCGGACACTGGGAAAGGATTGCTTCTGCAAGAAACACCGGCCAGAGACGTTGAAAGGCAAAGTATCCCGATCAGACGACGATGATAACGACTACGAAGAGAGACCCAGTAAACGGAAAAGGTCTGATCATCACGCGTCGAGTGATGCACCTGCTGGTCGAAATCATGCATCTACAGGCGGTACAGGTCGCCGTTCTTACAATCTGCGGGCGAGAAAGACTGGAGATCGCCGGCGTCGGTGAAAGAGCTTCTCATTTGAAGTCTTTGTCCATAGGTTTTATTGACTAATGCTTTGTTCGACGCACCTCTCTTCCAAGGCCTATCAATACTGTTAGTTATATATTGTGGAGTAGTATTCATGTTCAGCGTACACTCTCAACTACCACAAGTGAACAAGAAAGATCATTGATATATATCTTTTCAATTCCATTATATGCATACAGACAGAACGAACCTAAGACAACTCAGTAGTAAAGTACAGATTCTGAAAAGTCCAGTCTCCTCCAATAGCGCAGCAGGTGGAAGAAAACCAGCACCCAGAAGAAAATGGTACATGCCAAATAACAGACAAAGACGGCACAAACCTCTTAAGCAGCCATGTCTAGTAGACGCAAGAAAGACCCATCACCTAAGCTGCCACTCTGAGCCGTCTACCCAGCTTCTCAAGCTCGCCGATCACACCACCGCCGGCCAAACTCCACTTCTCCCCAACCCACTCATCATTAATGTTCTCCTGAAGAAGGCCACTGCGGGCAAAATACTCCAGGAAGCCGCGAGCCTCTTCGCGGGTAAGACCACCGAGGGTCTGGAGCTCCAGAGAGCCCTCCTTCGCGACGGACGACTTGGGAGAGTCGAATGCATCGATAACCCGCTGGTCAGCACGGCTGTAGGGGTCCGCCTTGGGGAACTCCGGAGCGGAAGGCTTCACACCGGCCTGGCGGGCCGCGACCTGCTTGAGGGCGACCTCGAAGCTGTAGATGGTGGGGTTGTTGGAGGCCGAGGTAGAGTAAAGCAGGAGACCACCGTTGGGGAGCGTGGACTTGCCAGTGCCAGGCTTGAGCAGCGAAAGGAAGTGCCTCACAAACACAAGGTCGTGGGCGTGAACAGGCTCGAACTCGGCGCTCTTGTATTCAGTGTTCTGCATCCAGTGGGCCAGGCCATCCACTGTCACAAGCATGGGCGGACGGGCCTTGAAGTTCTTCTCAAATCCAGACGCGGGCGCAGTAGCGGTAAGCTCAGTCCACAGCGCCTGGAAGACGTTCCACGCAACGGCGGGGTCCTGGATACCAAGTCTGGCAAGGCTCTCAAGGGTCATGCCGGGCTTAACGGAAGACTTGAGGGCGGGGTGCTGTTGAGACACATGGAGACTCTTCAAGACCTCCTCGTTGGCCGTGACGGTGCGAGAAAGCAAGGCAGCGGTCGCTTCATTCTGAACATAGAGATGCGGGTTTTCGTCGGAGAGCGGAGCATAGCCGGTATGCGCAATGACCAAGTCCTGGGCTACAAAGATTGTCAATAAAAGACAATGAAAAATCTCTCAAGACAAAACTTACGTTCGGGAACGGTGAAGACAACCCATTTCTTGGTGAAAGCCATAGCCATCGCCTGCAGCAAATGGACTGTCTTGCCAGTGGCTCTTCCACCGGTGATGATCTTCTTAACCGCCTTACCCTTGTCCTCACCCTCAGACGAGATTCTATCGATCAGCCGGCCCAGTTCCAGAGTCTCCCGTCGGACCACCGTTCCGGGCCGGCGGAATATCGACCAACCCTGCTTGGGCTTGAAAGCCTGAACGGCGCGCAACTGGGCGATCATGGGGATAGGAAGGCCGAGGACCGAGCCGCGCAGACGCGCGTCGACCATTGTTTCCGCCGAGAGGTCCTGCATGCCCTCAACCTCCAGAGCATTGGGGTTGCTGAGCACGATACGCTTGCGCAGCGTTTTGCGCTCTCCGACGGGAGGAGGACGCGGCCTGTCGATGGGCTTCTTCTTCTTCATCTTGGCGGACTTGGCCTGACGGTACTTGGGCGGGCCCTCCAGGCTGGTCTTCTTCTTTGTTGGCAGCGCATAGCGGACCGTTGACGTGTGGAAAGATGCCGTGGCTCGGGGGGCCGTCACCGACGGAGGTAGAATGGCTCGAGGCGTCGAACGAAGCCGTGTAAGGCAGCCCCAACAGAAGGAAGAGACCATTGTGCTGTGGCACACCGGCACGGGGGCCAGTGCTCGAAAGGGACAATGGGAGGGGGGAGGGAATTGAGGGAGAGGAAGGAGGGTGTTGCGCCGAATTGTCGCTCTCACTGCTCGACGAGGCGGATTGAAATTCGGAGCACAATTTGGAACTTCGAGCCCGGCCCGGACGGGACTAGTGCCATGGCCGCCTTAGCCACGTGAGGGCGGTGAGGTGGGACGCAAAAGCGGCGCCGCATGCTTTTATCTCCCGAACTTTTTTTTTCCCGCCTCAGATCAACGTCCGGTCACTCTCAGTCTGACACAATTTCCTTCTTCCTCGACATTTTTGTCAATCTTCCGAACCAGATTCGGATCCCTCATCACAATGTCTGAGGTCGAAACTACAAATGCTGCCGCCGGGGCATCGAAACCGAAGCCCGAGAGACTGTAAGGCCCGATCAGATCTATACCTGCATTTTCCCATACAGGGTAGTATACTTACTCTACGACCTATTCTAGCCCCATCACTGTCTCCAAGCCCACCCCATACACCTTTGACCTCGGCCACCTCCTCGCCAACGACCCGAACCCTCTCGAAATCTCCCGTTCCGAACCCGTGAATGCCTCGTTACGATCCACCGCCCGCGACGGCGCCCAAGCCCTCCTCAACCAGCTTCTGACCACATGCCCCATCACGACGTCGCAACAAGGCGTGCTTCTGACGCTTCCGACGCCGACCACTGCGCTCCCCCGCCACAAGCCGCTGCCAACCCCCAAGCCGCCCACCAAGTGGGAGCTGTTCGCGCGCAAGAAGGGCATTGGCAAGTACAACACTCGGCCCGGTGCTGCGCTGGCGGATAAGGAGCGCCGCAAGAAGCTGGTGTACGATGAGGAGAAGGGCGAGTGGGTGCCTCGCTGGGGCTACAAGGGCAAGAACAAGTCCGACGATGACTGGTTGGTGGAGGTGAACGAGAAGGACTGGAAGAAGGAGGAGGAGGCCGCGGCCAAGGGAAGCTCCATCCGTGGCATGTCGCGCGCCGAGCGCAAGGAGCGGATCAAGCGGAATGAGCGGAAAATGCGGGCGAACGAACGCAAGGCGAGGAAGCCATGAAGCGGGGAGCAGAGGGAATACCCATGAGGTTGTAGATAATTCGTCGGCCAGAGTGGCGGTGGACCTCTGGCTCTTTTCTTTCCGTTTTGTCTGTACTCTGTCTGGGCTTATAAGGCGTTTGGATTGGAGTCACCGGTCTTTTTGATTCAAGGTTTGCCTGGTTGGGTTCCCAGCAGGCTCTCACTTCAAAAGCATCATGAAATCTCACCCAATTTGTCTTGTGTTCTCCATGTAGAATAACCGGCCTTGGCTAATTTCGGATCCAATCTGCTCTCTGAGCAGGATCTATTTAGCTTTAATATTTGCAACCCATGTATGGTATTCCTCTGTCTAATTTACAACTATGTACCGGTAACACGACGCAGCAGAACGAGCAGAAACACTAAAACTGGGCTCCGGGGGAATCAACTGATATGTAGAACCTAGAAGCAGAAAGCATATTTGCGCGAGGATCAAAAATGGACGGGAGAAGCGCACGAAAAGCGAGGCACAAAGACAGAGCTGTGCTGTACAATTGCGACGAGAGGATGAAGAAAGTCAGACAACGTTAACCGACTCCTGAGGCGCCAGGTATGCATGCACTCTGGGGTAATAGCAAAAGAAACGACCTTAGAGCAAAGAGAAAATTTCACCAAATGGCACAAAATCGAACCACGGAAGACGCAGGACCATAAATAAAACAAGCAAGTAAATGACAAGAAGGCAAATTGGAAGAAATTGCAGGTATTGCAGGCAAAATACAGTAACAGATATGCCCAAATGCGGATCCAGTCCGGAAATGTTAACCTGAGGCAATTCAATGGCGAGCGCCAAAAAGACGAAATGGAATGCATGGTAAGATGCAGCTTGTTCTGCATTCTTCGTAGACAAAAAAAAGGCTGGAGTGGTAAGAGTTTAGTGCAGGACCTAGCCCTTGCAAAAGAACTCGTAGTGCGTTAGACACGCTAGATTTGGATAGGAGATAGCGGAGGTCCAAGCTCGGGAAGCTGGGAAATACTTCGCGTGTGCGTAGTTTCAATATTCTTCGGTTTCTGCTTCTTCGGTTTGGCTGTCGCCGTCTGGGGACGAGCTGGTTCCTCCTCCACCTCCACCGCAGCCTGGCTGCTACCAGACGAAGATATGGCTCTCTCATCGGAGCTGGAAGGAGGTGGTGGCATGTTTGCCTGTTCCCGCGCAGCTTTCTCCTTCTCGTCCATCTCTTTCTCGATCTGGAGGTACTCCTTCTCTGTCCAGCAGCCTTGCCAGCAGTTCTTCCAGTCGCAGACGAGGAAATTGAAGCAGAATGCGTCGATCTTCATGCATGGTTGGAAGCAGATGCAAAGATTGCGATAGTCCATCTTGTTTTGGTCAACATAGGAATGCAGGAGGTTGAGATGACAGGTGATGGCGAAGAGGAGGTAATAATTGTATGGCGGGAGTTTGGAGAGCTCGTCCTTCAGTAGTTGCGGGGCCGTGGTTGCGCCCTCACACTTTTCCGCGATCATGGCCTGGGTTTTTTTGGGCAACAACTCGTCGGGGAGTTCGCGGAGCCAGGCCTTGAACATGGAACCGATAGTATTGATATCGTAAAGATCTGGTTCGTCGAAGAGGTTGACATCAAGCTCTGGGGACGTGTTAGAGTCGGTCTACTGAAGGTAGCACGGACATGCTTACCTGTGTCAAAGCGCCGCTGCCAATGCTTGACCTCTTTGCCGCTACCAGGGACGCGATATAGACCCTCTTCCTCGCAGCCTTTGAAGTTGAGATAACTGTTGCGTTATTAGCAACCGCCGTTCGCCGGAAATAGTAATAGGCGATGTCTTACTCTATGCAGCGATACGGCAATGCCGGCATCCAGAACTCAGTCTTGTCCCGGCAATCTTCCAGTCGTTTTGCGATACGGGTCCGTCGTGCTTGTTTGATGAGCGGTAGATTGATCACGGTGCACACATAGTTATCATCATTGAAAAGCTCACGCTCATTCGTGCTGCCACTTCTGGTGATCTTGCCGAGGAACCCCTTGCCTGCTTTGCCGATCCGATCCGCAGCACCGCTGGATGATTGTTTCAAGTTGTTGAACAACGCGGCGGAAGCGCCCGACACTTGGCTCAAAGATGCCGAAGGAACCATTGATCCGCCATATCGTTCCCTCCGGACAGGACCGCCAAACTCTGAAGGTCGATCGGGTGTACGGCTGCGGGCGGTTGGGGCTGGGGTTGGCTTCAGGCCACTCTCCTGGCGTGAAGAAGCTGATTTCACAGAATCTTGCATCTCTCGCTTGGTGCTCTCCTCAAGTCGCATCAAACTGGTAGATGGTCGTCGATTCGCTATTCTGTTGGCGGAAGACTCATCCAATCTTATGGAGCGAGAGCGTGACAGAAGGTTGGCAAACCGGGCTTTATTCTTCTTAGGCTGGCCAAGGTCCTCTGTTCCAACCTTCTTGATTTCTGCCCCTGACGGATTCTTTTCTTCAGGGGCCACACCGTCTATTATCCGTCAGTCATGGGAGCTCCGACGAAATGAGGGTGGCTGAACACCTACTATGCTCTTGCTTCGCAGCGCGCTCGATCGTACCAGGAAGATCTGGAGTTGACTCGTACAGTTTAGACACGACTCGGGTTTTGCGATCTCTGGAACTTCCGCGGCTCTTGGGTTTATCAATAGAGTTTGTCGAGCTGTCGGACTTCTGGGACTTGTGCGAGGATTTTGGTGCCTTGAGGTTCGCAAAAAAGGAACGTGAGGTGTCGCGAGTGTGTTTTGGAGAGTCCCTGGGAGAGGGAGGGTACTGAGGTATGGCCGTGAAGCCCGGCGTAGGTGGTTCGGCCGTCAGACCTGGAGACACCGGAGCAAGATCGCTATCCGACTTGTTGTTGGACTCTTGTGTGACAGGGCGAATGGTGGCCCCTTTGAAGAAAGGCGGACTAGAGGGAGACTTAGGGGAACGGGGCGTCAGGGGACTCGGTCCATCTGAGCTTTGGGCACCAGGCGTTAGTGGAGACGAGATCTTCGCATTATTCGTCTGCAGGGTGGAAGTGCTGAGATCTAAATTCGGAACAGTGGATTGTCTCGACGGCATTTTAGACGGTATCGTGGGCCGACGCGTGCTCTTAAGGGGGAATTCGGCAAATCGTCAGGGGCTCGGAGGAGGAATAAACTAATGCCAGGAACTAGTGGGAGTTCGAGCTTCGCGATCGAGTGTGGACAATATTGACCTGCACACAAGCAACGTTGTTAGCAACACTGACTGGCTTTTGCATGTGAGTGGTCTTTATTTGGGAGCCCTCAAAGTGGCTGATCGTGAGAAATCAGGTTCTAGAACTTACTGCTGTCCTTGTTCCAAAGCTTCAACCATGAATAATCTATACCTAGAGCCTTCCCAGGAAGTGGTAATCCCTCGCTTCGAATCGGGACCACGGAGGTTGAAATGATTGCAACGGAACCAGCCTTGCCAATCTTCCCTGGGTCACGACCCCGTTGGCGATGAAGTTGTCCTTGCGGAAATGATACTCGGAAAAGTCGGTCTGGAACGTTACATTGTCATTAGTGATGCGCTAAGAGGCAAAACGGAGGAAGCAAAGCCTCTTATGCTTTGATTGCGGAGTGAAAGAGGTAGGGAAGGGGGAGCGGTGGGAAAGTGGTGAGGGTGGAGTTATCATGAAGGCTGACAAGCCCTGGAGACACCCGCTGGTATGCGTCAAGATGACACCGTCGGAACGAACTGGGAGAGGCACCATTCCAGGGAATAATGAGGCGACCATAGCAGAATCTGCCAGGTGACTGAAAAGAGATATCACAACGTACCAGAATGCGCCGCCCCTCATGTTACGTATCCAATATGCTCTCTGTGTTTCTTCCCACTCCACAGGACCCGCGATCAACGGTTATCAGTTGATGGGTTGTTGAGGTCGGGGTCGCTCAATCGAATTGACGGGGAAGACTTCGGGATTTCGTCTGTCTCGTTGATTTGGTCGCCTTCTTCGCGGGATCTGTTCGGGGGCGGTCGGTCGATCCAAGGAGATGAAGCGGCGCCAGAGTATCTGTTTGACAATGGGAGGGGCTGAACGGAAGATATATGGGGAAACAAAGGAGAGGGAAAGAGGAACAGGAAAAGGGAAGTGAAAGAGAAGACCAAAAAGGAAAACAAGCGAAGGATGAATGATTTCCCAAAAGAGTTGGAATCGTCAAAGAGACAAGAGGAGGATGGATTCCCGCACGGTTCTGACAGTGCTCAGACTCGAGGACCGCATTCCTTGACAGCGGTATGCAAGCGCGGGTGTGTGCCAGGCTAAGAAGCCCCCGTCTGTTTTTAAGGGGGGCAAACCAACGGTGGAGATGGCGTACGGAGTAGTGCAAGGCGCCAAACCAGTACGGAGTAGGCTGCGTGGCTGTCGGAGGGGTTAAATGGGAAGGCTATCTTTTTAGTGCCTGGACTTGACGTTTCCACAAAGGTGGTTGGTTGTGGATATCCTTAGGTGCAGATATCTAGTACCTGCGGTACACTAAAGAAAAGGATTAATTATAGACCTGAGGTTTTTGTAATAGGTGTAGGAGTAAATAGTGAGGTATGTTGTGAGATGATGAAGACAATAAAAAATGAATGGCTTCTAGAAACCATAATAATAGCAACCGGAGGAGCGTAATTTTGAAGACCCCGAGGGGCTGATCAGAGGGAATAACAATAATAAATGTGATGACGTTGAACCCAGCCAACGTCCCGAACGATCATTGCCTAAATGTTCTGTATGCTTGTCTGGAACACCCGCACCATCCAAGGCCACCATATCCAGGGATCCCCAGACGCAGCGCGCCATCATCATACCTACCTGGGTAACAAGATTCGTTCATCATTCCCCCTCTTACGACATGTGCCTGAAAACAATGGGTTTGTTGGATGACAAATTCCCGAGATCCCCTGAATGAACCAGGGTATCGCACACACATAACCATGGTATATATCACATCCAACTGATTTCCTTAGAATTGACTCAGGCGTCCGTACAGCTTGGAAGTTGACTATGTAGCTAGGAAGGTACTCAGACCAAGACAACCAAAGTTGAACGCCGGTGGCGGCGAGTCCTGGAAACCATAACACTACGCCAAGAGGATATATTGTACACCGAAAGATCGGGAGGATCCATCTCGATCCCAGAAGAGGAAGAGCCATTGGCCGAAAAGATCGGGTCTGGGAGATGGTGCCTTGGACCAAATGATGTACGATACTTGCAACTGTGGTCGCGGATTGGCGGGCCCGATGCCACCTGAGGGGATGGTCCCATGGCACCAACAAATCATATCCTGAAGGTCTCGAGGATGCTGAGGTAACATTGTTGGTCTCAGTCTTGCAAGCCATGACCATCAAGAAATTAAAAGTCACGCAAGGGATCTGGTTATCAAGCAGCCAGTTTGGAAGACTGAGGTCATTCGTTTCTCTCCTCAAGATGCAGAATCGCAGTCTGATCATCTGATCCTACCTACTGACTAAAGCGATTCTTGAGACATCCATCCACGGTTCCAACCCAGCATTCTGATACCACCCAGTGGGGTTGTTACTTAAAAAAAAGTAATATGGTCCCCCAAAGGCAACGTGCTTAGTACCCCGCCACAGGTTTCTTTATTCTCCCGGAAGAGAAACAGAAATTGAGACTGCATCATGATTATTCTTACCCCCAGCCGTCTTCATGCATGCACCAGAGGGCAAGGATCTCCATATATCGGTAGATGCTGCCCGAGGAGGGGTGTTCGGACGGAGTGAGCACTCAGGATACACCAGGGGGTTCACAATAGAGAATCATCGATCAATGGCCTACTCGGGCTAATCCCATAGATATGAAAGTGGAGACAGACACACCCATGGACGCCGGGTACTCCGTGTCTCTGCGTACTCCTACGTAGTACGTATTATTAGCACAATGGAGAACACACGTGGAATGCAGCCGACGCGAAAAATGCAAAGTCTCATTGCGTGTTGGTATGGAGGGGTATATCAACGAAACCCACTCCATCTTTCTCATAGAGTCATTCTTCTCTAAATTCGAGGAACTCAGGTGATAACCAGGAAGCTTGTAGGCATCCTCACCGATCATTGCTCGCAATTTTGGACCCCGAATACCACGGTCCTCCAGGATGGAGATTCCTGTCAAATATCCAAGCGCATGGATCCAGGGGCAGCGACTTTGCGGTTCAGGGGTTTCACACCGCTGTCCGTGGTGATCCTGCCCTAAACGCCTGACTGAAACACGCCCCGCTTTCATCCTCGGGCGGCGCTTTTTTGGTGGCGTCTAGTCACGTGCCAGCCACGATTTTCCTCTCTCCCACACACATCATCCATGACTTAATTTTTCCTGAGCCCTGCAACAGACAACCCGGCCGAGCGCCAACCCCCTACCTACCTACCCTTTACCTGCAGAAATTCATTCATTCATTATCATTTTCTTCTTCATTCATCCCCGTGGCCCTTTCATCAACATAATCTCTCGCTTGCTGGGTCTAATCCTTAAATGAACAGAGGAAGCTAGCTGTGTGCTCGGACCTCCCGGTCACTAAAATTTTTTCTTCTCCCATAATCTCTTTGGGCTGGCTCTCTCATAGCTCCCAGTTACTGACGACCCTATTGGTCATTTAAAGACATACGTCCAACTTGACGGTGCCGTCAAAATGTCCCTAGTATCAGGTCCAGGGAGGGCAACGGGAGCACACGCCGACCAAGAGTTATGCGTTCAAAAACACGTGGAATACATCAAGAACTTGGACAGCGTGCGTCATTCTTATTCCAACCATGGCTCTTTTCTTCCTGATGAAGGGGAAGACGATGGTTGACAGATGGTGCTAGAGGAGGGATGAGTTGGAATACTGGCTCACCGAGCATCTCCGATTGAATGGTGTCTATTGGGGATTGACTGCCCTATGTTTGCTCGGTCATCCCGAAGCCCTGCCTCGGGAAGATACGATTAACTTCGTTCTATCCTGCCAACGCGAGAATGGCGGATTCGCAGCTGCCCCGGGGCATGACGCTCACATGCTGTATACCGTCTCCGCGGTCCAGATTCTCGTGACACTAGATGCAGTGGATGAGCTGGAGAAGCGCGGTCTCGGAGGCAAAGAGAAGGTTGGCTCTTGTATGATCTCCTCTATTGCGCAGCCTCCATTCCCCCAACTGAACTAAATGAATACCAGTCATTGCAGGATTACAGGATAAAGACACCGGTTCCTTCATGGGGGATGAATGGGGTGAACTCGATACACGCTTTCTGTATGGTGCATTCAATGCGCTTTCGCTCCTAGGGCTCCTTGACACGATAGATGTTCCCAAGGCAGTGTCCTACATCCAGAAATGCGAGAACCTGGACGGCGCCTACGGGATCCGACCCGGAGCCGAGTCGCATGCCGGTCAAGTGTTCACGTGCGTAGCCGCTCTGGCGATTGCGGGGCGATTGGACTTGGTGAACAAGGACCGTCTGGGTGGCTGGCTCAGTGAGCGGCAGTTGGAGAATGGCGGGTTCAACGGACGACCAGAGAAGCTAGAGGATGCTTGCTACAGCTGGTGGGTGGGATCTAGCCTAGCGATGATCGACAAGCTCCATTGGATCGATGGGAAGAAGCTTGCGAGCTTCATCTTGCGCTGTCAGGTATGTATAACACTCTTGGAACTATCCTTGAAGCCTTTTCTGATTGACGTCTAGGATCCGGAAGCTGGTGGGTTTAGCGACCGACCTGGTAATATGGTCGATGTTTTTCACACACACTTTGCTATCGCCGGACTGAGCCTTCTGAAGTTCGATGGGGTCAAGGAAGTAGACCCTGTATAGTAAGTTTACCTCTCGGGAGCGCGCACAGGTTGATGAATGCTAACAAGACCAGTTGTATGCCGAAGACAGTAACAACGAAGTGTTTATCGCGGTAGTTGATCGACTTGGCTGGCATTGCCTCCGTAGACTGTCGCCTCCTGCAATCTAATAGCCCGTTGTTCTGATTTCCGTGGACCATGGGATACAAGGCAGGAGAAGAGAAATTGGCACTGTGACTTATTTCCGCTTCATACCCCCTCACAATAACCTGTTATCGGTTGTTAAGACACAGTGGCACATCATTGTATCAACATCTGGATGGTTGATGATAGCTAGGTTGCAGCGAGCGTTAGTTTGCTTATGAATGAATTGATTGTATGATGCTCTTTTATCGAGCTCGAGCAGGTGGATGTCTACCCTGACTGCAAGTCTGTAAATGCGCAGGGGAACTCTTTGCATGGATTTATCAGATACAAAGTCTACAGAGTATCATACTATGCACGGTGCTTGCAAAAGTACCACCTTCGACGCCATTCCAACCCCATTTCAACCCCATTTCAACGCCAGTTCAACGCCAATTCGACCACACCTCGACCCATGTCGGCAATTTTCAATAGTTGGCCCATTCGAACACAATTTGACAAATTTCCGACTATCCCTAGACCATTTCTGGACATTTGACACTTTCTTGGTTCTTTACACTTCTCGACACCTGCCATATATGGAAGTGCCTTCCTTGATTCCCAGTATGCTCTCATCCGAGAAGGCACTTGCCTGGTCACTTGATAACCCAGGGTAAGTCACTTTATGAACTCTCGTTCCTCCCTCTTACTTTCTTCCCGGAAGGCTTCACCTGTCCTCTACTGCCGGACAGTCTCTCTATCGTGATCTGCCTCCTTCTTTCTTGCTTCCGTTGTGTTCACTCATCCACACGACCTGTTAACTCTCTGTACCGCCCCTACCCAAATTGGCCCTGTCTCCCTGTCATTGCCCACGATGGATGATGTTACTGCACTTCTGTGCAACATCTGTCCCAAAAGACCGACTTTCAGCGATGTGTCTCATTTATTGACTCATGTTTCCTCCAAAGCCCATCTCTCCCATTACTTCAAGCTCCAGGTGCGGAGCCATCAAGAGCACGAAGCCGCGACTCTTCTCGAGGAATACGACCAATGGTACAAGTCCAACAACCTAGCCAAACTCCTTGCCGACCGAATGTCCTCTAAGGATGCTAGGAAGAAGAAAGGCCATGGAAAGCCTGCCGCGCAGACCAAAGTCGTCTCCAGAAGAAAGGTTGCCCAGCCCAAGGTCCCTCCTGCGACAGCGAACTCCACAGAGTCCTCGTCGCAGGTATCTTTCCCTGCTTGTCTCGACCCACGACTTGCTAGCTCTAGGTTGAGTATAGGCCCGGGTGTCGAAGATGACGACTTCTCTGTCTTTGCAACTTACACCTCCTTGATCTCGAATTCGACTTCTGACACTCAACCCCAGCCCGGACTGGACACTGCCATATTCGCCATGGACACCGGACAAGCTCGTGCGGGTGTGGTACCGAAGCAATTGAAGGAAGAAAATGGGCTTGACCCGGACGATGAAGGGCTTTCCCCTTTGAATTACCCTCCCTTCTCGCCGACAGAGAGTCCAGGGGATGTGCCATCACATCTGTCACAGACGCACTCGAGCTACGACCCTTTCATTGATGCCGATGAGATTGACAGGGAGAGATCAGAAGAAATCTCACGGCTCAAAGGCATTCTGTGGCCTGGAATGGATATCTTTGACTCGGCCACTGAACAAATGAAACGGAAACGCAATCAGAAGAAGGACGAGAGTATCCTCAAGAAGATGGAAAAGACGTCTTTGTGCGTCGAGCCTACTGAACTTGTCTTTTCTCCCACTGGGGTTCTCCGTAAGCAACGCGTGATTTCTGGCAATGTGGAGGATAGCAGCCCATTGAAAGGGGAGACTCCTATCCCAAGACGACGAACAAATCGGCCAAAGCGCGTCTTGACCCAGGCAGACTCCAACATTCTCCGTGCACGCGACCGAAAACGGTCTCAGGAAAAAAGGAAGACCGGGTTGAGCAGAATAGATGATAGCTTGAGCCGAAGTGGGCTTCCTTTCCATGAATTGTCTCACTTTGGCAATGCTCTTCATACAGACGACGTGGATGAGTTTGTGTTGACCTTTCGTGAAAATGACTTTAGGCCCCACGACAGTCTTAGTATATTCAGGGATGACTCTGGCGGCAGGTCATCATCGATGAGAGACCCCTTTGACAGACATGGACTCCTTGTTGGCGACTCGACCACAATGAACCCGCATCATCTTCAACAGGATATGAATCCATTACTCTCCACTACAAGGCATGCTTTGGGTGTTTCCGCAAACAAGGAGAATATCGAACCGCTTCTGAATACTGGGCGGACTGGTGCTTCTATCGACTGGGACTCCCCAGTTGCAAGATCCTTACCCGATAATACGGCTTATCCGCCCAAGTGCTTCTTCCATGATCCTCAACACATCGGATTGAATCCTTTTGAAAGTCATGATAGTCCAGCTGGTTACTCTCACAACCCATTGGTCGGCTCACTTGGGAAGCTCTCTTCTGAAGAGAACCCTGTATACACCCCTGATTTGGAGAGTCACTTTGTTCCCGACCAGATGCCAAATCCGGCATCTCCGGATGCTACAATCTCGGATATCGGAGATGATGCATTTGAGCGTCTTTATTTGGATGGCAGCTCTTACTAGCCCCTCCCACTCCCCATTCCTTGCTTCGCTTGTTCGAACTCGCGAGTTTCGGACTCTGGTCTAATGCTCGGATGGAAGCATTCGGTGTGATTGCAAAGACGATTGTTTATATATTACCATGGCTGTCCATTGTATGATGTTCGAACAGTCCAATGACCATCACGGCAGCAAGGCGCTTGACGCGCTATCCAGATGTTATAAACTCACCAGCTTCATAATTATACACAGAGCAATGTCTTGTCTTTGTTATCATGCTTCTTCAAGTTTGCTTATTCCAAGACACGGGGAGTTCAATGTTGCGAAGGAACGCGTGTACGATTCTATAGCGCCCTCTAGATATACTTAATACAAACCGCTCATTGTCCAGGCTATGGAGAACAGCGAAAGATATATTCCACCGCCAGGGCTTATATAGTTAAGGGGATCCGAGAGCCATACGGTAGGCTTGTCTTAGTCCAGTGAGACTTACCTGGACAGAGTTAGGCTTTCAGCCCCATATATACCTAGGAATGAAACTGCGTCTTTCAACGAGGTACACACAGAGAAAAACTGTTCCACCCAAAAGACGCCACGGGATTAAAACGCACTCAAGACGTTCGGCATCTGTACATAGACGACCGTGATCTGGTGATGACAAGCATGGAGAGCTAATCATGCCAAATCGGAAGGCGTTCACCGAATGACCCTAAGCCAAGGTCTAGAACACTATCTTAAGATATAGAGTGCTGGTGGTGCCTGTTCCCTGAAAGTACTTTGTACAACGTTAGGAAGTGGTGGATTATATAAGCTTTCCGACACGTCGACCGCGTCCTCCTTAACGCGTCAAGCTCCGCGGCGGATTGATACTAATTGTCTGATCTCCCTGACACTCTCCATTCAACGGTTGCGACGGAGTTGCGACGCTCCTTGATTGTGAAGAACAAAGCCATCGAATGTCTTCTCCATACTGGATTGAGCTTGCGACTCTTCCCGCCTGAAAGCCATCGCCACTCTCCGCCGTGTGATCACCACGTTCATAGAACGATCTCGACTAGTATTTCCTGAGAGAGTACCTGTCGCCGCAGAGGGCGGCAACAATCCAGGATGCCACTCTCATCATCACAATCATCTCCACCATCGTCGCAGAACTTGAAACGAAAGCAGCAAACTATCTCCAGTTTCTTCACGAAGAAGCCCCAGTCAACGAAGCCAGAGGAATCGCATGGCGCCGACGAGAAGCAGCGAACCAATGGAGCGGAGGAAGTAGGAAATGAGAATCGAGCGCCACCACACACAGCTGATGCGGCAGAGGAGGATGACGACGACATTGTGGCCCCAGCCCCAAAACGTGCCAGAACGAATGCGCATCGCCAGAAAGACACGGACCAGACATCGGATGGACCTCCCCGCATCGCCGAGCCGCCGAAGAGTAGCCAGCGGACCGAACTCGCCAAGTTTGCTAGCTCTCCTGCCGGCGCCGCTGAGCCAGAGGAGATGGATGAAGAGGAAGCACAAGAGCGAAAGAAAGAGCGCGAAAAGCTCCATAAACAGTTTGTGCGGAGACTCGGTGGGCCGGACTGCCTCATTGGAATCAACAGACATGTCTCTGGTGAGGCGGACCCTGCGTTGGAGGAAGCAGCTGAAGCAGACGAGGACGAAGAAGCTGTCCAAGCTCCTCCAGCCAAGGGGAAAGCAGCCGCAAAGAAAGGCGGGGGAAAGCTTACCCCCATGGAGAGGCAGATCATTGATATGAAGCGGAAGCATATGGACAAGATTTTGGCCGTGCAGGTTGGCTACAAGTTTCGCTTCTTCGGAGAGGATGCCAGAGTTGCTGCAAAGGAGCTGAGCATTGTCTGCATTCCGGGGAAGTTTCGGTTCGATGAACGTAAGTGCTTATTCGATGAATTTCTTTCCTCACCATTGGACCATACTGAGCGTTTCAGACCCATCGGAAGCCCATCTTGACCGGTTCGCGTCTGCCAGCATCCCCGTCCATAAGCTACATGTTCATGTGAAACGCCTCATCACCGCTGGACATAAAGTTGGAATCGTCAGGCAAATCGAGACAGCGGCCTTGAAAGCGGCCGGTGATAATCGCAATGCACCATTTGTTCGCAAGCTCACGAATGTTTACACCAAAGGGACATATATCGACGATATGGAAGGACTCGAAGGACCCACCGCTGGGGCGGGAACTACGGCGGCAACTGGATACATGCTTTGCATTACGGAGACCAATGCAAAAGGATGGGGTAATGATGAAAAGGTCCACGTCGGTATTGTGGCTGTACAGCCAGCTACAGGTGATATAGTGTTTGACGATTTTGAAGACGGGTTCATGCGGAGCGAAATCGAAACGAGGCTGTTGCATCTTGCGCCATGCGAGCTGCTCATTGTTGGAGACTTGTCTAAAGCATCGGACAAGCTCGTCCAACATCTTGCGGGCAGCAAGATGAACGTCTTTGGAGACAAGGTCCGTGTCGAGAGAACGACCAAGTCCAAGACTGCGGCAGCTGAGGCCCATAGCCATGTCTCGAGTTTCTATGCAGACAAGGTGAAGTCCGCTAATGCGAGTGACGATACACAAGCAAGCAACCTACTCCAGAAAGTGCTCAACCTGCCTGAGCAGGTAAGCATCTGTCTATCTTCTATGATCAAACACATGACCGAGTATGGCTTGGAACATGTTTTTGATCTCACCAAATATTTCCAACACTTCTCGTCGCGCTCCCACATGCTTCTCAACGGGAACACCTTGATGAGCCTTGAAATCTACCAAAACCAGACGGACCATTCTAGTCGGGGGAGTTTGTTCTGGACCCTGGACCGCACTCAGACCCGATTCGGACAGAGACTTCTTCGCAAATGGGTGGGACGCCCGTTATTGGATAAATCGAAGCTGGAGGAGAGAGTCAATGCGATTGAGGAGTTGAAGAGTATGGAGAAGGTTGCGATGGTTGAACGCCTGAAGGGCGTCCTTGGTAAAGCGAAATGTGACCTTGAGAAGATCCTGATCCGCATTTACTACGGAAGGGTATGTGGTTCACCACTGCTGTACTTGTGATAGGTTGTTACTGACGAGGATGATAGTGCACTCGACCAGAGCTTCTCACAGGCCTCCAGACGTTGCAGATGATTGCACAGGAGTTTGGCGATGTCAAATCCCCGGAGGATTCTGGCTTTACAACCCCCATCCTTAACGAAGCAATCGCGTCTCTCCCCACAATACTGGAAGATGTCTTGTCCTTTCTCAACAAGATCAATCTCCATGCTGCCCGCAATGACGACAAGTATGAGTTCTTCCGTGAAGCAGAAGAGACGGAAGATATCAGTGAGCACAAGCTCGGCATTGCTAGTGTGGAGCACGAGCTGCGCGAATACCAATCTGTCGCAGGCAAGATCCTCGGGAGGAGCAAAATACAATACGTTACAGTTGCTGGCATTGATTATCTGATTGAGGTCGAAAACAACTCATCCTACCTCAAAAGAGTACCCGCCTCGTGGGTCAAAATCAGTGGCACCAAGAAGCTATCGAGATTCCACTCTCCGGAGGTGATCAAGCTCCTACGGCAACGAGATCAGCACAAGGAAGCTTTGGCTGCCGCCTGTGACCACGCATATGCTTCCCTCTTGGCTGAAATCGCAGCTAACTACCAGCCTTTCCGTGATTGCGTTCAGTCCCTTGCAACGATCGATTGCTTGCTTTCACTTTCTAGCATTGCGAACCAACCTGGCTATGTGAAACCCGAGTATGCGGATAACACCTGTATCCACGTGGAGCAAGGACGTCATCCAATGGTGGAGCAACTTTTACTCGACAGCTATGTACCGAACGATATCAACTTGGACAGCGAAGAGACTCGGGCTCTCCTCGTCACGGGTCCTAACATGGGTGGTAAATCCAGTTATGTGCGACAAATAGCTCTTATTGCTATCATGGGACAAGTTGGATCATATGTTCCCGCGCAGTCCGCGAAGCTCGGCATGCTAGACGCAGTGTTTACTCGAATGGGCGCGTTCGATAACATGTTGGCTGGGGAGTCTACCTTCATGGTGGAGCTTTCGGAGACGGCCGATATTCTCAAACAAGCGACGCCCCGCTCGCTTGTCATCCTGGATGAACTGGGACGTGGAACTTCCACGCATGACGGTGTTGCGATCGCCCAGGCTGTCCTTGACTACATGGTCCGCTCACTGCGAAGCCTAACCCTCTTCATCACACATTACCAACATCTCTCTTCTATGGTGCACTCGTTCCCGAATCATGAACTTCGCAATGTGCACATGCGCTTCACTGAATCGGGATCAGGCCAGGACGAAGAAATCACTTTTCTCTACGAGGTCGGGGAGGGCGTTGCGCATCGCAGTTATGGTCTCAACGTCGCGCGGTTGGCGAACTTGCCGGTGCCTCTGATTGAGGTAGCCAAACAGAAAAGCGCGGAGCTCGAACAGAAGATCCGCCGTCGACGACTTGCTGGCCTGATGTCCACAGTCGAGAATATCATGTCTGATTCGGCGAAGAATGATGAGGGCTTGATTACTCGGCTGATCAGTAGCGCCGAGCAGTTATAGTTGCACGTAAGCAGGATATCCTCAAATTTCGGGCTTAAGACGAGTGGGATAAATGTATCTAGATATACTCTACTGTAGATAAATTGTTGATCGGTACTAGGATGTAATCACTATCATGCCATAGCTGCAAGCACTGCTACGAGTTCACTTACTCCACCTACACTAAGTCGCGCGGGATAATCGCCTAAACGTGGAATGACCGCGGAGCGTGGGTATTAAGGATATCGTTTATTATTTTGGACCTCCCATAGTGACTGGGTATAATCACCCTCGTTCCACGAGAAATGCTGAAACCACAATGCAAAGATCACGCTCAGGTAACACGACCCAACGCAGCGACGATGAATCTCCCGAACCCACGTGTGCGAGACCGGAAGGATAGGCAGCAACAGCGGGAAATTGACTCGGACCCGTTAATTTCAAATTTTTTTCTCGTTTCATTGAAGGTTGATCTTTCTTTCTCTCTCTTTTTCTATTCCGTGGTAGACTCGACACCGATAGAATACTCGAAAGAAAGGCGAAAGAAGACAGTCACAACCGGCATGCCGCATCAGCCCATAAGTTTTTTTCGCCTTCCCGACCTCCCAGAATCATTTCCAACGCAAGCAAACGTACATAGCCTCGAGAGGGAAAAAGATAAGACCGAACGTGGAGGGAATAAGACATTTATCGGAGACGGCGGGCCTCGCGTTCGGATTCGAGCAGGCAGAGGATGTCATCGACCTTGACTGTAGATTGCGACGAGATTTGTTAGCCTTTGCGATTCAAGATGTGGTTGGTGATGTCGGCCCCTCCCCGATTCCTGAGACGAAGTCGAATTCCAAATCCCGTTCGCGACCCGTCGTGTTTTGTATTCAACATTCATCGCACTTTCGCATTTGTTCCTTCTCTTCTGTCGGGTTCGGATCTTGGGATAATGGTCTGGTCTCGGGAATCGGTCTCGGGGGCCATAGCCATAGACATATGAAAGGGATCACTAGTGAACGGAGAATCGCATACCAGGGCCCTTGACGTTACGGATGATGCTGCGGGAGGTATCGTCCATGAACTCGACGCGGACCTGGGTGACACCACCACGGGAGCCTAGGAAAGACGGAATATCAGCACGGCGCTCCCATCGCATGAAGAAAATCGCAGATCAAAATTTCTCGACGAAGGCTGAACGTACCGGTACGGCCGAGGACACGGGTGACCTTGACGAGCTTAGCGGGCTGCTTGCTGGCATCCATCTTGGAGGTTGGACTTGACGAGGATTGTCGGGATGGAGGTGTAGATGGCGAAGGGGGAGGGAGAAGTTGAGCGTGGAAATCGACGGGTTTGCGGCTTGTGTGGGTTGCGGGTTTCTCTTTTGGGGAAAGGCCGATTACGCGAGGGTTCAGGGCTATTTGCGGCCTGAGGCAGAAGATATCTTGCTGATGTAATCCCGCTGAGTAGTGGCCTGAAATCCCAGGCATATATGCCCCTCCACCGCCAAGCGGATTCAGACTCTGCCCAAAAGCTCCGCGGTGACTCTTCAACGTCTGCTTCGTTACACTCCCCAATTGAACTCATTGCGCCTCTCGGTGGTCTGCGGAGATTTCGTCGATAGAACAGTGGTCGCCGCTCCATATATAGAGCTTCCGTTGCCCCTCTTAGACTTGTTCTTCCTGTTTCGTTTTCTTCTCTCTAACGCATCTACCCCGCGCATTGATCGTCTATCAAGATGGATCTCGTCAACCAGTAAGTCAATTGGCCTCCTACGTTCCAGATCAAGTTTCTCTGGATGCAATTGTCTTAGGGGACCGTTCATTGCTAACTTTCCGCTTCAGCCTTGAAGGAAGACTTCTCTTCGCTGTCCCGAAAAGCAAGTACCCCCGATGACTCAACTCTTCGTGTCACAGCCCCTTCGATCCGCATATCCCTAAACAATCCAGAGACCGCGCATACTAATACACGCCACCTACAGAGGGTCGCCTTCAGCAAGCGACTTTGGACCTCCTCTCCGGTGCGGATATTCAATTCCGCCGCGAAACCCGTCTTGACATTGCGCTGGTCAAGAACCTCCCCGTCGCCCTTATCTTCCTTCCGGCCGCCGATATTCCCACCTTCGTTGGCGAGGGTCGCGTTGACATCGGTATTACTGGTCGCGATCAAATTGCCGAGCATGATTCGCAGCTGCCTAGCGGTGAGACCTCTGGCGTGGAGGAGATCATGGACCTCGGGTTCGGCGGTTGCAAGCTGCAGGTCCAGGTTCCCCAGAAGGGTGACATGACTGAAGCGAAGCAGCTGATTGGCAGGAATGTCGTTACCAGCTTCACCGGTCTCACTGAGGCCTTCTTCGCTAACCTCGAGAGCAACGGAGAGCCGAGCAAGTTGGCGCGCGCGGGTGGTGGATACGATCTCCGCACCAAGATCAAGTACGTTGGCGGTAGTGTTGAGGCTGCCTGTGCTCTTGGTGTCGCCGACGGTATCGTCGATCTTGTTGGTACGTTAAATACTACAGTAATGTCTGGTTTTGTTGCGACTGACCATTCGCAGAATCCGGAGAGACCATGAAGGCTGCCGGCCTGAAGGCCATCGATACCGTGGTCGAGAGTACCTCTGTTCTTGTGAAGTCTAAGAACACCACGAACCCTCTTGTGGACCTGATCAGCTCTCGCATCCGCGGAGTCATCAGTACGTTGCCCTTGTCTTGTGTCTTGCTCTTGCCGGTCAGCCAGCTGACATCTTCCCTCCTCAGCCGCTCAAAAGTATGTGCTGTGCCAGTACAATATCCCCCGCACCGAGCTATCGACTGCATGCAACATCACCCCTGGCAAGCGTGCTCCTACCGTGACAGCCCTCGAAGAGGAGGGCTGGGTTGCTGTCAGCTCCATGGTGGAGAAGAAGAAGATCGCCACCGTCATGGACGAGCTGATCAAGGTCGGCGCCACCGATATTCTCGTCCTCAACATCGCCAACTCGAGAACCGGTTAGACGGGTACCCTTCCATTCTCCTGGTCAATATTTCTTTCTCTTTTATTCGTGTCTTGTTGGATCGGCGTGCTTGTTTTCTGTGTTGTTCGGTTTATCTAATCATATTTTCGGCTTTTTGGCTATCTCTTGCCTGGTGCAATGGCACAAAAGAACCAATAGACTGCATTGTTTTACGAGAATTCGGAATGCATCCTTGTCAATTAGATATTGGCACTTCAGTCAATGTACATATAACCATCAACCGCTGCTAACGCTGACTCCAAGGAGTTGCTCGGAAGTTTTTGCAACCACCCACACAGACCGACCCAGCGGTTCCGAACAGTATGCTGGTCTTACAAATTATGGGTTTTGAGTAACCCTCGAGTCGAAACTCTCCGATCTCCTGCAGGTGGTTTTGATATCTCCCTGGAATCATCTGATCTATATTCCAAAAAGATCCACACAATCGAATGATGCAACCCAAGACCCTTTGATATATGATGTATTCGAAGGGAAAACAGATCACACGAGCTAGAATTACCTCCGTTTACAATAACTACTGAGCTTGTCCCGAATCTATATATGCACCAGCAGCCTCATACGCATCCAGTCGTGAAGAGTATCATCAGCTCAAGATGTGGGATCATTGGATTAGTGTTCTTTTGTGCGTCACCGCGCTGTTCGTTAGCCCATGCATCTGCAGCCTTGGTCCATCAAGCTGTCGCTGTCGGCCTCGAGACCCCTGCTGGCCGACTGTGACAGAATGGAGCGCGTTCAATCGTTCGGTCAACGGACATTTGCAACGCGTCCGGCCAGTAGGATACGTCTGCCACGGGGACAACTATGACCAGGCAAGCTGCGACACTGTCAAAGCCAATGATAAACAATGTCTTTGGCGGATTTCACAGCCCGGTATCTACCCTCTTCCACACTCATCTTGATGCAGATGAACTCCTAACACAATCCAGGTGCATTGATAGATACGAACTGGGAGAGTCTCCCGGAAGAGAACGAGGAATGTTACGTCCACAGTCCCGAGAACATCCCCTGCAAGCAGGGACGTATACCCCTGTACGCCGTCATAGCCGAGACGGTCGAGGAAGTCCAAACGGCCGTTCGCTTCGCAAGAGACCGTAACCTGCGCGTCGTCGTCAGAAATACAGGGCATGGAGTGTGGCGATCGAGCGGCCCCAACTCCCTCCAAATCAATCTGAGCAAGCTCAAGCACATCAGCCACACCATGGACTTCATCCCGCAGGGTGGAACTGAGTCCCTCGGGCAAGCAGTTACACTAGGCGCCGCGACGCTGGCATACGAGATCAGCAACGCCGGCGCAAAGGACGGATACATCGTCCTCGTCGGCACCTGCTCCACCGTCGGCATTGCGGGGGGCTTCCTACAAGGCGGCGGAGTTTCATACCTGGCACCGATATACGGCACGCCGGCTGACAATGCCTTGGAGTTTGTCGTGGTTACTGCGAAGGTGAGTCTCCATCATCCCCAACTCGACCGTCCAATTCATCTTTACAACCGACACAGGGCGACCTCGTCGTAGCCAACGACTTCCAACACCAGGACCTCTTCTGGGCCCTCCGCGGCGGCGGCGGCGGCACCTTCGGCATCGCCGTAAGCACGACAGTACGCGCCTACCCCGACGTTTCCGCCGTCGACGTCTGGGTCAACGTCACGGGCCCCTCCAACTCCACGGAGGCCATCTGGACCGCCACGCGCGAGATCCTCCGCATGTACCCGGCACTGAACGACAAGAAGCACACAGCAATCGTGGGTGTCGTGCCGAATCCTTTTCCAGGCTACCCAGCCGGCGTGTATCTCACCAGCCGGGCCTTGGACGCCACGACAGCGTCCGTCAACGCCCAATACGCGCCACTGCGTGCCCGGCTCGACGCCCTCGGCATCAAATACCGCTACTCGGCCACCTTCCACCCCAGCCTAGCAACGCTAGTCGCCCAGCTGGAGAGCATAGACATCGCCGGAGACGGGGTCGTCGAAGGCTCCGTCTTCGTGTCGGAGGCACTTCACAAGGCGCCGGACGGGCCCGAGCGCCTCGTCGACGTCCTGTCGCGGTCCCATTTCGGGCCGGGCGACGACGCCGGGATCCTGCTCACAGGCGGCAAGGTGAAAGACAACAGGGGCGTCGTGGACACGGCCAGTCGGCCGTCGTGGCGGGACGCGCTGTCGCTGGTGTGGGTGCGATGGCGGATGTCGAGCAGTCCGTCGCCCGCGGAGCAAAGGGCGTACGGGTGGAATATGACGATGGTGCAGATGCCGCTGCTGCGGTCGCTGGAGGACCGCGATATGGGGACGTATTTGAACATTGCGGACCCAGGCGAGCCGAATTTCCAGCACGAGTACTGGGGCGAGAACTATGCGCGCCTGTGGCGGATTAAGCAGGAGTGGGATGGAGATGGGATGTTTATTGTGAAACATGGGGTTGGGAGCGAAGAGTGGGATGAGGAGGGTTTGTGTCGGGTTCGTTAGGTCATTGACTGTTATATACGCCGTGGTCTATTATAATGTAGGACAAGCACTACTTTTTGTCTTCATTCGTATAGTACTGGCAGAAAACTGGGCAGAACCCGTTGATCTCGCAGGCCACTAAACTGACTATATCAGACCCTGTAAATATTTATTTATAGCTGCCGCGATCCGAAATCCGCTTATTAAAGGCTTGGCATTATGTGCCGGCCCTGGTCTGTACACAACGGTACCCGTAGTAGTGTTGTTCTTGAGCATTGAGCATACAAGTCGAAATGTCTAGCATATGGCCCAATCTCGATAATAGCAGCGCTAGACGGCAGCCGTCAGCAGCGGCCGCCCATCAAAACCGCTGTCGACTCTCGCGCCGACTGTCCCCCAACTCATATATCGCCGCCTTCCCCGAGCTATTCAGCTCCACAGGAGACGGATACAACCCGGCCGGACTGGGGTACGTCGGGGTCGGAACATACTGCGCGGCCAAGCGTTCCTTGTGCTCCAGCAACTGCCGGCGGTACATGCGGCGCTGGAAGTACAGCGCGGCCAGGGCGCCGGCCAGACAGACCGCCAGGGCGACGCCCATGCCGGCGCCGACGGCCGTGGCGGACGGTGAGTCGGCCTCACAATGCCCGTCGTCATTGCCTCCTGTCGTGGTCGCGGGCGTCGTAGCAGTCGTCGTCGTCGTCGTCGTCGAAGCGGATGTCGTAGCCGTGCCGGCAGTCGAGGTGGTGGTTGGGCTCACCGACAGCGCAGGCATGGACAGCGAAAAGGCACCGCCGGAGCAACAGTCGTTCCCGGAGTCGCTGCAGCACCAGAAGCCCTTGCCGGCGCCGGGACAGGGCAGCACGAAGTAGCCATCGCTGGAGCCTACGTAGCAAAAACATATTAGTATCAGAGCTCTATGCGCAGCGACAGTGCAGAAGGGAAGGGGAGGGGACGACTCACCACCCACCGGACAGTACTTCGGACACGCAGCAGTGCCCCAGCTCTGCTTTGTGCAGGCGTTCTGGAAGATCAGGCCGCTGTTGACGGAGTCCTGGGAGTAGCAGAGGCCATTGTCGAGACAGATGTCGTTGAGGGCGCCGTTGGTTTTGTTCAGGGCGCAGCAGGCGCTCTCGGACGCGGACGGGTTGCAGGGCTGGTAACTGGCGTCGGCTTTGGTGCCGTCGGGGAAGTAGCATGCGCTGAGGACAAGATGCGGGAGTGTCTGGAGGCAGAGGAGAGATAGGACGACGCGATGTCGTGAGAGGAGATGCATGGCGGGCCGCGCTGGGTGACAGGGGCCATGGTTGTCGGGAGAAAAGAGATCAATCGAGTTCGACGCCGTGGAGAGGAAGGGTTTTGGGGGCCAGAGCGAAGGATGGACCCGCATTGAGGCCATACTGGAGTTAGCCGTATACGGATAGTAGAGGGTCTCGGCGGATGGCCAAGAGCACAGCCCTCTATGTATATCCTCTCATGGGTTAAATTTAGGCGACGGTGGTGAATCAGTTTCACCCTGCAATAAAGAACATTATAATGGACCATAATTAGGACCGTAGATACGTGCCGGACAGCATTGTCAGAAGCTTTGGTATTGCAGAATCTAGCTCTAGTAGATATATACATTTCTAACTATATTCCACCCCCAAACAACAGCAAACCTATGCACATGGAAAGCAAGCATCATTAGTCGTATTATCATCATCAGGACATGTACAGAGAAACCGGAGGAGAGAAGGTATCGACATAAACACGTCAGGCGGCAGATCATGCATCATATCCGACGCCTTCTCGTCGCCCACGCACCAGTGCGCGTATGCACTGACCGGTGCCTTCGAGGTCGCCCAGCAGCCCGACATGGCCGCGATCGCTCTTCACGAGGCCATCCTTGATGATCCGGTATCCCGGCGGGAGCATAGCCGCGGACGCAAGACAGACGCCGTCGCCGGCGGCAAACGCAAGGTCGTCGTATGCGTCTTGGTGCTTGATCTGCTCGCGGGACCACACACGCGCCCCGTACACCGTGGGCACGGATTTGCCGTACAGTACGGCAAACGGCGGGTACCGGTTGTTGGACTGGTGGGACGGGTTGAAGGCGAGCTCCTGCTTGAAGCGCAGGACCTCTGCGAGGGTGCGCTCGAGGTATTTTATGGCCGCGGCGCGAGGAATCGTCACCGCCGTGGTGGCCTTGACGTTGGAGGAGCCTCGCGCGGACGTGGGCCCCACGACACCGTCGACGGTGGGAGCCGCCTGGGCAGCTCGATCGGCGATTTCGGAGCCCACGCCGTTGGAACTGAAGCGAGGGCTGTTGCGTTCGTTCGGGCCCTGGTATTGCGAGGCGTTTTCGTCTTCGGTGGTGTCGTCGGAGAGGTTTTCTTTGCTGCCGAGCACTGATGAGAAGCGTTTCCCGAGGCGCGGGATGTTGTCCTTGAAGCCGCGGTTCGTCATCGCCGGGAGGGCTTGGTTGATACAAGGGGATAGCCGGTACTCGTCCCAGGTCTGCGCGGAGAAAAAGTCCACGCGGTATTCCTCCTTGGTGCGTTTGTCGATGAAGCAGTGTCCGTCCTCCGGGAGGAGGGCGAAGCTTGTTCGGAAGGTGAAATTCACCTGCGCGGTGAGCACTCGAGAGCTGAGCAGCACGTCGTCGCCGTTGCGCAGGGGACCAAGGATGTTGACGCAGTGCTGCGGGACGCCAGCGTAGAGGACGCCCGCGAACAGTTCCGGCCGTTGGTTGACGGCATGGCGCGTAATTAACCCTCCCAGGCTGTGGGCGATAACATATGCACCGCGTTTCTCGCGCGGAACACCTGGCGCGTTGCATGGTAGGCCCTCGAGGAACTTGATCAGTCTCTTCGACAGGAGATGGGGGCTCAGACGCCAGTCGTAGCCGTAGTTATGAACACGAAGGTCGCCCTTCACCGCGTTATCGCATTTCTGGAGACGCTTCATCAGCCGTCGGCAGATGTCGACGGGTCCAACATGAGACAGCACACCGGACGGGATAATGGTCTCTTCCATGCGCTCCTCGTCCTCTGGGTTCAGACCAACTTCCAGGTCTACTTTGCGAAGGTTCAAGCCGACCTTCATGGGCACCCACAATTGACGTTGTGGAGGCTTCGCAGAGCGCAAAACGGATCCCCGGTAGCCACCCATGATGACTACGTCGCCCGTCAACTCGGACATTGCCTCAGACAGAACGGGGTGTAACGGGTTGGAGTTGGCCCGTGGTACGCGAGCCCGAGCTTGTGGCTGCGGTTCAGTCGCAGACTCGTGCTTGGGTTGTGGTTCGTCCGCGTAGTTGTTCCCCTTGCGCTGAGCAACATCACTAAGAAACGGCTTATAGCCCCAATCGCTGCGCAAGTCTTGCAGATGCAACGTAGGCATACTAAGGAGTCGGCTGCTCGAGTCCTGAAGGCTATCCTTGATGGCTTTGAATCGACTGTTGACCTGGGAGTGTATATGCTCATATTGAGGACGCTGTTCGAGAGATGAAGCTGTTGACGACGCTCTGAGGTACAGCGAATGGTCCGAGGACGACCTTCGGAGCATAGGCGGAGCTCCTGTTACTGACGCGCTGGGTCTGCGCGAGTACGAGTGCTTCGCCGCCAGTCGATCCCCCAACGGCTTTAAATCCGATATGGGCTCATCGACCTCCCCGTTGGTATTCGGCGTAGTAAACGACCTCCGGTGTGAGCGGGCCGGGTATGATTCCGCGGGAGCCAACGTCGACCTCGACGGGCTTGGTTTCAGCGTCTGGCTCCGTGAGCGCTTCTCTGATGGACCGGAGCGGAAAGATAGGGAAGATCGTTTCGTCAAGGATCCGAGGTCCGGGAGGAATTTCTTCATGGCATCACCGGACCACGCTCGCGGCCGTAGAGGAAGACCGTTCTTCAAAATGGACCGGGTGAAGCTCGTTCGGCCACTATCCTTGGAGCTCGAAGACTCCTCGGCCGGACCGCCAGGAGCCGGTGTGCGATCGGCGCCTTGACTGGGCTCTAGGGACTCGGGCTCCTCAGAGATCTGGGAGGCAAATAGCCCGTCGGAGCCAACGGTATCCGGGACATTGGAGAAATAGTCACCGTTGCGTTCCATGATTCGACTTTTCTCCTCGGCGGGCGTCAGACGGGCCTTCATGCGGCTTTGTGCGCGACTGATGCTGAAGCCGATGACTCCTTCGGCCTCATCCTCTCGAGCGGCATCCGCGGGGTGGAGCGCTTGCTCCTCGCTGTCGGAGCTCGAAGCCATGACTGGGGCAGAGTGGCCGGGTTCCGGCAACGGTTCTACAAGAGCATTGGCCGCGTCATGGGCCTCACTCGAAGTTGGAGGGACGGCCATAGTGGATGGTGCTACACGGACGGGATCTGGGCCACACCATGCAGGGACCAAGGACACTCGGATCGGTCGCGATAACAGACTGTAGGAGACAAAATTAGAAGAAGAATTGGATGAATGACGAGAGGTAAAAAGAGCCGGCGCATGCGATCACATGTGAAGGGCCGTTATTATTGGGGTAAGATGGAGCAGCACTAACGACTAGAATGTTTGAGATGGAGCCTGAATGACGCCGATGATGGGTCGCCGTATTCGTATGGAGCAGTCGGGCTCGATCCACCGTTCATAGCACGGACTGTCGTACACCGCAAGCAAGAGTTTGGATTTTAACACGCGACGATTTCCGTGCGATCGGATGGCGCAAGAGGCACATTTGTTCAACAGGAGAAATTATGAAGTTGCATCATCGGTTATGAATTGTGTTGTGTCGGTGGCTGCGGGTGGAAGGGGAAAAAAAAAAAAGGGAAAAAAAGGGTTCCACTGCACAGCCTCCGGCTACGCCGGAACAAGCTTCCCAAGAGGCATCGTGGTTATGACCGGAACTCGGAGAACCTAAAGTGGCATGCGGCAAATTGATCCACGGTTGCGGATTCCGGAGCTGAAGTCGTCTGAGCTGTATGAGATGCTGTGTGGGTGAGGCACCAGGGGGTTCATGGTCCACAGGAGCCGAGAGCACGGTGCAAGGGAAGCCCAAGGATCGATGATTGAAGATTGATGACTGCTGATGGATTACTAACGCTTGCGTCGGTTGATCAAGGGTACGTCACTTACCAGGACAGACTGAGCGATCATAAAGCGATTGTCGCGGGTGGAAGGAGAAGGAGAAGATGGAAACGATGAGGTCGAGATGACCGACTTGGCGCCACCCGATGTGGCTGCAGCCAACCATCGTCTACAGAGTATACGGCGTATCTATTGTACTGTATGTCTAGTGCTGATGCAGTTGATCGTCTTACTCGGGAACTTGTGGTTCGTGCAAAAATATGTTTCATGTAATCATACACCCATGTCGCATCGCTAAACCAATCAAACTGCCTTAGTTACATATACGGTGCTGCTTCAACAATCAATGGTGATGACTTCGTTGGAACTGCCCCGACGAAATCTCTCGTTCTCCCTGTTGTGCAATCCCAGAGTTCTTCGCCACTCCCTCTTTATGGCCAACAGCTTCATCAACCGCCGCATTGAAGTTTCCGCGCAACGATTCTCCGGCCCCCTGTTCCTGTCAGCGCTAACGTGCTATGGAGTAGTAGTGACCACTACACAAAGCCACAACTTACATGAATACCGGCCAGGGTCGACTTGATTCCGCGACCGAACTCCTGACCTTTAGAAGCAGAGTGTGTACCCGATGCCGAGTTAGACGGCGGCGATTCTTGGTAGCGCACACCAGACCGCGCATATCCCGCTGCATTGGGCATGGCACCGGAATATCCAGCGCTGTACGGGGCATGGGCGTCGTAGGAGCCCGTCCCGGCAGTGTTGGCCGCCGACCCCGATGTGTCGGTGTACGTTCGTCGGGTGCCCGAGCCGGTCTGATTGGTGGTTTTGGTGCTCATCTCGCCGGACTCGCTGTCCACGCGGGGATCCAGCTTGTTCATGGCGGCCGAACGATGGGGCCCGGCGTTGCTGCTTTCGTTCAAGGATGCGTCCTGTGCGGTTTGCGGGTGCACGTTGCCGGACGTGGTCGTGCCTGGTGCATACTGTGCGCGATTGTTCAGGTCGCTGTCCACGCGTGGATCCAGCTTGTTCATCACATTAGATCGGTGCGGTCCAGCGGTGGTTGGAGCAGGACCAGTCTGGGGATCGCCCGTACTGGTAGTCCCGCCCATCTGGGTGCCAATCGGGGCAGCGCGATTGGGATGCTGGGTGGGATCACCAAAGCTCGAGGCGTAGTAGGGGGGTTGTGAGCTGCTCATTGTGTATGGCTGTAGATGTTTCTACTGTAATAGAAATGATGTGAGAATGGATCTTGAAGAGCCCGGTGGACTTGATCAGTTATATAAGAAGGCATTGTTTGGTCCATCCAGGCCATCGACATCATCAGTGCAAGCTATGACGTCAGGAATGAGCGAAGGCAAAAGAAGACTTGGACAACGTTGGCTGTGTCTCATTGGCAGTGAAGGATAGAAGACAAGATATCTGCCGGAAGGTGACGCGCAATCACCAATGGATGGCAGCCAGTATGTCCATGATGAGGTTTGTTCATGACGAGAGAATGGAGGAATCGAAGAAATGATCTATTTCAGGCTTATCGATAAGACATGCATAACTACGTCATAAGTAACTGGTTATTCACTGCTGAGTCATCTTACTGTATCAACAGCAGACATGTGAATTTCACTCTTTTGCCGAATGAAACGTACATGAGAAGTGATCTGGCTGTATTCAGCTATAGAATCAATTGTCTAGTGCTGAAGAACTAATATACAATAAGTCCACACAATTAAACGTGCTGGGACACTGATTAGTGAACATCGAGACGATCTCGGCTCAAGTGAAACATCCGAGGTACTTTCCAGCTTCGAGCTTCTAGCTTCATCCCCTCTCCAGGTTGACTTTTCTCTCGCTGTCAACCCATCTCCTACCTCTCCCCTTCTTCACCCAGTACATATCGTATAACGTCAAAATGACCATCAACAACCGTCAGATCATCTACGCCAACACGCCCTCTCCGGCGATTGACCCGTCCTTGACGTCCGGGACCTTCAAGCTCAACACGACCACCATCCCCGACAATGTCCCCGCCGATAAGGTCCTCGTCCGCGTACACTACCTGTCCCTCGACCCTGCGATGCGCCAGTGGCTGACCGCCAAGCGGTCCTACATCGCCCCGGTCGAGCGCGGCGCCGTCATGCGCGGCCAGAGCATCGCGCAAGTAATCGGCGTCGGCGACAGCGTCAAGTCGCAGTACAAGGTCGGCGACTGGGTGATCGCCTACTCGGGCTGGCAGGAGTACGCCCTGATGTCGGCCAAGGACGCGCAGAAGATCACCGTGCCGCCGGGCTGCCAGCCCACCGACGCCATGTCGGTGCTCGGCATGACCGGGCTGACGGCCTATTTCGGCATGATGGAGGTCGGCCAGCCCAAGCCCGGCGATACGGTCGTTGTGTCTGGGGCGGCGGGCGCGACGGGCATGGTCGCGGGGCAGATTGCGAAGATCCAGGGCGCGAAGCGGGTTGTCGGCCTGGCGGGCAGTGCGGACAAGTGCGAGTTCTTGCGGAAGGAATTGGGCTTCGACGCCGCTATCAACTACAAGGACAAGGACTGGAAGAAGCAACTGAAGGAGGCGACGCCGGAGTATATCGATGTGTTCTTTGATAATGTCGGGGGTGAGATCCTCGATGCGTGTCTTGCTCGCGCGGCGCGCGACTCCCGCTTTGTTATCTGCGGCGCTATCAGCCAGTATAACGCTGCCAAACCGCAGGGGCCTGCTAGTTTCATGAACGTCATTGTGAGTATATCTTGTTTGCTGTGGGAAGAGGATTTCAGCTGACGTTCTACTCCAGTCTCAACGAGTCATGATGAAGGGCTTCATCGTCTTTGACTATGCGAAGAAGTACCCCGTCGCCCTGAAGGATCTTGGAACGTGGCTGTCCCAGGGCAAACTCAAGCGCAAGGACCACATCGTTACTGGTGGCTTGGAGTCTGCGCCTCAGGGCTTGGTGAACCTGTATGCGGGTGTGAACACGGGCAAGATGATGGTCGAGGTGGCTCCTATGAGCAAAGCCATCGGCCGTCAGGCGAAACTATAGACAGCTGGTCTGTTTGTCTGTACCTTCATTATTCCTACATTTTTATATATAAATCTTTGAATATAAAAGCATACTATCGTTGCATACGCATACCTCTACTGTCAAGACATTTAGAAACATGCCCGGACCTAGCATTCTCCAAAACACACCCTATCCTCATCGACGAGCTTCACCACCAGCCTCCGCAATATACTGCAGCACCCAACCAATCTCCAATGCCCGATCACGCACATCAAACCAGTTGCGAGGCGGCCCCTCGGCCGGCAGACCCCACTCAACAAGCCAACAACGACCATCCTTTGCCCTAGGGCAGCAATAGAAATAAAACGTACAGTCCTGGACAATAATCGCCCAGCACCGCTCAATCTCACTACCCACTCCCTGCAGCGCATTCTGCAGCTCATCCCGCAACGAAGCGACCGGGTCAGTAGGCCGGCCGATCTTCACATACATATGCTCGACCAGTCGCCGGTCTCGGTCTTGGTCTCCGGGAGCCGTTTTGTGGGGATAGTAGTTGGTCAGGATGACGGCTAGCATGGCGTGGACGGCGTTGCGGTTGTCTGGGGTTTCTTTGACTTGTTGGATGAGGTCGTTGATGACTGGAAGTGCGAGGTATTTACCCATGGTTCTTGTATACAGATTATATAGTATTATGGGAGTGATTGGTGTTGAAACGAGAGGGACTGGGCTCGTGTGGTGTGCTCTTTAGCTCAGGTGTTAGCTGGCGTGACCGAAGGAGCAACAAGGCTGCCTTCTGCATCAAATGCTGGGCCCATGCACAACGTAGTCTGACAGAGCGGTCTCATAATGGGTTCATGGAGTTTGACTTCATAAGAAAGAATGAAATCTATTTTGGTATCTTGTTCATTACATCCAGAATATTGCTAGTATATACATGCCACCCACCGTCTATCCACATATAGCCTCCAGTGAATGCAATTCAAGTCCAACGACACTGCCTTGTCCCAAAACCTCACCAGGCAATCTTGGCAACAATGCTTTTTGGAAACACGCGAACAATCAACTTGCGGAGCTCATCCATTAACAGCACTCCCAACGCCAATCCCAACGGAATCAACCAGAACTCGATCGGCACAGGGGCCGTGTCGAACAGCGTATGGAAGCCCGGGACTTCGGTGACAAAGACCGCAATTGCAAGAGATACAGCCATGGCAATGGGAAGCCACGGGTTCCGACGTTGTTTGCGCACCGGGTCCGCCTGCAAGATGGACATTCTCTTGTTCCGGACGGAGAGAATATTGCCCCACTGCAGTATCACAAGGCTCACGAAGTAGACGCCTTGTCCGACGTTGTTGAAGTGGGTCAACTCATCCTGGCTATATCCATAGAAGCCATCGGTGTATTTCTCGAAGGCGAACACGAGGGCGTGGAACGGAATTCCTGCTTTCTTGTACATGTAGAGGAAGAACATGGAATGGGCACAGAATGCTTCCATGACACCAACGAAGAGATAGGATTGACCGTAGATCTTCAGGTTGATCAAGTGGTCCTTCAGGTGGTTGCGCGGGGGCACACTGAGGAGGTCGAATTCTTCCTTCTCCATGATCAGAGAAAGGGACAAGAACAAGTCGGTGAAAACGCAAATGATGATCATGAGGAATGAGCTCAGCGGGAGAGGGACACCGAAAAACACATTCATCAGGACGGGCCAGATTTCTGACCAGCTACCGGCGGGTAACAAGTACGCAATGACTTTCTGGAGGTTCTGGAACACCAGACGGCCCAGCCGGATGGCTTCAACAATGGAGTCGAATTTGTCCATCAGAACCAAGTCTGCTGCTTCGATGGCGACATCGCTTCCCGAAGCCACCGCGATTCCGATGTCTGCTGCGCGTAGGGCAGGGGCATCATTGACGCCGTCGCCAGTCACAGCAACCACGTTATCGCGGGACTTGAGTTCCTCCACAATGCGTAACTTCTGCTCTGGTGATGTACGCGCGAAGACGACCTCCTCATATTTGCAGATGATATCCCACTGCTCCTCGTTCAGCGAAGAGAGATGGGAGCCATCCACCAGCAGACTGCGGCGAGACTGGAGCGCAGTCTTTTCGTCATCCTCACTGGAGTCAGATCGTATCTCGTTGATGGTGTCCGGGCTGACATTGTCACTGAACAGGCCGATCTCCCTCGCGATGGCTGCCGCAGTCAGGCCGAAATCACCGGTCACCATGAAGAAGCGCGCGCCAGCACGTCGACAAGCAGCTATTGTTTGGGCAGATTCAGGACGGGGAGGGTCGACAATTCCGACAATCCCAATAATGGTCAGCTCTTCTGCGGCTTCAGCCAGCACCTCGTCGTTAAAATCATTAGTCCCGGGTGCAGCGCGAGGAAGATAATGTCTCTGGCAGAGCACAATCACGCGTTCGGCCCTTCTGGCCAACTCGGCTTGGAATTCTGATAGATTCGCTCTAGCCTCTTCGTCCAAAGGTTTGACCGCATTGTCGACTCCTGATAGGTATGAGCTGCACTTGGGGAGAAGCACGTCAGGTGCACCTTTGACAAAGACCAGGTGCTTGTCGGCCGAGGCCGGGTTTGTATGCATGGTAAGGGCCCACTTGTTTTTCGAGTTGAAGGGGATTTGATGGATCCTTTGGAACTGCGACACGATCTCGGTGTCATTTGGAGAGATAGATTCTGCGAACCGCAAGACCGCGGCATCCGTAGCGTTTCCGGTCACAACCCGTTCACTGATTGGCAGTGACATCGACGTGGGATCGAAAAAAGCATCGTTGCACAGGCGGGAGGCTCGAAGTAAAGGGACGAGAGACGCAGGAAGGTTACCTCCTGACGCAAGCAATTTGTCCATCTCGAATTTCTTGTCAAGCAGCCCAACAGACTTGACGGTCATTTTGTTTTGTGTCAGTGTGCCTGTTTTGTCCGAGCAAATGACATTCACGCAGCCCAAGGTCTCGACGGTAGCCAGACCTTTGGGGAGGATGTTGGCCTGCTTCATGCGTTTGGCGACGATCATGAGGGTGAGAGCAACCCCAACGGGCATACCTTCGGGGATGAAGGCAACGACGCAGCCCATGACGTTGTTCAACATCGCGACCACCCCCATGAACTGATGGTGATCAACGCGCAACCAGCCAACCCAGGTGAACAATATAATCAATACGAGGATGAGGGTCAGACAGATGATGATCCGGACAAAGCGGGAGATTTCCTTCTGAATCAAGGTCGGTTTTTGCTTGACACCCGTAGTTGTCTTCGCAATACGTCCCATGACTGAACGACTTCCGGTGAGCACTACCACGCCCACGGCGTTGCCATTTGTGACACCAGTGCCCATGAAGGCAATATTCCTCGTCTCGAGGAAGTTGGCATCAGTGGACTCTATCGCCCCTTCGACTTCATCAGACTCTCCCGTCAGGACGGCCCGGTCAAAGCGGACATCTCCAGAGCTCTGCACCAGACGCATATCCGCTGGGACCTTGTTTCCAACCGAGACCGTGACTACATCGCCAGCGACAAGTTCAGTCGACGGAATCCGGACTTGTTTCCCATCGCGCAGGACGAGGGCTTCAGACGGGAGGAGATTGAGGATGGAGTTCATCACATGTTTCGTCGACCAGTCTTGAAAGGCAGAGAATGCGGCCTGGAGAAGGATGACGATAATAACGAGGATGGCCATGGCGAGGTTGGGGACTGAGGGAGGATTGCTCAAGGGCTTCCAGCAGAGAAAGAAGACAATGACGCCAACCCACAGGACCGAGCAAAAGCCGCCGAAGACATATCCCAGGATTTTCTTGACATAGTTCTCACGATACCGGGAGATCATGTTTTTGCCATCCCGCTGTAGTCGGGTGGCCACCGCCGAGTCACTCAAGCCATAGCGGAGGTCAACGTTGAATTCCTGACACAGCCGTTCCGTGCTGAGAAGGTGAAAGTCGAGGTTCTCGAAGTAATCGTGATCCGGATGCCTTTCCTTCTCACGCTTCGACTTGATCGCCTCCTCCTTGGCTCTCTGGGTGTCCGAGATCTGGAAAGAAACCGTCCGAAACTCGATGGGAATTCCGGTGGCATTGGGGTTTTGGACACCACTCCGGTAGCTTCGAATTGTATCTTGACTCACGGAACGGTGAAGGCCTTGTCTGGGGCGGTAGATACCCCTAGATGGCTCCGAGGGCAGCGGGCCATCGAATCTGATGCGGCCATTGCCACTCTCCGGGTCGGTCTCTGCTGGGGCATCCGAGGAGGGCTGCGACTGATCCATTTGGACGGTCTTGTACTGGATCCGAGTGCGAAGGGGGCCAACGGGAGATTGAATCGCGAAACGTGCGAGAGATTCTCAATTCGACCATCATGACGGACTATCATTCTGGATTATATAGTTGAAAATTTCCTCTGTAGCCCCATCGACTATACTAGAGAAGGTGACCGGATGGAGATTCCCTCCTAGGCTACAACCGTGGGGAGCCATCGTCTAGACGTAGATCCAGATAAGGTCCAGCGAAGTCGGCCGGCCATCAGCACGAGAGGACGAGAGGATGAGAGACGCCGGAAAGAGACGTCGAGAGACGGCTTTCCCGTTTGGGCGAATGAGGGCTGCGGGAATTATCCCACCGAATCAGCAGCCACAAAAGAGGCTGCAACTAAGCTCAATTTAGCTCGGCCGGGAATCACGCTAATTTCACCCCGTCGGACACTCTTCATCGTGATTCTTCGGCGAAAATCCCGCATACTCTTCTTCTCCCAGCTCCCTTCTATGCGCTTTTTATCCGGCGAATCCAAGGACGTTGGGATGACCAGAAATCTAGCGAGGGTGCGCCATTTATTGAGTAATCGATAACTCGGCTCTCTATGAAAATGAAGCAGTCGAATCCTTCTCAGACCGAAAGGCATGTGTTGCCCGGAGCTGCTCTATGGGCTCATCAAGAAGGATTTTCATGACGAGACGTGGAATTCGTCCGCCGATTCTGTTACGAAATGATAATCCAGGATAATATGAGCAACTTAGCCATACCAAATACATGAGAGGTCTCTCGGCGCGACGTTGCGTGTGACCATCGGCCAGTATACAACTGACGAGGGATTTTTAGATCCCTATCGTGATGGGAATGAAGCCACATGGATCATACATTCCTGTATACGCTGTTGGCCAGGTTTTCTCGCTCACCACATGGTACCCCTTGGGGTAATGCGTCCAAAGATGTATAAAGGCGATGGATTCGTCCGTAGATACTTCTGATACAACATCGCCCTGTTACTGTGTACAAGCATGACATTGAAAAACTACGCCGCCCATCACCACCATCACCGAATAGAACCTCGCATACCCAGATCCAGCCCGTATATATGCACCAGCCTATCTAACATTCTCACCCGTTGCTGGACGTCCAGAAAGGAATCATCCAGCTTCGAAAAGGCGGCCCTGCTGCCTCCGGACTCTCCGTCCTCGCTCGCAGACAAATATGGATCCTGCACGGACATCCTCCACTATGGTGATCATAGTTCGATAAGACTGTATGCGCAACGGTTCCCCAATTCGTCCTCCAGACACCAGACCCTCCATGTGGTAAAGGTCTTTCGGCGGTCCTCCAACCCGGCGGTAGTAAACGGACAGCTTTTCGAACAATCCCTCGCCTCCACCGCGTCACACCCTAATCTCCTCCGCGCGATCGACAGCCTCCACAACGACCAGCGAGAGCCATGTCTTGTCATAGAATACTGCGCGGGCGGTGACCTCAACACCCATATATCCACGTCCGGGACTCTGGAGGCGCCCGAAGCAGACTGTTTCTTCAAGCAGCTCATGCGTGCGGTGTCGTATCTTCACGACAACGCCATCGCGCACAGGGACATCAAGACGGAGAACATCCTGCTCACCGCACACGGGGCCATCAAGCTGACCGACTTTGGCAGCGCGCAGTGGCTGGGGGATGCGGATGAGAAAGATTCAGAGGCCGCTGAAGCACACCGCCAACAACCCCCTCCACGGAAACTGATTGGCACCCTTCCGTATCTCCCCCCGGAGGAGTTGAGCGGCTCTGTATCTGACCCCCGCGCGGGCGATATCTGGGCCGCTGGACTGGTCTATATGGCTATGAGGTGTGGCCGGCTGCTGTGGAGAATGCCGTGTGACCAGGAAGACACGGGCTTCAAAGCGTACCTCCAAGGGCGGCGATGCTGTCATGGATATCGACCGATAGAAGATCTGGAAAAGGTATGTTGATTAGGTTCGTGCGTTGACTCACGGCTAATGGTTGTAGATTTCTTGTAGGAATGTCGTTTACGCGATGCTCTGCCCTAACGCCTCTCGGCGGATAGTAGCGTCAGACGTGCTCCGTTCGGAATGGGTTTATGATATCCATGTTTGTGATGCTGGGGATATGGGATGGTAGTTCTTCGCAATCGAGTTCCTTACCCTTTAAATAGCGAACTGGGGCGTTGTTGAGACTGTAAAGCTTTCGCAGTCAGAATACATGTCTGGAATGGAGGAATCCAGAGTTCAAACTGCTCTCAGCTCTTACAAATCTCAGATCCAACGCTCCCCTGGTCAAATGAAGTGAGAAGATTAGAGGCGATATTGGGTCGCCCACACAGTCAGTCCAGATTGAGACTTGCAGGTGAATCAAGAAGAGGCACAATCCTCTCACTTCTGAGCATGTTTCAACTCTTCTGTTACTGACCCCTCCAAGGTCATCTTTCCTGCCCTTCCTCCTTTTTCTCTTCTCCTACTCATCTTTCTTCTCTCCTCTTCCTCATCCCTCTCCTACTCACAACCCTACTCATTCGTCTCTCTTCGTACACTTCAGATCCTTTTCAACCTCTCAATCTACATCTACATCCTCTCGAGCTACTCATGATGGAGACCGACATTCCCAACCGCGTCGTCGACATATCGCCTGACGGAGACAGACTAATTAAAGTCAACGAATACGAGGACAGTGACAATGTCAATTCTGACAACGAACCCGTGCTAAAGCGAACCGGCACCTTCAAAGTCACCTCAAAGATCCTAGTCGAGGAAAGCACCTACTTTTCCGGAATGTTTCGCACAGAGTGGCGCGAGTCTTCCACCGAAATCGTCCTCAAGCATGACAAAGCCAAGGCAATGGAAGCATTGCTGCAATTCATGCACGGCGTGACAGTCGCCGTCGACTCCCTCTCAATCCCTGACGTCTGGCACCTGATCAAGGCCGCCGACAAATACCTCTTCCCGCTGGAGAAGATGGCCGTCTGGTTTATGAAGTGGTTCGGGCACCAGCTGGAGAAGAAGAGCGCTGGCGACTACCAGACTCTTGAAGAATGCGAGTTCGAGCGCCAGCTCCTCTTCCCTTGCTGGGCTTTCGACTACGCCACCGGTTTCCAGTATCTCACCCGTCACCTCGCATACAACATGGGAGGCCATATCACCGAAAGCAACCCAACCCGTCTCCGCGAAACACACCTGCCGCCGCGTGTGATCCAGCAGTTGAATGCTGCCCGTGGACGGCTGAGGAACATCCTTCACCGGGACCTGTTCGACGCGACGAAGAATATCATGGACTCTAGCTCTTGCAAATGCAAGGAGTACACCGTTTTCTACTACCTATGCGAGCTTCGCCGAGTGGATATCTGGCCCATGGAAGAGATCTCGACCAGGGAGAGCATCAACACAATGCTCGAATGGCTCAATGACTTCGACGAAGAGAAAATGCGCAGCAAGATTTCTTCCTCTGCTTTCGGATCCAAAGCCCTGTGCTACCGTTGCAACAGGTCTTGGAAGCAAATCGTGGATGCCGCAATCAAGAAGGTCAAGAAGTACTTTGACGGCTTGTGTTTGGATTGTATGGGGAAGAGCAAGCGTTTCCGGTTGGATATTGACGGACATTACTGGAGACACGACGAGAGCCGCGAACGTTACGACGAGGGTTGTCGGGTTAGGCATGGAGAGCCCACCCACTACTTCAGTTTTATGGGAAGACGGGAGAAGAGGGGCCTGATTGCCGACTAGATCCATGTGCCAGATTCAGCGCGACTTGGCTTGGTCTCTTTGGCCTGTTGGTGGAGCGATCTCATGTTGGGCATGAAACAGATCAAGACCATCATAGATTGCCAGAGATACGGAGTGGAAGTTTTGTTTGTGCTCGGTTTAGCTAGATGACGACCCGTCCTAGTGTGTTGGCCATAGTCATGATAACTAATGAAATAACTGCTGTGATATTCCAGCTCGAGATGAACCCACAGGAGCAACTTTAGACTAGACTACCTAGGTACTTCTGTTGGAGCGCGAAACTACCAGATATGGATTGGCTGTGGACGTGGTGGGCTTTCAGTACTGTGATAGTTGTTGCGTAGAGCTGGTGACAACGTACAAAAAGCTGGAAAGGTTAGTCCTCGTGCACCTGTCATCCGTCGGTCTACTTCCTTTGCAAAATGAAGACACGAGATGACTACGCCACAGTAATCCTGGTATGATAATGATAGTGTAAAATTAGCTAGGGTGGGATTGCCCAGAATCACCTAGTAAGTATATCCAAGAAAAGAAAAGGAAGGACAAGGATAAAGTCAAAGAAACAAGAATAAGCGAGCGCAACACCGCCAGCAAACAACATGATCAACAGCTAATTCTGCACTTTGCCCGCCTCGCGAACCTCATTCATGAATCCATCTTCATCACCCGCGGACGTGAGCACCCAATAATCACCCACGCCAGCGTTGGGGAGCTGTCCTCCACCGAAACCCGTCGCGGAAGCGGCAGGGGCGCTGTGGCGTCCCTTGGGCATGGTCCCGACGTGACGTGGGCCCCAGCCTAGAATGCCACGGACAGCAGCACGACTCTGGTCGTCCGGAGTGCTAAACCCAAACAGCTGCGGTTGCAAGCAACCGAGAATCGCGACCGCCGCGCGGATCATAATACGATCTCCCTCGAAGACCCAGCAGTCCCAGACGCGGCTGATGCGCTCTAAATCTAGACCGTTCGTCAGGAGGGAGCGGAACATGGGTTCCCAAATCTCCTCTTCCGTGAGGTGGAGCGTCTCCTGCAGGTGAGTGGCGAGACGCGGAAATTTATACCGCAGCGTCGCAGACGCCAGCGAATATGTACGGCTGATTGCGCCCCGGTCCAGCGTCAAAAAGGCCACAGGCAGGGGCCGATTCAGAGCGTTGGCCATTGCCAGGAACGCAGAAGCGGGTGAAGGAAACTGAAGCACCAGCAGCGCTGCGATTGTCTACATTCCGGTCAGCATGGATCTGGGATATTCATGGCCGCCCAACTTACGTGAAGGCCACTAATATAGCCCACATCACTCCGGTACATCGAGTAGGCCTCCAGCACATCAATCAAGGTATCCCGTAGCGGACCACCTTCCTGGAAGAGGTTCAGGTCCGGGAACGCCTTGGATGCATCGGCCTCGATGGTCTCGAACCATTCCCGCATTCTCTTGTTGCTCTCGCCGGTATCATCGGACTTCGATCGCACATCTTTCGCCCGTTGTAGGGCTTTTTTGTACGTTTCCTCCGATAGAGACAGCTCGTTTCCGATGGCACGCTGCCAGGTTGATCCTCTGCTTCGGGCGGGGATACCGCGCCACCATAGCTCACGCGTGCGAGTTTCAGCAATAGCGCGATTCCAGTGGGGATACACGTATTCATCCCACATACGCTGCAGAGCTTCCCGCGTGTTATCCTTTTCGCATTTGGCCGAAGCGGCCTTGGCAGCTCGCCGTTTATCTGCCTATGTCAGCGTGAAAGGTCAAGTCCGGTTAGCGACAGAACCTACCAGCTTCCCGCGATTGTTCCATCATCTTCTTATATTCCTTCAGGTGCTTCTTTTCTTCCTTCTGATCCTTAGGAGGGAGCCAGCTGGGGCGCGTACGCGTCAGAACCTTCTCCTTCTCCTTACTAATGGGCAAAGGATCAATCATAATATTAGACTTCTGCAATGGAGGCAGTTCAATGGTGGTCCGCGATCCGCGTTTCGAGTCCGTGCCCGAACTCGAGGAAGACCGACCACTCTGCAAAGTTTCTCCACGCTTATATTCTTGCTCGTCCGCGTGGAATTCCAAAGCTTCCGTGATAATCTTCGCTTCCTCCGATAGATCCGACATCATGCTATTGTACGAATAGAGACGAGGATTGCGCGGTGAGATTTGGCCTCGTTCGGGGCCAGCCGAGCTAGACCGGACGGTCTGCCGAGCGTTGCGGGATCCGCGTGGAGATTTCGTTGCGGGAGACACCGGGGCGTGAACCTCGGGAATCGAATGCGAGAAGGGCAAGGGCCGAGGCCCAGGACTCCGACCGTTTGGACTCGCACTTCGTGACGGAGGGCGATCCTGCGCGGGTCGAGGTGAGATTGGCACATTCCACAAGCTTGCATCATCGGGTAGTTCCTCGTCCGAATCGTGGTATTCATTTTCTAATTCCCTCACCGACTTGCGGTTCGGTTGCCACGACCGTTTCCGATTGAGTGGGGGCCGAGCATTGGTCGGCGACAAGGCAAGACTCTGCGCAGATGGAGACGTTCCTAGCGTGGAGGACGGCCGGAGGGGAGATGTGGATCGCGACCGGTGAGGTTTAGATGCTTGCAGAGGTGACAACACGGCGTTACTAGGGTCGCGCTTGTTGCCCGCACCGCGTCTAGAGCTAGTTCGGGTCTGCAGAGTCAACGACCCATTTTTGTGGCCCTGTAGCGGTGTATGGGTTCGGTGTGGTTTGGGGGTTGCCGTCAGGTCGCGTGTGGTGGTCACCGGAGATTTGGCCGAGAGCCTAGCGGTAGAAGAGCGCGACAGGCCGGGGCGCGCATATGGGGAGGTGCCGTCGGAATAGGTAGGAGTGTCATCATCGCCCAACCCAATCTCCTCAAAGTTGGAGATATCAGTGAAGATGCCCTCTGACCCGGAGAGCTGGGAGGAGGAGCGGAAGGAGGACGATTTGGAGGACTTGGAGCCGGACAATTCGGGCGGGGAATTGGGGGTGTTACAGACGGTCGTAGTCATTTCGTCCGGAGTACGGTCGGATCGCGCAGCGAATCGTGGACGATGGGAGGGAGTAAAATAGAAAGACAGGAAATGAAATGTATCGGTCGAATGGTGTCAAATGAGGGACAGAAAGGGGCAATGGATGAAGTCTGGTGCCGACAGGAACGAAGTGCTATCGTCCACCAAACACACCAGCCATGCAGAAACTTCGTCAAGAAGTTATGGAAGAGTTGACAGAGGGAGAGAGAGAAAGGCTCGAAGTTCACAGTGCGAAGGGTGTGGAGGCAGTGAGGTGCATTTGGGGAAATCTGCAGGGCGATCGACAAGCGGACGCGAAAGACAGGGAGAGGGGAAGGAAACAGGAGAAGATCGAGACGGGGATCAACAACAAAAGGAAAATAAGAGAGGAAAAAGGGGGAAAGAGAACGATCGACTGAGCGAGAGACACGAAGAATGAAGGGAAGCAAATAACGAAGACGGATGAGCGAGAGGAATGGGGAGGAAGTGGGAAGAGAGAGAGAGAGAGAGAGCAAGAGGAAGAGAAGGAGGAAAGACGTAGGAGAAGCCGTCGGAAGGTCGTGCTGAACCCGGCGAGCCCGAAGCCTGAGGCCGACGAAGGTCTGGCCAATCACCCGCCAACGGCTGCGGCTGGTACCTCGTAGGTTCCTTGTCGCTTGCGTGCACACGCAGACGGTACCTCGACGGTACGGAGACCGCACCGCCACAGACGGTGGCCCTAGGGGGAATAGTTGGGTAGTCGTGAAGCAACTAGCAGGACACGGACTAGCCCCGATTCATCTCTGGGTGGAGAAGTCCCTTAGGGTTTATCTAGGAAGCACTAACTAGTTGCAGGCTTAGCATCTCCCTTCCGCTTCTCTACTCCGTAGACTATCATCAGTCGCTTGCACCCCATCCCATCCCATCCCATCCCATCGCATCTCTCACTCCTCCACGAATGCCCATTGTTGACATTTTACCTCCTCGGGTCGGAAACATTCGCCTCCCCCTTTTCAACCAAACCCCCTGATCCAGTCACCGCTGCTTCCTTTTCTCCGGGTTCCGTGGAATGTTCCGGCCGGAACCATGGGGCTCTCGCAGGTGCACTGTACTCCAGTATAGGAGCTTCGAGCCCCACCTTCCTTCTAGCACTACTGGATTGGAGACCAACTTTGTTTACTATTTTTGCACTTTGTCGATCTCAGAGAAAAAGACGTTGCATTCAATCTCAACGAACCAGAAATGTCAGTTGAAATACCTCTTGAGGTACCTGATATCTGAGTCGCAATCTCTGGGACTGTCAAACGATCTCTGTCACGGTCTGCTTCCGCTGTGGAATGAAAAGATATATGTCCTGCGCCACATCTGTCCATCCCTTGGTCGATCGCCACCGTCGGCATTCATAGGCCAGCCCTGCGAGGAACACGCTTCTTTGTTTCAACTAGAAAGCACTAAAACTTCCACTCCCCATACACCAGATTCCCATGGTTCACCACCTGAGTCAATTGCATCCTCTTTCGGTCGGACACCGGCCGCGTCTGCCTCGCCACGACCTCCAGCCAACGTAACACCCCCGCGTACCGCGTCTGCTTGCGACCCAGCACAAAGCGAAACGCCGTAGCAGCCAAGTACTGGACCTGGGACTGATGCACCGCACCAGCGGAGGTCGCCGCGGTCTCTCCCGATCTCTCGTCTCGCTCTCGCCGCTCCTGTGCTCTCTCTACAAGACGCTGAGTCATTCGTATCAGGTCTCGGATTGTTCGCACGATGATATCCGGGGTGGGGTGCGTGCGGCCCTGCAGCGACCGCATATAGCAGTACATTCTCATTGCCGTGGTCAAGAAGTTGGCGTAGAGATTGGAGAGAGCAACCGCGAGGGAGTTGTGGGTCGTATCTAAGTACATCGGGTGCATGAGAAGCGTAAAGGAAGTCAAGACCTTTCGATGAAAGCAACGACCAGGAGCGCGGCTTACTTCAACGGTCAGCGAGTCAGAGAGTGTTGCCGCAGCGGAATGGCCGCCTTCGAGGCTCCGTTCGTGGTCCTTGTGGATTTCCAGTGTGCGAGTGTCGACTAGTGTTCCGCAGTAGGGGAACAGAGACGTGTCAACCAAACGCGGGATATAGGCGCCATCGACCGAAGCAGCGAAATTGACCAAGCTCTTCGCTGGGTTCACCGAGATACCGTACGCCGGCTGTCCCTTGATCATTACCTGCAGGAAGCGCGTTGCCAGTGCTGAGTCCGGGGTGATCAATAGGAAGTCGTCGACAAGACGGAGGAGTAAAGACTTTTCAGGTAGGAGAAAATCGAGAACCTCGCGTTCCATTTCCGCGTAAAATAAGTTGCACAGGATGCTGGATAGAACTGATCCCTGTGGAATTCCGTTGCGTTGTCGGAAATAACTCTTTCCAAACCTGACCAGGTTGTTGCTGACGTGCTCATTCAACAGGTCAAGGAGGTCTTCCGCCGTGTACTCCTTCAGGGCAGGCGTATCAACAAACACGGTGTTCCGTCTGCGACCTGCGCCTCCGGCAGCAATCACTTCTGGTAGATGCTCGGGTTTCCCTGTAGGGGCCGCCCTGCCAATAAACTTCCTAGTAGCTTTGTTTTTCTGCTGCTGATTCGCTGACCATGGGCCTCCAAACTCATTCGGGGGTCGCATTTCCACATACTTCGTCATGTGGTACGCACCTTGCGTGATGACACGCTCAATGAATCTGACTAGGCTCTGTTGCGGTATGGTGTCGAAGCACGACTGGATGTCGAGTTTGACAAAGTAAAAGGGGACGTTGCAGGAAGGCAACTGCCGCTTGAACTCCTTCACGCGCTTCTGGATATCACCCATCGAGGACACGCATGACCCCATCTGGGCCGGGTTATGCAGCTTTTCGTAGTTCAGCACATTGTAAATAGGGGCCACAGTGGAGTTCACACTAGGTCCCAGGAAGCGATTTGTCCTGCCGACCCATTTGCTCTTCATGATCGTGCGTCGCCGAAGGTTGAGGATTGGACGGATGCCTGTCGTCTTTGGGAGAAGCCGTAGAGATCCATGGCCAAGAGCTCTCTGGTGGAGGATATGCTTGGCCTTGTCTGATTTGAGCTCTTCAAACATGGTGGCCTTCAAATTAGACAGTGGTTGCTGGGTCAATTGGTTCCACACATCGTGTCTGAAGTAGAAGATCCGGTTTCTGTGCGTCTGGGACTCCGTCACGTAGAAGTTGGTTCGGATAAGTGGGATTAAAATCGAATCGAATATGTAGTAAACGATTTCGTGCAATAGCTCCGTGCGTTTTTGCAGATCGGTCATTGACAGCTTCCCCGGAGATGACGCATTCTGCCTCACAACGCCTGGAGGTTCCAGCCAGGACATGCATGCAACCTGAGAACGGACACATTAGCTCAACTTTGATGGAGCATGGCTTCTTTCTTGTAGCGCACCTTGATACCCTTACAGACTTCATGGATGCTCAGGCTCTCAAACCGTCTCATGCGCACAAACCGGTCTACATGTTTCATCAAAATGTCACGATTGCAGGTTTTATCCCGGCCAGTGCCGTAAAACTGCGGAGGGATTAACTTGCGCAACACTGCACGGCAAAAAGCAGATACTGCAGATGGACGAGTGGCATAGTCAGTCAAGCTGATTCTTCCGCTCGAGCTGATTACTGTTGACCCATCTGTCACCTCTGGAGAGACTGAGACATTCTGATCCTGCGTGTATCTAGTATCCTTCGGCAATAGCGTCCTCGTTTCATTGAACGGCCGTAGCTGTGTTGTCAAGGGCTCGGACCCCAACGGCAGTTCTTCAGGGTTCTCAGGTTGGGAACCGACTGGTCCAAATTTCCACGGTCCATCAGACTGTTAAGTTAGCTTTTGCGCGATTTATATAGACTCAGTACATACTTTCGGGGCACAGTAATATCTCAGCAATTCACCATATGAACAGTGCTTGTGGCGATTCTGCAGATGTTGGGCCAGCTCTATAATTCCTCCTCGAAGTCTCTTTGGTATCTTGTTTGAGCCCCTTATCGCCGTCAGACATGTACCCCGTAACATGGAAATGCGGAATGGTACCTTTGTTTCCCTGCGTTGGCGATTTCTTCTTCGCGTGAGAAATAATCCTTGACAGGAAGACTGGTCTCACGGCTATTGGGCACGGAAGTGAATACGTTGTGGAGACCAAACTGCCTCGGAAATATGTACTTCAAGACATGCAATGTGTCGGGGAAGGAGCTGGACGAAGGGTACCGATTGAGAACATCTAGTCGATCCGTTAACGGCCATCACACTATGCATTCGAGTCTCGACACGTACGACGACTGGTCAAGCCAAACTGAACATCGCCCTTCGAATTAACGGCGGGACGCGCGTACAGCATGCGTCGGCGAAAAAACACAATGCTGTTCGGTTTCTGCGGAGTCTCCCTGCGGCCGGGTATACTATTTTTAACCGTGGCAGGTATACAGCCACCCACAGGGGCCGACGGGCCGCGCTGTATGGACGGAAAGACAACAGTTTTAGAACCCGGGCCGTTTCCTTGTGCCACGTTCTTGGGTACCGGTTCAAGTGTCGATAGTGGGAGCCCTGTCCTGACCTGAGCATTTGTGCGACCCTCAGTTTCAAAGAAGACTTACCACTGAGTTGGTAGTAGATGCCTTCCCTCTCGTCGATGGCTACAAATATGCCGCAGTCGAAGAGAAGTCTCAGCATGATCTCATCTCCATTGTCGCCTAGGAGACTGAGGACATCGGTCCACGGAGACTGTTTAAGAGCTTCGACGTTATCGTTGCGGTATAAAGCCGCGATCCCTGGGATACTGCATGTTGGGGAACTCTTATGCCTCTTTGGAGGTTGGGGGCCACATGCACGTTGAAAACCATGGGTCAAGAGATGTTGTGGCCTAGAAAAACCGCTACGGTTGAACAGCGCTGATATGACGAAGTCTACTATCTACGGTGCGTCAGTAGAGGTTAAGGCCATAAGACAGCAACCGCAGGGAAATGTCGATAGTAGTGCATGCGCATGATATAGATAAAAGCATATTCATCGACATCAAAGAGTGAAAGTGTATAAGGTTAAGCTTACCTCCGTCTGGGCACAAACAGGTCCGACATTACTATCTTCGACTGATCTTGACTGCGACTGACTGAAGCGCGCCAACTCGCGCCGATTCTCCGGGGTAGACGTAGGTGGTGACTCTTTTGAGACACCAACCAACGTTCTATCCAGTAGATTGGCCAGGCCATGGTCTCCCTCCGTCTCCGCGTCAGAGCCGTCTGCGCGCACCGACGCAATCCGTCGTCGACGCGACTTGGAAGAAACGGGTATTTGCTGCAAGAGATACTGTCGGAGCGTAAGCACCTGGGGATAGTACAGCGAAATGACTGGATGTGAATGGCCTGTCATCCCTTCATGTTTGCTCTTTGGGGAGGCGCATGACCGAGAGTCGCGTGGTTGAATCGCATCTTTAATGGGTCTCTTTCTTTTCTTGCCCATAGATGAAACTTTGGCTGAGGAGAAAAAGTTGATGTAACGAGAGCCGCGATCACAAATTCAAGAGTGAGTTTACTGAAAGCGGAATAGATACTACAGCAGGTAGGTAGAGTGCCAGGTACATGCGTCCGCGTATTTCCTTTCTTGGCGGTTGAGTGAAACGCGCCGAGCCGAAGACGCGCCCCCACGCGACTTGCTCTCACTGCACTACTTCAAATCCAGCACAACGGCTTCAGCATGCCATCCTTACCATCTACCAACGGATGAGCTTGGTTTATTCCGTAATGATTGCCTGCAAGCGATCCTTAACAGGAGCCTTTAGCTGGTGGAGCGGGATTGTCTCAGTTCAAAACACCAGTTGCTTCCAGTATATTCAACGTGCGGTTTAGCTTCGCCTTGTGATTGCCCACGTCCCACGATCCATAGATGAAACTAGCGGGTGGATAGTATCCCTCAGAGACCGGAAGTTGCAGGAAGCCATGAGGTTTCTTCAATTCCAACAGCACTTCATGGCCTTTCCAGTCCATAACTCCAAGGATGGGAGCTGGCATTGGAATGGTCCTTTTTGCCCCGTGGTGCATTGCTTTCTGGTGAAATTATGCCCTGGACTAATATAGATCACGAGGATCCATCTGCCGACCGACGATCTCGATATTACTACCGAAGATGATCGGATGGCTCGGGCAGGATACTCAACAGGGTACTAGAAGCCTATGGACTAGTGCGGTTGTGACTAGCTGGACCATGAGGTCAACACCCTCGCTTATGCTCAAATATATATTGACGCGAGAGGATAGTGTAGTGATCCCGGCCACCGCTTTATCCACTAGCAGATTGGTGCACCTTCTTACGCCGTAATCCCAATAATCTATCCCAGGATGATCCTTGATCACATTACAGGAAGCGAGTGGTATAACGGCGTTCGATGGCTGGACCAAGAGCCGGCTGATCTACGATCGGAGCGGCAGAGCGAGTCAACCAATTCGAATCTAGTTACGACGTCGGCGAGACCTTGGAAAATAACCTAGTGATCGAACGGATGGTGAGATCCCTGCTAATGGGAAGACGCTAGGCCTGCATGACCATCCTGCGAGAAATATTCTGGTTATGATTCGCAAAGCACACAAGACTCTATGCCTGCTTGTTGGTGAATTGACTCTGACCGTTTCTGTCAAGAGACGGAAAGCGACATCCGCCGGGCCGAGGGAGGCTATGGGTGTTTTCTTCAATCTTATCAACATGCAGAACACATGTCGGTTTGTGTTGGGGTTGATTGGTGTTATCTGCAGCTTTCAAGGGTGACCCTGGAAGGAATGTACAATCGTGACTGAAAATCCCACCCAAAAGCCAAGCCCGAATATGTACAACAAACGTCAAATAATTCTACCGTAGGGAAAATCGAAAATGATTGAACCAGTCTTTACGCTTACGCAGTGTAATTAATGCGGAGAGCAACACGCACACAGCTGATGTTATACTGTCAAATTGCACGGTACCTGATAATTGGTGCCGAACCCGATGAGGACAAGACAACGTCGATCTGTGGCGGTTTCTCGCGATGGAAAAGAGCGGGATAATTATAGAAATGGGCCGCAGCCACTGGGTTCGCCCCGACAAGGATGGAGCAGCGACCAGATCCGTGGAACGCCGGCGGTCTAGAAAGGTCGCAGCATTATCTCGTTTTATTGCGTCCCCACCACTCGGAGGAATGCTCCATCCTGGCCCTGCGGAGTCTTGGGGAATTTCCCTATGCCCCAGGATGAATACTGATTGGATATTACAGGATGGCCTGGTATGAGGCTTGAGACTATGGAGTCAAGCCATCTCACTTTCAATATACCTGTCGCGCGCTTTCACTTGGCCACTGAGTCCGTCATGTCGTATGCTAAAAAAATATTACACCAGAAGTATCGCGATATCTTGCTTTTATTGTTCATAATCCTCAGAGTGGTGGGCATGTGGAGCCGGTAGTTCTAGGTAGAGCGCCCAATAGGGTCCCAGCCCATGCCCTTGGAGATTTTGAGATGAATCATTGCAAGAGAACCGCAGTTATCAATTCCCTGCCCTGGCAGCTGAAGACTAGCTACACTTCCTGCCCTTGCTGCTCGCCGCTGCGCCGGAGAAGCTCTCTGACTTCCCGGACTCCTTCTTCACCTGCCAACTCAGGATACAAACGAAGCACGGCGTCTAGTTGTGGCATTGCAGCCCTGATGTTTTCCTCTGTCCAAGAGCAGTGCATCTTGACGAACTGCTCATGGATACCCTTAAAGTGAAATGCAGATTGAAAAAGTAGTCGCCTGCCGGAGTCACTCAGCAATATCGATACAGTAAGAGGCAGGTGTTGCAACACCTTTTTTTGCCTGATTGAATCCTCGAGATAACGACGATCTGCTTCGAAGCTTTCGTTCTCCGATATACCATCATTATCCCACCCAGGAATATTGGCTATGAACTAAGGGTGATGAATAATAGCTGGCAGCGGCGCCACAGATATCCAATCCCAGTCAACGACCCTGTAATCGAGCATATTTGTTATGATGGTACTATACATAGCATCAGAAAGCAACGCATGCTTACCCTGTCAAGTGGAAATCGTCGCTTTTTATAATATTATAGGCATTCAGGTCTCCGTGGGCAAACCCAATGCCAGAGTATTCATCATACTCGGCGGTATAATCCGGGATCATGGACCGCATAATCAGGTAGTTGATAGCATTTCCCCATCTAGCAGTACCTCTGAGGGTTCGCCGAAGTCCTCGATCCAAACTTTCAGTGAGCCATGTGGAGTAAAAGCAACTTTTTTCTTGAGCAAAGGTGGAAGGAACAGGAGTAGTCCATAGTTGCAATAAGAATTCTGCCAAGTCATCCAGAAGCCTCTGGCGTTTAAGCAAAGGGATTCGGGAATTCCAGATTGCAAGAGGCTTGCCACTGACCCACTCTGAATATACTACAGGGTACTCTTCTTCAACGAAGAGGTCAGGTGCTTTGATCTTCGGACGTTGCTTTTTGATGTGTTGAAACTGTCTGACAGCCCGTAGTTCGGCTTTCCAGTTATCTGGATCGTTGCTGACTCGGGCAGCCCATTGTACGGAGTCTTCAAAGACAATCTTGAAGACGCGGTGTGAGCCACCAAGGCAAGGGCATTCGTCGGCAAGCACACATGGGATGCCTAGGCGAAGGCGACTAGCTGCTTGGGAGAGCATATAAAGCGAATCCGTCATCCTAGGACTCCCTTCAACAGCATGGAAAGGCAGAAAGTGGGATAGAGGGAAGAATAAGGACGGTGGCGGCGGGAGTTATGCTTATTCGCTAATACTAATAATACCTGAACTGTACATCCCCTTTGTCGTCCCTGATTAGGATTAGACTTGGTATTGCGTCGGGTCGGGTCGGATTATCTAAAATTCTATCTAAGATCTGCTTTAAAATCTACTGTAGTAAAGGCTCAGAGGGACCTAAGAGCGGTAGCAGAATGTTAGATACTGTTGAGGAATTTTTGGGTACCAGCCAGCTGTAAGCCGATCCTCGGGCCCTCCCGTGTCGGACAGTGGGATGAACAAATCACCACACTACGGGATAGAGTCTTTTCATTTTGCTAGGTGTGCAGTAAGGCATTGGCCATTGACCTTACTGCGCTACTGCACACCGACCTGAGAAAGACACAGCAAATGTCCAACCCCCACGCCGCCGGCGGTGTTGTCCCTTGCTCGTGGAATTCCGACGACATGCTGGGATGGGGATGGAATGATGAGTACAGCACAGCAGAGACGACAGGATCCTTCGCGACCACTCCGGATCCATTGCTTATAGGCCACAGATCGAGGTGCCGTGCTATCAAGTCATACGACGTTACAAGGGTCTCTATGGGAGGAGTCATATCTCATTGTTCTTACGGGTCACAAACGCTAGGCATGATAGACCATGAACTAGTCGCGATGGATCGTCCTTCATCCACGGTGGCTCCCGCAGTCTCGTACTTTGTTGTCAAGCAGTCACCGCCAGATTCAACAATGGCATAGAAAGAATATTAATTTCCGAAGAAGTGCATACTTCGGGGCTGTCCCTGACGGCTCTGACGGCTGTGACAGGCGGCGGTGGAAACCGTCTGCTGGGGGTGATTACGTGCTGTACCAGAAAATTTCCCGGCTGGTACTGGTCGGGAATTTGTTGTCGGGGACCATGTTGTAATGGTGGTATATTTAGTAAACAATAAGGTGCGAACTACGACAGGTTCATTATCATCAAGCTCAAGCTTGTTGATATGATTAGCTTCTGGTACTTAGACACTACTACTTTAAAACTAATCTATCATTCTTCACGGGAGAATCTAAGCTGGATAGATCGGAATGGGGGGGAAATGAGACAATCCTCAGGCATAAAGAATCCGTCAGGTGGAGCCAGCGCTAGATGGGATCCACGGAAATGAACCATTGCGACCACCACACAAATACAATGAAACACCAATCATGGGCTGGCGGTGGGCTCTTTCTGTTGCTGTGCTGTGTCTGGGGCCCTTTGTTCCTGAGCCTTCTTTTTGGCCCGTTCCATGCACAGGGAGTGTGTAGCAGACTGAGTCAACCGCCCTTTCTTTAAAAGAGACCGTCTTAATATGGTTAGGTAGCAAATTAGTGATAATGTAGTCTGTAAAGAACTGCCCTGGCTACTGGGGTTGATGAATCTGATCTTTAGGATCGGATGAAACTTTTGTACCTTAACTAATGTGTGGCTCCCCAGGCGATGGAACCGACTAGACCCCCTTCTAGCACGAACGGGGTTAAGTGTCAGAGGTGGTCAGTGTCCAGAATTCCCTGAAGTAAGGTACGGCATTGCGTAGGTCGTTTGATTTTTCATTCTCATGGATAATAATGTTTTTATTACAGCTGGTCATGGAGGCGGAATTGGGTCAGGATGACTGCCCTTAATTTCTTCTTCCAGCGGGTCTCAGAACCTTCTTTCAACTAGTTGTGGTGATAGTTAGTCGGTCATCTTAGTTGAATCTCGGGAGTTCAGATCCATTCACTCGTTCATCGCACTCGATTCATAGAGTTCCTCTACTCCAGTACAGAGTACCCCGATAGTATTTCTTTTTCTCCCCAAAGAAGACGTCGGATGAACACATCACCCAAGTCTTCGACTCGATCAGTCGGTCTCCGCAACAGATAAATAAGAGCCCCTTCATCAGGACAGCGGACAGCCCCATCAAGAACAACGAAGACTGACGATTATCCTCCCCGAGAAACAACCAACAGGGCTAGGAAATCGGCCCACATCGACCAAGGTGAGATCGCTAGACACGGCCTCGTCATGATTAGTTAGTTCGTTCGATGATTTATTGTCATTATTATTATTTATAAATATGTATTTATTTATTGATTACTCTCTCTTCTCCAGCCCCAAGCAAACCCCTCCCGGCCCACCTGTGACGGTCCAGAAGAACCGGCTTTTCCTTCTTCACCTACCTATGATTCATTCCTCCTCCCCCTCACCACGATTGTCCTCCACCACTACAACACCCACCCCTGCTAGCCGCCGTGCAAACAACCAACCCTACACTCGCTCTTCCGCCTCGCCCCCCAGTCTGACTTCCCGACAAATCCAACCTGACCATTCTTCTCCTGACCGACCTTGTTGACTGTCTGACCGTTCGTTCCCTTCCCGTCGTTGTCTCCCAAACCTTACCGGCCGAGCTTTGTTTCCACTAACCCTCGGTCGTTTTCTTTTCCCAGGTCAGCCTGTGACAGTACCCATACGGAGTACATCGCCAATCATCCGTTCGGTCCTCTGCTACCAGTCATCTCTCTCTCTCCCCTCTGCGCGTCTTGCTTCTTTTCTTCTTTGGTCCCCTGTCTCTCTTCCCGATCCGACTTCTGCCATCTCGTTCGGCTCGCCGCTCCCTCCTGCGTCGTTCTCTTCTAAATATGACGCCCGACTGGGGTAATGCTACCCGGTGATGCTCGTGCTTTGTAGTTCTGGCCGGTCCATCTGCAACTTCATCTGTGACCTACCAGCTGTGAACAACGCATCGCAAGCCTGAGCACCCTCGATCAGGAAGGTTCTCCACCAACCATCCCGTTAGGTGACAATTCGCGCCGAATCATACCTATAGCTCTGAAATTAAAGGGGAAAACAAAAGTACAGAGGCATCGTTCGGGGAGGGACAAAGACGCACTGACTGAATCTCCTTGAAGAATGCAAGATGTCCGGCGGCGATGTCGAACCCAGCTCTTGCTTTCTCAACAGCAGCCCCCGGCGCCTATCGTCTCCGCCTCCTCACGACCACTTCTATGAGCTTCAGAACGCTCAAGAAGCGCCTCTAGCCGCGCCGTCTTCGCCTCCCCCGTTGTCGGTGTCCAGTACCACCCACCCTGCAGACCGCCGTCTCTCACCCTCATCCTCGAACAACCATCCGCTTTCGTCCACCATAGACACGCACATATCGTCAAACCCGGACGACTTCTATCGCACACATCTTTCCACGATATCGGCGGGGAATAACACTGCTGCTAGTCCGGAAAGTCTCCGGAGTGGTTTCGTCACAGGAGAGCTCCATCAATCCCAGCGTGTGTCATCCGTCCCAACACGACCCGGGCCGTCGTCGATTGTTCAGTCCGGACAATATCGTTCAGCCTCAGACACGTTCAAGAGCATCGGGCCCCGATCCACCAAGGACCGATCTGCCCAGATCCCAACCGCCAGGTCACGACAGGCCTCGTTCAAAGACCTCGTCAATAAATTCAACAACAACGTCGACCAGGTCCTACCCCTTCCCTCCGCGCCTATATCGCAGGAAACATCCAGGGCTGCGAGTCCAGTGAGTCCCATCGACGGTTCCGTGCGGAATCGGGCCTCGTTCCGCCAGCGCAACAACGATCCCTCCGCCAGACAGCCTTCACTGCCTCGGTGGAATTCAGCCCACGAATTCAATCAAGCTCGCGGTCCATCGTCGACTTCGTGGAAAGCTAGCGGCGTCAGCAATCATCCTCCATCCTCTCATCCGAATCCTCCCGACTCTCTCACTCGTCGGCCTCGGTTTGGGCAATTACTATCAGTAGACACAAGCTTCCAGGGCCAGGGACATGGAATCCCGTCGCATCTGCGACGTCGTGGTTCGGAAGGCAGCATCGCCAGTCCACATCCCGGGCTTTTAGAGCCCTTCGATCCGTCACCGGGACGGTCTCCTCTGACCCCCACCGCATGGTATTTGGGGCATACACCATTCCTAGAAGCTGTCAGTACTGGCGGGAACCATCATAGTCACCGGCGGACGAGGAGTGATATTTCTGGGATTTGGCCGGAGGGAGCTGCTGTGCACGCTCCCAGTTTCCACATGGCGGCCGCGGCCCCCTTGCAGCCGTCCTCCCCAACGTCGTTAGAGGACAGCCCACATTCCAAGTCCCGCATTCCTGTCTCTTCCCGCCGCCTCCAGTCGCCATCCGCTTCGGGTGATTCCTCCCCTACTGCCAGAGTCGACTCCACGTTCAGCAACCGGGTTGCCGCCCAGGTCTCACTGCCACCGAAAGGTATTAGCCGCCTTCCCAAACCGGCGCCAAAATCTCCTTCCCACGCGTCGAACGATGAGAAATCCCCAACGTTTGCATTTTCCCCACGCGCGAAGCGGGATATGACCCATGGTCGTTCTCGTCGGCCCCCTCCTGTGAAGGGTCCGTCGTTAGGAGCATACATAGCCGCTCCACCTCCTCCAAAGAAATCTCCAACACTACGCAGTTCTCGGCCCCGACCACCGGTGTCGCATACCTCTTCATCTACAGCACGATCTAAAGTGGGCGAGCGGGTGTCGAATTTCCAGAAACAGCTCAATAACGACCGTGAACCCCGAAACTCCAGGCCGCGGGATCGACGCCTGCCGGAGTTGGGTAACGTCGATTTTGCGACCAGGCGACAGAGAATCCAACAGGCATTCAACCGTACGGTCCAAGAGAATGAAAGGAAGGAAGAGAAAGCAGCAGAGCTTCGCCGGCAGGTTAAAGCTCGAGAAGAGAAGCAGGAGGCACCTCCCACTCCGGCGGTTGAGCCTCCGCGAGAAGATACGCCCAAACCAGTCAATCCTCCACCGCCTGAAGATACCGCAACTGTGATAGAAGTCTCTCCCGAGGACAGTCATGAAGAGAAAGAATTGACGCCGGAGTCCGATAATCCTCAAGTGCCACCCCAGCTTCGTGTTGACACAGACATCTGCAGCCAAGGGAGCGACTGCACGACTACTGAAACCCACCCTATAACGATGGACTCGCCCACCCTTGGAAACCCCGAGGGCGCACGCCAGATACATTCAAAATTAGTTGCGCCCGTTTCTGCGATGTCTACCGAGACACACGGTACTGCGTTCGACCCAGAACCTCAGGAAGGGCTTACGCGAGAGAACATACATGCGTCGCACCGGACATTGCTAAGTCAGATCATGCAAATCCGAGAGTCCAGCCCCAGCAGCTCATCATGTGACGAGCAAGATTTCAGCATGTCTGAAACGGATGACAGAGAGTCTGTTCCAATTATGTTAAAGGATGCGACGGGCATCGACGACTGCATGGACAGCAGCGATAACCCGGAGCACTCTGACTCGTATAACCAACATGATGCGTCCGGAAATGGTATAATTAATCGGTGGAGCATGAGCTCCTGGTCGTCATCCCTTCGCAACCAGCACTCTACGGATGATCAGTGCGAGGCCAGTGGAGACGATCTCTCCCAAGTTCCACCGTCTGTGGACGAGAGCGAGGCGGCCACTACTCAATCATGTTCCGCTTCAAGTGCACCCGAATCGATTACCATCCCTCAACTTTCTCATGTTCCTCAGGAGAACCGGGCGGAGCTTATCTCCAATCACGAAGCGGTCAGGGCGGCCTTTGGCTATTCCAACGCACCTAATCTGGCGAGGCTAGGTGGGTGGGATTCCAACCGTGTGACTCAACTGTATTTAGAAACTCTCACTCGCGGCAAAGGTCATCAGCTTCCCATGCCTGCAATCCGCGCGTCGCCCGAGCCTCGAAATGCAGTCGATACAAGGGCGGATGGAAGAGCTGACAGCCTGACTGACGAGCCCGTCGTTGTGTCAAGCAAAGATCTTCCTCCGTCCGAACGGCTGGGGCATACCGCCAGTCTAGTCCTGCCAGACGATTGGGAACATGCCTCTCCGTCTATTCTGGATTGGATGAAAGTTGCAGCGGAAGAAGCTGCGCCGCCACCACCACCACCAAAAGATTCTATCATTCCCAACAACAGTACACCAACTCCGCGACCGGACGCTCAAATCTCGTCATCAGCGACCCCCGGTGAAACCCTTGGCCTAGCCATCAATGTTCAGCTACCCAAGGAGGATTCGGAAGAGCGTGCCCCTACTTTGCCGCGGTATGATGCTTCAGAGCTTCCCACGGGTTCACAAGTTGAAGAGTTGCTTCCTGTACCTCTGGCTAAAGAGCAAGCGCAACTGTTGGGTACATCCCAGAGTACCCCATTCGCACCTTTGGGCCCTGTGCAGAGCACTGGGAGCAGTGGGGACTCCTCACTCCGACACGCGGAATCGGTTGCCTCTCCTGAGGCAATGGGTTCTTCATCTACCTCTTTGGTCCCGTCCACCTCTGAGCAGGTGCGGCCGGCCTCCATGTCTCCATCTCCAGAACAGCGGCGTTTGAAGAAGCGACGGCACGTTATCAAGGAGCTGATCGACACTGAATATACCTTTGGAAGGGATATGAAAGTCGTTGACGACATCTACAAAGGCACATCGAGTTCGTGCTTGGACCTTTCTTCGGATGATGTAAAGGTCCTTTTTGCCAATTCGGATCAAGTGGTACACTTTTCGATGGTCTTTCTGGATTCCCTAAAGGAAGCGGCGAGAAGCGTCTATGTAATGCCCAAATCACAGCGCTGGAGCAGCAAACGCAGTGCGAGAAACCACCATATGGTGAGGACCGACACAGAGGCTTCTGGTGTACCGGGACTCTCGGAGCTTGACAAAGATCATGCGACCTGCATCGGCCAAGCCTTTATCGCTAACATGGCTCAGATGGAAAAAGTTTACGCGGACTACCTGAAGAACCATGACGCTGCCAATAAGAAACTCCAAGCCTTGCAACGCAATCCAAAGGTCGCCATCTGGCTCAAGGAGTGCCGAGAGTGGGCATCAGATCTCACAAGCGCGTGGGACTTGGATTCATTGCTTGTCAAGCCAGTACAGAGAATCCTGAAATATCCTCTGTTATTAACAGAGCTCTTGGACTCGACGCCAGAGAACCACCCCGATCGCCCAGCTCTTCTCAGTGCTCTCGAAGAGGTCACCAGCATCTCGGTTCGTATCAACGAGATGAAGAAACGGGCCGATCTAGTTGGCCAAGTCGTCGGCCGAAAGCGAAAAGAATCCGATGTCAGAGCCGGCTTGTCCAAGGCCTTTGGTCGTCGTACGGAGAAGCTGAAGCAGCAGGTGGGGCTCTCAGAACTGGTCGAGGATAAGGAATACGATGCTCTGTCCCAACGTTTTGGAGACAACTTCTTCCAGCTGCAGGTCGTCATGCGGGATGCTGAGATGTACACTCGCGAAGTGCAGGGCTCTCTCGAGCGTTTCAGTGAATTTGTCTCTGCCATTGAAGGTTTCGTCGATGTATCTCAAACCAACTATTCAGAGTTGGAGGGAAAGTGGCGTGAACTTAGAGTGACTGTTCAGGGATTGTTATCCGTGGCGTTGCCGGATCATGTAAGAGAAACCACCTTCTTCGCGCACACCCATCCCCTTGCACCTACATCGATCCACGCCATGCATCGCCTTCTATTGATCTGAGAGTATGGGCTAATCCGAGTCTAGATTGCCACCGTTCGCAAGAGTGTCATCGATCCAATGGTCACCTTACTGAAGCTCCACGATGGTCCCCAGAGAGTAATGAGGAAGCGCGACAAACGCCTGATGGACTATGCACGCTTCAAAAGCATCAGGGACAGGGGTGACAAGCCCGATAAGAAGACCGCCGAGCAAGGCGAGCAATTTGTGGCACTCAATGAGACCTTGAAAGATGAGCTTCCTAAGCTTTACTCTCTGACCGCCAAGTTGATGGAGGCTTGTTTGGAAAACTTTGTGCAGATACAGTCGACCTGGTTCAATACTCTGCAGGAGAAGCTGACCTCTCTCGTTGATGTGTTCCCGGATGACATCCAGAAGGTCATTGGGGATTGGTCCGCAGCTTTCAACTTCTCAGAAGCTCAAGTACTATCGCTTGGGATTTGCAACGGCTCGTTGCTCGCGGAAGCTGTCAACCTTGTGAACTTCAACACACCCTCAACTGGGGCAACCATCAGCTCACCTCGACGGCCTTCAACCGTTAATAGCTCCAGCACGCGAGTGGGATCTGGCATTGAGGACTCACCCAAAGTTTCTCACGACTTCAGCACTGGCAGTCGGCCGTTCCAGTCGCCAAGTCTCGATAGCCAGTCCCAGATCTCCCACGGACGCCACCGTACTGATTCCACATTCTCAGGCCGCACTGGAGGCGATCACCCTGAAATTCCGCGTAGTCAGGCGCTGCAACACATTACCCATGGCTCCTCGACCTCTATCCCTACCATCAATTCCAATACGGAATCGTTCCCCAGCCTTCCTCGTCTGAGTCTCGAATCGCCTTTCTTAGCCGACCTGATCGGCCCATCCAACGACGAAGCGAAGCCAAGTGAGGAGCAACCTACCTCTCCCGGCGGTCGTTATTCTGGGTTCTTCTCGTCTGCGATGCCGATGTCCGACAATCCGCAAGAGAATGCCCGGCCTGAGAATGACGCACCCAAAGAGCCTGCCGTTCTCTTCCTTGCTGCCAGCATTTACGAGTTCAATATTGATCGGGCTCGACGCGAAGCTGGGTACCCTTATTTGACATATGTGGCCGGCGAGATCTTCGACGTGATCGCGGAGAAGGGTGAGCTATGGCTGGCCAAAAATCAGGATGATCCCACGAATCAAGTCGGCTGGATCTGGAATAAACATTTTGCGAAGCTTTCGACTTGAGCTATTGATTTCGGTGGTATCGTTTTGCTTGTATATTTGACGTGACTTGCCGACTCGCCTACGTCCTACGATTTTCGACCTTCCTGGATGCGAGACGTCCTGAGGTCGCGCAGTTGACAATCACGCGGCCTACCTATGGAACACTTTTCATTCGCGATGAATTTGTTTTGTGGTGGATCAGAAACATCTGCCCCTATACGACGGCTGAATAACTGTTTTATTTTGTTTGATCTATTGTTTGCTATGGAGCGGGATGTTGCGACCATGATTGCTGTTTTATCTGGGTCTCAGTCGAGACTGGATGCTCCCTCAGGAGCAGACATGTACATTTAGATACCCCCATGATTTGAGCTTGCTATTTGAGACGATTAGATACCGAACATGAGCTATGTCCATTGAGTATGTTTATTCAAAAAGTGGTTGCACAACGACCTAACCCAGCCACATACACCGCCACAGCCAGTGACGTCGTGCGCCGTGGCTGATGACGCTGGATCACGATCTCCCGCAAGGAAACCGGCAGTCGGCGACCAGTTTGCCGTCCCGGACTCGATCAATCATTCCCGTCCCTTGCATCGGACTCCTCTTTTTTTATACACCTCGTCTTGGGTGCTGTGGAATTCTCTGGCTGTTGTCCTGGTCCCTCCCCCGCCACATGTGATTCGACTGTCGCTGCAGGGGACCGTTTCGAACAACCAAGGTATCTTCTTTCCCCGTTCCGAGTGAAACCGGAGATCACCCACAGCTCATCGACGCAAGATCCAGTGCCCTTGGCCTAGAGTTTTGTCGCTCGAAACTTCTTCCTATATGACTTTGCAACGTCCCTCGCCCACCGGCCTCAAGTCATAACTCGCAGTCCTCCCGTTCCTCCTCCGTCTTCCTCCACATCCCGCCTTGGCAATTTCACCACCGAGGTTGGCATTGACCGGAGATACACGTCTGCGGATAGACCTAGTGAACATACACACATATATATACGTATCATCAACGCACCAACAACGTCTCGCCCCGCGGATAGATAGGTAGGAGCCGTAAAAATGCGCGAGGGCGGATTGGGCAGACTGCAGAAGAGGATGAGGAGGTTCGGTGACACCGTAGGGCTCTCTGTCTTGTGTTCCGTCGCGGGTTTCAGAAAAGATGCTGAATGCTGATCATGGTGCTTTTCCAGTTGAATCCGGACGATGCGTACCTCAGCTGTGAGTTTGGCTGTTCTTCCCTCGAATCGCAACTCTTCTCGGTGATGGGGAGTGTCTGACCGGTCCGAGTTCTCAGATCACGATATCCGATGTGCGTAAAGCGATCCTGTCGAGCCCCGGGCGTGGCCCTGGTCTGGTCTGACGATTCATAGTAACGCGGGAAGACATGCAATCTCTCAAAAATGACTGGTTGACGGATAATGTGCGTATCTGAATTCCTTCCGATCTTTTGGATCTACATGCATGGATTCTTATGATGGGACTGTCTGTGCTGACTTTCGCAGATAATTTCCTTCTGGGAAGAGTAAGACGAGTCTTTTACCAGCTTTCTTGCCGCGCATCCCCCAACTGAAGCAATCTAGGTATCTGGAGCGCGAGTTCCTGGTACAATATAAACACTCGAATATTGTCCTCCTCCGGCCAAGCATGTCGTTCATGATCTTGCAAACCCCCAACCCGCACTCCTTGCGCGAAGCCCTTCCGGACTTCTCCCGCACGACGCACGTATTCCTGCCCATCAACGACTGCCGCAACGTGACCGAGGCTGAAGGCGGCACCCACTGGTCTCTGCTGCTGATCTCCATCGTGGATGGCGTCGCCTTCCACTACGACTCGCTGCCGCCTGGTAATTATTGGGAGGCGCGACAGGTGACGATGAAGTTCGGGGCGCTTCTCGGACGGCCGATCAGGTATATTCATCTGGAAGACTCCCCTGTGCAGGAGAACGGCAGCGACTGCGGGGTATTTGTGTGTCTGAGCATGCGCCATCTGCTGCTGAAGCGGTTGTTGACAGCCAACGCGAACGAGAAGGTCAGCATGAGTCTCGGAGGCCGAAAGGTGGACGCGCGCGCCGGGCGCAAAGAGATCGCGAAGATTATCGAGGGCTTCCGGAAAGAAGGGGAGCGACGGAGATCGTACGTTGACCTATTGGTTTATATCAGTTGCAACCCGACTGCTTTTTCTGCTTTTTCATTTGTTTATCTGATGGTGATTGCTGACGGTGAGTGCAGCGCGAGTCTTAGCCCGTTAGGCAAAAAGTCACGGAGTCCTCCACGGATCGAATGAGGCGTTGTAGATGGGCCCCGGTGCAGTGGCGTGTTACGTACGGTATGGATTACGCGGAATGGTATACGATTTCACTGGTTTGAGGTTCTCCTTCGTGTTGTCTCTTTCTCTTTTTTGGATTATACTTAGTCTGTGTTTTGATAGTCTCGTCTGCTGTGGTAGACGAGGATGTTGCTTTGCATCGCAGCCTTGCATGAGCATAATATCATTCTATTATACGGGATCTTTTTGAAGTAGCCATCATAGTTGACATGGGATTGGATTGTGTTGCTAAACAGGCGTACAGACACGGGTGTAGTTCAAACACCGACTAACCGTGGTGTCCAGCAACGATCTATCTAAGGCGGAGATATATATCCACGGCATCATCACTCAACGTCATCTCTAAAGGAAGCGGAAGAATATATCATGAGAGACGACGCGACAAAAGATCCACCTTGTATGTCCTCTATCTCCCTTCAGTATCATGGCTAACGACTGCCGCATCCAGGAGGAACCTGGTAATTTCGTGTTGGTACTCGACCGTTGTTGACATCCATGTGTTCTTGAGACCATCAAGGAAAGAACACTATCGACCCTTTCCCATGCCATGGATGTAAACAAACTGTGAGTCCCGATTTGTGAGTCACTGTTTGTTTACATTTGTGTTGCGTCCACAATGGAAAGAGGCAATGGGTTTGTTTTGCACCTGGCAAACTCGAAGTGGAGGGTGATGCTTGTCGACCACGATATGAGACCAATGAAGCAGGCCTCGTCTACGCCATAAGCTGGTGAATCTACCGTTTGCAGGGAGGGACCAGTGAAGGGATATCTGGGAAGGACGTCCATTCATAGGGCTGACTGGTATCCACCGTGAAGAAGCTAAACGGACATAAGCTCATTGTTGCAGCGGAGTCTAAGACCGTTCGAGCTAGTTTGATATCCGAGTCCATATCACATCGCCCTACATCTACTCCTGTGTGCTTCACCATGCATCTCCGTACTTCTCCAATGGTTGAGTGTCGTCCGCCATCCTGGGCACTGGGCTTCTTCCTCCTTCCACATCTCGCTCCGACGTGATTCTGGCTGCCATGCCTCTTTCCAACTTCATGAAACAGAAGTCGCCCTCCGCGACGATGCTGCCATTCTCATTCAGAAGGAGCCCGCTGGTTCCTTCTCCAACAGCAACGCATCCTGCCTATATATCCCCCGCCGTTCTCCCGTGTCTCCTCTTCCTCCTCTTCTTCTCTCCATGCCTCATGGTCTAAGCTGCTAGTATCGTTTCTAACGTTTACGCCCACGCTTCTTCCGTCCCTGGCCAGCTCCCCCTGCGTTCCCCTTCCCTGCTTTCTTCTCGTGCTTCTTTTTGGCCCAGTACACAATGGCTCGCCTTTGTGTACCCGGGTTCCCTTTTCGTCCTTCGGAGAAGGTGCCTCGATTTACGACACGGCCAGCCTTTCGTTCCTTTCCTGCCCGCCGTATCGTATATCGACCCACGACACCGACTCCGATCCGCTCCTTTGAGCCAGTGTTTAGCAAACCTGGCATCCGGTACTTCCCTCGCATGAAGAAAGGTTCGCGTATTCCTGTTCGTGTTGTCCCAGCACATATCTCTCGTTTCCTGGCCCGTGGCACCCTTCCCACTGTTGCCCCAGTCACTCCTTCAGCCCGGCCCAATGTCACTCCTTCATCTTCCCCCGCCACGGAGGCTTCTCTCGCTTGTCTCGAGGAGAGAAGAGAGGCTCGTCAGGCCAGATCGCGGCCTTGGGCTCAGCTCAGGTCGTCGATTGACAAGCAGTCCCGTCAGGGACACCTGTCAGCCCACCGTCCGTGTACCCCCCATCCCACCCGTGTCTCTCGTTCTGTTACCCGTCCCCAGACTCCTGTCTCTCGTTCTGTGGCTCGGCCTCCCACTCCTGTCTCTCGTTCTGGCGCTCCCTGTGGCCGTTGCCCTCATCACTGCCCCCAGCCCCGGCCCCAGCGCCAGCCCCGTCCCCGTGTTCCTGCTTCTACTTTTGCTCCTCGTTCCCAGCCTCCTGTCACTCGTTCTGAGGCCCCGGTCACTCGTTCTGTACCCACTGTCACTCGTTCTGTACCCCCCGTCACTCGTTCCCTCCCTCCCATCTCCGAGCCCACGGTGAAGGCTACTCGGACACGCGCTCAACGGGTTCCGGCCCAGACAACTTCCTCCTATGCGAAGGAGAGGCGCGTGCGCTTCGGCGTGACTACGGTCGTCCCTGTATCTCGCTGGATCGTGCGGCAAGAGCATGTGTATCCCGCTCCGCCTTTGGCCATGGGCCACTTGCAGGGTTGGGATGTCACTCCTCTATCGGAGTCCGATGAAGCTGGTGAGGATAGCAAGTTTGTTACGTATTGGGGTTCCGATTCGTACATCATGCTTACATCCAACCATGCCAAGGAGCCTTGTGATCGTTACGGTTGTGCGTGGAATACCCTGGCTCGCATCCAGCGGAAACGCCCGCACTGGTCCCCCGAACGTATCTTCAAGGCGTGGCTGCACATTCGTTCCAATATCAGAAAGCAAGGAGGGTTCGCCCTATGACTTAGCTCTGATCTTCCCTTCCCTTCTTTCTCGCCCCCACGTTCTCTACACCCCGCTCCTTGTCTTTGTCTTTCCTTTCTTTTCTTTGTGCTGCTTCACGCGAACCTTTTCTTCACTTCCACTCCTTTTACTCCATTGGATGGACTTCTCGGAAGTCCATCAGGTTCTGCTGATCGGGTCACAGGTCGCTACCGCATGTCCTGCCGTGATATTGGTGGCTAGGCTTAGCCGACGGAAGGGTAAGTCATGACCTCCAATGTGTTCGGAGAACAAGTCCACTGACTGCAACTCAACAGAGGATTCCTAGGCGAGGGGTTCCATCTTCATGGGTAATGACGCCGGACTGTACGCGGTCCGTAAGTCGTATCCCTTCCCAGGAGCGGTAGCATCCCGCCGCACTCGCGGACGCACTTGGTACTGCGAGGAGGATTTCTTGGTAAGTTCCTCCTTGCCCTCGTTGGCTCTTCACAAGTGACTGACTCGCGTTCCTAAGGGCATCGGGGGTTCTATCCTGGAGAGGATCCTGTTATTACTATTAGTTAGTGCCCTCCAGGGTTGCGAGTGTTCCGCACGGGAAGGTGTTGGATTTGCGTTTCTGGTTTGCTTTCTTTCTTGTTCCATTGGCACTGGAGAGGCGATGTATCAGGCGTTTGCGTTTCTTTCTGTTCTACCTCCAGAGGGTTGGGTGGTGGGCCATTTGCTTTGCTTTGCTTTGCTTTGCTTCGTTTTTTTGCGTTATGCATATTGGCACTGGAGAGACACTGTATTTTTGCTTTTCTGTTCCATCCTCATAGGAGGTGGATTGGTCCTCCAGTGGGTTGGGTGGTTGGGCCATTTGCTTTGCTTCGTTTTTTTGCTTTGCTTTCGTATATTGGCACTGGAGAGGTGATGTACCAGGCATTTGCCTTCCTTTTTGTTCTACCTCCAGTGGGTTGGGTGGTGGGCCAATATAAATGTATTATATTGCTTCACTGGCGCTGGAGAGACACTGTACTTTTGTTTTTCTGTGCCATCTTCATAGCAGGTGGATTGGTCCTCCAGGCTTTTGAATCAATGCCCAACATTCGCTTTGGGATTTGATCATCCATCACAATCGTACGCAGGATTCCGCTTGACATTGTATGGCGGGTGTGAGGGAACGACACAGTGCTCTTAGACACGACGGTGGAACATGGCATTAGACAGCATCAGACCGAAGGAAACAAAGGCGAGGCCTCAGATATACCGCGATGTTATTCCTAGAGACACATCGGGGATCAGACGGTGCACCGGAAGGACCCTATCAAGGTGTTTACTGAGGAGACGATTGTGGTGGGATTCGGCAGAAGGGTCCGGGTCTGGAGTTTGCGGTGTTTGGGAGGGACGCATTGGACCCTGACCCATGGCAGGGGAACGGATACAAGAGATGTACAAGAGAGGTACCAGAGGCTGGCCGCAGGGAACATGTCCATTGAACGTTTCTTACGGACGAGGGCACAGCTAGAATCAACCAAGACGAAGGGACATCAGGCTACGGGATCATCGGGTATACAGCGCGGAGAAACACCATAGATGGGTCGGTGTAAATTATAAAGTATGGACAGCATAGATCGACGGAGAAAAGGGAAGACAAGATCAGCGAGTCAAAGAAGAAAACAAACCCGGACAATTCTGGCAACCGTATATCCCCCGAGACAGAACAAGACAAGGACACAACACGACAAGGAAACTCCGACAAACACCCGCCGATGATGAAAACAGACAATATGCAAGGAAGAAACGTGTACATACAAAGCAGGCCAGGCGCAGCTGTTCGCAGACGACGACCATGAAGCATAAATGGGAGGAGGAAAGAAAGCACAATCGTAACGGAAACCAAGACGCTGACAGCCAAAGAGTCTATAAATCGAAGGAGAGGTTCCAACCATTCATGCGCTAGGCGACACAAGAAGATAGGGGAGGCCCTGCCGCTGAAAGCGGTTGGGCCGTGTCATTCCTTTTGAATGACGAGAAGAGGTGGTGCACGTAGTACGGATCGGGCTGTGTTCCACGCTTATGGTGGAGTTGGGGTTTGCCGGACTTTGGGCCGGTCAAGGTCACGTCGTTCGCGCGTACGCATGTGTATCCCGTCCGATCCTTGGTCAGACGTGGGGGGTGGGTTGATGTGATGGGGGATTGTGGGATGCGCCTGTTGTTGCTGCTGCTGCTGCTGAGCGACAACCTCCCGTGCGTAGAACTCCACAAGCATGGTCCCATATGCCTCGAGCTCCTCTACCGGGATCGACAGTCGGAAGTCGTTCAACAGAAGGAACTGCAGTTCCAAGTGGTTCAATTCGACTAGCGGAAGGCCCCCAACCTATTCAACATAGATCAGCTATCAACAGCTTAACTCAAGGGGAGAGGACTAATAGCTTACCTTTGCGTATCGAGAATTAGTATAGAAAACATCGGAGAAGAATTTACTGGCACAGGTCACGCCCGCGATGACCAGTCGATGAATGTTGAAACTATCCACAACAAAGAAATGCGAGAGGAGATCGTCCTGCTCCTGGGGATCTAATGACGGGGAGACCGAGGAAGGTGTTGAGGGGTCTTGGGCTCTGACGCCACCGGAGGATGGAGGGGTCACCATCGGAGAGGTGTGGGTGGGAAGCGTCACAGGCGAAGATCGAGGAGGCGCTTCTTCCTGGACCGCGGAGGAACTGGGTCCGCGGCGGCGGAGGCTTTCAATTTGGCCCTTGTTGACCAGTTCGGTCATACGGTCAAAGTAGATAAGAAGACTGAGAAAGACCTCGTATGTAGTGGGACAATATTTATGGATGCGGGACAGATAGCTGAGGATGCTGATACTCGGCACATTCTTGCCGTGAAACGCGAGCACGCTGGTGGCCTGGGGGCTCAGGTTCGTGGTGCCGTCCGGAGGAGGGATGTGGCGATGGACGTGTTCGTGATGCATGTCGTTGGTGGTGGTGATTTTCGTCAGGAGCCCCGCAACCATTTCGATGATGTCCGTGACCGGCATGGAACTGATCTCGTATTGGTACTCCTGGGACCATTGTCCGGGCACGTGGTCCCGGTGCGACTGGGCCAGGAACTCCTCGCTGGCGAAACTCTGGATATGAGACAGGTCCCGGATCTTGATGCGACTGGGAGAGCTGGCCTCGGAACCTCCTAGCGACCGCATGGATCGGAATGTCGGGCGCAACCGTGGCGAAGCGGGCGACGAGCGGCTTCCCGGATGCGAGCTGCCGGTTGGGATTTGGCCGTGGTCGCCAGACGATTCGGAAACATGATGAGAGGGATGAGCGTCATCGCCGGGATGCGAGGTGTGGATGCTCATTGAGTTGGACAGGTCGGACGAGTAGGCGGACCCAGGCGTGGCAGTGACAGAGGTCTCCCGCGTGGATGGGTGAGAAGGCGTGTGCGAAGGCCGACTGATGTAGCCCGGAGCATCCTGTGGCGGGTGCGAGGACAAACGTGCAGAACCAGCGGCGGCGGAGGTGGACGGCGGGGCTGTGGACGAAGTGGGGGTGGTGTTGGATGAGGTGGACCTCGAGCTACCGGTCTCGAGGTGGGAAGAGGGATGGTGAGACAAGGCGCGACGAGACGAAGGCTGATAGACCGATTCCGAGGGAGTGATGGCGCCTCCCAGCATGGTGTAGGAGCTGTTGACGTGATCCGACCGCGGATGATTGATGAGGAGCGATCCCATGTCAAGTTGGGCGACGAGAAGGGCGAGGAGACAACAAGCGAGGACGGGATGCGGCGATTAAGGTTTCACCTGTCAAGCAGCGATCCAAGGCAGAGAGTCATCCACACACATTTTAAAGAAAAAAACCACGACCAGTATAAGAATCCGGGGGGGGGTGTACACTAGCTATGAGATATGAGGGGATGACAGACACCGTTGATATGGGGGGTGGGGTGATGATGGAAATCATCGGGGTGGCGCAGTCAATGCTTACAGAGTAACAGGGAAGACCGAGACCCAGGGGGGGAAATCGATTCAACAAGGGGGTTTCTTGATACCGTCTAGTCCAACAATGGGTCGAGACTTGATCAGGGAGATATCAACAGGGCCAAAGCACACACCCGTTTGAGCCCGACCCAAGCCTTCAGGGAATCACAGGCGATGAGAAGGGGTGACAATGGAGGGATGGTCCATTGCGGACAGGGAGTGAGGGAAGAACGAGAAGGAGAATGGAGGAGAGAGAGGAGAGATGAGAGGGGGAGGGGAGAGAAGAGGAGAGAGAGACAGAGAGAGATGGGAGGGAGCGGAAGAGAGACGGAGAGATGAAGAAAGCGGAAGAGAAGCAGACCGAGCTGGATGGCGGCAGACGGGAGAGAGAGAGAAACAGGTAATCTTCCCTCCTCCACGGGTACCTCGACTACTGTACACACAGTACTCTCCCTACACGGATCTTCGCCGGAATGACTGGAGACTTGCGATGGTTCTCATTCCAGTCTTTCTTTCTCTCCATCAGTCTTGACGACTCTTAGTACTCCGTCTATCGACGAATGACAGCTCTCCAGCAGCGCAGGTGTGTTCGTGACGGTCGATCGATTGGTCCGGAAACAGTCGATATATCGAACCCTGTTAAGCTACAATAACCCATACCTCCATCGGGACAAAGTGATGGATAGATATATCGGCGTCTCCTTGCATTCCACTTCTGCACACAATACGAATCCCCGTGAAAAATACCGGGCAGCAGAGGGATATTATCACCAATCATCCGTCCAGATGCTCACATTGGCTACAAATTGGTAAAGAGAAAAACAAGATCCATGTCAATTATAAACATCATCATCCCATTGATACCTCATCCCCCTCGTCAATTGGTAACGCCCGGTCCCGTATAACCCGTGTCCGGCAGATAGAGGTGTCTCACCGCGCCCTTGGCCGTGAGCACCACCATCCGGATCACACCTCCCGAGCTACCATCCCATTTGATCGCCTCTTGCAACGCGGACCGCACAAACTGGATCCCTTCTTCTTCCGTCATGTTCTCCCGCCAGTTGGCATCGCAGTATCCGTAGATGTAGGTCGATCCCGATCCACCGATCGAGTAGGCTTGCTTGTGTAGCGAGCCACCCAGCGGTATCGAGTACACTTGACCGCCGTGTCGGGGATCATAGCCCGCAATGATGATACCGGCACTGGAGACGGATTAGCTTAATGCTAAACATCGGGCGAGTGAACCGCCAACCCACCTGAGCATATCCTTGTTCTCATAACACAGCTCCTGGAACAGCGACGCGGCCACCTGGGTGCTGGGGGCCTCGTTGTTGACAATGGCGTACATGTTCAAATGGTAGGAAACAATGTCGGCCACAGCCTGGGTATCGGCAGCGGATCCCGATCGGCAGCACCAGATGGTGTCGTGGACCTGCGTCAGTTTGTCGGTGACTCGATTGGCGATATAAGCTCCGGTTGTCGTGCGGCTGTCGGCACCCAGAATCACTCCATCTTTAAAGTTGATTGCCATGCTAGTCGGGTTAGCATCCAGCAACATCCACCAGAGGCGATTGTAGGGAACTGGTATACTCACATCGAGGTACCTAGGCTGTACAGATGAGGTTAGCTGATGTTTGCACAGGATGACCACGGGGTAGGGATAGGACCTACTTGACTTCACCACTCTTCAGATGGTTCATATCAACATGGATGCCATCTAGCCATTCGGTCAGTCCTAAAATGATCCAGCAACAGTCCTCTGATGGGTGTTGGCTCACCTTCACCGAGCATCCCCGTGGTACCGTGACCAACCATTTTCTAAAGACGACGGAAGAGAAGGAGAAGAAATGTAACTGATGTATTCTGGAGCAAAATCGATATCTCTAAATTGAAGGGAATTGACGGAATCGGGAGAGGCGAAAGGGAAGAGGAAGAATGAAGGTCGGTTGGCTTGGATAGATGGAGGAGCTCTGGAGCTTGAGAGCCAGGCGACTCTCGCCTTACGTTGCCAGCTCCCTCCATTCCGCCGGGCGGTGAGACCATCTCGTCCGCCGATTGGCCTGTCTGCTTCCCCGCAAGAAGTCTGACATAAGCACTTTCTGCTGCCTGATCTTTCAGGTGTGAGTTCCCCTGCTCCTCGATTAAGCATACTCTCCCTTCTTCCGAGCGTACCACTTGCATACCTGTCGCCGTCAAATCCACCAGACATTCCTGTCGACTTCACCTCCATCATCCTTCACCTTCGTCCATCTGGCCGCCGCAGAAGTGGTTGGATGCAACCCCTCTCAGCCTCCTCTCTTGTGGCTGCCTCGCTCGTTTCTCGGAGACACCTCTCCATTCCTCGTCTAGCATATTATCTATCATCTGTCCCTCAATAATGTCCGAATCGCCGCCACCCCCACCCTCTTGGAGCATCACCTCCATGGCCAACAGCGCCGTGCAATTTCTCCGACTCCCCGTATTGGCTTCATCCGGTCTTGCCGTCGTCGCCAGTGGGCTCCTATACTTCAAGCAGAAGTTAGTGCACCCCACACCTGACGACCAGACCACTGTCTAGTGTAATGTCAAACTGAATGACTAACTATGCGATTTTCGCCGCGACAGTGAACTGATCTATCCGCGCAATGTCCCCGTCGATGCTCGTACCAACGTCCCCCAGCCGCGGCAGTTCGGCATCACCGACTACGAAGACCTCCACATCCCCACGCCGGACGGGGAGTCGTTACATGCGCTTTTTATCCGTCCGTCCAACCGACGCCCCGGTCGTGATCTCACCGTCTTGATGTTCCATGGGAATGCCGGGAACATCGGCCACCGTATTCCCATCGCCAAGATCCTGCAGGAGGTGCTCGGGTGCAATGTGCTCATGCTGGAATACCGCGGTTATGGACTGTCGACCGGTGTCCCCGACGAGAACGGCCTGAAGATCGATGCGCAGACTGGCCTGGACTACCTCCGACAGCGTGCGGAGACGAAAAACAGCAAGATCGTCATCTACGGACAGAGCATCGGCGGCGCGGTTGCGATCCACCTGGTTGCCACGAATCAAGACAAGGGTGACATTCGAGGCTTGATCCTGGAGAATACGTTCCTGAGCATTCGCAAACTCATTCCGACGTACGTTGGCTTCTGCCCCCTCTTATACCGTATTCTCACATGCCTAGTGTGTTCCCTCCCGCGCGGTACCTAGCCCGCTTCTGTCACCAATACTGGGCCAGCGAGGAGGTCTTGCCCAAGATCACCGACATCCCAATCCTCTTCCTCAGTGGGTTGAAGGACGAAATTGTGCCGTGAGTGTCCCAGCCCTGCCACACGGATCATTGTTCTGACGTGTACGTTACGCAGCCCATCCAACATGACCCAGCTGTATGCCATCTGCAAGTCACGTCGCAAGGTGTGGCGCACGCTTCCGAACGGCGCACACAACGACAGCGTGGCCGAGCCCGGCTACTTTGAGCATATCCACTCTTTCGTCATGGAGGAGGTGCTTGATGACTGATGCGCTCAGCAGTTCCGTCGTTTGCATTTTATGACCGGATCTACAACTAGGATACCCCCGAGTCGGCTCGCACATTCCACCGCAATGTCAGCCGACTCGCTTTTGTGCTAACAACTGTGCATATCTTCTTCTTCGCTTCTACCCATAGATGAGACGGGTTAGAAAGCTTGACTTTCTTGTTATTTGTGTACGAATTCCCTGTCAGTGTCGGTTCTCTGATTTCAGCGGTGTTGTGCTTTAGGTCGGTGTACAGGCGGGTTCGGACTAATCGTTGGCTACATCATTCACAATTCAGTTGCATTCCATGCATTGTTCAATCGTAGGCTATGATTCCCGCCATAGCGATCAAACAGGGATATATTCTACCAACAAACAAGTCCATCTATCTATCTTACAACGGCTGCAATCAAATCTACAACTTCTCCGCCTCAGCCATCAAATCCTCAATCTTGAACCCCTCGACATCACCGCGGGTAAACATGCGAAGCAGCTCGCCCTTGCGGCCACTCGCCTGCCCCCCAAAGTCATAAAACCGCTGCACACAGCTCACCAACCACGTCGCCTCCGACGTCGACACCCCGGCGTCCGGCATGACCTGGCCATGCATGAGGACGAGGCCCTTCTCATCGGCGAGGTCGAGGTGGTGCGTGATGACGGTGTGCGGCTGCGCAAACGCGCCGTGCAGCTTGTAAGCGGCCAGGTTCGTGAAGATGATCGTGGACGTGTGCGACGTCGCCAGCGGGCCGCTCGTCACCGTCGGCGCGGCCGGGTGGAACGCCCACTGCAGGAAGTGGATGTCAGCGCCTGTGCCGGCGTCTGCGTCGGCGGCGGCCGCGGCGGCGCCGTCACCCTCGGGCTGTTGTTGCTGTTGCTGGCGCGGCAGCGGCAGGATGAACTGCGGGTTTTGGCGGGCGGCGTCGGCGATGCGCTGGTAGGTGTCGACGGGGATGGCGGCACAGATGGAGGTGGCGCTGTTTGCGTGGCGGAGGCGCCAGAGGGCCTCGATTTCCTTGGGCGGGAGGGAGAGGATCTTCTCGACGTCGAGGTAGGCGCTCAGCGGCTTGATGCCGGTGGAGGAGGACTCGGGGATGGCGGCGGCCGCGCGGGCCTGCGGGGTGAAGGCGTCGGCTTGTGGTTTCGGGGGCGGAGGGGGCGTGGTGCCCTGCGGTTGTGAAGGTGCGGGCGAGGACGGCTCCGGGGTGATGGGGGTGGTGGCTTTGCGGCGGAATTCGGAGATCTTGTCCTTGTAGGCTTCTTTGAGGGACTCGACGGATTCGTGGCCTTCTCTGTTTGTTTTTTGGCGTTCGTTAGGAGAATGTAGGTGGTAGGTGTGTTGGCAGGTGGACGCACTCTTTGGCTTTCTGGTGCAGTTTGGAGCGGTAGCGGTCCAGGACTTGATTGGGGTCGTGGTGCGTGGCGAGGAAGCGCACGTCGTGCACCTGTGCCCAGCGCTTCTGCTGATAGCGGAGCAGCGGGGCGCGACTCCGGAGGAGGTTCTGGAAGGTTGATGTGCGTAGGGACGCCATGGTTGTTGGTGTTGAGGTGTGAATTGCGTTGGATTGAAGAAGAACAAAGAAGCAGATGCGATGCGGAATGATAGAGGCTTATGTCAGCGGTCGATCATCTGCCACTGCTTGCCCTAATTGTACTACGGAGTACTCTGACATGGTTCTCATACGAGCAACTCGTCTAAAGGGCTGGTCAGATGAAAATTGCACACAAATGAAACTATAGACACAGTATAGACTAATAGTTAGAGAGGCCCAGGGCCATGGTGGTATACAGTCCTCGATCCATCACACAATCTGGCTCTCCGGAGGCCCCAGGTAGCTGTCCCGCACACCACCCAAGTCGACGACCACCTTCTGGAAGACAACACCCGGCTCGACAGCCCACAGCTTCAGCGTGTTCTTATTGCCTCCACCAGATATCTCATGGCTGGTTGTGTTTGTCCACACGGCGTTGCTGACGGTCTGGGCCCAGTTGGACGGAAGAGTGCCCAGCGGCGTAGAGGGCACAAACTGTACAATCTTAGGCTCGGCGTCGTTGAAAGCAATCGCATATTTCAATGGACGGGATGGGTTCGTGTTGAGGGACGGCCCGAGGTAGACAGTAGTTTTTGCCGTTGTAACGTTCGAGAAGATGTACATATCGTACTCCAGTCGGGGAGACGAAGGCGGCTGTTGGGTTTCCGCCAGGGCCGGAAGCAATGTCACCCCAGAAAGGGTACGGCCATATCCAGGAACCACGGCGTAGGATGTGTTTCCTGCCGACGTGTTGCGGGACGTGTGCTCTGCTTCGATGCTAACGGTACCGTCCGACTCAACGAACCCGTGGAATGAGGCCGGCGCCGACGTCTTGTTCACTGGAAGCTGGACGGTAGGCATTTGAAAGTTGCCATAGTCATCAGAAGCCACCGTCACATTGATAAGCGCCATGCTGGAGCCCGCGGGTGCTTTGTCCCAATCAACAGACAGCTGTACTCGAATGTCCGTGTTGGCCCCAGAAGGCGAGATCATGCCCGAGGAGGGTGTCGCTTTGACCCAAGAATCATGAGGGCTGACCGTAAACTGGAATCCTTCCGTGCCACGCGAATATACCTCAATCCATCTGTCTGGTCCGTAAGGATCAATTGGCGGCAGAGTCAGCGTGTTGCTGGACAAGGAATGCCACCGGTCATCTCCAGGCACCGATGCATTGCTACCTTCAACGGACACGCCCATGTTTCCAGCAAGACTCTCTTCAAGGAGTTGAGTGTATGCCAAAGGAGGCAGAGTGTTTCTCATTGGTTGTTGCCTGATATATAGTCAGCACGCGAGTTACTAGCCATAGCATGTGGAGACAAACCAGTAGTCATATCCGAGATGAGTCTGGTCCATAATATGCGTCCATTTCCCGTCCAAGAGATTATGATACCGTTGGGTCAGCTCGTGGTCCTCTTTGAAAAGCTCCAGAGCTTTCTGCGCGAGGGCATTGGCACTGGTCCGTCGCTGTCCTGCGTACAGATTGTTCTTGCCAGCGGTGATGTGGATGTCAGTCACGACATACCCGGCCATACAGGGGTGCAAAACCATCTCAAAGAATGCAGGGCGAGCGGCCGGCCGAAGACTGTCATAAACCTTCTGGGCGTCCTTCACAAGGTCTGCCCACTCCTGCAGAACATTGTCCGCTTCGTTGTAGTTGATCAGGCTGAACGTCTGAGGGCTGAGGAGCTCATACTTCCGTCGGGCGGCATACATTCCATACCGGTTCATGATGTCGCCCGTCTTCTTAGCTACTGCGCTGCCAAATTCGCGAGCGGCCCATAGCGTAAGCCATTCGGCTGTGCTGTCAGGGGAGGACCAGCGCGGCGTATCATACGCCAGGTCCATGAAGTGGCTCAGCGGCAATTCCTGCGCTCATTAGCTTACAACTCCATCCAAACAGCTCAGCACTCTCACCAGTCCCTTGAGATCTCCCATGTTGACGATCCAAATCTGTCGCGCGTCGCGTTCGTATGCCAGATGCATCTGTTCCCATGTCTTCTGGAGAGAGATGGTGTTGATCCATTTATAGTCACGGGGATCACCGACGTAGTCGAAATGGTAGTAGACACCAGCGCCAGCCTCGCGGCTTGTCTCGTTATCCACAGGCAATCGCTGGATATTGCCCCAGTTGTCGTCGGACCAAAGGAGGGTGATATCGTCCGGAACACGCAGGCCGTCCTGGAAATAGCCACCGACTTCCTTGTACAGGCACCACATCTGAGGAATCGATGAAACGTCCGACACATTAAACACATCTGACAAGACCTGCTGCTGGGTGTTGACAATATCGCCGAGAGATTTGGCAGTGATCGTTGGCGAGGCGACATCTCCGAGCCCACGCATGCCCAGCGTGTAGAGACTCTCAAAATTCTTGGTCCGCTCAGCCCCTTCTCTGAAGAATACAGTAACATTCTCCCGATTTGTATCCCAGTTCCAATCGCCGTTCAACAAGAGGCCCTGTTCCTTCGTCCAGCGCATCATCGGCTCGGTATGGCTAGTGCCCATAACAATACCATACTCATCTGCAGTAGGCGAGTTTCGGGGGTCGTCCAGGTGAAATATGTTATTCCACGATGCGGGCCAAAGGTAGTTGGCACGGAGACGAAGGAGGAGCTCGAAGACATGGGAATAGAAGTCTGCATTGAACCCCGGGCCGTACTTTGCCTCGGGGTAGTTCGCATTGATCCAGTTCGTGATAGCCGGCTGTTCGTCGTTGATGAAGATACCACGATACTTGACAGACGGAGGGCCCTGGATCTTCTTCTTCTTCAACGCGTAGATTTGCGGGTGTTGCGCCGGGGCGGAATCAGCAAACCAGTACCACGGCGAGACACCAATCTGTTCGGAAATATCATAAAGTCCGTAGATCGCACCACGCTTATCGCTTCCCGCGATGACCAGAGCGTTTGCAACGCCGTCGATGGGGTTCTTAACAATCTCCGTCTGGAATGCCTCCCACTTCCCCTCCGTTGAATTGACGTCAATCTTGCCACTCTGGATGAGGGAATCGAGAAGCTTCGAGTGTCCAATTGTGCCGGCTATAATAGCTGTTTTCGCATGATATGAGTTCGAGGTCTTGTCATTGAGCAAGTGCCGTGTCAGGTTCGTCCCAGTGACGCGACCGAAATCCGCAGCGAGATCACCAGCAGCTCTAATGACCCCAGGCCAGTCATCACTGTCTAGCAGTATCACACCAGAGGTGCCTTTCCCACCAAGTCTGACCGAGTCCTTTCCGCCGTGGAAAGCGATGGTAGATTCCTGGGCGAGAGCATTGACGGCTCGAACGGCGCAAAGGGCCGTGAGCAGGGTCGAGATGAGCATTGTATTCCAGATATGACAAGTCGTAGTCGGCCACTCTGCACGCCAGCGGGGGGAACTGTCAGGACCACGTCGGTTATATATTCGTCCTGGATAATGCCGAATTTACCCCCAATGCCGCGGAGGTCATTTCCCAGGCGGCCAAGAGAACGGGCGATCTCCATTCTTGTAGACTAACGCCGAGCCTGGATATATCCCTGTTGTCATGCCATTCATCCTGGCATGAAGTAATAGTGACACGCCTAGTTTAGGCTAAATGAAATGTAGGATCGCGATCAATTGAGGAGACTGGGGTAAACGAGCCAAGACGAGATTGATGTGGGGACTCCGGAGAGAGTCCATGATATTAAGGAGGATTTAGGGGCCACGTAGGGGAGTTAGTCCGGAGAATATCCGTCGCTTTTCGGGCGTAGAAGATCCAACATCGGCTCCAGGCAATTAGAGCGAGACTAGGTCCGCAGTCTTGCCAATGGGGTTGGCGGTTTCCCCGCATATAGGCAGTATAGTATGTATTATTGCAGGGAAGGAGACTGGGTGCAAATTGGCACGTAACGCTCAATTCTTTATGGAGAGAGATGCCTTGAGGGACGAGAGAGGGATGTTGTTTATATCGATGCATAAGTGGATGTATACTGACTAAGCTACATAGCATCCGATGGAATGCTTATGCTCCACGTGTCAATGCCGTCATGCAAGGAACAAAGAGTCGCACCACTCAACTTTGCTCGTTCATTATCGTCCCTCCTTTGTCGTCTTTTTTTATTACTTTCAATTACTCTCATATACGTGTCAATCTTAATACCTATTACTTATAACTTGTACCTGGCACAAAAAGACTGATCGTCTGGGCATCCTTCCCTTCGATAATCGATTGCATGAACCCCCGAGATAGGCCCACCTGCGCAACATGGCCAACCGATTGTCAGGCCGTCGGATATTGATCAGCATACCTATCGTTATCTTCATCATATTCATTCTCTTCATCGGTCCCAATTCGCCGCAGTCGCCCGTGCGCGTGCCCAACAACCTGGGGAAAGCCGCCTCATCCGTGCTGGTCAAGGATGATCTCACAAAAGGAGAAGTTGTGATGCCTAAACTGGGCAACGAAACTGCAAAGTATGTGGCAGCGCTAGATCAAGCAAGAGGGTATATTTGTACTGATTACATCAAATGGGATGATAGGGCCGAATTGGGCCGTGCGACCTGGAAGTACTTCCACACGATGCTAGCCCGGTATCCAGAGGATCCGACGGAGGAACAACAGGAAACGCTACGCTCATTCATCTACCTCTTCGCGCGACTCTATCCCTGGTATATTTGACCCGTCTCCGTTGCATCATGTCCAACGACATGCAGCATGACCCGGCAAGAGGCTGACATGTGACGCAGTGGCGAATGCGCGTCGCACTTCCAACAACATCTGAAAAAGTACCCACCCCAAGTGGGTTCACGGAATATCGCGGCGGGATGGGGGTGCTTCATTCACAATGAGGTCAATGCGATGCTCAAGAAGCCCGAATTCGACTGCAACAATATCGGCGATTTCTACGATTGTGGCTGCGCGCACGACGAAGAAGACGGGGAGAAGGGTCAGGCTGCATCGGAATAAGCGGACAGTGGCGACGACTGCTGGTGTGATTGCGCCGGTCGAGGTATCAAAGGATGCGTAAGGTTACCCCTTGCTTGGCCCCCGCACCTGCTGCTCGACAAACATCTCGTATGGGAGTACCTAGAGTATTCCAGTGAGGTCGGGTATTGACTAGACTGTCTGCCCAAATCACCAGGAGAGGTTTTATCATTGGGCTCGGTTCTGGTGCAGTTTACTTGGTGATTGTTTTGTAATATAGACTATTTTCGCTCCACCGGCGCAGGTCGTTGGATGGGTTGTTTGGATCGCATCATGTATCTCTCCTACGGTCTAGCGAAGTACTCTCAAGGAATCGTGCATATTGATTCTCCATATTCTCGTGGCGGGGTGATATATATTTCTAGAGTAGGTATGCCGCGCTCATGCTCTCTTTTTCTCCGCCACCAATATCGGGCTCAGATCAGCAGACGGATGCACGGTAGCGCTTGCCGTAAACCCGGAGAAGCTCCCGGCAGATTACTGGCAGATGATGGACTAGGGCTACACCAAGATACACAAGCAATGCGGCCTTGCGCGCATGACTGCTGCTGTGACTGGTGCGGATGACCAGCCGACTTTTCGTGACAAGCAATGGGTTTCGTCACAGAGACTGGTGGGTCCTGGCCAAATCAAGGCCGCAGAATAGGCGAAGGCCATGGCTAAACTACCATTCTACCATTCCGTCTCGATGATAACCATGTAGAAACTGACTGACATTCCAAGACCCCGAACGTTGGTGACCTACTATGCCTTCGGAGACTTATAATATAGGTAACACTACTTGTCTTATAAAAATAAGTTAGACAGTTTGGCCGAGTGGTTAAGGCGACAGACTCGAACCGACCAATCAGCGTCGAGATTGACATCTGTTGGGTTCGCCCGCGCAGGTTCAAATCCTGCAGCTGTCGATATTTTTTTTCCCCCACGCTTTTTTCTTCCCAGTACCACCTATGATTCATGTTCATTCCAATTGCACTTTTGAGATCTGGAATTGCTTTTCCTCTCCGTAGTAGGGTGTCAATTTATATTTTACATAGACAACATACGTGTGCGCCAGTGTCCGCCTTTTCGCCTCTACCTAGGCCTTGGAGTAAATATATATCTGTCTCTTGAACTCGTACCATTTCGCAAGAGCCTTGTCCGAAGTTGAGACAGCGCTGGCCCAACAATAACTAGTTGGGATACTCTTGTCCGCGGGCTGATGGTGACCTGCTGCCACAGTCTATTTCCTCCGCCCTGGCAAAAAGACTCAAAAGGGCAAGGCTAGACTTTGGACAGATCAAGCCATTTCAGGCCTCCCACTGGCGCGCGCAGGATGGGAAAAGAACTACTCTATAACAATTAATGTATGACGGCCCCGGCGCAGTGCGACCCACGGGTGTTGTTATTATTAACCCACCCTGTGCGCCATTCGTATTGCATGCCGAAACATGACGAGGATCAAAAGTCCTTATCATAGAGCGCATCGCCCCTCCACCGGTTGGTCCACACTAAGCGACGAACTGAGGGGTCATGGTTGGCTGGCCATCCTCTGTGGGCGGGAGCTGCAGCAAGTCTCCTGACAAGTCCATGCCACTGCCCCCTTGAGTATCCAAGCGATCAACCGATTATCACTTCCTGGATGCATGGGCATCCCGGTTCTTGCTGACCGCAATGTTCGGTTTCAGGAGTGAACGTGCTCAGACCAATCCGAGCCGGATGAGGGGAGAAGATCAGTTGGTATCAGGAGAGGACGGGAGGAGTATATACTCCCGATTTATATTTATCCAGTGATTGACCCAGAGGGAGGGTGATAGGCCCCCCTGAGGTGCGAGTTTCTTACCTGTATTCGTCGTTTGGCCAGAGTGAGAGATTTGAGTCGTTTCTATTGTGGTGGTTAAGTTGTTTTGCGGGGAAGAGAGTTCTCTGCCTTATTTCTCAGGCTTAGTGGGTCTCCAAAAGCGGATTAGCGCCATTTTTCCTATTCTTCTTTTCCCTTTTCCTTTTTCTTTTCTACGCGCCGCAACAGAGAAAACAAGACCGAAACATCTTGATTTCTTCACCCAAGAATCAAAGGGCTAACACCGGACCTGTCTTGACGCACCGTGGCTGTGGACTGTCGCGCAGTGCCTTTTGTCTTTCTGTGACACTTGCCCTGTTGCAGTCTTTCGCATCTTGCTCTTCTGTTTCCATCCAAGGGAGGCCCTCTTGCGATTTCCTTCCGACGACTGCGCGCAAGGACTCTGTCACTCCCAGATCAGATCGCGCAGCGCCTCCTCGTCAGTACTTGGTAGACAGCACTTTCTGGTACCTGGGTTCTTGATTCCTGGTTTACCTGCGGAAATCATCACCGATTCTTACCCAACCGCATCATACGTTGGTTCTTTATATAGCGGGGTCAATATGGTGTCGTTCTCATGCGAGGTGAGTTGGACTTGTTGTGACTGTCTTTTCCCAATCATACTGAAGACTAGTTGGCTAAACTGTTCTTCCTCTAGGCGTGCGGCGACGTCCTTACCAAGAAGAAGCTTGATCCCCACCGCAACCAGTGTCGCGGCGCATCCTACACATGCATCGACTGCATGGTGCATTTTCAAGGGACCTCTTACAGATCGCATACAGTATGGCTCCATCTCATCCGTCTCCCGTCCACAACCGGATACATGGACAGTGAACTGACTTTCTCAGTCGTGCATGACGGAAGCGCAAAAATACGAAGGCGCTCTCTACAAGGAAAAACCGAAGAAGGGCCAGCGCAATGGCAATAACAACAAGAACAACAACCACGCCAACCAAAACCCGAAGCCCAACGGCCACCGAGCTCCTTACGTCGAAGACGCTACCGATGTCGACAACCCCAAGAGCAAAAACCCTCCCCCGCCGGCCCCTAGCCCTCCTCCGACGGGTGTCGAGAAGCCCTCCGGTAATAAGCAGAGCGACAACAAGAAGGAAGTCAATGTGTTCGACTACCTGGTGAACGATCAAACGCCTAACGCGTCTAAGGTGTCCCTAGGTGGATCGAAGGAGCAGATGAGCATGGTCGACCATGCGCCTTCGGTGTTCGAGACCAGCAAGACGCTGGCTCCCATTGACACTACGAATAATGAGAACAATGCCTACGATGTCGCCTACGAGGAGAATGGATACTCGTACGGTTCTGGCCCAATCCCTCAGTCTGTGTATCCAAACAAGGCTGCCAACATGTCCATGGAATTCATGACTCCGGCGCCTAAGAAGAAGAAGGAACGTTCGCGCATGAATGTTGAAGCCAGTGCTACTACGAGTGATAAGAAGCGCAAGCGGCGCATCGAAGATCACGACATGGAAGATGCCGACACCCCCATGCTGGAAGCTCCTTCGAGTGTGTTGAACCACCCGGGTACGCCCATGCTGCACTCCGGCCTGACGGGTGGCCTGAACCGCATGATGCGGTCACCGTCGCTGGAGGGTGAGAACGAACAGGAAGACCACCCCCGCCGACGCTATCAAGACCCTTCGTCTCCCATCAAGCGCACCCGTCGAGACGAGAAGGATGACGCTGGTCTGGGAATCTCTATTAAGAACCGTGCCGAGCGGCTAGTCTCGTCGATGTTTGGAGGGTCCGTCGCGTCTGGCAGCAGTCACCACAGCAATGAGACATCCAACAAGGCGGCGCTTGTGCGCAGCCGTCGGCGGAGCCCCTCAGACGATGGACAGGGTGCCGTGGAGATCCGTCGGTCAAAGAAGACCGCCAAAGTCCGCAACGGGACAAATGGCCAAGTGGTCTCGTCCGATCCCCGCAAGTCGAAGCGCAAGAGCAGTGCCCAAACCGAGGGCGACCGCCCTTCCCGCCGCCAAAAGCAGATCGAGTACTCCGGCGCTGGTCGCGATGAGAACGACCAGATGATTGTCTACCGACAGCCCAATGTCCCTGACGAGGTGCAGCGTGAGATGGCGGCACATTTCCTGTCGTTAGTGACAAAGGGACCGGAGAGCGGACGAGGGTTTTCCGTCAACAAGGTGCTGAAACGGTTCCATCGCGACTTCACGGATGAATACGACGATGACCGTGGTCGCGAGCAAGGACGCAGCCGGGCAGATCGTGAGCGGCGTATTGAAGACGAGAAAGATCTGTGGCGAACTCTGCGGTTGAAGCGGAATGAACGGGGCGAGGTCGTTGTGTTTTTCTAAATCAACATGGAGGAGTCATGATTGAGGGTAGGTAATGGCTTAATTGTGTTACATTCCGTCTCATTTTTCATGTCCTATGCATAGCGAAAGAATAATCATGTCGTTCATGTTTTCTCCACTGTGAGTAATCTGCGATGACTCGCCGTGACTCATACCAAGTCATGAACTCCGATTTGTCCAGACCGTATACTATGCAGAAAGTGGTGCCTGAGGAGCGCAGATTATTCATCCGCCGCCACCACCGGCTTTCTCCAAATAATAATTTATCTCCAACTTCTCGTCCCTTCTTCAACCCTCCACAATCAGCTGTAACAGCTGCCCAACGCACAAGAGGGCCTCTCCTACAGGAAGTCAGCCGGTAATACAGCCTTTGTATCCTTCAAGCTCACCGTCTATCATCCGTGCATGAGTCTCGTGGCCAACACCCCTCTCCATCTAATTCCCGACACCATGTCCGGCGCTCCTCCCGCCAGCGCGGAAAGTAATTCCTCGCGTCCCCGGTCCAGCAGACGTGGAGGAAGAGGCCGTGGCAATCGCGGACCTCCTCGACGCCCACCTGCGTCCCAAGCAAGATCTCAGACCTCGACACAACCACAGACGGAACAGAACCCCGCGAATGCGCCGCCTCCAAATCAACCAACGCCACAACCTCAGTCCACCGATCCTGCTTCTTCCAGCACTCCACCCGATGCACAGCGCTCGCGCCGGCGTCCGAGACGAGGGAGAGGAGGTCCGCGCGGGGGAGATACTCAACCAGACGACTCCCGCCGTAACGGACGACCACGAGGTGGCGACAGAGCGACTACCCATGGTGGCCGGCGGTTCGAGGGACGGTTGACGACCCCGGGACAGTCTTCGGGCGACGGCGAAGATGACGCGCAGCCTGCTGGAACGGAAGATACTACGGATCAGGGACTGAGAGTTGATGCGCCGGAGTTTGTTCCTGGGGCCCCGTTCAACGGGGCGACCCAAGACACGAAGTCCACAGCTAAGAGCACCACGGAGTCGAAAGGGAAATCAAAAGCAAAACCCAAACCCCCGAAAGTCACGACAAAGTCCATCGCCCCGGATATCGCCACCCGCATTCACGAGGATATCGCCAATACGCTCTACGAGTGTCCGATCTGTACGGCTGAGCTGGGCCGGCGCTCGCGCGTCTGGTCTTGTGGACTGTGCTGGACGGTGTTTCATTTGAGCTGTGTCAAGAAATGGTCGAAGAACGAAGGATCCGCGGCCCAAGATGCGGCGCGTCGCCAGGCGGATGGAGACAGCAATGCGCCTCGCGCCTGGCGGTGTCCCGGCTGTAACCTACCGCATGAAGTCTTCCCGTCGTCATATACGTGCTGGTGTGAGAAGGAGGTGGACCCTCGGCCGCTGCCTGGGCTCCCGCCGCACTCCTGTGGACAGACGTGTGCGCGTCCGCGCAAGGGCTGTCCTCATCCATGCGATGCAACTTGTCATGCTGGACCGTGCAAGCCGTGTACTGCGATGGGTCCGACGCAGGATTGCTTCTGTGGACGGAACTCATCGACGAAACGGTGTCAGGATACTGACTATGAGAATGGATGGAGCTGTGGTGAGATCTGCGGGGACCTACTTCCCTGTGGAGAGCATACTTGCTCCCGGCCGTGTCATGAGGGGCTCTGTGGCTCATGCGAGGAGAAGATTGAAGCGCGTTGTTATTGTGGCAAAGTCGAGACACAGATGCTGTGCAGTTCGAAGGAGGAAGAGATGGAAAGCCAGACATTGCATCATGAGCCCGGACAGGACGAGAAGCTCGAGGAATGGGTTGGCTGCTTTAGCTGCGGAGACACCTGCAATCGACCGTTCGACTGCGGCGTGCACTTCTGCCAGAAAGGTTGTCATCCACAAGACGCTGAGCCCGCCCATTGCCCGAGGTCCCCGGATATTGTATCCCATTGCCCTTGTGGGAAGACTTTGTTAGCCGACATCCCCGGATACTCTCCCCGGACGTCATGCGAGGACCCCGTCCCCAACTGTCTGGAGGTTTGTGGTAAAATGCTTCCCTGTGGACACGCTTGTGATCGGGTCTGCCACACTGGTGCCTGTGGAGCGTGTATGCGCAAGGTGCCAATCGAGTGCCGCTGCGGGCGCAACACGTTCATAACCATCTGCCACCAGGGCACTATCGAACCTCCACAGTGCTTCCGTCCTTGCAAGGCTGGACTACATTGTGGTCGGCACGCCTGCGGAGAGCGATGCTGTCCCGGTGAACAGAAAGCGATTGAGCGACAGGCGATGCGGCGAAAATTGAAGCCGCATCTTCGTCCGATCGACGAGGATGTTGAAGCGGAACACATCTGCACCCGGGTATGCGGTCGCTTGCTGAAATGCGAGCGACACACGTGTCCGGAGATCTGCCACAAAGGGCCCTGCAACACATGCCGGGAGGCGATATTCGACGAGATCGCGTGTAACTGCGGTAGATCTATCTTATATCCCCCTTTGCCTTGTGGCACCCAGCCGCCCTCATGCTCATACCCATGCGAACGCCCAAAGCCGTGCGGTCATCCCCAGACGCCGCACAACTGCCATACCGACGACGAGGCCTGTCCCAAATGCCCATATCTGACGGAGAAGCCCTGTCTCTGCGGCAAGCAAGTTCTCAAGAACCAACCGTGTTGGCTGGCGGACGCCCGCTGCGGCCGTGTCTGCGGCGAACTGCTCAAATGCGGCTCGCACACGTGCCAAAAGGACTGCCACCGGCCCGGGGAATGCGAGGATGCTTCGAAGCCCTGCCAGCAGTCGTGCGGGAAGACCAAGACGATTTGCGGCCATCCGTGTACAGAGCCATGCCATGCGCCGTATCTGTGCCCCGAGAAGACGCCGTGCGCGGCCACGATCACGGTAACATGTGGTTGTGGCCGACTGCGCCAACAGCGTCGCTGCGGTGCGGCCAAGGCCGTGACAGCCAAGGGACAGGTTCAACAGCCACAACGCGCGCCTGCCCTAACTCCATTGACTTGCGACGATGAATGCGCGCGCCTCGAACGGAACCGGTCTCTGGCTTCCGCCCTCGGCATCGACGTCAACCCAGCCACGACCGTCGCCCAGCCCATCTCCTCCACCAACCTGCCCTATTCCGCCGAGACGTTGGATCTGTACATCCAACTCTCCTCGACGTCACCGCTCTCCACTTTGCAATCCTACGAGGCCGCCATGCAGGGTCTCGCAACCAGCACGACGCAGCGCTCCGTCCGCTTCCAACCGGCCAAGCCCTCTCTCCGCGCATTCACACACTCACTCGCCGCGGACTGGGGTTTCGCCAGCGAGAGTTTCGACCCAGAACCACACCGACACGTCTTCGTGCTCAAGCCGACAAGCTGGACGCCGCCGCCGTTCGGCCTGGGTAGCAGCAGCACGACCCCAGCAGCAACAATGGGGATTGGCGGGATGAGCGTTGGCGAATGCGTGAAGCTGCGCGAGCGCCACCGACTGAAAGAGCGTGAGGCGCAGCGCGTCGCGGCTGCCGAAGCGAAAGCCCAACGCGAGGCGGCCAAGGCCGCGATGAACGGGTCCGACGGTGGGGGCTGGGCGCAGGTGGCCGCCTCCCGGAAGACCGCCAATGGCGCGGGGATTTCGCGCACCGGTTCGCCGCTCGTGGCGCCCAGCCCCAGCCCGCTGTCCTCGGGCAGTATGTACGCCGCGCTGGCGGGCGATACCGGCGGGTCCTGGGGCGGCAAGAAGGAGAAGCTGGTGCTGCGGTCCGGCGTCGGGGCGAGCAAGCAGCTCAAGATGCCGAAGGAGGAGGTGGCTGATAGCTGGGAGGAGGAAGAGGAGAAGGAGGAGCAGCGAGAGCAGGAGGAGGAGCATGGTGGCACTGAGGCGGAGGGCGAGCCCACAGCGCCTGAAGTTGAGGCTGCAGCGCCGGCGCAATGATTAAAAGTCTTCGACTGGTTTGACACGATGTAATGATGCATTCATGTGCTTAGCGTTGCATATGTCCTGGTGGTGCATTATTCGACACTACCTAGGTAATAATAGACTCATAAACTAGGTACCTACCTACCTATCCTCCGTACACCGTATCCTCCTCCCCCAGACTCGGCGGCAAATCCTCCCTGGCCGTCCCCCAGTCACTCTCGCTCTCACCAAGCACCAACTCCAACGTCATCCCCTCGGTAAAAAACTCATGCCCTATCCAATTCCTTGTATACACCTCCCCATTCAGCGTCGCGCTCTGCACATACACCCGCTCATGCAGCCGCTCCGCATCGAACGCACGGTTGCGGATACACGCCCGGCGAGCCGCCCCAGGCAGCGCGACACACAACTCCTCAAAGAAAGGCGGGGTGATGAGGTAGACGTTCTGGCCGGGGACGGGGAACAGGCCCATCATGGCGAAGACGGCGAAGGCGCCCATGGCGCCGGAGTCGTCGTTGCCGGGCAGGCCGCCTTCGGACGCGTTAAAGCGGGCCGGGATGTAGGTGTGCGCGCGCTTTGCAGAGAGACCAGGGCGCCCAGCGTAGTGGTACTGGAAGACGGTGAGGAAGACGGGCTCGTTGCCCATGTCTGCGAGGCCGGAGGTGTGGAAGAAGTCGAGGCGGGCGATGAAGGCGTCCGGGCCGCCGAGGAGGGTGATTAGGGAGGACATGTCGTGGGGGACGTAGCTACATAAGGTATTAGTTTCCGGACACAGGGTGGAATGGTGAAAGGTGGGGGGAGGAAAGGGGACGCACAATTGGTATTCCCAGACGCTGGACTCGAACGTCTCGGACGGGTTGCTCGTCAGTGAGCACCACGATGCTAGCGCGCTGCAGGCGATGGGGTCCTGGTACCCCCAGGTGCCGTTGAGATAGCGCGGCTGGAAGAAGCCGACGAAGCCTGTGTCGGAGCCGTTGATGAGCGAGGGCTGGTCCGGCTTGTAGAGGTTGCGCCAGCCGGCGGCGCGGGCGAGATAGGTCTCCGCGACGGCGGCAGGCTTGCGCAGACCGCGGGCGAGGGTCGCGAGACAGAAGTCGTTGTAGGCGTATTCGAGGGTGCGGGAGATGCTGCGCGAGTTGGTGCCGAAGCCGAGATAGTCAAAGTCGAGGTAGGGGATGTAGTGGAGGCGTTTCCAGCTGGCGAGGCCGCCGCGGCCGTGCTGGGACCACTCGAGCGGCTCGTTCTCGGCGTCGTTGACCACGGCCTCGAAGGCGAGGGGCCAGTCGATGCCTGTGAGGTTCTTGACGAAGGCGTCGGCCAGCACGACGTCCGCGTTGGAGCCGCCCTGCGTCCAGCCCTTGCAGAGGCTCATGCGGCAGTCCGGGAGCCAGCCCTCGTGCTTGTAGGTGTCGAGGAGACTGCGGACCATGCGCGATTGCGCGGTGGGGTCGATGATTGTGAGGAGGGGGTGTTGTGCGCGGAACGAGTCCCAGATACTGTTCATGAATGAGTCTGGTAGAGATAGTGAAGGGGAAAGGGGGAGTACCAGTAGAAAGAGTCAAAGTAGGGCTCGTCGCTGGTCCAGAGCGGGTTCTCGCCCGTCAGGTCCTGAGGGTCTAGCATGGTGCGGTAGACGCCGCTCCAGAAGATGCGCTGGAAGTCGTCGCTGACGCCGCCAGGTCGCACGGCGAGGGGGTGGAGCTTGTCGCGCCAGGCGGATTCGGCGGTCTCGCGCAGGGCGTCAAAGTCCTCCAGTGGGCGAGGGATCTCGGTTTCGGCGTTGGTGCACGCTTTGTCCGTGCTGATGTAGCTGACGCCGACGCGCACTGTGACGGTGCCGCTGTCGGGACGTTGGACGCGGAGGAAGCCGCCTGCCTGGAGGTAGAAGTTGTTGAATCCGCGCGTGACGAAGAGCTCCTGGCGCTCGGTGCCGGCGCGGTCGTTCACCCAGATGCCGCTGTCGTGCAGCGAGGCCCCCGCGAAGTCGGCGCAGAAGTATGCGCGATAACTCCCGGCGCCGAAGCTGGGCAAGAACGTGCCGTCGGCAGTGATGCGGCCGGTCTGGGGGTCGATCTGAACCGACGCGTTCTGGCGACTGTCCCAGAGGTCCGTCAGGTCGAGCAGGAAGAGCGGAGTCAATTGCGAGCCGTTGGATGCGGTCGCAGGGGGAAACGTGAAGCGGTAGAGGGCGGCATGATGCGACGCGGTCATGTCCGCGTGGATGCCATTGTCCAGGGCGAGAGCGAAGTAGCCTGGTCGGGCGACGACAGAGTCATTGACATAGTGGACCGCACGGGCAGCCTTGGGGAACTTGCAATTGTTGATCTCGTCGTCGGGGCAGTACTGCGGGAATAGGGGGAAGTTGCCCAGCGAGGGATTCCCTCCCGTGCCTGAATCATGCAGCGCGGAGAAGCCGGTGACCCTGCTGCCGTCGGTCGAAAAGCCGCCGGTATTCTGGCCGTCGACATCGGCCACGGCTTTGGCCATGCCATAGGGGAGACTGGCGCCGGCAAAGACGTTGCCTCCATTGTTGGAGCCGATCAAGGGATCGACATATTGCAGGACATCGGAGGATCTCTGGGTGTTGTGTCCGAGGGCAAGCCCTGTCCACGGAAGGGATGAGAGCGAGAGATATTTCTGTAGAGCCACCATGGATGCGTTGAGGATAAGGAGGAAGTATGAAAGAGGGACATTCCTTGACCTGGATGTTTATGAATCTGATGTTGCGCAGATCGACAGTGGCTGGATTCCCCGCAGGCACATCGCCATGTAACCCTAGACAGGGTATACTTAGTGTCTTAGGTGATAGTAGCAAGTCCATATAGACTACAAGTTGCCATACCTCTTGGGATGATATAAGAGAGGATAGTGGGCGTAGCTGGGGGAGATAGCACGGTGAAGGGCAAATGGAAAAGATCTTGAAATAATTTCCGACCAAGACCGCCCTCTGCAGGCGACTTGGATATACTCATAGACACCGCGAGGGGGAATCTAACAAGTAGTATTATTAAGACAGATACCTATTACAAAAAGAATATAGACGGATATCATCCACTTCATACATATCACACCTCATCCCGCACCTAAATCATCACACCCTTGTTCTGCCGCTTGTCGACGTTGTAGTTCTTCCACACGGCAATAGACGGAATGCCCAAAGCCAGCAGCGCGGTGGCCGCGACGGCACCATACATCTGACTGCGGCCCCAGGCATAGTTGATGGCGTCGCGGGTGGCCGAACCCACCGGGTAGTTGAGCTGCGCCGTGTATCCGCCCATGTAAATCGTGTTGGCTTGCGACTTCATGTCGGCCGGCAGGTGGCTGGTCAGGGCACTGGGAAAGACGTTGCTGTAGATGGCGGCCGCGACGGCGTAGCCGATGGCGCCGCCGAGGCTGTTGAACAGGCCGAGGAGGGCGAGCATCATGGGCACGCCCTCGCGGTCGGCGGCAGCCATGACAGCCATGTCGTTACCGATGACGATGGTGCCGCCGCCAAAGGCGATGAAGATCTGACACATAATCACGTAGCCGATGCTGCCGTCCTGGCCGCGGAAGTGGATCATCAGGCCGGCGCCGAGGATCATCAGCGGCAGGCCGAAGAACAGACAGCTGTTCTTGAAGTGCTTGGCCCAACGGATGTACACGCCGAAGACGACGCCCCAGAAGGTGGAGCCGACGTTGTAGATCTGGATCATGTAGCCGGCCATCGCCATGCTGAGGTCGTAGACCACGATGCAGAAGTTGTAGAAGTACAGGTCCCAGCAGTAGAAGCTGAAGAAGGCGAGCGCGGCCATGCAGCAGGCGCCCAGCACCGTGCGCTTCTTGAGCAACTCGTAGTTGACAAAGTGCCGGCGCGTACCCCACTTCTCCCACGCAGCGAACACGAACAGCAGACAGAAGCCGACGACTACCTGCGCGATGAAGGTCGCCGAGTGGTACTGCGCGCGGCCGTAGCTGGCCAGACTGAAGGGGAGGAGAAGCAGAACCCACGCGGCCATGAGGAGGATGGCACCAACGACTGGAAGAGAATGTTAGCATGTTCCACACTTAGTCGAAGGGGAGGAGGGCTTACTGTCGAATTCGATAAAGTAGTGCTTGACGGACTGCCATGCGGTCCGTCCGCTCGGCTCCCGCTTGTACAGGCCCATCTTCTGGGCCTTCAGCTGGTAGAGCTTGAAGACGACAGCCAGCGGAGCGAATGCGATGGGCATGATGATAGCAAACGCACCATACGCCCAGCGCCAGCCACTGGTCTTGATAAACGACGACGCGGCCAAGGGACCGGTGAACGCCGTGCAGATGAACGGCGTGCTGGCAAAGGCAAAGGTGAAGGCACGGTTCCTCAGCCCGGAGGTATCGGCGATGAAGACGTCGAGAATCAGGTAGATGGCGTTGTAGCCGACCCAGAACAGGACGTAACCGGCGGCGTAGGAATCCGGGCCGTTGCAGGCGGCCACGATGATCAGACCGACGGTGTAGACAGCGACGAAGACGAGGAAGCCTTCGGCACGGCCCCAGATGTTCAGGACCTTGGCGATGGGCAGCTTGAGCACACCACCGATGATACTGTAGAGGATGTTGGCGGTACTGATCTGGGGCGCCTGTTGGAAGTCTGCGTAGGCGTAGTTGATGACGTTGCTGCTGATCGCAGACTGCAGCGCGAGCAAGAAGAAACAAACCCAAATCCTGAGTAGTTCGCCATTAGAAACCTATCAAGCCCGCGTCAAGAGAAGCCCATGAGACATACCAAGCGTAGGTCGCGTAAACGGCCTTTTTACTCCACACCAGAGCGGCGGCCTCGGCCTTCTGGACACCGAGGTGCGCCTCCTGGGTGATCGCATCCGGATGCTGCTGGACCTCCTTCTCATTGCGAGCCTCCAAGCTCAGCCGGGAGGAATCTTCGCTCTCATAGATCGCATTGCCGGATTGTTCCTGAGGGCCCTTGGGATCGGCCGACTGCGGCTGTGCGACGGGAACCTCGGAGGCATCCGCACGTTCTGTGCGACTTCGCAGTTTATCCAAGAAACCCATCGTGGGGGGAGTATATGGCGTTATATCTCTGTCCACCGAGCTGGAGCTGTTGTTGTCTCCTTATCCCTTATTCCTTTGATGGAGGTAGGAGGAAGTAAGGGCGGATGGCAGAGGAAGATTTTTATCAATCAGATTATCAGAGGGGAGATCGGGGAGAATAAATAACATCAACCAGTAGGGCAAACCTTGACTAATTTTTCCTTTTTATTTTCTGCTTCATTTTTTATTTCCCGCACCAGACGCGGTCCCACGACGCTGAGTGGCCGATCCACACTTCCTCGACGGATCAGATAACTCTCGTTTCCGAGGCTGATTGGCTTCCACTTCGTCTATTGTCCTTCTTTGATTATTGTTATTCATTCTTTAACTATATGTTATTTCTCTTGTCCCATACAAAAAAAGCAGAATTCATATCCCCGTAATGGAACCAACCACTGGGTCATAGCCCACGGCGTCACGAAAATATCCCGGTGGATCTGTCGACAAAGGCTTGACCGTCATCGGCGCCAATCCCACGCGATGCCAAGGGCACCGACAGCAGTTCACACGAGAGCATCTTCGAAACAGCGCCGCCAGAAATAAGATTCACCATCCCGCTGATCGAGTGGGGGAGGGGTTGACTTCTCGACACGATGCTGCAACGCACAGAGCATTTGGTCTCTACACACAAGGAGCGAAGGAGAGAACTGTAACCCATCCTCCGCAGTCGGCACTACGTGAAACCGGGTTTCTCGGCTATTGGTTTTCTCGCGTTCCAGGGAATGGAAACTACCCAGAGTCAAGGACTGGACACCATCCATCGCATAGGATGAAGACCTGCGGAGGAACAACCTCAATCAGTGATGGCCCGGTCAAGGGTGGATAAAACACCCCGTCGCTAATTGCTAGTGGCGTTGAATGGGGGCCAAATGTGGTCGCCATCATGCCATGCCGTGGACCGGCTTGATGCAAGTTCCACTTTCGATCACACTCCACTGTTGGAACTGAAGGGCAAACAAATTGCGATCAGGACTGACGCTCGTCTGAACTGACGCGGTCAATGTCGCTTGAGAAGAAATAATGAAAATAATGATCATCATTACGATTATTCTCCGTGGTTCACTTTCTGGTTCCCAGGATCGAGGTGCGTATCCGTATCTGATCAACCTAATCTAATCTGATGCCGGGGATGTCCGAAGCCGCCCAAAAAAATTTTCCAGGTGACACAGGTCAAAGCGTTCAGGATTTTGTCTTGCTAAAGTCATTTGAACCATCGAAATAAAATTGCCAATAAGCATTCCTTTGATCTATTCGTGCTGGTGGACGACGCCAAGATTGTGGCTGGCAGACTTTTCTAGGCGAACTCTAGACCACCCCGACCAGGTGGTGATGCAGCCGAACCACCAGGGAAGAGTCCACCACATGGTGGGTTCCTTGTACGTAGTCGTCGCAGTCAACGTTGATTCTTCTGTTTCCTTTCGGATTCGCACGATGTGAGGACGCCGTTCGCCACCGGCCGTATGGAGTACACGATGGGGACATGAGATTGATAAGATTATCCGGGTCTCCCTCGTTATCAATCAATGAATCGCCAAGTCAGCCCGCCCGATGTAGGTACCGAGCTCCTCCGATATCGTCACTTGGCTACCCCATTCAACAGACTTTTTAGAAGCCACGAAGAAATTCATGACATAACACATTAGGTGGGTTTTCCTCGAAAAAGCAACTCTACATCCTTGTGTCACTATCCTCCGACTGCATGCCGGTAACGTATAGCCCTCTGGTCTGCGCAGACCAGCACTGTCTCCCACTCGAACTGAGTGTACTCCGTACAGACTCATGTTGCAGTCGGCGTCTCAAAGCTTGACATTGCTTCTCCACAAGGTTAAATTAGTTTGGATGCTCACAATGCAGGCGGTAATATAAGGATCTGCTAGACGGAGCGCCGAGAGCCTTTAGCAGCCAATTGCGGCGGTTTCATTTACTAGTTGTGCAAGGGCTGAATGGGAGGGATTTTCATAAAGGCTCTCGTTGTGTTTCACCTGGAGACCTGCGGTGACATGTTGACCCCCTTGTATCCAGTTGGCTTCCTATGCATGAAGGTCTCAATCCCTTTTCCCCACAGCCTTCATTCGCGTCGTTCTGTAGTCGCACATAATTTCTGATATAATTGATCAGCTCAGACCTCCCCTTGCAGTGCTCGAAACGATCATCGGCTGTACAGGACAACGCCTGAATTCCGTTGTGATATACTGGTCGAAACACTATAGAACAGACTCTAGTGTTCAGAATCTATATCCACCCGCTTCTTCCGGTCTGTACTAGATACCACCCCCCAGAGTAGTGAAAACTAGGAAGAACCTCTGCACTACCTATTACATGCCATGATGTAAAAGGTCTGCAACGGCATGTTTCTATGTTCCTCTCAACGTACAGAAGATATCTGGAGACATGGATATCCATGTCCATGTGATTGTCACAAGAATTGACAGACCGTCGGTGCCTCAGGTATCAGCCTCGGCAGGCTAAACTCCCGACAGCCGACCGCCAAGGAAAGGACGATGGACTGACCCAAATGAGGATTGTTCCGGATGGAAAAACAACAGATGAAGAAGAGCTGATGGTCAATGTCTCTGTTGCTTTTTAATCCTTAATTCTCTTTGGACAATCCATCAGCCACCGGCCACTGTCAACTGTCCACTGTCAACTGGTGCAGCGACCGCCTGTGTTTCCCCAGATTCTCCCCCTACGTCATCCGCTTTCCTCATCAATTGTTGCCTTTAATTGCCCTTTATGCCCTCACGCCCTCATGCCCTCCCGTCGCAGTCACACCAAGTCCCGGAAGGGATGTCTCCAATGTAAACGAAGACATGTCAAGGTCAGTGCATTCGCATTCCACATGGTCCGTCTCTGTCTCGTACCGCCGGGTCGCGTGGCTTCCGGTGACCAGACTTGACATTGCATCGCTTCTCTGGTAGTACCTGGTAGTACTCTCGGTTAACACCAACAGTGCGACGAAGATACCCCCAAGTGTGGTCTCTGCAAAAAGCGAAAGCTGGACTGTACCTATCCCCCACCCACCAGCGACGCCGACAGCCAGCAACTGTCCCCGTCCCGGGATGGAGTGGAAACCGGGTCGACCGGCGAGCTCCCGCTGCCCACGCGCATGCTCGAAATGCGACTATTCCATCTCTATCTCACCGAGACTTACGTCACCGTCTCCCAGGGCGAGCTCGACGCCGACCATTTCCAGCGCATCGTGCCGCGCATGGCCACTGCGCATCCGTACTTGCTCGACGCCCTCCTCGCCCTCACGGCGCTGCATCAAGCGTCAATGGAACCCGGCGATAACCGGCCGTGGCTTGAGGCCGCGCTGAAATACCAGAGTCGGGCGTGTTCCGCGCTCGGCCAGGTGCTCGCAGACTTTACCCTGGACAACTGCGGACCCGCTTTTATCTGTTCCATCTTTATCATGCTTTCTGTCACGGCATACCCGTGCATCACCAGGGACAGCTACATGTTTGACCCGCTCTCACAGGTGCTGGAAATTCGCCGGCTGATCGCCGGTTGCTCGTTTCTCTTCCAGCAGCTTGGGCAATTGGAGCATCCCGGGGAAATGCAGAAGTGGCTGCGCTACAAGGAGGATGATCAGTTGGAGGAGGATAGTAAACTGGAAGAGTATGTTTCGCTTTCTGGGATCGTCTGGATGAAAGCTGACGAGTTTAGGGAGTACCAAGTAGCTAGTTTCCAGCAACTACGGAGGTACGCTTCCCATATACCCAGTCTAATACTACTGCTGATGCGCTCAGTGAACTGGCCGACTCCCTACATCGCGTGGAAAAGAAGATTGAGGCCCTTGACGATCCGCACAAAACCACATACCGCAACACCTGGGCGTTTCTCCTAGAAGCGGTGAATCGATGGCCCTGGGGCCGGCCAAACGGGGGCGTCATCGCCTGGCCGATCAACATCAGCGAGGACTACATCGCGCTGCTGAAGCAAGGGGAGTGGCCGGCTCGGATATTATTCCTACATTACGGCGTCGGGATGCACTTGTTTTCACATCGATGGTTTGTCCGGGACTGGGGCCGACGGCTGGTGGCCGCGGTGCTGCAGCCGTTGGCCGACGAGATTCCCACCGAGTGGGCGGAGACGATCGAGTGGACGAAACGCGCCGTGGGACTGGATCCGTAGAGATCAGCAATGAAGAGTGTCAGCAACCTCCTGGTACGGTGGTGTACTGAGGCACTAGAAGCCCTGGAGGCAATAGAGCATTAGTAACCTCGGCGAGAACGACCAATCCAGCCACGGAAAAGCTTATCTTTGTTGTGGAGGCACGAGACCTTATCTTCCACCTTTATCTTACCTACGCGGTATCGTACACTTGGATGTCTTCATGTCTCTCCTATACCTCGCTGGGGTCAACCTTAAGGCGTGGGCCATAACAGTCGACGGCAGGGGTCGTCATCCTACGGACTAGTACCGAGTGTATGCGTGGGCCGCCATGGCTGAGATGACTGGGATGTTCCGACGCAGCGGGGAAGATGAGGAGAAACAGGTCCGTGAGATCCCTCCTAAACTCACATATAAAAACCCACTTCTCTGATGCTATATCACGCAATCCCGCGGTGCGATTGTATTGTCCTGCAGACTGACACCCCCTTTCCAGCCTCTCCTGGCCCCTTTAAATTCCCCGACCGCGTATCCCCCTCGATCCTACACCGACCTGTCCAATGACCGCAGCACCCTGGCTTCCACCATGCTGCGTGCCCTGAAAATCTCCCTGTCAATCGCGTTAGTGGTGGTCTTGGTGGTGGTACACCTGCCCAGTGTCCATTCGACCCCCCTTGTCCTCTCGCCTCGGTATCAGGGGCTGGAACATGGATCCGATCATCTCGGAGAAGGCAAACTGGGTGCTGTTGCAAGCGAAAGTGCCCTCTGCAGTCACCATGGGACGGAGATGTTGAAAAAGGGCGGCAATGCGGCCGATGCGGTGAGCACGATATCACTTTGGACGTGGGAGGTGAGCGCTAAGATATCCGATATGTAGATGGTTGCGACCATGTTCTGCGTGGGTGTTGTCGGTCAGTCACCCTTCCGAACCTCAGGTACTCCGAGCTGACAATACCAGGTATGTACCACAGTGGCATTGGAGGCGGCGGATTTATGCTGGTGAAGGCGCCCAACGGATCGTACGAGTTCATCGACTTCCGGGAAACTGCACCTGCCGCCGCGTTCGAAGACATGTACACCAACAACACCGACGGCTCGACCACCGGAGGTCTCGCGAGGTACGTCCTTGTCACCGTCTCCGACCCCAGCCCCCGCGCCACTAACACGACCGCAGCGGCGTCCCCGGCGAGGTCCGCGGTCTGGAACACCTCCACAAGAAGTACGGCACCCTGCCCTGGGCGACCGTCATGCAGCCGGCCATCGACACTGCGCGCAACGGGTTCCCGGTCACCGCCGATCTGGTGCGCTACATGGAGTCCGCCGTCGGGACCGGTGAAGACTTCCTGGTAAATGATCCAACGTGGGCGATCGACTTTGCGCCGAACGGCACCCGACTCGGTCTGGGGGATATCATCACGCGTCGGCGCTACGCGGATACCCTCGAGACGATCGCGCGGCAAGGACCCGATGCGCTGTACAGCGGACCGATCGCAGAGACGATGATCCAGGCCCTGCAAGCGGCCAATGGCACGATGACCCTGGACGACCTGCGCAACTACACCGTTGCTATTCGGAACATATCGCAGATCGATTATCGCGGGTACAAGATTACGAGTACGACGGCGCCGTCCAGCGGGATCGTCGCCATGAGCATCCTCAAGATCGTGGATGGGTACCGTGACTTTTTTACGCCGAGTAACGTCAACCTGAGTACCCATCGGCTGGATGAGGCGATGCGCTTTGCCTATGGGCAGGTGGGTGATTGTGTTTCTTTTCCGGATGATCAGAGCTGATGTGGTGCAGAGATCGCTTCTTGGTGACCCGGCTTTCGTGGAGGGCATGGGCGAGTACCAGGAGGATATCCTGAAGAAGGTTACGGTCGACGATGTCCGGAGTCGGATCTCGGACGCTAGAACGCAGAACGTGTCTGCTTACGATCCGGATGGGTTCGAGAGCCTCAACACGTATGCCCCCTTGTATTCTTCGGCTAGACTGAGTTACTCATTTTCCCAGGCCTGGAACCTCTCACATCGCCACGGCCGACCATTCCGGCTTCGCAATCACCGCCATCACCACGATCAACCTACTCTTCGGAAGTAAGGTCATGGTGCCGGAGACAGGCATCATCATGAACAACGAAATGGATGGTGCGTTACCACCAGACCCTGCCCCATGGCTACGTAACACCGCTAATGAAACCAGACTTCTCAACCCCCGGGTCCTCCAACTCATTCGGCTACATCCCCTCCCCAGCAAACTACATCCGCCCAGGCAAACGCCCGCTTTCCTCCATCACCCCCGCGATTGTCACGCACCCCAACGGCACCGTCTTCTTCGTCGCCGGCTCCGCAGGTGGCAGTCGCATCATCACCGCCACCGTGCAGAATATCATCCACGCCGTCGACCAGGGCATGTCGGCCGCGGAGGCGCTCGCGCAGCCGCGTCTACACGATCAGCTCGTTCCGAACCAGGTGAGCTTCGAGTATGCGTACGATAACCAGACCGTGGCGTTCATGAAGGCCCGCGGCCATAACGTCACCTGGGTGGCGCCGGGGGAGAGCTCCGCGCAGGCTATTCGCGTCTTGCCGAATGGGACTTTTGATGCGGCGGGTGAGCCGAGACAGAAGGCTTCTGGGGGGTTTGCCGTCTAGGTTCATGTTGGTGTGATAATATAGACATGCGTGTATGGGATGAGGATGGGAATGTAGTTTTGACTGGGGTATTGTGGTTTCGGTGGAGGATTCTAGCTTATCTGATAGACTTTTGGAGGAATATAGAAGTCCCCAACCAAAGTACTGTGCCAGGAAGCGAATACAGACGACGTTCTCGAGGAAGGAAGCGCCACCGAAGAACGAACCGTGAAGCATGCTAGGTCGAGTCACACACTATCAGGTAGCCAACCACCCATTTCACAATCTCGGCATGACCTTGGAGAAGCCTAATAGCCACTTGAACATGCATGCCCGCACCGGCGCGCCGATGGCACATTCACGCCAGCGTTGTGCTCCATCAGGTCGATTGTGATGGCACTTGCTATAGAATCGCCCCTGGATAGACGTCCATCTCCCAAGTCTCGGAGGCATTGACATCTGTCTCTGCGGCGAACGTGCTTTCGCTGTATTTGAATATCTTGAGGTAGAAGGCATGGTATGGTTTCGCCTGGGCCTGCAGGACCCATATCCTCCGCGCGTGTTTGTGTATTTGAGGCTGTCAGTAGCCAAGAGTTGAAGAATCCATGGATATATTGTGGAACTAGTCGAGGAGCCCGTGCTTTATTCGAAACTCTAGGATCCGCGACTCGCATTCCAGTTCCTTTGCTTCGAGCTCGAGTCTCTGGCTTCGCAGACGACAGCGTTCTGCCTCCAAACGATGCAATTGCCATTGAATCTCAAGCTCGCGTATCCTGCGACTTGGGGAGTCGGACTGGAGGATGGTGGGACTCCTACGCTACTATTAGTATCGACCTATTTCCGCAACGACATGGTTTTTCTCACCGCGGGCGGCCGTCCGAACGTCGCCGTGAGGGGGACCGAGAACGGCTGGTAGCTTGTATAACGTCTCCTATCCAACGGTCGATAACCGGATCACTTGGTTGAGGGCTATCGTTTGCAGCATCTGGATGCTGGAGCGTGGAAGTGCGCTTGCGTTTCCGAACAACTGTATGATATGGATATTAGCGGAGCCTTGTCTGGGTGCAGGGGCACGTTGATACATACCCTCCACGCAATCGGGAAGATCTACATTGCCGCTTTCTCGACTATTCTGCGTTCGAGGTCGACTTTGTGCAAGGTACTGCTCAATACCGCGTTTATCGATATCCATAGACCTAACATGGCGTCCAATTAGTGATGAGATGCTGCAAGCGGTCTGAGCCAGTGACTTACCCATATATTGTAGCACGAACGTCAGGGTAGGCGCCTTTGAGATACGATCGGTAATGGGCTTCTCGGATGCCATTCGTCTGGTCCCGAACCTCCTGATAAAACTCCGGTATCATCAATGAGTAGGCTTTACATATGCCAGCCGCAATTACTGGATTCTTCTTGTGTTCAGCCCAGTCACGGGTCTTCGGGGATCCGAATTCTATAGTTCCGTAAGCCCGCGGTCTATCAAATGCACACTTACTGAGGAGGCTATTTCGACTTACGTTGAATGAAGGAAATCACGAAGTCATACTCCTGTCGAGTCTCACAAGAGAGCAATGCTCGCATTCTTTCCGAAACATTAAGCTCATCTGGGTCTGGAGCCAATTTTGAAATGTTTCTGAGAAATTGGACAGGACTGAAAATGACGATACTTTTCAGTTGCCATTTCCAGTCACGATGTTGCGGATCGAGGCCCATAAGACACATCCCGAGGCCTGGCAGCTGGTCAGCCATCGCAAGAACTAAGGGAATTCTGTAGCATCTTACCGGTCATCTGTTTCGGACACATGTCGATGACAATCGATTTGATTCCAATGCCATGTAGATAGTGAAATCTCGTCGGTTCCTCACAAACATCGCTGACTAGTTTAAAGACTCTCTGAAAAAGCACTTTGTAACTAGCTGGTGAGTCCTTATCTATAAGGACTCGAAGGAGCGTGATGACTGAATAGTCGTTAGTACCCAGATTACATTTGGCCCTTGGTAGGCTTACCTTTGCCATATTCCTGAAGATATCTCATGAATGTCACTTCCTTAAAAGCGCCTGACCTCTTATCGGTGATGACAACCTCGAAGGATTCGAAAGAACCAAGAAGTTTGAGTTGATCATGATATGCGTAGAAAATCATAATACCACTGTCATCGACAAAGACACTGCGAACGTATTGCTAAAGTGCGTTAGCTGTTGGTCGTTAAGTTTGGTTGAAGCGAATTCTTCATACCTTGTACTCATTATTTACTTTTAATATATGAAGAAGCCGGTATACGTCTTGTCCTTCTGGCCATGAAAGCGCTTTCTCTTTGATTGTAATAGCAGAGATGCGATCTTGGTCCATGAATCTTCTATGAATCCCAGATAAAGTCATGCCATTATACTGCTGACAAAAGGTTTTCATTGTAGGCGCATTGAGAAACAGATCTGGCCAAGTGTTAGCAGCTAGGTAGCTCCGCCTAGAAACTGTTGACATACTGGTTGATAAGTCCGGGCTCTGTCTTCGCTTGATCATATCCAGTATCTCTCCCAGAATTTCCTGTGGGGGCTTATTGGGAGGGGGAGGAGGGTGGGTATGGGTTCCTCTTGAAAGAAACAAGATAAAAGGACATTCTTGTAGGTCCACTGGGATGAGAACGTCGAATGATACTTTGCATCCTAATATAACTAGTGAACCCATGCCCTGTACATGTGCAACTCCTTGTTATGTAAATCAGCCACTAATAATCATCAGTAGGGAAAGTGCTCTTCTGCCTTACCACACTTTGGTCGACGAGATGCTGTTGATTCTACCACTCCACATGGTTCATAGTCCGGTGCATTCGACGATCCAAGAAGCTGTTCCAGAAGATCAAGATCTACGTGAGACTTATGTTTATCCAGAGGTTGACGAAAATGGTTGACAGCAGTCGTGGCTGTGGCACTCGAACAGACAATGAGGAAGGGAGAATCGCCCGGCAATTCCTACCGGATTTAGCAATGGTTCAACAACAAGTGCTGGCATACGTACGTTGTGCTTGAGTCGTTTGAACACTGGAGAACATGACTTTTCAGGGACAGAGCACGCGGTTCCCTTTGAAAACCGCGATTGGACCTCACGAAACAAACTATGGTGCATTAGTATAACAATCATTAAGCTAGCTTCCAGACTTCGAGAGCTTGCCTATATGTCGCTCGCTGCTGGGGACTAGCTTTAGAGCCAGTGAGTGATGTTCGGAGATTGGCCATTTTGGTAAACATCTCCTCAGAGACTTCGGTATGGTGGAGGCTTTTCAGTTCCTCGTGAAGGAACTCGCATGCTTTGGCTCCACTGCAACGGTAGTGAAATTTCTCAACTCGGGTGTTGAGAAACGTGCAATAGATTTGCTTCTTTGATCCAACAAGGTAGCTGGTGTATTGGACCTAGCTAGTCAGTAGCTTGTCGAGGGTGCTAGGCGAGGCACGTACTGATGTTATGGGATGTTTGATCAGATGCGGATGAGCGGCTTTGGTGTTTATCACATATGAGTACCCCACGGGATGTGACTTGGGATATGCGGTCAGGAAATTACAGAAGTCCATGACGACGGAAAGCATGGAATGTCTTGCAGTCGACAGGGGAACCGGGAAGTCGGTCTATCAACACATTAGCCGGTATGGCCATGATTGTATAGTGTGACTTACTAGTTCCCGTATCTGATATGGATCCTCGACAGCAGTATTGCGCTCATGCATGACTTGATTGTCTGCTTCATTCGAAAGCGAGATCCATTCCGTTTCTGAAGCAGGAGCTGGGGGAGTCGACAAATCGACAAGGGTATTAATGACCGTAGGATCATCGCGCAGATAGTCAAAGAGTGTTGAAGAGGCCATTTGCTTGGACTCTTTTGGGGATGATTGATCGGGTTGGGGTGAGCTGAGATATTTCGGATGGTCCGAGGTCTCGGGGCTGAAAGGCCGTTACCTCTCAACTGTGGTCGACTACAGCAAGCCATGTCACCTGACCTGGTGATGGGTGAGCTGAGAACTAGTTTACGACTGAGCTGATCTATACAGTGCAATAAAGATATCTACTACCTACCTACGTAGCTTTCACATATATTATATACATACAAAGGCATCCTACGATCAATTGCGCTGGATATATATCTTGTTCGAAGAGCAACACACTTTCATGTCTATACTGTATGGTTGGATATATATTACTGTGCAGGTACAACAATGTATCAGGCAGACCTTCCCTAAACAACTTCCAGCACCAAGGATACCCACATCTATGTACCCCCTATCACCAACGGCCCTATAAGTTGATCACTCGTGACTGTCGATCCACTGTACTGTACACTTTACTTCGTTTCCCAGTGCGAAGTCGGAGTGCATACAGGTACTCCCAGAAGCATCTGATAATAATGATCTGCATCCCTCGAGATCACATCAGAAACTTTCCGAAGACCATAGAATAGCTGGACCATACGTCTGTGCGGTTCGGCTCTTCCTATGGTGGCTGTACAGGTACAACATCGGGCATAGTTGCGATGCCCCTGCTATACTGGTGATGTGGCAGAACTTTGATGTCAACAAAGAGATCCACTCGATTAATCCACTTACATCACCTCCCCTCTCGTCAGAAGCTACGGACATGGCGCTGCATCTCACCTTTCGTAAGGGGAAAGTACTTGAAGTATTAATAGGGAGCAGCACAATATCGGAACCTATGTATCAAATATTGCGTTTCTCCGAACCCCCATACACTGTGCAATGAAGGGACTGACTGAACACGAACACCATCCGCCATTGTACACATTAAGCTCCGTGGATTATACGGAGCACAGCCTTATTTTCCGCAACCATTCGGGATATGACTGATCGACAGCGGAGAGGAGCCTGTAGTCTAAATTTAAGAACGATAGCGCGGCCGGTGGACCTCAACCGTCTGAATAATCGGCGAACCACGACGCCGCGCATTTACCGACGGCCACTCTTCTGCTGCACTCTAGACAATCTCATCGTCATCAACCAAGGAGTTCAATAGCCGCCGTCTATGAGTGGTGCCCCCCGTACCTGATGGGTCGTTGGGCTACCCCGGAGAAGATCGGCGGAGCCGCGTGTGCAGCGGACCTAATTCCTTCGGTCTTCATGGAGGTGCCATACCCTTGCATGGCCCCTCCACTTGGTATGCGCCGCATTCCAAGCCACAGTACTCAATGAACCCATTTAGTATGTCCCTGATGAAGTCATCCTGGAGAAGGGTGGGAGAGGTTTTGAGCGAGGGTGCGCATTGTATAGGATATTGGCTACTGAATACCGGTTGAGTTGGACTGAGCTATTCGATGGAGCACTTGCAGTTGACCACGGAGTAACTAATCCACTTATAGGCGCCGTCACTAGCACCCAAAATGGTGTCAACATGGTCAATCAGGGGATCTCTTGAGCTCAATTCGGCATCCTCGAATATTCCCCCGGCAGCTCGGAGTCTAGAACTTGGCATTGAAGCTCCACCCTCGCTCGTCGGATGCAGCTTCGCACTGGCTACATTCGAACGCAGTTACCTCGTTTAGTAGGATCTGCTGTATACGACATCCATCACTACCATGCCACGTAAAGCCCGTCGTCATGTCGGATGGCTATGGCGCGAGTTGAAGATATCTATGGAAAAACGCTCGGATGAGAGCCTGGAGACAAAGGTATAAAAGGAACGTCAAGCCCAGCTGCATCGTGGACATCATCATCAATCAACCCAAACATCGAAGCCTTCCAAACAAGACCACATCCCAAATCACCTCTGCAGTTCAACTTGCAAACCATCACCATGAAGATCTCTGCGATTATGTCCACCTTTATGGTTGCCGGCCTCGTTGCCGCTGCTCCTCCGGCCCCTGCTCGTACGTATCTTCGCAGATGGACCAGAATACTCTCTTCTAACCGATTGTCTTCTAGCTACTACTACCGATCTCCAGCCCCAGGGCCCTCCTCCTACCGGTGGTCCTCTCCCCCCCAAGGCCCCTGAGAACGACAACGACAAGCGTGACAACGTTCCTCCGCCTCAGGGCCCTGCTCCAAAGAAGCCGGCGCCCCCCAAGCGTGGTGATGTCCCTCCTCCTGCTCCCAAGGAGCCCCAGCCCCAGCCTGAGGACGGTCCCCACGGCAAGCGTGGTGATGTTCCTCCTCCTGCCCCGAAGGGCCCCAAGCAGGATGGCGCGCACCCTAAGCGGGGAGATGTCCCTCCTCCTCCCAAGGGGGAGCAGCCTCAGCCCCAGCCTCAGCACCCCAAGCGTGGTGATGTCCCCCCTCCCAAGGGAGCGAAGCCTCAGCCCCAGCCCCAGCCCCCCAAGAACGGTAACTAGAGGGCAGGTCGTGGCTAATTAGAGGACTGCGCAAGAGTATCTTCGCGGTCCGGAGCACGTGTCGGTCATGCTTGGAGTGAACGCGGCATATTTCAAGAGTTCACTTATAAGTGGCTGTCTCTCTTTCTTTTCTCTTTGTCTCCAGCTGGATAATTCTCTGTATTGATATTGTTTCGTCTGAAATACAACAAGTGCACTTGCATCAATGTCGGTAGCTACTGTGTAGAAGACGCGTGTGGTCTGTAGAACCTGTCCAAAATAAGAGGCGACAACAGAGGAATACAATGTAAACATTACCTAATTGGCGAGTTGCATCAGTCTCGGTACACAGTCATAGTTGAAGAGCCATGGTGGGATATGGTTCGGACAAGTACAATCGGACGAGGGGGATCTGATCTATCTAAAAGTGGTCCGTGCGTGGTCGCGGGTCTCCGCGTCGCGAAGGAGAGTCAATTTCCACTTCAGCTGTCTCCTCCACCCAGATTCCCTTCCAGCACTCATGACTGCAATGGACTGTGCCTTCTAGTCTATTATTATCACGACCTTAATAGCGATTATTGTGTTATTGGCTTCCAAAACCATGGCAGCTTCCAGGTCGGACATGGCATTCGGAGTTTGAAGCGTGAGCGCACACTACCTACCTACAATCTGCTACAAGGAGCACCTGCTGCAACCTGAGAAGGCCCAGTTACTAACAGAACATCTACCAGTAGTGTTCCCACCGAACCCCGCCAACTTTCGTCCTATTCGCTTTCCTCAAACCTACTGGCCATGATTCTTCCCTCATGACCTCGCAACTCCCCACGAGCAACCTGCTCGTTCGCGTGATATCACAGAAATTCCGACAGCTCCTAGGCCAGTCAACAGACACCTCAAACGACGATAAGGTTGCAACCACCGGTGTCAACCAAGATAACGCCGCCATGGGGTCCTCCGATGGGGCTTCGCCCTTCCTTCCCCCTCCTACACTCGACGTCAACCCCGCAAAGTTCGAGCAGGGCGACGATTTCGTCCAAGGCATAATGGATGAGATCCTCACCGACGAGGCCGAGTATGACCGGAGCTTTGACGAGTACACTGGGACTCGGCCAGCCTCCGTCGACCGAGAAGATGAGCAATCGGAGTCCGCCTCTGAGGGGATCAACGTCGCGGCGGAGACAGAAGAACACTCCGAAAAGATGCTCCCCTACTCAAGTCCTTGTCCTTCTTACAAGAGACACAAGCTGCAACAGGGTAAGGAATCCAGCAACAGCAGTGAGAACGAGGACGAGAGTGACCAGGATGCCGCGTCAAGTTCCGCAGAGTCGTCTTCAGAGGGAAGTTCTGAGCATGTCGATGATGAAAAGGAGGAAGAGCGTCGGCGAGAAGAATTCATTCTTGAGCCTTTGAGCTTTACCCAGCGGGAGGAGTTTCTACACTTTATCAAAATCCACCCCTTCGTCTGGCAACGGCCTATCCGGCGGACCGCACGGCGCCAGTTCCTGCGCGATGTATGCGATAAAGCCTCGGAGATTGGGTTGGACCAGGAAAGGATCGCGCTACTTGAGAGACACGTCCGGAAGCTGTACCTAGAGATCCGCAAAATCGACGCTGATCCTGAAGGCTCGGAGTTTGGTCCTGAGCTTGACGATGAGTACGTGCCTACGGGACCGGCCAACACTCAGAAGAGGAAGTGGGACAGCGACAAGGAATCGAGCTCGAAATTCAGAAGGATCAAGCGGGAGTTTTCCGAGGAAATACCCCCTGGACGCTTGGCTTCTGACCATGATGTTGATCGAGAAGTCGATACTCTCAGTATGGAAGATTCGGCTATCTCTGTCTCCGAAGGGGACTCCTCTCAGACAAATCTTGATCATGCGAGACCGGACCTTGCGCAGGAGTCTTCTTTCGAGAAAGAATCGGGTAGTGATGAGGTTGCGAGTAAAGGCCCGGGTGTTGAGGAAGCCGCAGACGCAGTGAAATCTGCACCTGAACCTCTCGAACAGTTTAAATCGCCACAGATGGCCTCAAGGCCCAAGAGCACCAGGACACCTCCACGCAGTCCCGATGATGCTAAGAAGGGCAGCTCTTCTACTTCCCGTAAACGCTCTTCACACATGCCTTCCTCCCATGCTACTCCCTCGGAGAAGATTGTTGTTGTTCTTGACTCCAGCAGTTCCAAGTCATCCAATGCACCCGATTCCGACTCAGTATCGGGCACCACCTCAAATGCAGACAAGAAGAAGTTGCAACGGGAAAAGAAAAGAATGAAAAAGCGAAACCGGCGCCAGGCAAAAAAGGACAAAAAACGCCGCGACAGTCTTCCGAACGAAAACACGGCCTTGAGTGAAAGCCAACCGAAAAGTCATGTTCCAAGCAAGAAAACCGGCGCGAAGGCAAAGAAGAACAGTGCCACTGACCACGGAAACACTGCTTTTGATGACAACTATTGGGACTTGACGGATTTTTAAAGTCCGATGATTCGCATGGGCTGACCGCCCGCGATGAGGTGAGGTCGAAGTATTTTGTATACCCACGGAAGACGAAGAAGAGACACGCCGCAATTCAGCATGGTAGGGGGAATGAGTCTCTTGATTCTAATAAATCGCTCCCGGAAGACACGAGTGATGTCCCGAGAGAATACGGCACTTCAAATCAAGATTACCCAACAACACGCCTCTCGCCGCCTGAGGAGCAATTTGAACCAGGATCGCGAGACACCCCCCGCACGCCAACAAAGAACAATACTCGTGAGCCGTTGGATGCTCTTCCGTTGAAACAGCCCCGGATTAAGCTACCCAAAGTTTCACCCTACTTTCCAGAGCCTCTTGTTGATCCAGAGTCGTGCCTCCCCTTTCCACCCATTGATGCACCGTCTTTTGGACTTGTTCAAGAGCAGTTGGCACATGATCCATTCCGCTTGTTGATCGCGACGATTTTCCTTAACCGGACCCGCGGGGGAGTTGCGCTTCCGGTTCTTTTCCAGATATTTGAAGATTACCCTACTATCGAGGCTATGGCGGCGGCTGAACTTCCAGTTTTGGTGTCCAAGATCCATCGTCTGGGGTTCCAGAATCAACGAGCGAAGAAGTGTATTGGGCTTGCACAAACCTGGCTCGCCCATCCCCCGACCAGAGGGAGAAGATACCGCAGACTAAACTACCCTCGACGAGCAGACGGACGTGATGTTAGACCCGACGAATGCGTTACAGACGATGATCCTCGTGTTGCTTGGGAGATCGCCCATTTACCTGGAGTCGGAGACTATTCTTTGGATAGCTGGCGGATCTTTTGCCGAGACGAACTTCGCGGTCTTGCCATGGACTGGAAAGGCACCGGGTCCACAGATAGCGACTTCATGCCCGAGTGGAAGTCGGTTCTCCCGCAAGACAAGGAATTGCGGGCGTACCTGACGTGGATGTGGCTCAAGGAAGGATGGGTCTGGGACCGGCATTCGGGGAAGCTGAGTCGGGCGTCAGAGAAGACCATGCGGGCAGCTCGTCGAGGGGGTGTTGCTTTTGAAGAGAATGGACATTGGGTCTTGGAGACATCGCCTGTGAAGAAAGCGGCAAATGGGATGACTTGGAGTTAGGATATGAGTGGACTTGTGCTTGCAATGTTGTGGAGTTGACACGGTTAAGGATACCCAAAGATACTGCGATTATGGATATTGTAAAGACAATTCAAAATGCGTTGTAATTGATTCCTCTATACTTCTATCGTGGGGTTCGGGCTGAAGGAACTTGTCCAGTCCACACCACCACATCGCTGCCATGTCAACAACTTCAACTTCGCATCACCATTCCAAACCCTCATGATACATTCTGTCTACTGATTCTACCGGGAGAATCGTGGCATCATCCTTCAAGGAACCGAACTTCACGGAACCTCCCACTTGTCGGGCTTCCATGCAGCGACTAACGGCCCACCACGTCACTGGGCCTCACTAACTAGTTAACTAACTACCTAGCGAACTACGGAGCTACAACGGAACTAATCGATTAGTTTCTACTAATGAGGAAGTGTTCAAGAGAATTCTCCGCTAAACGAATCGCATAAGGAATAAAACCACTGCGGGGGCTCCAGCCTCTCTCTCTCTCTCTCTCATCTCACCGCAAAAATCCAACGTCCTTCTTTCTTCGACTTTCGATGCATCGTACCTGAATTGTCTGCCCCTCGATCCAAGAGTCAATTGTCGCCTCACCCGACCAGTTGGGCTCTACGTTTCACATCGTCCTCCTTGTACCTAACTCCATTGCGACGGCATGTCGCATGCCTTACAAATTCTCTTCCCGGTGGTTTGACGCAAGCGCCTTGTTGGCCCTCGACCAGTGAGAGTCGCCTGGCCCGAACGCCTTCTAAGCGCCAGACGACAACCTGATCGGCTGCCTTCCAGGTCACCTGAAAGGATCTCCATCCCTCCGTCGTGTCATACTTGCTGCTGCCTTCGAGACCGATCTCCTGAGCTTCAACTTTCTTTTTTCCAGGTAACTAGTCGAATATACCTCGATGATATCGTGCGGACGACCGAAGGGGTGAACCAAGAGAGAGTCGCGAAAAAGAAACCATCGACGGCAACTTCGTCTCGTTTCTCCATCCCTCCTCCCAATCCCCCTCTGCTCCCTCGAAGCCCATCGTGCCCACGCCATGTTTCTGCCGCTGAGACTAAATGACCGAGATCGCGACAGGACCCGTTCGAAAAAGACCGCCTCCCCTTCATCTCCCAAAACAAAACATCGCCATCCCCGATCCTCCCAGGGGCGATCCAGCCGAACCTCAACCAAGGAACAAGACGCTGACGCTCCGACGGGCCGCTCCTCCACCCCTTCTACCTCTACCGCCTCCTCCCGCAAACAGCGTCGCTCCTCCATGCCTGGAGTCGACAGCGCCAGCCGCTCCGGCACGGCCTCGTTCCTGGAGTCACGAACGAGTCTCCCATACCCGACCTTCTCGAAAGCCCACAGCAAAGAGGCTGTGGGCAAGCCCGGCATCCCCACCCCCGACCCAACAGACTTGACCGAGAAGTCGAAAGAAAACGAAAATGGCGACAGCACCGAGCCATCCGACAACCAGAATGCGCCCCCGAGTCCGCCCCTGACAAGTGTGGACCAGAATTCCCGCAAAGGTAGCTCGGTCGGCGAGAAGGATGAAAAAAGTACCGGCGAGAAGTCGAAGGATGGGAAGACCAAGATACGAATCCGGACCGAGTCGACAAGGTCGTCGTCGAGTCTGCGATCGAAGCGGGATGAGAAATCCAAGTCCAGCAAGACCACGAAACCAGATACGCCCTCGAAGTCGAAACGATCCAGCCATCATGAAAAGGACTCGCCCTCACGGACGGCGAGTCGCAATTCGATGAAATCCAAAATCGTCGACGAAGCCTCCCTGCCCAAGCGATCGGGTAGCCGTTCTGCAGCATCGCCAACCGGGTCGCCCGCGACGGTGCGAGAGGTGGGCACGGAATCAGCGAATGGCTCTGATGCAACCATTGGAGCTCCTCCCCGCAAGCCCAAGAGTCCTGATAAACCGCCTTCCCGCACCCAAATGCGATCGTCCATGTCCAGTCGCCCCGGTAGTCGCACGCCCGTCGACGTGTCTTTCGATTATGGACGGCCTCCGACAGCACATTCTGCCTTTGATGCTCCCCCGCCTCCCCCTCCTCCGCCGGAGATGCCAGTTTCGATCCCCCGGGTGGATTATCTCCTACAGAATGGTGGGTTGGATCACCGCGTTCCGAAGGCGCTGCTCATGGGCGCGGGTGTCCCTGAAACGGCACCTTACCAGACACTTCCGCCGCAATATGCTGCATCGCGAGTCTTCGATCCTTTTAATCGTCTGCTTGACGACTATAATAATGTGATGGCAAAGAATGGGTCCTTGGCTGTAGCCACGGGATATCGGTCAGTTGCACGCCGGCTATTGGACCGGTTGGAGGCGGTGTTTGCTCGTGATATCTCGTCGGAGTCCTGCACTTGCCTCATGTGTGACCATGAGGAGATGGAAGAGCGCCCCTCCGGGGTGAGCTGGGGAGAGGTTCTCGAGTTGGTCTCGGGACGCAGAGAACTGCCCAATTGGCCGCCGTTCATTCTGATGCCGTCGGTCGGGGAAGCCGAGCTGTCCGGTAACGAGCACATTCCCATGCAGAAGATGGATATCGACGTTCCAGAGGAGTATCGCGAGCACTACATGCGACAGTCCCGCAAGACGCAAGCGGCCGTTGACAAGTGGTTGAGCGAGCAGTCGGACCAACCGACGAGTGCACCTCAAGACGTTGACGACGAGACTCTGACGTTTGCCATGCTCACGCACCTCGCGCCCGAGCTGCGCCCGATCTTCCGCGCACTGCTCGGCATCAAGTCTACCTCGCCGACCCCCCAGCCTGATGGCGAACCCCGCGTGAGATCTCCTGCCCTGGTATCGTCGTCCCTCGCGATCCAACGCCTTTATCGGCTACCCTCGGTTCCACGCGATCCCGAGACGGCGATGTACATGTTGAACAACCCGGGCATGCACCACGTCCTTGCTACTCTTGCCGCTATCAGTGACGACGAGTGGGATATTCTCATATCCGGCCGATTTGACGGATTCCTGCGCAGTGGCGCGGAAGATACATACGCCGGTCCTGGGTCTACTCCTCCGCGCTGGAGCAACAGCCGGTCCAACACCCCCTTTACTACCGGAGGCATCTCGCGGGGCCCAACCCCCAGCCATATGGACGGTACGTTTAGACCCGCGAGCCAGCCGTATGGCGTGAACTCGACTGCGTCGTTCGGAGGACCTATCGCCCTCGACGAAGAGATGGAAATTGCGGCCCTGGCCGAGATCGAGCGCGACATCTACCTCGGCATGGAAGCTCTGGAAGACGCCTTTGAAGCACTGCATTGCAAGGCAGAGACGGTCCGGCGTGCTCTCCGCGAACGCGGCGCCGGACTGTCCGTGGCGAACCAGAACCGGCGCGGGTCATACGTCGAGGCTCGTCTAGGCACGCCGTCGTCGGCGCTGGGTCAATGGGAGAGCGGGCCGGACGACGATTTCCTCGACGACGACCGGTCGCTGGCGCCGGACGACTCTGCCAGCAACATCAGCTCCAACCGTCGCCGTCGCCCGAAGCGACGCACCGAACGGCGGACTCCTGCTCCGGTGGAGGAGGAAGATGAAGGTGAGGATGTTCACGAGTCGAGACACTCTCGCGGGTCGCGTAGAAGATGATGACGATATGTTTGGATGGATGGTATTTTGCCTACATATGTATCTGTTTTCTGTTTATGTTACAGCGTTATGACTGACGAGTGATATCCATGATGACAATATCACGAGAGGGAGCCGGGCACACTGGGCGGGTTGGTGTATGTACATGATGTACCTATTACGGAAGCACCTGCAGTTTGTTAATACGGAGTCCATGAGTACCGCCATAGCCATGTGAAAGAGATGTAGTAACGATAGGAGCCTCAAGCCAAGCCTTCCCCATACGACAAACACACCAGGAGCCGATCCTGGCGTTAGCTCGAATCCTTCTATACATAGTCGGATATCCTCCGTGGTGGCCAACCCGGGGGATCAGCCCACTATCGATTCTTAGCGCTGGCCAGAAATCCAGACGAACTGCCGCTGGAGTGACTGGTGGGATATACGGCCGAAGGTTGGCTGTCTCATTATTAGGGACGCCACGACTCGGTCAGTGTTGCTTAGGAGTTGCCTATTTGAGTAAATGTAAGATTTTGCTATCTACACCGTCCTTGTACAGTACACTTTCACCTATTCACCTATTCACCCACTTGGCGCATCCTCAGACTTTTACCTCTTCCTCCTCACTTCTTACTTTGATCTGATCCCGGTCAGACGGTTTAGACCAGACTCAACCATGGATGGCGATCGCACGGGCACGATCATCCTTATTTCCCGACCTAACTACCTTGTAACCTTGTGCTCCGTAGACACTATCCCGCGGGAAAGGTACCCGAAGGGTGTCACCGAACCGCGGGCTGGTGCAAGGTTCTACCCGCTCCAGACCGAATTTTCGCATGACAATGACAATTTGTTGGTGAGTGTGGAGCGAGCCGAGACCTGCACACACACACGCACACACACACGCACACACATGCACACACAACACGGACACGCAGACTGGGCCCAAGCTATTGAAGTCAATGCTTGACTGAGGGACTTGTCTACTTCGTACTCTGTAGGAGTAGTGATGCAGTGCGTCTGGGGATATGGTTGCAATGCTTATTCTGCAGCCATGCGGGATGCTGCATGACCTAACTGTACACCGTATCGTATTCCGATAGGGTTCTGACATGCCCCTGCTACATATGTATGTCGCCACGATGGTCTACGGAGTACGAGTATAAGCCAGGGCTGTGAGCATGACCCATGTGCTTGGTTCAGGAGTCTCTGGAGCCAGGGACAAGGTATGGACGGAGCAAACGGAAGGACATCCGATGGGGACGGGACGGGGGCAGGAAAAAAAAGCTCACCCAAGAGATGGCGATGGAGACGGCCAAGAGACGGGTCCGTGGTGGAGTTTTTGGAGAATTTTCTTTGGTGTTTTCCAGAATCTGAGGTGATTCAGGGGATATTACATATGATCGGGAGAGGTTCCGCTAGATCCGTAGGCAGAATGGTATTGTCCTCTGTAGTACTGTACAATACTATCAGTGAGTGGATCACAACAATGTACTCCGTGTTCCGTAGTACAAAGAGCACTGGCTACTCTGTAGATCAAGAAAAGGACTCTGCGATCGACAGAGTGCTGAGTTGGAGTATCAGACGGGATCAACAATGATAGACTGACCGGGACAGAGTTACCCGGAAGACACTGCCTATCATGGAGGCTCAGTCGATCTCCGACAGAGGATGGCATATGACGGCTGATTTGAGTATGTCTATAAAGACTATCTATAGTGTCTGTACCTAGGTAGACTCCAAATCATGGGGTAGAAACTTTGCCCAGATGATAGTCGCATTAGCATGCACGGGCTGTCATAGAGTCGACATCAATAGCGGCAACAAAGACCAATGATTAAGACCGGGCATTAATTTCACATGCATGTCGGTAGTGACGAACCTACTGCTTTGATCGGCATCCGCACGAGGCCAGTATTCAGTACTTACGGAGTAGATGATTATACAGAGTAGAGTAGAGTACAAGTAGAGTAGATGCTCCAGCTCAACGTGTGGCACTGAGGCTTTTCCTCGACTACTTGAATTCTATTGATCCTTTGCTGCAACCTGGACTCTGCCTCGGTTTGACTAGCCAGATTGAATGAGTTGGTCCGGTATGATAGTGCAATGCATTCGATGGAGCCCTTCGGCAAGTGATATGCGTGTTGACACAGTGGGACGGCTAACTACTACTGACTTACTAACTACATAAGTACGAACTAGCAGACTAGAGTCTAGCACGAGGAGTAGTTTCGTTAGCCAAAGTTTAAGGACATTGTCATGGCCCGTTAGTTCGTTAGTAATTAGTGGGAGATGCCGTTTCAGGAGAAGACGGGGTCCACCAAGTAAGACGATTGACAAAAAGCCATTGTGTGAGGGATTACAACAGTAGGATTGATAATCATGGTGATCGTATTGTATAAGATGTTCCCTATTCGGCATGTCATCCGTATAGTATTTGGATTGTCTGGTCTGCCAAGGGGCTGGTCGGTCCTCATCCATGGAACTGTCCCATTTACGAGAACCATCCATCCTTCGATCGTAAAGTGGAAGATCATGCTGAAAGGTCCCTCTTCCAAGTCTGATACCATTGTCTGACCGGATGTTGTCCGTGTTCCACCGTACGCACAGCCAGATACTCCTAGGAGTATGTACTGTACGGAGTATGGCTGATACTCCCACAGTCACAGACTGATCCTGTCCAAGTGACCAGCTATACAGTATACCTACCCATGTCAACCTCTAGGTATCCATCTCTAATACTCTTACTCGACTCCATATACTATACACTATACACTATACACTCCCTCTGCAGACTAGATCGCCCTCAATTTCCCTTCACGGCTTAACCCTCGACAAACTTTTCAGGCGTCCTCTTCTCGGGACTTTTGTGTCTCGACGATCGGCGGCGTGCGGAGCTTCTGGAACAGGCTCCATCACCGACGCTAACCATCCACTGGTGCCCTGTCCACTTGTCTTTCCCGTTTCTCTTCGCCACAAGTCTTGTTCGCAACCCCCCCGGATGGAGTACAGAGTCTGTGCCCAGCGTGGCAATCTATCTATTACGACGACGACCACCGGACTCGCCGTGGATGGAATACAGTCCTGTCCGGTCTGGTCCTGTGCTGTCAGACAGCAGAAATCCCGGCATCCGGCTGTCCCAGAGCCGTCAGACACGACGAAACCGCTGGGCCCTTTCTCTAATCCCGACTAGTGCTGCCACTGAACTCTCGTTCGTAGTCTCTCTGCTTGGCGCACGACTAACTCGAACTCGTGGCCGCCCAAAGTTTCAGGAACCTCGATCAGAGTCCGTGAGTCTGGATGATCCGATGCCCCTGTCCAGACAGTTTGGTTAGTCTGAGGGGTACTCCGTATCTTTCTGTCGAAACTAGTCAGTGGAGGTCTTCATGACTGACTCTGCTGTCCCTGCATCCATTCGACAGGCTGGACGCCGTGCAAGCATTATCCCCCCACAGCATCCACATACGGGGGTCTCTCTTCTGTTCCAATCCGGAAGCAGTTAGAAGAACCTACCGTTGTGGCGCTTCTCCTCTATCCTTGTTCCCATTATTACTCCTCTCCTCCCCTCTTTCCAGGATCTGGATCTGGTGCTGTCCATCTACCGAGTCCAGAGGAGACCATCCGGCAAGGCCACCCACCCCCTGAGACCTATAGAGCCGGTCTCGTCGCGCTTCCACCTTTGTTTGTCGGCACCAGACTCGGCATAAATCTCTCTCGGGGAGCCTAGGTTGGTTGGCAGAGGATGATTGCGGTATATCTCCTGCAACTGTGTTCAACATGAGTCTCGTGCAGGTGCTGAGTGCACTTACCGCCCGCCACGATGAAGCCCACACTCTGTCGCCGCGACTGGCTTATACTGAGAACGGTCCAACATGGGATATCAATCCCCTCCCCAGCGACCAGCGAAAAGGTCTTATTGCCGTCTCGGTCATGGCCATTCTCTCCTTCATCGCTACCCTCTCCTTGATCTGCTTCGTCACATACCGACTGGTCTTCTGGCGCGGCAACTACCAACGCTACATCGGTTACAACCAATACGTGATCCTCATCTATAACCTCGTCTTGGCCGATCTGCAACAGTCGCTCGCCTTTCTGATCTGTATCAAATGGATCGTCGAAGATAAAATCACCGCTTCCTCCTCCGCCTGCTTTCTCCAGGGCTTCTGGCTCCAGGTGGGCGATCCCAGCAGCGGTCTCTTCGTGCTGGCCATTGCCTTCCATACCTTCCTTCTCGTGACCATGGGCCACAAACTGAGCCACCGCGTCTTTGTCGCGTTCGTCGTGGGGCTCTGGGGGTTTGTCGCCGTGTTGGTCATCATTCCTATCGCCTCCCACGGGAGATACGTCTTCATTCCGTCGGGTGCCTGGGTAAGCTGTTCCGTCCCAACCCGGCGCAAGGCCGTTCACTAACCAGAAAACATCATGCAGTGCTGGATCAACGAAGAGTACGAACCCATCCGTCTCTGGACGCACTACATCTGGATCTTCCTCGCCGAGTTCGGCACCGTCTGTCTCTACGCCATCATGTGGTTCCAGCTGCGCCGCCGCATCGCGCAATCGGCCATCCTGGGCGCCAGCCACATCGAGAGCCTGAAGCGCCTGCGCCGCGTCATCGGCTACATGGTGATCTACCCGGTCGCCTACATCGTGCTCTCGCTGCCGCTGGCCGCCGGCCGCATGGCCACCGCCCGCGGCGAGACCCCCAGCGTCGTCTACTTCTGCGTGGCCGGCGCCCTCATCACCAGCTCCGGCCTCGTCGACGTGCTGCTCTACACCCTCACCCGCCGCAACCTCATCCTCGAGTCCGAGCCCAGCGCCGACCGCAGCTACAACCGCTTCGCCAGCAGCAGCAAGAACCCCCGCACCACCGACCACCTCACCACCATCACCGCCGACCCCAAGCTGACGCGCGCCGACATCAGCGCCCTGCGCACCCGCCGCGGCCGCGACGACGACGTCGACGATGGCACGATACGCGACGGGTCCACGGACAATATCGTGCAGAACTCGGGCGTCGAGCTCGCCCCCATCGGCAAGGTGTACCAGCACACGACCATCGAGATCACACATGAACCGGCCTATCCGTCCGAGGGGGACAGCCAGCGGTCGAGCAAGGACTCGCTCCGCCACGCCCACGCGAAGGTTAACGAGTCGTCGTCGCGCATGTGGGGGAAGTAAGCCGTTCACTTGGTCACGCATGGTTATGTCTGCTCTTTTCTCTTCGATTCCTTTTCTTTATCTACTATACTCGATTTATTTGGTCCATACCCTTACGATGTCATTGATATCCCCCTTCCTCTTCGGCAGAGACTTTTCTTTTTTTTCGATATGACCTGTGTACAATATGCACACATACTATACATACTATTCTGGCGGCTGTGTCCTGTTCCTCTTGGGGAGATGTCTGGTGGGTGGATGAGCTGATGCAGATACTATAATTCAATCGACGCTGCCTTGGGTGGCATCCTTATCAATTCCTTGAGCGCATTCCTCGATGGGATATTGGGCAGTGTATTGTAGATGCCGAATAGGAGTAGGGGAGGGTTAAGGGGATTCGGAAGTCGCCCGAGGTGCACTGGTCAGTTTTGTGTCTCCTCCGGAGTAGATCTGCGTCTTTCTAGTCAGCCAGCGGGGATGAGAGTTTGCAAGTACCGGGCTCCACGATGTCACGGACGATTCCATTCGATAATAGAGGAGCAGGAGATTGAACTGAGTTTGGTACACGGCACATATGCATGACAGAGGGTCTGAGTCTGTTACTACTTATGCTAGGAGTAAGAGTTGTGCCGTCTCAATTTTGGGAGACTGGAAGTACGGAGTAGTATATAGATGCCTATGAGTATTTTTAGAACCAATAGCGCTCTGAGAAGGGGTGCAGAAATGAGTACAATAGTCTGGTGTACAAGTAGCCATCTACCTAGTAGTGCAGGTTTGCTGCCTAGAGTTGAACTGCCTGTATCATCGCGGAGATCAACAAGAATTATAGAATTGACACTGATAAAGCCCAGAGGCATAACGAACCTATTCAATCTTATGAAGCATAACTCCTCTAACCGCTTGATGGAAGTCTACTTTACCTTCCGTCACTATGATGTACATAGTTGCATCGACCTTGGTCCATGGTACCTTAAGTATATCTCCGCGGACGATGTCCATATACTGTCCATGTTAAGTACCTTATCATTCACCATTGTACCTGAAAGGGCTAGTATTTGAAAGAACACAATGTAACTAGTCTGATATATTCTGCTCCACCATAATAAAATCAACGGAGTCTCCCGGCGGTGACGGAAGTACAGAGTACATACATAACCAAGGTTCGGGTATAGTAGCCGACTGCCACGGCTTCAAATCCCGCTGGCGCAAGCAAACCCCTCGGATACATCTACATCCAGGGCATCGATCGATCTTGCCGGTTGATGCCGGATCAGCCACGCCATTGCCGTTGCCAAGAGACCTGTTCCAACTTGCTCGTCCTGCTCTGCTCCACTCGATCAGACCATTTGCTGTCTGGATTTGATGTCTGTCAAGTCGGGATTCGCTTGACCCGCCGGGATTTGATGGCCCTGTGGCCACCCCAAAATCTCCCCCGGGTGTCTTCACCTCTTGCATCGTCCATGGCTCTGGTGCTGACATGACATGACTGACATGGTTCGGTCAGGTGGGACACTGTGACGGGAATCGCTCCGCCCGAAGTACCAGCTGGACGAATGCGCCGGGTGACACTTAGTCTGCCATAGGCCCGACTCATAATCTATCGTCTTTGTTTTATTGCTTGATCGACCTCATACCAATCGGTAGAAGTCATTCGCTTGCTGGATTCTGGATCAGTATCCTTGCGCCGTGGGCCGCGATACATCCTGCCTATATCAACCTCCACTCCCAGACACACCCCGGAACAAGAACCAGGAATGATCGCTCCGCGACGATGACGGACGATAGAGGCCGGTCGCAGGAAAACGGCCCCATGGGGTCGCGATCCAGCTCCGAAGGCGACGGTAAGTTCCCTCTACCTAGTACCTACACGATCTAGTCTAGTCTTCTAACGACATACAGAATGGGTGAAGCAGCTGAGCGGCTTATGCGGTCCCGGCGCAGGACTGCGACATGTGGACATTCCGATGGCCGAGATCGACTCCATGTTCGACTCGATCTTTGCGCCAGCCGACGAACCCGTGGGAAAGGCCCTGTCGCCTCATGCGCGCAATCCCATTCGACTCTACGGCAGCAACGAGGACATGTAAGCCGGTGCTCGGGCGCCCCGATCGCCGACGGACCTCGCTAACCCCCTGCAGTCTGGACGCCTACTACATCTTCATCCACCCATACTTCCCCATCCTGCCCCCGCCAGTACGGCTCCCAGTATGCAGCCGGCCGCAGCCGCGGCGAGTGTCCCCCTTCTACCCGTCCAACGGGCTGGGGCTGGCCATTGCAGCGATTCTGGTGCTCATCCCGCACCCCGACGAGAACGACGCCCAACGCGCAGAATACGTCCGGGTCCGCCGCGACTTTGCCCACTGCTTTGCGAAGTCGGCCCTCGAGGCGATTGAGAGCGAATACGAGCCGCTGCGCGCCTGCGAGGACCCGAGTAACCCCTCCGCCGAGGGCGTGCGCGTCTTCGACCGCGAGCCGTTCCATCCCAAGGTGCCCCCGAGCATCGAGGGCGTTATCGCCCTCTCCATCCTGAGTGTGTACGAATACGCGCAACGCGGCAACATGAACGAAATGCTGCACCGGGCGAATCAGGCCCTGGCGCTGGCCATGAGTCTCTCCCTGCATGAGACCATGGACGAGGACGAGTTTGCGGAGGCGCGCCGACGGACGTGGTGGATGACGGTGTGTACGCCTGTTGCTGTCAACGGGATGCGCTAATGGCTACGCAGTATATGACCGTGTGTCAGGGTCTGGCGGTCAGCAACACGGTATGGTTCTATTCTCCGCCACCAGACGTCAGCTCACGAGATAGCCGCCCTCTTTCGACCTGTACGATCCCTGGTTTGTGACTCCATTTCCCGAGGTAAGGGGGGTTCCGTTCCTCTGTATCGCCCGGGCAACCTGCTGACCCAGCAGGGCTGGAAACTCCTGGTGGAAGCGCAGCAGGCCATCCTCGAATCCGCCACGTTCGCGCGCGACCTCGACGACACGATCAAAACGCAGGCCGACCCGGCGTGGATCTCGCCGCGCATGGTCGCGCTCGACAGCCAGATTGCGTCGCTGCTGCTGGCCTGCCGCGAAGCGCCGCCGGTGTCCCAGATGGCGCCGTCCAGCGGCTCCCCCGAATACGTGGCGTCGACGACAATGCGGGCGTTTGCCGAGATCAAGTTACACACGTATGGCTTGTGACCTTTGCTGCTCGAACGAGGCTGACAGCGCAGTGCTCGAATCAAAATCCACCGCCTGTGCGCCTTCCAGGACCTCACCAACGCCCCGACCAGCCAGACCTGCGCCCGCGACCGCCCCGTCCCCCCGCCGATCGACGTGCGCGCCCCCAGCAGCCCGTCCGACATTAACCTGGACCCGATGCCGGCGCCGGACGTCAGCGTGCCGTCCGGCGTGCGCGGGCTGCGCTTCCCCTTCGCCGCGGACGTCTCGTCCAAGATCTGCCTGCACGCCGCCCTCAACACGGTCACGCTGCTGGACAACCTGCCGTACCCGAACCCGGCGCACGAGACGGCGCGCCGCGCGCAGACCGCCCGGCTGGAGCTGCCGCGCACGATGCCCACCCTGGTCTGCTGCGCGACGCAGGCGGGCTATGCGCTGCTGATGCTGTGTCTTAAAGCGCGGGGGTTCCAGGAGACCGAGGCCGGTGTGGACGGGCTGCGCGCGCCGTCCTTGGCGGAATTTCGCAGCGACGTGCAGCAGAGCCTGCGGTTGGTGGTGAAGCTCGTTGGCAACTATGCTCTGGCATTCGAGGCGCTGCAGGGGATACGAGGTGAGCGGTTATGTTGTGGTGGGTTTCGCTTGGCTAATGGGAGTAGATGAGCTTGCGCAGGCGATCGACCGAGAGTTTTCCGAGTAGTCGGAGGTTTTGTTGTTGCATGCATGCATTTAGACGGCGGGAGGTTTATGATTGATGATTGATGCATGAATGCCCGGTTGGGCAGAGCGTGACTGTATATACATTTGAATATTGAGGCATTGAATATGATGCTCTCTCTTTTCTCTACTCCAGACGCCTGACTATCCCTGTGGATATTGAACAGGAATATGCCGATCAATGTCGGTCAGTCGGCCTGGACTCGCACACCGCTTGACCTGCCTGTTAGTCTCTGTCATGCGAGAGTCACTGCAGAATTGGCTGTGTCTAGGTACTGAATATTCCGTACATCCACGAGTTTGGAGTTACGTTCTTGATACAGGACGGAAGGTAGTCGTCTTGTGCTGCCAGACATGCATCTATCATTGCGCAGGATGTATTAATGTACAAGCCTGTCCCAGCTGCCAGCCGTGCTTCAGCTCTAATACACCTCCAGCGTATGCGCTAGACGGCCCAATCTGCAAAACGGTGCGCACCGATGACGCCGGCATCTTCGGTGCTCCGCAAACCAGTCTAGTTGGTCTAGCCAAAGGCATGATCCTAGCGACAGCAATCTGAACCTGAACCCGAACCCAGGGACCCTCATCGCACCCCCATCTCCTGATACATATCCACCATCTGCCTCCGCACGGCCCGCGCCAGCGGCCACACCTTCCCAAGCACATGCAGCCCGCCAATCCCCAGCTGGATGCGCGCCTTGAGGCTCTCCTGCCTGTCCGCCGCCGGCAGCACCAGACACCCGGCCGTATGCACGACGACACACATGGCCAGCGCGCAGGTAAAGAACGGCGTGCGCGCCTGGATGGGACTGGGCAGGGTCGCCAGATTCGACAGCATGTCCGCGGCGCGCAGGAACTTCTGCGAGTGCAGGTCGAGCTCGGGGGCGGGCGGCGGCGCGCGGTCGTGCGATGCGCGCAGTCGCGTGCAGGATGTGCGCGCGTGGAAGGACGCGAAGCGCATGCTCGACCGCGGGTGGTGGAGGTATATCATCGCTCTATCAGCCGTAAGCGTGTCAGTCGCGGCGGGGGTAATGCTGACGGGGAAAGGAGGGGGCCACGCACAGGTAGTTGATCATCTCGGCCTGGAAGACCATCTCGTCGACGCTGGAGCTGTCGTATGCGGAGGGCAGCCGCATGACGGCCGAGAACAGCGCCGCGTCCACGGCCTCCACCGTGGCTTCGGTGTCGACGTCCAGCGAGCGGTTGACCTCGAGCACCTGGCCGAGATTGCGCACGGCCTGGATGCGGTACGCGAACGAGGAGGCGTGCGAGCCGTCGCCGAACGCCCACTCGCGCTCCATGTCGTCTAGCGTGTGCGGGTTCGGCACGACCTGCCCATCACCAGCGTTAGTGAGTGCAAAACTAGGACCGGGAAGACGGCTTACATCGACTGCGGCGTTGTACATGTGCTCCGCGCACGGCATCTTCACGCCCGTCTTCTGCTGGCCCAGCCGGAAGACGCCCTGCTCGCTCATGGCGGCCAGCAGCCCGTCGACGACGTACAGCTCCCAGTACGTGCGGCGCCAGCTCTCCTCCAGCACGGCGTCGCCGGCCGCGTGCTCTCGCGCGAACGGCGCGCGGTTCATGCCCAGGGCCAGGGCGTCGGTGATGGCGGAGTCGAGGGAGCGGCGGGCGGCGTCCTCGCTGCCGTGGGCGTGCTCGACGATGGCGAGGAGCAGCAGGGCCTGCACGCGGAAGCCGTCCTTGGGCGCGGCGAGCGCCTCGTACGCCGCCGCGCGGTACGACTCCTTGAACAGCGGGTCTGGGTAGTAGTGCGCGCCGATGTAGCGCATGATGGCCGGGAGGTAGGCGGGCAGGCGCGCCCGCAGCGGCGACTGCAGCGCGCGCCGCGGCACGAGCACCGGGTGCGACCGATGGAAGTTCTGGTAGTAGAGCTGGACCATGGGGTCGTAGGCGATATCGGGGGCGCTGGGCCGGGCTGGCTCGGCGGGCCACGAGAGCGCGTCGTCGGTCAGGCTGGGGATGTCGAGGGTCTGCGGGGTGTCGAGGGACTGCAGGAGGGCTCGTTCTGTCTGGTGCTGTCAGCAGCGTGAGAGACATAGGCATGGCCAGGACGGACCTCGAGGTCTTGCGGTAGTGAGGTGGCGTTCAGCCAGTCGGCAAACGCATCGGCGCTGAACATGGGGATGTCGTCGTCCAGCAGCTGCGACGAAGGCTCCTTATGCCGGCTCCTCAGCCCGCGCCGCGATCGCACATAGACGCATTCCGTGTTGGAGGCCTGGCAGCGACTGCAGGCGGGCATCTGCGCATCGCATTTCAGATGGCGACGGCGGCAGGGCACGCAGGCCAGCGACGAGGGCTGACGCGGGGGTTTGGACGGCGTGGGGTCAGTCTGCATATGGATGATCGTATACTATACTATACTATATACAGCGGATTGAGGCTGAAGACTAGCGGGAGATGGGCCATCTTATCGTCTACGAACAGCGAACTAACTAACTAACTATCCCAAGCACCGGGTACGGAGTAGACGGCGGATGATCCCCATAGTTCAGTTCCCCGGTCCGAGATCGCCGACTCGGGGACCAACCCAGTGTTCGGCGACGAGGCGTCTGTCCTTAATTTCGGGTTCTCCTGTCTCGGACAGTCGGATAATATCTGTCTACGACGCTTACGGAGTGCTCAGCTGGCGCATGCTTACGTCTGGCTAACTCGTACCGTTATCTACAGCCTCCAGCATGATCGCGGGGACATCCACCGCAAAGCCCAGCAACACCTGTCCGCCCTGGATCCTCGCCGGCAGCCGTCCTCCACGCACGTTGACCTGCAACGCGGGGTGAATCAGCCGCGGCTCCTTCAGCGCCTGATCGCGCTGCGCCCGCCAGCGCACAAACTCCTCCTCGCAGCTGCCGCGCGCCGCGTGCTTGTTGCGCTCGTTCTGCTCGGCCACCGTCGCATACGGCGTAGGGTCGCGCGCGCGTGCCCCCTCAGCGGCGGCGGCGGGGGGATAGTCGTGTCCGGTGTATAGACGCACCGCCGGCGGCAGGGCGAGCAGCCGCTTCATGGACGCATACAGCGCGCGGGCGTCGCCGCCGGGGAAGTCGCAGCGCGCGCTGCCGACGTCCGGGTTGAAGAGGGAGTCGCCGGTGAAGACGTTGTCGGCGACGCGGTAGCCGATGTGGTCGGGGGTGTGGCCCGGCAGGGCGAGGACGGCGGCGGGCACGGCGCCGATGGCGAAGTGGTCGCCGTCGTCGAAGAGCCGGTCGAAGGCGGCGTCGAGCTCGGCGCGGGGAATACCGTACCGCTGCGCGACGGTCTGCTGTACGTGCTGGATGCTGCGGCCGATGCAGATGGGCGGGCGCGGGTGCCCGGCTGCGACGAGGCGCTGCTGCAGGTAGAAGGAGGCGGAGAGGTGGTCGGCGTGCGCGTGCGTTTCGAGCAGGTAGTGCACGGTGTAGGCTTCGCGCGCGAGCAGGTCTAGGAGGCTGTCGGCGGAGGTTGTGGTGATGGTGTGGGAGGCTGGGTCGAGGTCCAGGACGGGGTCGATGACGGCGGCGTGCTTAGTCGTGGGGCAGGCGACGATGTACTGCCAGGTGCCGGTGGTTGGTTCGTAGACCGAGTGGATGATCGGCTGTGGCGGCATTCCGTATGGCAGAGTGTAGGAGTGTTTTCCGTACAATAGGTAAGGTAGGTCTATGGATGTACCTGTATGCGTCAATCATGACCCCTGCTCGCCACAGCGCAAGTTATTTATCACGACGCAGTCAGACGACGCCACATGCGTCGGCGACGTATGTGCCCCAGACGCCGTCCAGGTCGGCGACCTTGAGCTGCATTGACAGCATCTTGCGTGGCTGTGTGTAGTGTACATAGTGTCTGTATGTACTCTGGATGTAAGCATGGCAGACCCCGGGTGGTGGAGTGGACAGCCACCAACCAGCGCTGAACGGGGTTTGCTTACGGAGGATTAGGGGTTCTGAGCGACTGCCGGGCTACGGGGCTGTTCCCGAGTCAAAAGGTCCCCGAGACCAAGTGGCAAGCCTCTTGGCAGGTGGCCTGGAGTATGAGAACGAAGTATGGATGTCTTTCTTTCAGATATGAGCTGGTTGTATCTAGCCAGGTGCCCCTAAATGTACATACAACTAGCTGAGGATAAGTGAATCTACCACTGTCGCCTAACATCTTCAGGATGAATGCATTACCTACAAACATTGATCATTTCAATAGTTCAAATGACATTAACTGTAATCGACAGGTCGATCTGGGAGAAGTACAGCCAGCATCATGGGCCAGCGAGAATTGTAACTGTGTAAGTTGTAACAGCCCTGAATCGGACTTGTCCATCCAACATGAGAACAGCAAAGTCATAGCATAATTCCTGTTCAAGAAGATCTAGAAAGTCTTTCTTGCTCAATGTGATCCAATTTGCGGGCAGATCAAGACAGGCTTGACATCCTACAAACAGCACCCCATACCTGGCTGGACATCTGCTATCCCACTCTACGATACCATCAGAGTCCAACGAGAATAACTTTCCATATGTCAATCGCTCCTTGCACAACTCGCTCGTGTCGACCTGACGATCACTTATTTATAGACAGCGTATCAGCTGTGATCGTCAATGTTACCTTCGCTTCGTGTTCTCTTCCTATATCTGATTGCCTGGCAGTCGTTTCAATATGCTTGGATCTCCACTCCTCGTATTGCGTTCATCTTCTTTGTCCATGCATCAAGTAAACTTCTACCATTGCTTCATATCTAGATTGATGTGCACCGCCGGCGGGCTGTTGACTGCATGATCGTCGAATTGTAGAGGACTACTCGTGTCCTTAATAGGAATCAAACCTGAATATCTCGGCTTAAAGCATGGATCTACGAGCCAGCCTTATGCAAGCAACACGACGTTTCATCTCCAGATCAATGATCGACAGGGCTCCTTGGACATAAATAAACCAGCTTCCAACCAACATATCCAGCCGAACTCAACATAGCAAACCATTCATACCTCGAAGCAGGACCACGCAACCGAGACATATACAACATGAAGCTCCTCATCGCCGCCTTATTCACCACTCTAGCCTCCGCCAGAACCCTCCACGCCCGCAACAGCACCGTCGGCCAACAGATCCTCGACACCGCGCTGACTGCCTCGGGAGTCCCATACGCCTGGGGCGGCGGCGACTGCGCCGGCCCGACGGGCGACCAGCCCCCCTACGACTACGGCGACGTCGGATACGACTGCTCGGGTCTGGTGTGCTGGGCGGTCTGCCAGGTGACGGGCCGCGATCTCTTCACCGAGGGGCTTCGCGTGACGTCGAGCATGTATTGTGCGGATGAAGCCACCCTAGGATACAAGTATGTAGACAGCATTGAGATGTTTACGTCGCTAATATGTGCGCACAGGAAATACCCCTACGAGGAGCGCCAGGCGGGCGATGCTGTCTTCTTTGGTGGCGAGTGTAGCTGCGCGGATAGCTCGAGTATTCACCATGTTGGACTGATGATGTATGCTCTTATTGCTGATTGTAGGATGGCTGGCTGACGATGAACAGGGACTCGGGCGATCGTATGTGGAATGCTCCCAACGACCGCGTCAACGCTGTGCAGGAGAATAGTATCGAGGGATTTGGAGAGACCCCCTGTCCCTATGTCATTCGGTTTACTTAGAGCTCTGCTGCGATGGTGTATGAAGGAATGGGAATGTGCATCTGGGATAAGAATGGGATATAGTTCGTCTACAGCACAAGTAGTGCGGTGCTAAGCTCTTGCTGGTACTACCGAGAATGCAGGGGCTCAGCCTTCTCCACCTATATAGTGGTGCCTACTAGCCCAACGCCGTCTGTCACATCGTAAACTTCCCATTTATGAGTAGACAATTGTGACTGATATTATCTATTCATTTTGATGATATACTATACACATCACGTGCGACGCAGATGCGGGGTCAACTGACGCATACAGTAACGTATCATCTCCCTTCTACCATGCCTGTCTTCAATCCCTGCGCAACTACGGCACGATGAGGCCCCAGATATATCAGCTGTCCGTGGAATCAGCCTTTAATAGCCTCACATCAGATGAACAATACTATGCGCATTATATGGCAAAGTATGGCCCGCCATCTAGGATGGAATGAAAGATCCTAACTCATCGAAGGGCCGCCTGGGCTGGAACACGGATCATCCTCCGCCAGACGTCCCCAGAAGCAAATGGCATCTTCGACCTGATCCTCGCACTATATCGTCGGTGCGACGGGGACTGGGAGCGTCTCGCCTCCGAGGCGAATGTCAATATCGACGAGCTAGAGCGATTTCTGGACTATGCAGCTACGTTCTTGTCTAACATTGGGAACTACTTTGTAAGCACATCTTCCGTATCCTCATCTTGTCATCCACTTAGTATTATGTAGGGCTCCGGCGATCAAAAGTTCATACCGGATATACCCCAAGAGACCCTCGCCCAGCTGGCGTCACACGATCCAGAAGTTGCAGCGCTCTTCGACCGAGTCAAAACACCCATGTTCTACCCATTCCCACACAGCCTAGGCAGGCCGAGTAGCCTGTCACAGACTGCGTACTATCTCGGCGAGGACTGCATGCAGTCCTCCGCGGACCTATCGTTCATAGCGGAGCTCATGGAGGAGCAGGGAATTCTCCCCGAAAACACCCGCTTGTTAAAATCAGGCCTATGCTATGACATTCTGCAAGCATCGGTGAACGAGGGAGAGTCTGGGTGCTTTCTAACGGACACACTACCAGGCAAGACAATCCGCCTGGTCAATGGGGACCACAAAGCCGAGCTGAGACAGATATGCCACTATCTTCAGCAGGCCCGTGAGTACGCCTGTAATGCCACCCAGGAACAGATGTTGGAGAAAATACACGACAGCTTCGTGACCGGCGATCTCGAAGCGTACAAAGCCGCTCAACGAATATGGGTCAGCGACAAGGCGCCTCCGGTGGAAACGGTGATTGGCTTCGTCGAGCCGTATCGTGATCCGCTGGGCGTTCGTGGGGAATTCGAAGGCATCGTTGGCATTCCGGACACGGTGGAGTCGAAAAGTCTGAATATTCTTGCTAGCATGGCGGATAAATTGGTCTGCAGACTTCCGTGGGTTGACAGTGATGGGGACAGTAAAGGGCCGTGGGAGAAGGACTTGTTTGAGCCTCCGGACTTTTCAAGCGTGCAGAGTAAGTTTTCTGCGTCTACTCCGTAAAACTCTCGTAACTCATCGCATCCAGGCTTGGCGTATTGCTCGAGCACCATCTTTGCTGGGATCAATCTCCCAAATGTACGTGGGTGTTGTTGCTGTAAAGCTCAAGACTGATGGATTAGTACAACGACATACGACAAGAAGCCGGCTACAAGAATATCATATTCTCTAATCGGATGATAGCAGAGAGCCATCGTGCTAGGGGCTTGGACTTGGTCGACGAGGCAGAGCAGGACGTTTTCAAAGCACATCGATTCCATGCCTACTATATCTGGGTGGTCCTGCATGAGATCCTCGGCCACGGAACAGGACGGTTTCTGACCGAGTCCGCCCCAGGGAGTTTCAATTTCGACCCAGAGAGGCCGCCTATGAACCCTTTGACAGGGACACCTATCATGACGTGGTATCGACCAGGACAGACTTGGACCGGGGTGTTTGAAGACATTGCAACGACCGTCGATGAATGCAGGGCGGAGCTCGTTGGTGCCTATCTGATTGACGAGCCGGAAATTCTGCAGCTGTTTGGATTCAACGATGAGAGCGATATGAAGTCGGATGATCGTTAGTACCACCCAGTCTCTTTGGTGCACTACTAACGCCGACAGTTGTCTATAACCTGTACTTGCAATTGGGAGTGGACGGACTCCGGGGCTTGCAGCACTACGATCCAGCCACCAAGGCAAGTCTGTCGTCTACGCGAGTAAAGCTGTGCTAACTCTTCACAGAATTGGGGACAGGCGCACAGCCGTGTATGTTCATGCATCCGATATCGGTGCTCAAAACAGACTAACAGTTCAGGCACACTATGCAATACTCCGCCACCTCCTCCGCGACAGCAACGGATTGTACACTATCATCTGCGACCTTGCCAGAATGCAACTTACTGTCAAGGTTGACCGTGCTCGTATAATCGAGGAAGGGAAACCGTCCCTGGGCCGGATGCTCCTGCATCTGCACATCTGTCGGTGCACTGCAGACAAGGCCAGCTGCCGGCAGTTGTACGAAGATCTGTCAGCCGTCGACGATGATGCTATGCAGTGGCGGGAGATTGTCATGTCGAAACAGGACCCGCCATTGGCCTTTTGCCACGCCAATACCTTCATCCACGACGGGAGAGTGATATTGAAGGAGTATGAGCCGACCCCGCGGGGTATCCTCCAGAGTTGGGCCGAAAGACAGGTCGATGAGCCGATCTAGCGACGACAGACCACCGCGCCAAGTGCACAAAAATGCTCATTCCAGAACGTTCGCCGAAATAGCGTGAAGATTGATCCTTGCCTGCAGGCCGAATCCCCGCGCCGAGTATGTACCCAATCTCTTCTTGCCAGCCAGCCCCTGCAAAAATCTTGCATTCCGACGCCACCATTTCGAAAGCGTGGCGAAAGCGCGGAGAAGACAGGGGACGGCGAAATATGCGGGGAATTCAGATGCTGGTGGCGTGGTCGCAATTAATCGATTCCAATCGGGGCTAGATGCCCGACACTATACATGAAGCCGGTAGCCCCTGACTTCGTCAGCCAGCCCTTTTGTCAGCCTTTTCACATGCATGGAATCTCACGACTGTCCGCTGACAGTTTCACATTGCTCTATCTTTCCTGACATTGAATGTACTCAGACGTCTTGTGATCCAAACACTGTTGAAGGTCAAATTGCCGAGCTGTGCTCATTCCTCCGCGCCGGCCCACGCTAACGACGCGATGGAATAGTCTCCGGCACTACCCAAGGCTTGTAAACTTAGAGGCCGAGTAATTTAAGTGCCCCAGACAGATGGATCATGCGGGGCATTCGTGCGTACCTCGTCAACACTGAAAGAGGCAAGTCCCAGAGCTAGGCGTGCGCTAAACGAAGAACATTTCCGACAATAACCCGACTGCAGGCACCAGAGAGTCTATGTATGGAGTACGGAGTATAGATAAATAGCACGATCTGCTGCTGCAGTTACTTCTTTCGTTCAGAGGTTGCAAGCATTCACTCTGATCTTCGAGATCTTCTCTGATCGGCGTTGGCTCCATCTGCAATGACGCGCATTCTCACCCTCGCCCTTCATGGGCTGGCTCTTGTCCAAAGTGTTGTTGGGGCTCCCCAATTGGCCCCCAGAGCGACAACCAGTCTGGATGCATGGTTGGCATCGGAGACGACCGTTGCGCTGGATGGGATCCTTGACAACGTGGGTTCTAGTGGAGCCTACGCTAAAAGTGCGAAGTCCGGTATCGTGATTGCCAGTCCAAGCACCAGCGATCCAGACTGTAAGTACATGTAGTGCCAATTGTGTTATTGAGCTAATAAACATCATACCAGACTACTACACGTGGACTCGTGATGCTGCGTTGACCGTCAAGGCCCTGATCGATCTGTTCCGCAATGGCGAGACAAGCCTTCAGACCGTGATCATGGAGTACATTAGCTCTCAGGCGTACCTCCAGACCGTATCCAACCCTTCAGGGTCCTTGTCCACCGGTGGTCTGGCAGAACCAAAATATTATGTCGATGAGACTGCCTACACGGGTAGCTGGGGACGTCCCCAGCGGGATGGTCCTGCCCTGAGAGCGACGGCGATGATCGACTTTGGTAACTGGCTCATTGTACGTCTGGACAGGGATCCAATCCTGCAGGATGATCAAACTAATGCAGGCACAGGACAACGGATATTCAACCTACGCCTCTAGCATTGTGTGGCCGATCGTCCGCAACGATCTGTCGTACGTTGCCCAATATTGGAACCAGACCGGATATGGTCAGTGCATTCCCCAAGACCCCCAGACTTGAACCCTAGCTAATGCTCTGAATGAACAGACCTCTGGGAAGAAGTGAACGGATCCTCCTTCTTCACGATTGCCGTGCAGCACCGGGCTCTGGTGGAAGGCAGCACCTTCGCCTCCAAAGTTGGTGCCTCGTGCTCGTGGTGCGACTCGCAGGCGCCGCAGGTGCTTTGCTTCCTGCAGCGCTTCTGGACAGGCTCGTACATCATGGCCAACTTTGGCGGCGGGCGATCGGGCAAAGACGCCAACACCGTCCTGGGAAGCATCCATACCTTCGACCCGAATGCCGGTTGCGACGATACCACGTTCCAGCCATGCTCTCCTCGAGCACTGGCCAACCACAAGGTCTACACTGATTCGTTCCGTTCTATCTACTCTATCAACTCGGGAATTAGCTCAGGCAAGGCTGTTGCCGTGGGTCGCTACCCTGAGGACTCTTACTACAATGGAAACCCGTGGTTCCTTACCACGTTGGCTGCCGCAGAGCAGTTGTACGATGCCATTTACCAGTGGCAGAAGATTGGGTCTATTACCATCACGGACGTCTCGCTGGCCTTCTTCAAGGATCTTTACAGTTCTGCGGCCGTTGGAACGTACGCCTCTTCGAGCTCGGCCTTCACCTCTATCGTGAGCGCCGTGAAGACGTACGCTGATGGATATATGAGTATTGTGGTATGTTCCTGCTACCGACGTTATTGAAATGCCAGATGCTAAATGGCTACTATAGCAAACACACGCGATGACGAATGGCTCTCTCTCTGAGCAGTTCGGCAAGTCCGACGGCTTCTCGCTGTCCGCCCGCGATCTCACCTGGTCGTATGCAGCCCTCCTCACAGCCAACCTGAGAAGAAACTCGGTTGTTCCCCCATCCTGGGGCGAGACGACCGCAACCAGCGTGCCCTCCGTCTGCTCAGCTACCTCTGCCACCGGCACCTACAGTACCGCCACGAACACCGCGTGGCCCAGCACTCTGACCAGCGGGACTGGTGCTACAACTACCACAAGCAAGGCGACTTCTTCTAGTACTACTACTACCTCGTCGGCCTCGTCAACAACAGTTGAATGTGTGGTTCCGACCGCGGTGGCAGTCACCTTTGATGAAGTTGCTACCACAACCTATGGCGAGAATGTCTACGTGGTGGGATCCATCTCCCAACTGGGCAGCTGGGACACGAGCAAGGCCGTGGCCCTGAGTGCCAGCAAATACACCTCCAGCAACAATCTCTGGTATGTCACGGTCACCCTTCCCGCTGGGACGACCTTCCAGTACAAGTTCATCCGGGTTTCGAGCAGCGGGTCGGTTACTTGGGAGAGTGACCCGAACCGTTCATACACGGTTCCGTCCGCTTGTGGGACGTCCACCGCGGTGGTGAACACCACTTGGCGCTAGATGGGTGAGTCTGGATGAGCCGGTGATGTCTTTCGGCTTCCTGAACTGTTCCATAGCCGCTGGAGGGTGACAACAGGCGTGATGTATCGCTCGTTATTGTGGAAGCTTTTACCAACAGGACATTTACTTGTACTTATTATTCGTTAGCATCCTTGTTGGAAACGTTTCTCTCAACCTATTGCAATATTCTGCTCTTTTCTACAATCTTGTGCGCTATAGGCTAGTAGATTAACTGAAGAAGTGGCAAGATCAAGCGATGATCGTACGACCTATACAACCACACCCAATAACTTCCTGCCCCTACACAAAAAGGAACCGATCGTATTCATATAGACGACTAGGACTAGGTAGCATTTGGCGTGAATCTGAAGGCCATGGGCAAAGACGATCGAGCAAATCAGCATGTCAAGATGCCTCGCTTAAGCACGGATTCATCTCCACTAGGAAAGCATTCGGGTTAGCCCGGCATGTTGGGGGCCAATACTACCTTTCAGCCTCGGTGCGGCGACATGACAGAGGGATATAGTGGAGTTGATCAGGGGCAAAAACTATTTCAAGAGCGCCATCGCCTCAGGGGTGCAGTCTCCATTTCCCATATACTGTATACAGAGAACGACTCCGTAGGAACTTCATACGTTCTCCTGCCATGGCGCCCCAGACAAAGCAAATGGCCCTCCTGGCGCATGCCAGAGAAAACTCCACCTTCGACTCCCAGAAGTTGACCACCATCATCTATGACAAGTACGACAGCCCAAGCTCTTAAGATCCATGCTAATTCCTAAAGCGAGGAGAATGTCGCATCCCGTCGAGCAGCGTTTGCACGCGTGGAAGCCGCACTGGGACTGGACGATAACATGAAACTCCCCCGTCTCTACGAAGGACTCGACCGCGAAGGGCTGTACATCGAAGGCGTCCGGCGCGCCCGAGCGACGACGCAAGACATGCTCGCGCATAACCACGAGCATTTCAAGTCGCTGACGGAGCGGTATCACCTCGCCAACTCCTCTCCCTTTGGGATGAACTTCCTCATGTTCCGCAAGACGATCGAACTGCAGGCCACCGATGCGCAGAAGCGTTACTGGCTGCCACTCATTGACCAGATGAAGGTAAACGGCGCATATGTTCAGACAGAACTCGGGCACGGCACTTTCGTTCGCGGGATCGAGACGACGGCTACATTCGACGAGACCTCGGGCGGGTTCATCATCGACTCGCCCACGCTGACCGCGACGAAATACTGGCCCGGGGGTCTGGGGATCAGCTGCACGCATGTTGTCGTGGCTGCACGGCTCCGCACGCATGGACAGGACCACGGGATGCATTGGTTTGTCGTGCAGATCCGGTCCTTGGAGGACTATGCGCCCGTCGAAGGGGTGGAGCTGGGCGATGTCGGCATGAAGATGGCGTATAACGGAACGTGTAATGGATATGCCCGGTTCCGCCGTCTGCGTGTGCCGCGCGACAGCTTGTTGGCTGCTCATGCCGAGGTCCTCCCGGACGGAACGTACATCTGCCGGTCGAATCCTGCGGAGCTGTCTAAGCGCCTCTATGCGACGATGCTGGACGTTCGGTGTGTCATGATCAAGTGTGCTGGGTTCAGTCTCGCGCAGGCGCTCACGGTCACGACGCGCTACTCTGTGGTCCGTGAGCAGGGGAAGCCAATGTTTGCGAACGGGGATGCGCCGGAAGTTGCGCTTCTGGCGTACAAGTCCCAGCACTACCGGCTCCTGACGCTCATCTCGCAGGCGTATGCGATCCTGTTTGCTTCCAAGTCGTTTGACGAGGTGTATCATGGCTTCGTCCCGGAACGAGCCAGGGGCCACCTCGATCGACTGTCCTATATCCACGGGCTGAGCACGGGATTGAAGGCTTGGGCTACGACTATCGCCAGCGCCGGTGCAGAAGAAGCGAGGAAAATGTGCGGGGGGCATGGATATGTTGCGTTGTCGGGTCTCCCGGACATGGTGGCTACGGTGTCTGCGACGGCGACCTTCGAGGGGGATAACTATGTGATGTGGCAGCAGCTGGTGCGATATCTCTTCAAGCAGATACACGCATCTTGTTCTGCGGCGGCCGTCGATGCTGAGATGCAGGAGTACCTGGAGGGTCTCAAGCCCTACCTCCGCGAGAAGGGATCGAGATTTCAGCCAAATACGGACCGGCTGTACGACCCTGCGACACTGCTATCAATCTTTCGACACCGCTCGCATCGCCTCCTCGCCATGGCTCACGTGCTTGTGACTCGAGAATCAGAAGAAACCACCCTAGCGGACGCGTGGAACAAGCACATGATGATCCTTCTGTCAGCAGGACATGCATACGCCGAATACATCATCCTTCGTGCGTTCCAGGACTGGGCCAGCAAGGTCCAAACGATAGAACCGAGTCTCCATCTGCCCGTTTCCCGACTGTGCACATTATTCGCCTTGACGACAATCGTCAGCCCGGTTTCCACCTTTTATGCTGTTCCGTTCACAGAGGATGGGGTGTTGTCACTTGATCAACTCATGCACATGCGCGCAACCATCAACGACCTCCTTGCCCTCCTTTTGCCCGATATTGTCGCCCTGACGGATGCCTGGGACTTTACAGACGCCAGCCTCTGCAGCGCTCTTGGCTGTCGAGACGGGAACGCGTACGAGCGACTGATGAGTTGGACGAGGCAGCTGCCGGTCAACCACGGCGACGTCGGCGGCAAGTTCTGGGACGGCGAGGCGGGGATTGGGAACGTCCTCAGGACGAAGCTGTAGCCCCTCCAGATCGTACTTTTCACATAGCAGACAGGCAGTGCTCGGAAAGGGGTCCGCGGATGGATAGACTTAGTAACGTACTCCGTACACTAATAGTATCGCGTATCATTGCGATCGTCCGTCCCCGCCGATCATGGATACTTCTACCCCACTCCGAGGGCAGCAGCATCTCCAAACCTCACCGCATATCCGTCTACCAAGACGAGACGAGCTAACTATCCGTCTGCCACGAGCAGCCATGAGGCCCGCCAGAGTCGCGCTTCCGCCCGGATCCCGCATCCTGGTGACGGGCGCAAACGGTTACCTCGCGTCGCATGTGGCCGAGCAGCTCCTCACGCTGGGCTACCTGGTGCGAGGCACCGTGCGTGCGCCCAAGCCGTGGCTGGACCAGTACTTCGACGAACGATACAGAAAGGGCATGTTCGAGTCGGTGATCGTGCCGTCCTTCGAGGATAAATATATCATTAATCGAGTTTTGGATGATGTCGACGGGGTTGTGCATCTGGTGGGTGCCCTCGTACACGCCAGTCACCGTGGGATACGATACTGAGTAGAAACAGGCATCCGACTTGACGTTCAGTACAGACCCCGAGGCCGTCATCCCGTGGGTGGTTCAGGCCACAGTGGGCATTCTCGAAGAAGCGGCGAAACGATCGTCGGTCAAGCGAGTCGTGCTCGTCTCCTCGTCCAGCGCTACCTACATGCTTAATCCTGCGCCCGAGGGTCGCACCATCCATGCAGGTAAGACTGATCAGCGTACCGTATGCATTTCATGGTGCATTGCTGAGCTGGAATAGACACTTGGAACGAAGAAGCCGTCCGCCTTGCGTGGGACGAGCAGACGCCGCTGGATAAGAAAGGCATGGCGGTCTATGCAGCGTCCAAGACGGAAGGCGAGCGACAGTCCTGGAAGTGGGTGCAAGAGCATAGGCACTCTTTTGTGTTTAACACCGTCTTGCCGAGCTTCAGCGTGAGATACTGCAGCCATCGGTGGACATGATACAGACAGGCTGATTTCGCGCAGGTTGGGAGAATCCTCCACCCGGAAATCTTTGGCTCAACCATGGGCTGGACACGCAAATTGCTAGAGGGTGATCCAGCTGCTTTCTCCAAGTTTCCTGAGCGTGCGTACCCCCCAGTCCCCCCGACAATGATATAGATCTGATAGGACTCAGAATGGTTCGTGGATGTCGAGGACGTGGCTCGACTCTGCATCATTGGTCTTCTAGATATCAACGTCAAGTCAGAGCGCCTCTTTGGGTTTGCAGGACAAGCCAACTGGACCGATATCGTTCGCATGTTACGAGAGCTTCGACCAAACAACCAACGCATCCCGGATCCGCCTAAGAACGAAAAGCGCGACAACACCCGAGTCGTTCCAAGAGACAGGGCTGAACAGCTTCTGAAGAACTTCTATGGGCAGGCGGCATGGACTCCAATTCGACACAGCCTGGAGAACGGCATTCAAGACCTGGACTAATCTTCCACAAATCAGACTCTGCTAGATTAGACGCTCCGGGTGCTTAGGGATAGACAATTGTAGTAGCTATGGACTTGCAGTATATCATTTAGTATATCCTCTCAAACATCTCCTATCTACTGAAGTCTTCTCTCAACTTTGCTGCCGGGGGAAGGACCCGTTCCTTCTCTAAGTCGTCGAACGTCCTCTCAAACGCTTCCCAGGTGTCTTCGTATTCCGTCCAACCGAGCTTCCTGGCCTTGGTCATGTTTCCGACACAGCCCCATTCCCTCCCAAGCGAGAAAGTCAGGAAATCCCATGAAGCCTTGTCCCAGGCCGCTTGATCCAAGTTATATTTGGCCTGCAGCTTCGACCACGCCTCTTTTACATCCTTCCGCTCCGCCCATTTCGGAGGATCGATGGGGAGACGGAAAAAGGGGGGATGAGAAGTAACGGGGTCGTCCGCGATTCCCAGTGCTTCCTTATGCGCAACGATGGGGTTCGACGTCTGCAACTGCTGCTCTGTCTGCTCGTTTCGGTACGCGTCCAGGGTATCCGGCGCGAACATGTTCGGCGGGATGGAGCATCCAAACCGCTCGGCCATACGAGGCCACAGGTCCTGGAACGACTGCGTATCCCCGTTCGTCACGTTGAAGATGTTGTTCCCGGCACCGGGCGCGGTAGCCGCCCAGAGGCAGAACTTCGCGTGCAGGTCCGCGGACGTCCAGCAGTTGAGCGCGAAGTAGTTGATTCTGTTTCCGGGGAACAGAAGCTTAGAGCCCGGCAGGGCCTTGCTCACCGCGCAATACAGCCCCAGCACGACCACCTCGTTGTAGAAGTTCTTCTTCGCATACCCGATCACGTCGTTCGGGAGCGTGACCACCCACTCCCAGTTGCCCCGTGCGGCGGCGTCCTCGAGAATGCGCTGCTGCGTGTAGTAGAAGTTGGCGGGCCACTGCGCGCCTCCGATGCCGTTCTCCAGCCGGGGGTCGGTCTCGACGAGCGGCTGCTTCGGGGTGCCCTGGTGCACGCCGTAGTGTTTGAAGCCGCAGGTCAGGATGCATCGCTTGAGGTGTTTCACTGCGCCGGTGCGCTCGAGCGCCTGGAGGAAATTTGACAGCAAGCCGCCGTTGACGCGGGCTTCTTCCTCCTCGTCCTTCCGGGGGAGATACGCGCAGAAGTAGACGTAGTCGGCGGCGATACCGGTGAGGGTTGACGCCATGTCTTCTGCTGAGGCCTGCAGGTCCAGGGATACATGTTGCAGGCGGGAGTCTTGGCCGCCGGACTGGCTCCGTGAGATGGTGTAGATTTTAGTGTAGGAGGGATCTTGTAGGAGGTGGTCGACAATCGCGGCACCGGTGATACCTAGCATGAGTGAGTTTCTGTTGAGAGGAAGGGTTTGGATTGTACGTACCGGTCGCGCCAGTGACGATTGCAGTAGGCATGGTTCGTAGAGTGAGAGATGGTTCGCGTATGTGGTTTTGATGTGGTCACATTTGATGCGATTTATACAACGGCGTGTTGCTTGACATCATCCTTACATACCCGTTTAGATCGGGATGTCTCCATGCCTGATGACGTTGGGACCGGTGTTTGCTCCATCACCGGGATGACGTTCTATACAGGAGATTCTTTGTTGGATGGAATTCCTTGGAACTTGCATGCAGTCATGCAATAGGTGCACATCCGGTACGTTCCGAGATACATATATGCACTACTGCCCTGGAGACATCCCTGGCACCAGCACCCTGCAGATAACAATATCCAGCCTAGAGCGTTCCTCTTACAAATGCTCAGTTGGCAGATAAGACTCGATAGACTCTTCTACTCTGGAGTATACGATCCTCTTGTAGGGCTACATACAAAGCCCTAATATCACGTGATAACCAACAATCACATGACAATTGAGACAATCCACATTCACATCACCACCATCACCACTTCAAGCACCACCTCAAAGCACACGTCCACCCCCCTCCAATCAACATGGCCAAAGCAAAGAAGACCGGAGACACCGTCTCCTCGCGCCTGGCGCTCGTCATGAAGTCCGGAAAAGGTTGGCCCAACTCGCATCTGCGGTCGCGAAAATCTCTGACAGAAGATAGTCACCATGGGCACCAAATCCACCTTCAAGACCCTCCGCTCTGGAAAGGCCAAGCTGATCCTGATTGCCGGAAACTGCCCGCCACTGCGCAAGTCCGAGCTCGAGTACTACGCCATGCGTACGTTGCAATCCCTCACTCCCCTGAACTCAAGACGACCGCGACCGCTAACAGCACGCAGTGGCCAAGACCCCCGTCCACCACTTCAGTGGCAACAACGTATGTCTCCCGCCTCCCATTCCATAATCCCTCAGCGAAGGAGCCACCCGTTGGCTCTGGAGAGAAAGAAGTCGCTCGGCGATGGGGCCTGGACCGGATTGCGATCCGGTCGGGGCCCCGGAGAGCTCCGCTCCTCGACGAAGGAGTGTACGCGGGGATTTCAAACGTGAACTGAACCGGACATCTCTGGAGAGGATTGTTGCTCGCTCGGCGATGGAATCTCCCCTGTGGATATTCCGGAGAGCCCCGTTCCCTGTGAACTAATTTTTACGCCTGCAGATTGAGCTGGGAACCGCCTGTGGAAAGCTGTATCGCTGCTCGGCTATGGCGATTTTGGATGCCGGTGACTCGGACATCTTGAGCAGCGAGGCTTAGATTTGGGTGCACAGAACGGAACGAAATGTGATGAGACTGGTTCTCAGGAGTAAGGTAGTACTCATGAACGAAATTGACATCGAAAATTATCTTCCTTTAATTCATCATTTGAATACACTCGACCATCCCTTATACGCTTGTCGTATCTGCATCCTAAGCCTTAATATCAACGTCGTGCGGTATCCTCCGACGCACCCTCCCAGTCGCGTCATGCTCGGCATCCCACTCTGCCAGTTGGTCGTTCGGAACCTTCACCAGCTGATGCGCGGTAGCACCCCCATCTAGCTGGATGATAGTCTGTCGGAATTGATATCCGCCGCGCTTTGGGAGCACCTTGATCCAGACGAAGTAGTACACTCCGCACAAAGCCACACTGGATCGTGTCAGCAACCGTCCGTGACCAGAGAAGCTTAATAGAAAGCGAAAGCACATACATGCCGAGTCCCACCACGCAGTACGTGGCGTACCAGAAGCTCACGTCGCCGCCTGTAGCACCGGTGGTTGGCGGATACCACGGCGCGACGAGCATATACAGGTTCGACAGGATGGAGAACGCCACCGCAATATCCCACGCACGGTACTCGGACGGCGGGATGTTCAACCGCTTACGGCGGGCGCGGGTAACGAGCAGTCCGACGCTCAGGAGAAAAGTAAAGAAGCTCATGGGGTATATGCCCAGATCGACGACTATATCCGTCAGCTTTTCGCCCGAGCTATGCACCGCAGTGGTAACATACCGAAGTTGAAGGCGTCCCCGGCGGGCGGTATGAGGATCATGAGCACGGTCGTCACCCATTTGACAGCGTATGGGCCCAGTGGCGTCCCAAACGGCCGGGTAGACGTCCAGAATGAAGTGAAGGGGAGGACGCCCTGTCTGCTGAGAGTCAGAAGGGCGCGGCCAGAAGTGGGATGCATTCTCACCGTCCACACTCGCGCAGCATGCGAGACGACCCAACCAGGACTGTGAGCAGGTTGCCGAACACGCTTACAGCGATGAAGAAGTTCAATGCGCGCGAGGCGCTGCTTGTTCCAAACACCTTCTCAAAGAAGACGCTCGCGGCCACGGCCTTTGAGTTGAGGATCTCCTCCTTGGTGCCTGCGGAGAAGTACGCGATGTTGGCGAGGATGTACAATGTAGCTGTGACCAGCAGGGCCGTCGGGGCGCTCCACTTCAGCGTCTTGACCGGATTCTGTGCCCTGGCTGTTAGCCATTCGTTCTGAGTATTGCAAGGGCAGACCGGAGCATAGCATACGCGAACTTCGTTGACAACATTAAACGCGTTCTCAAAACCGGCGAAGGAAAACACCACTTTGACAAGCGCGTTCGTCGCTCCATACACCGATATAGCGGATGATCCGTCGAACGCATGTCGAAAGTTGACCTTAGGGTCTGGGACGGAAGTGTTGCCTCCGAGGACAACCAGACCGGTTATACCGATGCTACCACAAATCAGCCTAGGCACCTCTCGGCAGAAGCGTTGGCCTCACAAAACCAGCACGATGAGCTTGACAACGCCGATGACATTGCACAACCGAAGAGACCACTTCGTATTGAACGCCAGAACTGCCCGTCCTCGTTAGCACCTCTCACCATGCGCACGGGGCAACTAACCCAAAACCGCAACCGTATAGCAAGCAATCGCCACTCCCTTGAGCCCCCACGCCGTCGCCTCCGCATCCGCCAGTCTAAACAGGTACTGCGCCATCACTGCGGCAGTCAGCTCGGCCCGCACCGCCAGGAGTCCGCGCCCATACCCACAGCATTGCTGCTACTAAACGAGAACACGACCGTCTGCACGGCGAAGACGGTGGGAAAGAAATACCGCGGCCGCGGATACGACTGCTCCAGGTAGACGACCTCCGACCCGGAGCGGCTGGGGAAGTACGACGCGAACTCGAGATACACGGACAGCGTGCTCGCGGCCATCAGGTACCCGATCACCCAGTACACGAGGCTGAGGCCTACCGAGCCGACGCCTTTGACGATCGTCGATGCTGGGTTCGTCAGTTGGTGTCAAGCGGGCATCCTTGCTGTCGAGATAGGCAGACGTACGCGTAGAGAACACTCCGCTCCCGATCATCTTGCCCGTGTTCAGGAAGACCACCGTCACGAAGCCGACGGAGTATCCGAGCGGCGAGGTTACCTCTATCGGCGCGCCGGAGGCCTCCTGGTAGGTCGGTCTGGAGGAGTTTGCGCCGCCCTCGGCTGTGTACTTCAGGCTTCCATCGTCGATAGCGCTTGTGTCGTCGGATCTATCATCCGTTGCGGAGTCAGTGACTGTGGCAGAGGAGAAGCCCATCGTGAATCTGCTGCGTGTTCATCGGTCTCGGCATGTTGATGGGGGGATTCTCTGCTCATATATAGGCCGGATGAGGAGTAGAAGGGGAAATGCCATGCATATGGTGTCATTCGCCGTGTCTATCTCGTGCGCGGCTGGGCCATGGCTGTATGGCGCGTACGATCTCCACCACGGTATATATCTCTTCAACTATAAGTATTATGTGATATCGTGTATCGAGGTCGTGGAGAGAGCAGAGAAGCGAGAACGGACAATGAGCATAATCATTCTTCGCTGCAGAGCACAACCAATGTGCAATACATGATCATATGGGACCTGAAATCTCACGTCAATTGCAGCTACAATACAAGTGTGGATTGCATAATGGCGGGGATAGATGAGAAGATTTGACTAGTTATATCGTCATCACCTTACCCAACCGCCAAAAGCGCTACCAAGAAACACTAAAAGAACAAATAACGAACAGCATAGTCCATATTTCAAATTGCCTGATTAGTTCCGGAGAAGTCCGCTATTCCCACCAGCTCTAATCTACAATATGGATGTAAGCAAGTCTAGCCAGGGCTCCCACCGGTTCTGCAATCACCTTTCCTACATTCCGAGCAGCCCATCTACCAATGGACCTGCTGAAGATCATCCGGTACTTGCCATCCGTGCGCCTGGCACACCCTCTGATAGTCAGAGATTGCATTGCCAACAGTGTAATCCGCGTTGGTTGACTGGTCAAGCCGGGCAGGCTGAGGCTCCGTATTGCTCAGCGCGAGGCGCACTTGTAGCAACACACTCTCCATGCTGCAGGCGGCCGACCATCCCGAGTTTGTGAGCAGCTCCATGCACATCGAGCCGCCCAGGGTGACATGACCACCGCCTCCGCGACCGAACGAGAGGATCCGCGGCCGGATGATGCGGACAAAAGGCGGACTCATGGGGAAGTAAGGGGGGAAGCGGATCTCGAACACAATGCTGTGTACCTTGGCCTTCTTCAGGTCCTTGGCCAGCGGCAGGTTCGGGTCAAAGCTGTGCAGTTCCACGATCCATTGGTAGACGTTGTTCACCAGGCTCGGGTCGATGTACCAACCCAGCTCGTGGAGGGGCTCTCTCTTCTGGACCTTCAGGGTCTCCTGTAAGCGTTTGTGTAGCGCCTTGGTCGCCGTGGTGGTTGCGTATCGCGGAGGTCCTAGGAGTCGCAGCGAGGATACCTCCAGCGTCCCCGGCCGAAAATCAGTCTTCGAAATGTCGATGCGAAACGGCAGCTCGTCCTTGTCTTCCTTGTCGCTGTCTCTGAGCAGCTGTCGATCGTCTTCAAGGGTAGCCACGCTGTCTGCATCGCAGAGGCTGGTATTAATCTCCTGGGATTTTTTCCGTCGCCCCTTGGGTTTTCCGCTCGATGTCACATTTGCCTTGTGCGTGGCGACGCCAGAGATCGGGATCTTGACATTCTTCCCCTCGGCACCCATAACCAGTCGTTTTGGATCCTGGGTGTAAATTCTGGATGGGTTCCCTTGACAGACTTTCGCGTCTGTCGGAGTGGGCCCGACAAATAGATACCTGGGCTGGATCCAGTCAAGGTGCTGGACCACGTAGCACGCTGTATTGTGAACAAATTGGTTGGGAGCATTGACGACCTCGTTCAGGGATATTGCGCACTTGATGTTGAGCTTGCTCTGCGGCCAGGTAGTATGCAGTGTTGGTGCACTAGGGTCAGGGAAGTTCACGCGGCCACAGTAGCCCACAGAAGTGGCGAAGTTGTTCGACATGTAGACCCCGTTACCGCAGGACCGTCCGTTAACGACCTTTTTGTAGTGTAGCCCCTCGCGCAAGATGCTGTGCCAATTGTGGAGAGGGCTGCCATGCCATGCGAACAAGGTGGGGTGTTGCGAATTCCCATCCTTGGTCGACGAAACTGCATTGACGGCCTGTACAAAGCGGGCCTCCTTGTCTGGTGCTCCTTGCGCAAATCGAAACTGAAGGTAGCCTGACATGCCGGACACCATGTGTTCGGGATCATCATGATACAAGATGCATGGTCGATTCGAAGCGATGACCCATCTTAACACGTAGAGTGCAGCCGGTGACACTCGGTCGTGCCAGGAGGAAAGCGCACGATTGACGTTGTTCGAACTACCGTTCGTAATATAGTCTCGCATCTCATCCACGGCTGGAAGCGTAGCTAGGAGCGTGACAATCGATGTGCATTTATCCGCTGCACTCAAACTGTCAAAGTCCTTGTTGTATACCTCGTATCGAAGTTTGCCCGTAGTGAGTTGCGGGGGTTTGACGCTTCGCTTGGTCAATCGAACCGGAGTTGATAGTTTGACATGTGGGAACAAGATAATATCTTGCACTTCGCAATGCCACTGGTCGGTTGAAGTGGTGCTAGTTGTCGTAATACAGATCCAATCCCCAACTCGGAGTTGACAGGACGGTTCGACGGTGATCTCCATCAGGTCCACGTCGAAGCGTGCCTCTTTCATTATGCCTGTCGGAACCTTCAGCCCAATTCCACAAGGGAATTCGTGCAGGGTCCTGTCTTTGGCACTGCAGTACGTGAAGCTAATCAATAAATCGGCAACGTACGGCTGCGAAAGTATCTCCCACTCAACGCTCGGCCCCATTCCTAGGTGCATGTACTGGTAAAGACATAGACCATTGGAACAGACATAGGGCTTGATGGCCTCGAATCCAAACTCGACCTTGCGATAACAGTTGAGACAAAACTCGGTGCACTTGACGAACCGCCGAAGTACGAACTGCATTGCAATCAATGGAAAGACCAGGGCGTCTGTCTCTTTATCGTTTGCAAGGTGATCGGCCTTCAATAAGCCTGGAGTAGATACGCTCCAGTCATCTGGGGCAAAGTATTCTGGATTTGTTGAGACTAGCGAACTGGGGGATTCGCCCTGAGCAGTGTGTAAGTACGTCTCCGCCCCTGCCCATGAGAATCCATGCTCCAGACGAAATTTAAGGAGACGGAGAAAATCGGTCTCGAGGAGGTTGTTCAACGATTCAGCGATCTGCAGACAGCGATATGCTGGTGCTTGGCCGCTATAAGCGGTGTTGGAGACTTCCCCTGTCATGCTGTCTAGGTCCTGCGTCAAAACGAACTGCCGCAGTGCACAACTCAAGCTCGGTTTATAGGACTTGCAGACGCCCACATGCATTTGGACGAGCGTCTCTGGCGTTTGGGGTCCTCGACCCGTCATCTGGGATAGGGGAACATACCCAAGAGGGTAACGCAGGAGGAGAGTCAAGTATTCTGACCCTTCAACATGCCAGGCTTGCAGTGCTTCTTCGGAGATCCCAAGCTTTCCTATGCGACAGGAGATGCACACGATGACGGACCCTTTAACATCACCCAGGACACCGACCTTATAACCTGCAGATTTAACAGCCCTGAGATCGGAACGCAGTACGTCTGTCGAAGATGGGCCAAATGTTGACAAGGGAAATGTCTCGTGATCAGTATCCCAGTCTTCGTCTTCCTCCATACATTCGTCATCATCGCAGTCATCAGCGGAAGCTGAAGACTCTTCGAGACCGAGAATTGCCTGGTCCAGAGAGCGACTGATGGATGTGAGAAACTCCTCGATTCTTGGACTGCCATCGAGAGGCTGGTAAGAAGTCAACGCCGTTGCTATGGAAGCGGGGATGTCATCATCCGAGAAGACAAAGAACTGGTGATCTTTCGGATAGGCGCAGGTGTCTGCAGAGCTCTGTTAGCCTGTCCATAAAAGCAGGAGCTCGCTAGAACTCGCCTACGGTGGTGACTTGGAGATACACGCGTTGAGTGCTGAACGGAGGCGTATAAGTCAAAGAAAACGCGCCGTCCTCTCCACCATCAACCACATCACTCAGACGGGGAAATATTCCAGGAATTGAGGCGAGATTGAGATCCCTCAAGAAGTCCTTGCGGGGCATCGTGTAGTGGCCGATGCAGACCGGTCCGTAGGCGCTTAGAAGAATAGAGCACCAAGAGCCGAAGGAGGGGGTGCTGACTCGGGGTAGGTTAGGGGAGAAGGATAAGATGACACGTTAGAAGGCTTGGAGGGAGAGAGGACGGTAAGGGAGCAAATGAATAAGAATGAAGTCAGAGGTCATGGAAGCATCGACAACAATGGGCGACACAGTGAATGTTGACGATATGATGTAAGCAGCGTGTGTACAGCCCCTCTTAGGCCGTGTACCATGTACCTGCTGTAGCATACTCAAAGATATGATATCTCAGGTACCAATACATCGCAGGAGTTCGGGTCATGTTCCTGACTATCGCTTGTTCCTGATCATACTTGAAGAATTCGTGTTTGTCGGAGAGATCTGGACGCAACTCTGCCGAACATCTACGAAAGTCAATGATAAATTAGGCGCTGGATTCTTTCAGCGATGAGGGGAAGAAATTCGATGACCATGGTTCATCTCGAACAAACGGGTTGAGGTAGTAGTTCTTCTTTGTCTGATGTATTGTTTTCGAAGTTGTATGAAACAACCCCCTTCCCATGTATCATGACCGCGATCATGCGTTGTATACAACTTCACGGCGTGGTACGTTCTCCTCGTGCCCATGGCTGCGGGCCTATAGGCTACCAACGGAGACTGCCTGACATATTTGGGCCTGGTCGACGCTCTAGGCTACCTGATGCAGATCTACGGCTTGTACCTGTTCCCCAGCAGCGACAGCTCCAAGTACATTCTAGGCGTTTTTGTGATGTCGGCCATGTTGGAGCTGGGTGTCGTTGTTTCATATTGTTACATATCTGACTGCGACGCAAAATGCAGCGAGAGGGCGATTCGTTTGGAGCTTAGCGAGTGCATGTATATGCCTTTTCAATGTACAATGACGAGACTGCCGAATGCGGCCTGAACTTCATGGATTGCACCACCCGCGGGTAGATGAACCTCCACCCAGGGAATCGCGAGGCCCAGACAAGCCAAGACCAGATAGACTCTCGGACAGACAGTCCCTATCTATCTCCTTGTCGACTGTGGTTCATCCCGGGAAAGTTCCTGGCCGATGAATGCGGATGGTTCGTCTGCCCACATCGACGTCACCATCAGATGACAGCAGTCCCCTCGACTATAAACCGCGCCACCTCCGCACGCGAACAACAGAAGACTATGTCAGCTTATACTGTCAATTCAGCTTGATCCTGAATCATTCCTGAGGAACCGATTCTCCTGAGGTTCTACTCCAACTGCGCGTTTACGAACACCACTCTGCTATATAACGCTTAATATCGCTCAATATCGCTAAACTCAATCTCAATCGGGACAATGAGTGAACCAACTCCGTCGCACAGAGGCCCTCTGTCTCTCATACGCTCCTATTCATCCAAGTCGCGGCATCACGAAGACCGAAAGTCATCGTCGTCGGAACAACAGACAGAGCCAAAGAGCCCCAGGGTGAAGCCACACCGGTTCCGGATCTTGAACAAACTGGATCCTCGGTTTAATCAGGACCTGCTCGATGCAAAGGCAAGAGGAGAGCTTGGGGATATTTGATTGAATGGGTTAGTTGCAGCTTGTGTTGCAACATGTTGGACCGCTCAGCCTTGTATACATAATGATTGTACCATTGATATCAAGTTTGCCTATGTAATGATAATACCTTGCTATTCAAAAGGCCATCAGAGCATGTAATATATGCACTGAAACCTCAACCGCCGTCAATATGGCACTTGGTCCATAAACGTCTTGAGAATCTCCACTGCCCAATGCTGCCGGCCTTGAACCGCCACGTCAAGAGGTGTCCGTCCGCGGTGATCTCTAGCACCGACATCTGCTCCTCGACTCAATAACAACTTCGTCGCAGTTTGGAATCCGGCTCTTGCGACAAGATGCAGCGCAGTCTGGCCCTTGTTATTAACCTCGGAGATACTGGCACCACCATCCAGCAAAAGAGCCATCGAACCCACATGGCCCCATTTCGCCGCCTCAAGGAACGGCGTCATCCCTCCATCCGTGTGCGCCTTGACGTTTCCCCCGTACGCAAGAATAATTTGGACGGCATGGGGATAGTACGTGGCCAGATGCAGCGCCGTCCGACCCGACGGGTCAGCGCTATTAATGTCGGCGCCTGTCGCCAGGACGTACTCCAGAACATCCTCTCGACATGACTCTGCCATTTCCGCCACCGCGAGAGTCGTCATCTGGTCCCTGGCGTGCGCAGGCGTATATTTGAGAACCGTTTCCACAAAGCGCTTGTGTCCGTGAACCGCAGCTGCAAAGAACATTTTCTCCAGATACAGCGCGCAGTCCCAGAACCCTCGCATCAGGCATTCTGCGACGTCGGCGTGTCCGTTGCGCGCCGCCAGGATAATGGCACGTCTTCCGAGGTCGTCTTTCACGTGCTCGTGAGCACCGTGTTGAAGGAGGAACTCGACGAGCTCCTTGTTGCCATCTCGGGCGGCACAGTGGAGCGCTGTTGTTCCATTGCGCCGCATGTTCACATCTACTCGTTTCTGTTGAAGAAGTGGGCTTACCACGGACGTCATCTCCCATCCTAATGGTGCTTTGGCTTTCGCATTTTTGAACGAGAGGCTGTCGACGGTGCGGTAGCTGGGCGCTGGTGACGGTGGCCGATATGCTCGCGTACTGCTGGAGTGCGCAGACACAGACGAGCCTTGCGTCGCTTCTGCGTATGTTGGTAGGGAGTCGGTGACGCTGCTAACTTGACGCATGGTGAACTCATTGCTTGACTGTTGCTGTCGATGTGCGCAGTCTGACTATGATACGGCATGGACAGTGATATACTCCAGGAAGCGGTAAAGAACGGGGCGCAGAACGGGGCGTATGTAACCTTAATGACTTCATTTCGTCTGAACAAAACGAGCCTAACCAAGAGACTCTGGGTAGAGAATACGAGCCAGTCTCGACATCAGCACACGGTCGGGCACCGCAGCATATCAGAATGACCCGGTTGATTCAGCCTTGTCGGCCAAGGCAGATGTAGGATTCCGCATCCCATATCTAGCCGGCTGGAACGCATTGGGCATGTTGTCATACGCATATCGAAAGTCCCGGATAAGCTCAACCAAGCCATGGTGACCGCGGAGTGCAGCGCAGGCTTGCAGCTCCTGTAAGTCTATCTGCTCGTCTATGACGGACCAGCTGGACGCGCTGCAGACCAGCAGTTTGCTCACAATAGCCGAGTGACCCGCCGCCGCCGCCGTGTGAACCGGGCGCCAACGTTGATCGTCCGCGACCCGTGAATCCACGTCGTGGTCCAGGAGAATCTGCACTATCTCTTCGCTGCCGATCCGGCACGCATGGTGCAGGGGCGTCTGCCCTCGCACGGTGCGGCTGTTGCCGTCTGCGCCACGCTCGAGGCACAGCCGTACGCAGTCAGCGCTCCCTGATACAGCGGCGTAGTGGATGCACTGCCATCCGCTCATTGCGGATCGGGCGTGGATGTCTGCCCCTGCGTCGAGTAAGATGCGCGCCGTTCTGTGGGAGCCCGCGTGAAGCGCTTGGTGCAGGAGTGTCCGGTCAGTGGTATCGCGGGATTCGACGTCCGGTTGTTCGGCACTGAGAATGGCCTGCACTTTGTCGGCCTCATCGGATCGAATCGCGTTTGTGAGCTCGTCTTCAGGTTTCCCGTCTGCGTCAGGCATGGAGCGGTCAGTTGCCAGCCTTTCGGTGATGTGGAAGCCGCTCAGCTCCGCCTCGTGGTAGGCAGTCCACCCTGATTTGTTCACCTGGCTGGTCTGCAGCGGGTTCTGCTTCAGCAGGCAGTCTATCACGTCTCTGTGGCCCTCGCGGGCTGCTATGTGCAGCGGAATGTCGAGGCTGCGGTCTTGCGCCATCACATCCGCACCGTGCTCTATTAGTGTCTGCACCGTGTCCACCGACCCATTTCTACAAGCCCGATGGAGCGCGGTGCTTCCATCGAAGCTCTGGTGCTTGATGTCTGCCCCGTTCTTCAGAAGCAGTTTGACCGCTTCAGCCCGCCCGCTGGACGATGCGCCGTGCAGTGGAGTCCACCCGTCTGCTGTTTTCCGGTCGATTTCCGCCCCGTGCTCGATCAGAAACTGCATCACTTCGAGATGGCCTCGTCCGGCCGCGCGATGCAGCGCTGTGAGGCCTCTGTTAGACACGGACCGAATGCAAGCGTCGTACGCGACCAAGAGAAGCACCGTGTCCAAGTCTCCGATGTCTGCGGCCTTGTGGAGCGCCGTCCACTGATCTTGGCACTGCAGATCAACCCTGGCTCCGTATTCCAGGAGGGTCTGAACCAGCCTGTGGTTTTTGTTCGTCACGGCGTTGAACAGTGGCGTGGACCAGGACAGACTCCAGTGGTCTGGCTTTGCGCCGGCCTCCAGCAGGACAACGGCGGTGTGGTAGTGGTTGTATTTGCAGGCCTTGTGGAGCGGCGTGGCAAACGTGCTGTCTACTGCGTCTACTCGATGGCCGGAGGCTAGTAGTTGTTTGGTGACTTCGGCCAAGCCAAAATACGCAGCCACGTGAAGCCCTTTTATCTGCTCATTGTCGGGGAACAGATATCGTAGCCTGTTTGTGTTCTTGAGCAGGCGGGAAGCTAAGGCGTCGTATGAATCGAACGGCGCACGAGCAGCGTGGTATCCCCACGATGCCATCGCAAAGTCGGTGAGGGCCCACTTGTTGGAAGGCTGCGGGCTGTGATGAACTGCATCCAAGTGCTTTACTCGCACCTGTGGGCGCGTGCCGAGTGACTTGAAGGAGAGGTATGTTAGACAGGTACGTGCAATCTTTGCATGCGCCTGGCAGAACCACTCCGTCTGTTTCTTCTGCAGGTACTGGTGCAGCGTATGATGAACCAGGCGGACATTTGACTGGTCATTGCCTAGATCGTCCACTGCGATGAGACCACAGCAAACTCGGACAACCACCTTCATTGGAGGGATGTTATCGAAGTCCATGTCTTCGTCGTTGTCATTCGTCGCAAGTGCATGGCGCAGTTCCAGGCTGTGCAGCGGCCTGTAGGATGCAGACACCCACATCAGGGTATTCAGGGCGAGCGATCGCTGGGACTCCGACTGGTGGTTGATGGCTTCAAAGGTCTTGTCGTAGGCGTCTCCCAAATCACCGCTCAATCCAGTCAGTGCTTTCCGGACGCCGGACCGAGTGACCTGGCCCCTGATATTTTGCAGATGCAGCACGGCGAGAAGGAACCTGCGATGTCAGTAAAAGGCCAAGAATCTTGCATCAGTATGGTTTCTTACATTCCATGGGCGCAGTCCACCACGGTGTTGGTAATATCCCGCTCTAGCTGCGAGTCCAAAAGATCCATTACAGACTCATCGGAATGCAGCGCATGTGCAATATAGCTTCTGATATCATTATCAGCAGCAGTGTACTGCTCAATAACACACCTTGACATGCCAGGGGCCGGTAATGTACGACTCGTCACCAGGACGCTTGTACCTGCTCTAACAAGACTGTCCAACGTCTTAATGAACTGGGTGGTCTGCGTCGGGTCCTCGATACTGAACTCATCCATAGCGTCGACAAGGATATAACATCGATTGAAGGAAGCAGATATACTGTGTATCAACTCCTCCAGTTCGATTGGCAGTGGCGCACGACCTTCTCGGCGGGTGCTTTCGAACAAGTCCTGCAGCGGAGTCGGAATGCTGTCTAGGCTTTCGATCAGGAAGCGAAGGATCCCGCCGAGTGCAGATACCAAAGGACTCGTGTGTTTTGAGCGATAGTCACAATAGAAGTATGCAACAGCGGCATGAGGGGGTGTGTGAGAGAGTTTCAACTCATCGACAATCAAAGACCTGATGCCTGTCAGTGTCTACTTATAACCCGCAGAACCAGACCTACAGCATCGTCGACTTTCCACAGCCAGGAGGCCCATTCAGCCATAGCATCTTCGCCTGCTCCCCCTCCTCCAGCCACTCACGAACAGCCGGCGTGTCGAATATCCATTTGCCTGTGCCTGGTGTTCTTCTCGAACGGACTTCGTGGTGCCGGCCTCCTCCACGCTGCGGTGAGAGCCAGTCCAGTATTTCCACATCGCGGTCATCTATGGTGGTTAGCTAACGCAGAGCACATCGGCAGAGGACATACCTGTAAGCCGGCGGGATATACTCCCCACGCCCTGTTTAATTTCCTGCAACTGCTCCGACGGATCCACAAAGGTCTTGATACTCTCAAGGAGCTCGCCCAACTCATCAGCCGTACTGCGATAGTTTTCCGCAGACAGCTCCAGGGCCGCCATTTTCTCCGCGATTCCATGCATTTTGCGGGAGGTATCCATCTGGAGTTTGAGGATTGTTGTGACTTCTTCTGGGGTTTGGGACAGAATGGCACTGATAATCATCTTTAGCAGTGTCTCCGACAATAACAGGCAGGGACGGCACCCACCAGCCTTCCACCGTCAAGGAAAACTGGAACAGCTGCGTATATCGAGATAGCTGCTCCATGATAGCATCGACCCGTTTCTTCCGGATGGGCCATGCCAGTCGTCGGGACCAATCCACCGGGCTCTTCAGCAACCGGGCGAGATCGTGCAGGGTGCCCTCGCATGATACCACCGTGCGCACGAGCACCGACTGTGTGGTGTCAAAGCCCTCTTGCAGTTTGTCCGTCGATAGGAATTTGTGGAGACGGTTGCACACTTCGATAAAGGTGTGGACCTCGCCCGAATACCGTTTCACATCGGCCTGGGCTGACTTGACGTCGGAAAAGTAATTGTACAGATGCGGAGCCAATTGGACAGCGAGGCTCACAAGGCCTGCCACGTTGGCTGCTACTGAGATGCCATCCATCGTAATGGAAGCAGCCGAGGCTTAGATGCAGTGGTTTGAGGGCATTGCGAGTAATGCAGCTCGTTAATGACGGTGAAGAAAATCCGTGGCTGTTAGTGCACTGCCCCGCTCGTCTCGGATTATGCAGCCGATGGCGCTAGATGGATGCAATAAGACTGGGTATTATCAAAGTCGATCAAGGTAGCAGATGTCTTGGTATTTCTGTATACTTCTGTAGTATCCATTATTGGCCTTGTATGGCTACCAAACTTCCATATTTAGTAATATCGCCAGCAACATATACAACTACAGCCAAGCCTGGATAACCCAGGTACCCTATACAACCCTTGCTTCCACGGACATGATAAGCTCTGTCGATCATACCACAGTAGCATCCATCGCATGCCACTTCAAGCCACATAGAGAGAGCAGAACAGGGGATATAGCCACGATACCGTGCGGGGAACGACTGTCAGTACAACATACCCCGCCCAGCAGTGCATATATCAACATCAGCAACATCCAAAGCAATACACCATCACACAAACAACCCACCACACCCCTACATCCCTCACCATGAAAGCCCTCTTCGCAGCCATAACAATGGCACACGCACTCCTCCAAACCCAAGCCTCCCTCCAAAACCCCAACCTCCTCCCCACTCCCCCAATGGGCTTCAACAACTGGGCCCGCTTCATGTGCGACCTGAACGAGACCCTCTTCGTCGAGACCGCCGACGCAATGGCCGCCAACGGTCTCCTCGCCGCCGGCTACAACTGGCTCAACCTCGACGACTGCTGGATGACGCACCAGCGCGCGCCCAACAACTCGCTCATGTGGAACACGACCAAGTTCCCGCGCGGCCTGCCCTGGCTCGGCTCATACGTCAAGGCCAAGGGCTTCCGCTTCGGCATCTACGAGGACGCGGGCAATCTGACCTGTGGCGGGTACCCGGGGTCGCTGGGGCACGAGGAGCTCGACGCGCGCACGTTTGCAGACTGGGGCGTCGAGTATCTCAAGCTGGACGGGTGCAATGTCTTCCCGGAGGGAGGGCGCACGTCGGAGCAGCAGTACGAGCACCTGTATGGGCTGTGGCATCGGATCCTCAGCGGCATGCCGCATCCGCTGGTGTTTTCGGAATCGGCCCCGGCGTACTTTGCCAACGAGAAGAACCTGTCGGACTGGTATACCGTTATGGACTGGGTGCCGCGGTATGGGGAGCTGGCGCGGCATTCGACCGATATCCTCGTGTACGCCGGGGAGGGCAGCGCGTGGGATAGCATCATGGTGAATTACCGCTATAACACGCTTGTCGCGCGCTACCAGCGTCCGGGCTACTACAATGACCCCGATTTCCTGATCCCCGATCATCCGGGGTTGACCATGGACGAGAAGAAGTCGCATTTTGGGCTGTGGGCGTCGTTCGCGGCGCCGCTAATTATCAGCGCGTATATTCCGGGCTTGAGTGAGGAGGACATTGGGTACTTGACCAACCGGGACTTGATCGCGGTCGACCAGGACCCTCTGGCGCAGCAGGCCACGCTGGCGAGTCGAGATGACGAGGTCGATGTGTTGACGAGGAGTCTGGCTGATGGGAGTCGGTTGGTGAGCGTGTTGAATCGGGGGAATAGCTCCGTGCAGAGAGTCATTCCCTTGCAGTGGCTGGGTCTGAATCCGGGGCAGCGATATCAGGCCAGGAATCTGTGGGATGGCACGGAAAAGCGCATTCGAAAGGATCTCACAGTCACTGTGCGATCACACGCAACGGAGATTTACAAATTCACGGGCTCGAATGGTCGAGTTGATGCTGTCTCCACGGGCATTGTGTTCAATACTGCATCCGGCAATTGTCTTACTGGCGATGCAGCTGGTGTTGGATTTGCGCCATGCACTGGTGGTGAGAAGCAGATATGGCAAGTCCGTGGATCTGAGCTCCGTCCACTGTCTCTTTTGGGCGAGTGCTTGACTGCAGATGGGACTCGACTGTCTCTTCGTCCATGTGCAGGTGATGAGGCGCAGATGTGGTCATATCACATTTCAGGGAATTTGAAGTCAGGACACGAAGGTGGCTGTTTAACTGAGGGCCATGGCGTCGCATCTTGTGGGTGGGAATTGAACAGCCAGGTGTTTGGGCTGCCTAGTGGTGTAAGAGTCAGTGGATATTGAGCAACGATGCCAGTTAATAGATGATCTGCTAGACCTATCTTCTTGAACGATTTTCATCTTTTCATCTCTCTGGCCAACAGCCAGCATACGCATATGGGATGCATGTGACCAGTCCGCTTTAGCGCCGCCTTGCTTCGTTCAGGGCACAAATGGTTACAACCAACCCATACCTAGCAGCAAGGTGTTAGAAGGGTTCCATCTCCAATGCAAGCTCTCCCCTTTGATTTAGACGTCGTCGAGATGGACAACCACCCAAAGATCGAGTTACTCCGGGCAGAGGTCGACGAGAACGATGAAAGCTATTTCCGTCTACTGGTCGATGGCCGGACAATCAAGTACATCACCATCGGGCCTGGCATCTACAGCACCGAGGACATGTGCTTTGGTCCTTCTCTAGTCTCTATCCTGCCTGAACTTCCTCCTGGAGACTGGAACGACGGGCTCGTGGCCCGAGACGCCGACGATCGACCGCATTTTGCATCTGCTCAGCACACCCAGTTCCCGGGAGTCCAAAACACCTGGCACGGAACCTACATCGAATACATGGACCTGTTGATTGGGCGGAAACTACGAACGGGGATCTATGAAGTGCGATGCGCGTCGTTCGATAATGCTGTCGTCGGAAAATTCGCCCGCTTCCCCTGGGAGATTCAATACATGGAGAACGAAACTGCAGCCTATCAATGGATCTCCGGACATGATATTGGACCCCAGTTTCTTGGTCACTTGACTGAAAATGGGAGGGTAATCGGGTTTCTGATAGAGTATATCCCCAATGCACGGCACGCGAGCTCTCAAGACATTGCGGCTTGCAGGGAGGTATTGTCTCGGCTGCATGCGTTAGGGATCCGACATGGCGATATCAATCGGTTCAACTTTCTTGTCCAAGATTCAAAAGCTACGTTGATCGATTTTGACACGGCTCGGAAATGTGACGATCGGAAGGTGCTTCTGCAGGAGTTGGAAGGGTTACCAGCCAGCCTGGAAGATCTCTCGTATAGAGGAGGTGGAGGCCTTCTATGAAAAGTGTTGCTCAATTCTGTGATAAACTCATCTATAATGTTTTGGAGGTGTTGTTACAATCCATGCGTGTCAATTAGGAATCGAGAACACCAGCCCCATGCCCTCATACGCCAGTCGCTGTAGGGTACTAAAAGAAATAAAATCAGACTCCACCCTCCATCACATCTTCACTTGGAAGAGATATCTCTGCCGAATCTGTGCCACATCATAAACGATGTATTCGTTGTACTGCAGGCACTTGCCGGTGTTTCTATCCAAGGGCGTCTCCATATCCGGCATCGAGACCCCCTGCAAACTGGGGTGGACGCAGCCTGCATCCTTCCAGCCGCCCGGAACCGACATTCCCTGGCCGAGAGTAGCAATCATGCCCTGCTTCTTCGAGTCCTGATCCGCATTGTAGTTGCCGTTGACCAGCTCCAGCATGCGCTCTCCCAGTTCCACGTCGCACAGAAGCAGGAGACCCATGTTCGCACTGGAGTAGTGGCAGCAGTAGCCGGCCGATTTGCTGGACATATCGGCAAAATAGACTCCCTTTCCGAACATATAACCAGTAGCCGGAGCTTCGGGGGGTGCAATGCGGAGACCCTGGCTCAGGATACCACCGAAGTTGGTACTGCGAGAACCGTGCCACAGCAGACGCCGGTTGCTATTCTTCAGCTTCGCATACTTGGACGACATGAAACGATCGTTCTCGCCCTCTCGTTCAATTCGGAAGATATTCATCACCGAATACTTGATATGGTGGGTGGCTCCCCGAGACAGCTGGAGATACGCTTCCAACTCCTTGAACTCAGTAGAAGTACGGCTCACTGTAACCTGTCAGTCTAAATCACTGTAAATCACTGTAGGGCACATCGAGGGTATCACGAACATGGAGTCATTTCCCTCATGTTAAGGCTCTGGAATTGACGGTCAAGTTGGTGAATCGTGTCCGCATCCCTGGACTCCTTCATGATACCATTGGCAACCTCCATATCGGTGAGGGCCTCAAGAAGCTCAAGCTCTCGTTTGATGGCCTGCTCCGAGTTCAACACAGGAGGTCGGTTCCGACCAAAATCGTGAGGGATTGTCGTAAAGTACTGGTCACTGAGATATGCTGTTGCTTCCGCGATGGAAGTATCGTACTTGGTGGTGGCCAGGGTAGGGTTGTTCATCAGCTCCGAAAGATCCTTCAACAGCTGAAATCCGGAGCGTAGCGTCCTTTTGCTCAGCTTCCCTAGAGGAAGTTTTTTTGCATCGTACGACATTGACGCCATTGCCGAAAGGAAGTGGTCTTTGTTGAAAATGAAGGACATGAGATCCTGAACCGGCCCGGGCAAAACACTCTCGACTTCTGGCTTGTCCTTTGCGCCTTCAGCCTCTTCAGCCCCTTCATCCTCCTCGCCTTCTTCCTCGTAGTTCTTTTCAATGAACGTGTACTTTCCCTTTTTGGGAGGATCTAGGCGATTATCCCAGGTCAGGCCCGACTTGTCTTTGAACTTTTTCTTGAACTCTGCCATAGCCTTGTCAAAGGAGCCGTCGCCGAGAAGTGAATATTGACCGGTCTCCCCTACGCGGCCCCAGCGCGTCCAAGTCATAAACTCGCTTCCCGATCGGTTCGTCAACATCTGAATGCGGTAAAATTTGTTGTTGTTGTTCGCTGAGACGGTCTGATTGAGCGTCGCGTCCCAGATAAGGCCGGCGTCATCAATGTGCACAGAGTGGCTGCCTGTAGATGGGTGAGTTTATTTTGTGTAGGAGAGCTTGGGTTGGAGTGGTATATCTACTTCTCAGATAACAGCAGTCATCCACAGGAACAACCACCGACTTGGCGCCCTTTTTCTGGCCATCCTTGGGCTTCTTGTTCGCGCCGTCTTCCTCAATCTCCAGGGCTTCTTCCAGGGTCCGCTTCTTTTTCTCGGGTTTCTCTGTGTCCCCGTCTTTGGCGTCTGACTTGGAGTCTTTGGAGTCTGCGCCCAAGACGTAGCTCTTCTCCGGAAGTGGCTTCTTGGCCTTGTCCGATTCGATCAGCCAGTCCAACGATACAATATTGCAGTTGTAGACCTTGGTGGCTTGTTTGTCTTTGCGCAGTCAGCGGAGTGCAGAGGAAGTTGACATTCGGTATAGCTCACACTTGGAGTTCTTGTTGTCGATCTCTCTCTGAGTAGTGATGAGATGGGTGAGGTCACTCGTCACCGAATGACTGAACTTTGCCCCATGGCTCTCAATAAGAGCTCTCACTTCGGCTGGAGTGAGTCAGACGTCATTCGTTCGGAAGCTTGTTGCCGTAATTCCCAGTCTTACCTTGTTTATAACCGGAAAAGGTGCCACTGAGGGCGATGACAAAGCTTTGAAACAAACCACCTGCCATGTTGGGTTGCAAGAGTCTCGAGAGGACAGAGAGCATATACAGGGGGAAGAGAAGGAGAGATTGTTGAGGGTTGGGGGATACGAGGCGGAACACTAGGCCAACCACGTCAGGGGCAGTAATCCAGAAGCCGCGGTGTAATGGTGTCGTAAGAGGGGATGCGAAAGGAAGGAAGAGGCCCCATGAACTGAAGATGAAAACAATCGAAGTTAGAGGAGGAAGGGAAATGGTGAAGCTCTTTAAAATGCGCCGGATGGAGGCTACTTAGCCCGTGATGGCCTGACTGCCTGGTCGTTGCCTGAATTAGCGCTAGGCCTACAGCCACTAGTGGTGTTGCCTGCAGCCTACGCTCGATGCGACCTTCCATAGCCGAGTCAGTTCAACCACGAGAATGAAAGGATGTCTTTCTCATATGAACCAAGCTCCACTAAGTGATTTTGTTTCTCCACACTGAAAGTATGAGTCTACGATGTTGTGGTATACCTAGTGTATAGTATTTACCTAATTAGGTTTAGCGCATATGGATTTGTATAGAGCAGACCAACACCGTCTATAGTATACTCACACAGGCATCACTGCTCAAACAACAATGGAGTGTCAAAGCATCCATACCCTTTCACCACACTCATCTCATCCACCTCCTCAAATTTTGTCTTGAACGACCACCCCGCCACCGAACTAGACAATATCTCTCCCGTTCGCCACAGACACCCTCCAATAACCCCCAGTTCCGACACCACCCCTCCTAGACCAATCCCTTGTGGTGACATCAAAACATTATCCACCCGCGGAGAGGCGATGCGCTCCATTAACACAAACGCACCCCATGACGACGGATGAATCTTGGCCAAAAACGGTGGTATATCCTCTCCATATATATTATTCCCGCCTCCTTCCAACGACGGTTTGAGAATGTAATCCCTCGCCGAGTGAGCGTCCAGCGCCAGGCTCCGTGCGTACATGCCCCGTTCCGATTCATCCATGGGATATATCTGAACGAACGTGGATCTGATGACAGCCGCTTTTTCAGCGGAAAGAACCCGCTCCAATGCGCCAGGAGTGGTCAGTCTCTGTTGAACCTTCTTAAAGGTGAGGATATGGGCCAGCAAAGATGGACATTTGATTGCCCGCGACATCTCCAGGCGCAGACGTGCTTCCACGCCGGTCTCATTATATTCCTGAGCCTCATATCCTGCGCGCATGTACACAACGGACACTTCAACCGGCGGCTGCCATCCCCGCCAGGGAGGATGGAAGAGAAGCTCTCTAGATTCCGTGAGAGATGTGTATTGTAAGACATCCTCGGCAAAGTCGACCCGATATGCGGGAATCGGGACATCCCGGTCCCATAACGCGTATTCGATCGGCCGTTCGTCAGCTATGTTGAAGTTACGAGGCTGGACAACGAAGAGGACAACTGTTTGCTTCGCGACCTTGCTCTTTGGTGGACCGTATGCTGTGTGCGCTTCTGCCAGGCATGCGGCCACGTTGTTGATATTGTTATTCCGCGGAAGACAAGTGATTGATATCGGGCTATCATCAGAAGCATATACTCCCGTACGGGCAAGGTGATGATGCATGTCGGCGACCTTGTCGGCATGGGAGGCTCCTGCGCAGGAGAAGGTGTTGAATTCAACTTGTCTCAGTCCTAGATCTGGTTTGTCCTCCGTGGGGTTGCCCTCAACATGAAGCATATAATCTGAACGAAAGATCCCAACAGAAAGTTCCTGACAGTACCCGCCGGATGATTTTATTCGTTTATGGATGTCCCATAACGCTGCGGCAAGCGGGTGTACTGAGATGAGATCCTTGATTGTGTCAAAGATCCACTGCTCATCCTCCGCCAACGCACAGTATAACTCATGATATATGGACTGCAAGCGCAAGGCTTTATCAAACTGTGCTTTGGGAAACGGAGTCGGAAACACTGAGACCCCGATAGGATAACAGAGGACTGATTGCGCGGACTGGGAACGAATGTCCTTCAGCATGGAGCCGTGGTTGATCTGCCAGTCTTGGATGTGGGCTGCGATATGGAGGCCGTCTTCTTCGGAGAGGGAGGGAGGATACTGAAAGAAGGAGGCCATGTTATTCGATGATCTTTTGTCAGTGAGCTTTCATGAGAAACACATCGCAAGTAGTATAAACAGCATGGCCTAGGGCACCGCCATCAACGTGACCCCTCACCGCCTTCCCTCCCCGCAGCTCCTCTCCGTCATTGCCGGCTCTCCTCCAATTCTCCCTCCCTCTCGTCTGCATCCGGAACTCTTCTCCCTCCACTCTCCTCTCTCCTCCTCCCTCCGACCTCCTCCGAGCGTCTCTCCCTCACACACATCATCTGTCCGTCGCACAGATACCTCCCATCGCCTACGGGCGCTCAGCCGATCCAAACCATGATCTCCGGCTTCCGGATCGTGCCACTCGCCGAACTCCTCGAGCTCCACGGCGGTTGATCCGAGCTATTTATTCCCTACAGACCGCGTGCATATATATCCCGTTCTTGCATCTGCAGAATCCTTCTCTCGCTCTACATCCCTGTCTACCAGAACTCCCTCTCCACCCTGCCATCATGTCCACTGAATCCACCCCGAAGCAATCCCTTGACGCCGATGACCCGCAGCAGCAAACCACCAGCTCCTCTCGTCCCTCCCGCACCTCCCACGCACGCTCAGCGGGCAGTCCCCGCCGCAAATCCATCCAGTTTAATATCGGTGGGAATCCCTCCACGGGGAGCACCGACGGGCCGCCCCCGCGCCGGTCGGCAAGTGCATCCGCGCGCAGACGCTCACAGTTCGATCTCCCTACCCGCGAGAGGAACAAATCGAGCGAGCGAGACCGCCCGATCTCCTCGCGGGGCCCGTCTCCCCCTCCACCGCAGTAAGCCCTCGCTTTCCTACCCTTATCCCCGTCCGCGCCCCAAGCCCAGTGACCCATACTAACAGTCCGAAGGACCTACGAAAGAGGAGTCTCCTTCGACACTTTTGACAACCCCGACGCAGCCGATTTCTCCCTCACTCTCAACTACAAGCACAAGGGGTACCAGAGTACACGCCGCAGCCGCACATTCCTCTGCGGCATCGACCAGAACGACTACTCCGATTTTGCGCTGGAGTGGCTGATCGACGAGCTGGTGGACGACGGCGATGAGATCGTCTGTCTGCGCGCCGTCGAGAAGGACTCGCGCATCGCTAGCGACGCCGGTATCGAAGCCGGGAAATACCGCCAGGAAGCGGAGAAGATCTTCGAACAGGTGATCCAGAAGAACAGTCAGGATGAGAAGGCTATTAGCGTCGTTCTAGAACTAGCCGTGGGAAAAATCCAGGACATCATCCAGCGAATGGTACCTCCCGTTCACAATCGAGAGCGAGAAATAAGAGACTGACTCTGGTAGATCCGCATCTACGAACCCTCCGTCTTGATCGTCGGCACTCGCGGCCGCAGCCTAGGCGGGGTACAAGGCCTCCTCCCGGGTTCCGTCTCCAAATACTGCCTGCAGCAGTCTCCCATCCCCGTGATCGTGGTGCGCCCATCGCCAAAGCGCGAAAAGAAGAAGAAAAAGAGACTGGCCGATCCCACCCGCCGCAGCTATAATCAGATCCTAGAGATGAGCGAGCAACGCGGCAGCCGCATCCTCGACGCCAACTCCAGCACCGAGAGCCACATCTCCCGCCTCCCGGGCGAGGAGGCCGCCGTAGCCGCCGCGCTGGGTCTCCCGCAGTCGTACACGACCGCGTCGCGCTCCTCGCTGTCCATGTCCTCTGAGCCGAGCAGTGCCTCGCACGACGAACATGTGTCGCCCTCGCCAAACATCGGGTCGCCGAGCCCTGCAGCGAGCGCTGAAACGACGGAGAGTGACAGTTCGACGGATGAGGAGGCCGATGAGCGCGCGTCGAATGCGAAGGAATCCTCGACGGATTCAGTCCAGGACGAGAACCGAGATTCGCGGACCGAGATTCCTGTCATTGTCACGGAGGACATGACCAAGTAGTTCCGACCAGTTGCACCCTGAACTACTTACGCATGCATACACGACAGGCTCTTCGACGATCGTTGCCTAAACACCTACACGCGCACTGTGCAAGGTCTCCCCACCTGAGAAGCCGATAGATAGGACCCGCAATCATGTACTGCGGTCCACTACTACGACAGGATAATCCGGACCAGATCCCACGCTTCGGGGATAGCTAACGCCTCGATAGACGCATCAGCATACAGTCTGTTGCCAGAAACGACAAGCCGGCCTCCAGACTACATAATAATCAGTCATTTAGACACTACATAGATAGGCTGCTACAAGACAATACAACCACAATATAAGAATGAAATCCCATTTCCTACTACTTAACTAAACGAAAAACCCCGACAGTCGTCCCTCAGGCAAAACCACTTAAGTAACACATATCAGAAAAGAAGCCGATCAATCAGGACGCAACGCAGTACAAGTAGAGTCCAGAATGAATGAAGTAAGGAACTTTTTCTAGCGAAATTTTGTCTAAGAACACGCGGCAAAAGCACAGCAGCGAAATCACACAACCAGACGACAAGCGACGACTTGATCGCCAGCTCACACACCAAACCAGTGTAGATGCAATGCATACAGAGGCAAAAATCAGCGGTAAAGAAAGCAAATGAAGATCAACAACTACTAAATCTCTTGCAAGTGGCTCGCTTCCAACGATCAGAACGTAGTCTTCCGTGGTGGAAGACAACCGTTGAAGCTCCCCGGGTATTGGAAATGCAACGACACGACAACAGCGACGGAAAGGACCTCAGGGTCGAAGGAAAAGGAAGGAAATAAAACACAGAGACATAAAAAGACACCCTCAACCGTACTCGTGGCCTTTGGACAGCTCTGCTCGAGGTTCCCTGACAGCCTTTCGTGCTGCAGCTTTTTTTCTTTCCGTTCATTGTACATATAAAACGACCGGGAAGGGACCCCTCTGGGCTCCCGCAGAAGAAGAGAAAAACAGAAGTGTATGTGAGCCGACCGAGGGATCGAAATCATGGACGAGAAGAGGAAGATGGTCCAAGGGTGAGAGACATGATGGAACTTAGATGGGTAGAGGGGATCAAGAATAAAATGAGTAAAACGGCGGGAGTCTTTCCAGAAGAAAAAGGAAATAATGTTTTCATTATCATTGCCAAAGAATCTATGATGCTTCCTCGCCGTCCTTGGACGGGGTCTTGGATGGTCGGCGCTCAACCGCGGGTTGCGACTTGCTCATCAGAGGGGAGGTAGGGTTCGACGGAGGAGACGTCGCCATGTTATCCCGGTCTTCCAAGCTGGCCAGAGCACTGGAGAAGCCAGTCAGATGCAGTCGAGAGAACTCTAGTGGTCCAAACTTACCTGAATGCATTGATCGATGAGGCGGCCTCCTTATCTTCCTTCTTGGCAGGAGGAGTGCCAGTACGGCTGCTAGCAGCGCTGTCGTCACTACCACGAACCAGGTTGCCACCGGGGCCAAGGTTCTTGCGACCACTGCTGCTGCGGGAGCCCAGCATGCTGGAGGGACCGAACGACATGGGCTGAGTCGTGTTCCGGGTCGTCCGCAGGCGACGGAGGTCGTCACTCCCAACTTTGCTGGAGGCAAAATCTTGCGGGGGGGCCTGGCCGTAGCCACTAGAGTAGCTGCGAGCATCGCCGCGGCCCATCGCCGGGCGACCACCGCGGTTGGCCTGTTGACGCAGACGCTCCATCTCGGCCTCTTGTTGGGCGCGGGCAGCCTGGGAAAGTTAGTACAGATGCGACAAAGCGATCCATAACAGCGACACTTACAGCTTCTCTGATCTCTTGGATGGTCTTGGGACCCTTGTCACTGTCCTTGGAGACCCAACGGGCGCGGCGCAGATCGCAAATATCCTGGGAGCCTGTCAGTAATCACACACCTCACGCGAAGAGAGGGATACTACTTACCATGAGCATGAACTTCAGACGGCTGGGCAAGCCCTCGATCTGCATCATGAGCTGGATGCGGTTGAAGTAGGCGTCCATCATGGTGTGCCCCTTCTCGGAAGCATCCAGACTAGCACCAATCGTGCGGAGGAGACTGGTCAAACTCTCAACCTCGGCCTCCTCCGGAACACCTTCGTAGTCGACGAGCTTCTTGACACACTCGTGCATGATACGCTCCGTCAGCATACCCAGCTTGTAAAGCTCACCGATGAACTTGACGAGACCGAGACCACGCCGCTTGGCGGCGGCAGCCTTGTAATACTCGTCGGACATCATGGCGGCCTCCTCGGTCTGGCCCTCGGGCTTGGGAGGCAAGTTGACCTTCCAACCACGCTCGAACTCTTCCTGGCAACGGTTGAGGAGATACTTGCGGAACAGACTGCCACCGGCCACCACGTTGCCATTCTTGTCACGGATGTTCTCGTCCTTGATTTCCATGCTCATGCTCTCAAGCATACGCTTGCAGAACTTGGCATAGATGGAAGCCCAGTGGGCTTCGTCGGTCGCCTTCTCAAAGGTAAGTTGGATGACCTGACGCAATGTCCGTCCGTCCGACTCGTCCTTGGATTGGGAAACGATCTCCAGAATCTGGCCGGAAATACGGTCGAAGTTCTCCGGGGTCATCTTGTTGAGAGCGGCCTTGACCTTACGCTGCACCACATCGGGAGGCATATGGCCGCCAGGAGTAGGGCCAGCCGCAGCCGCAGCCTGGCCGATACTGCGCGGCTTCCAGCCGGTGGCGGAGATTTGAATCGGGGCGACATCCTTTCCGGCGGTAAGAGGCATGGACTTGGCCATGTCTTCTTCCTTCTTGGCCTGGTGCTTGTCGCGCTTGCTGCCGGTCCGAGTGCCGGAACGGTTGCTGGACCCAACGCGAGGGGAAGGAGGCATGCCTGGATGCATTGCGTTAGCAGAACTAGAACGGCTGACAGAAGGAGATCCCATGCCCAGACCAGATCGTCCGAAAGCGCTAAACGAATTCATCGTCGCAGCGCGGGCGGCATTCGACAGGGCAAATCGCTGTTCCGAGCTCGTCCCCGAGGGCAAACGGCCGGTCGACTGTGTAAAGTAGCCCATCTGGAAAGGAGCCTGGGTGGCACCACCACCACCACCCCGCGAGGGGTTGCGGCCATTCATGGGAGTGCGAGCGGACGCCGGACGGGATGAGTCGCTGTCGCCGACGGTCTCGCGCACGCGGGCGTCCCAGTCGATGGACGGCTTCTCCTTGAACACGTTCTGGAACTGCAGCAAGAACTCCTTGTTGTAGTGGAACTTCCGGTCGGCGGGCGCGTTGGCGTTGAGAGCGGGGTTGGGGGAAACGATCGAGGCAGGGTAGGTGATCTTGCTGAGGTCGTCGACGAAGCGAGCGGAGTGGAGCGACTTCATGGCCGCGCTGGGCTGCGGAGGCTCGACGCTCTTGCTGGTCTCCAACTTGAGCGCGGCGGGCTTCTCACGCTTGGTGGCGCTGGTGGGCTTGGGGGGCGGGCCCATCGACGCCTCCGAGGTAGGGGTGGCAGTACCGCTGTCGGCGGGAGTGCTGACCTCGCTGGGTTGCCATCCACCCTTCCGCAGAGAAGCAAAGAGCTCCTTGCTGCTGTCGTCCTGTTGACCCGCCTGGCGCTTGCGCTCGCGCTCTTCCTCGAGGGCTTCCGCTTCGGCCTCCGCCTTCTTCATATTAGCCTCGTACGCCTCCATCTCCTCCTTTTCCTTGCGCTCCTTCTCCTCCTTCTCGGCCTGCTTCTTGGCGTAGTAGGCACGCTCGGCCTCCAGTTCCTTCGCCTCGATTTCGGCCATCTCGCGCTCGATCGCGTCGTAGTCGATCTCGTCCTCGTCGGCAGGAGCGGGCTCTGGAGCCTTGGGTTCCTCCTTCTCGGCAGGCTTGGCTTCCTCGGTCTTGTTGTCCTTCAGGCTGAGGTTCTCCAGCTCCTTGCGAGCCGACTCGGCCTCGTCGGCCTGCTTTTTGGAGGCTTCCTCTTGCTCCTTCTGCTTCCGTTCCTCTTCTTCCTTCTTGCGACGCTGCTCGGCTTCCTCCTGCTCGATCCGCTGACGGACGGCCTCCTTCAGCTCCTGCTTCTTCTCCTCGTCGGTCTTGGTGGACTTGGAGTCGGAACGGGTGTGGTCGGCGCTGCTACCGGTGCGGGGGGGAGGGGGTGGCCGTCGGGGTGGCGACGCGGACGGGGGAAGGCGCGGCCCGCGAGGGCGAAGCGGGAGCCTTGTCGAAGGTCTTCACGGCACCACTAGGATCCTTGATGATGAGGGGACTCTTCTTGTTAGAGGGGATCACAAAGTGAGAGGACTTGCCCGGCGCGGGGCTGTTCGAGGAACGGCTGGCCGTGTGCGCATGGCCTGGGGCAGGGGGACCCGCGGGAGGCTGACCCTGGCCGAGGCTGGAACCGGGGCGATCGTTCGACACTTGCGAGGGCGTGCGAGACAGCGACGGGGCCTGGGCGGGGGACTGCACGGGATACTGCCCTTGCATGTAATGAGCCTGGGGGTTGAAGGGCATTCCGGGACGCGGTTGCGGCGAGGGAGGCATAAAACCGCCCATGTAGCCGGGCTGGTAGTAGCCGTAGGTGGGATCGTAATAGGGGGCCGCCTGTTTGGTTTTCATCAGCGTTAGATATTGTTCAAAATGACCACTCTCCGGTGCCAGGTTGGGTGGTGGCAACGCGATACGGGGGTTTGAAAAGCGACGATCATTGGGGCCAGTAAGCACGCGGGGACCTTGTCGCTTCTTGGGCAAGGCCGTGCCGCGGCGGAAGGGTTTCTGGGTAGAAGGGAAATGGGTCCTCACAGTTTGGGGAGTCATATGGGGCGGGTAGGTGCCATAAGGCTGGGGAGCCATCTGGGGGTGCGTCATGGCCACCGGGTTCATCTGCGGCGTCGCAGGATGGGCTGTGGCGAGACCCGGGCTGCGGCTGGCCTGGGGGGAGTTGGGGAAAGGCGGAATCGGACGACCCTGGTTAGGGCCGTGGAACTGGGGGCCCATGTTGGGACCACCGCGCGGCTGGTTAGGCGAGCGGAAGTTGGGACCAGGCGAGTAGGGCATCTGGCCCTGATAGCCGGACTGGGAGTATCCGCGGCCACGGCCTCCCTGATGGGGGTAACCACCACGACCCGGACCACTACCCATGTGGTTGCTCATGTCGCTGTGTGTCGACTGAGAGGATTCCCGACGGAGATGGGTGGACGGAGGACCAGCACCAAGGGGGGCCTGGGGCGTAGGACGCATCTGCCGTAGGAGAAAAAAAATGTTATTATTAATTTCGGAAGATTCTCACGGGTATGCCAAGAAGGGGGGACTATGCTGGGGCATTCTCCGCGGTTTCTCCTTTTTTTCGTTTGCCGGATAAGAGATAAGAAAGGGAGAGATGGGAAGATCGGAAGTAGAAAAGACGCCACAGGAGAATAGAGGGTTCTCGTGGAAGTACTTACGTTATCGCCGGCCTCACCAAAGCTACCAAAGTTCGGCACGTTGCCCTGGGACTGGTATGAAGATGGCGGTGGCCGGCCACCGCTGGAGGCAGGCTGGGGGATGGGCGAAGGCGAGGTCTGAGGCGAGGTGACGCGAGGGTTCATATTGGGGGAGACCGCGAGGCCGGACTGAGGCTGGTTGGCCAGAACGGCCGGGTTGCCCAGGTTGGGAGAGGTCTGCTGGTTGGCGAAGCCGAACTGCAGACTATTGGGACGAGAGTTGGCACCGCCGTTGGGGAAGTTGCCCGAGGTGCCGGCCGAGGTGATGGTCACGGATGGTTTGCGCGAGTGATCGCCTTGGGCCGGGGCGCCATTGACGATGGTGACGCCGGGAGTCGACTGGGACTGCTGCATGGGTTTGCCGCTCACAGGAGATGCTGAGGTCGACTTCCCATGTTGCGCTGGGCCGCCCACGGTGACGGGAGCGGCGGTCGAGTCCGTCGCGGACTTCTTGGTGGCGGCGGAGGCGTACGACCTGTTCGAGGCCGGCGGAAGAGGCGAGGATTTCCCACTGAGCGAGGGGGAAGAGGCGTGAGAGGAGGAGGCGGCCTGAGTGGAGGTGCTCTGTCCTTGAGGTTGAAGGCCTGACTTGGGAGGGATCGAGGTCATTAGACAGGTCGGGGGGAGGGAGAAGAGCCGAAATCGCTTAAATGAGAAGAAGGAGAGAGAGAGAGGATGAGACGATGATGACTTTTTTCAGCGGGAGGTGTGATGTCAAAGCGTGGGAAGGACGACGGATGGTCACTCCCACATCCACCTGGAGGAAAGAAGAAAAAAAAATTATGGTAATCTCTTATCCCACACGACAAAGAGGGGAGAGGAAGGGAAAGAGGGAAACTCGGCGTAGTTCTTACAGAGAAGAAACACCGACAGATTTCCAACGATCCGAATAATCACGTCGTAGTCAACGACGATGGGGGTGGGAAAAAAGGAAGAGGGTGAGAAGAGAGAGAGAGAGAGAGAGAAGAAGAGAGGGAAGAGGAAGAGGAAGAAAGAGGAAAGGGAAAAAAGTGAGGGACGAAAAAAACCGGCGGAGGGAGATCGGGCGTCACACATTCGTACGGGGGGTCTGCCCTCGGATTTTCTAGGAGAAAAGGGGAGTTTATTCTGATATTCTATTTATTATCGTTCTACAAGTTTTCTCTATTGTTTCTTGTCTTTTCTGTCTCTTTTCACCTGGTGATGGTGGTTTGTGGGATTCTGTGGTGGAAACGATTCGGATGAAAAAAACACCCGCCTGAAACCCCGAGACGCACATGGAAATCACGATGAAAGGATGAAGTAGGACCAGCATCATATGGTATAGGATCTTGTAGTAATATGTCTAGAAGCTCAAGGGTACTTACTACCTAGGTAGTAGATAAAGAATCTCAATCAAAGAAGCCAAAAAAGCCAAAGAGTATGGGCTTTACTATGGGAGGCAAAGGAGGATAAAATACGGTTCCGGTGTCGTTCCGTTCGTATTGCTGCCTGATCAGGCATCAGGCTCTCTTCGAGGTACCTGCCTGATGTCATTCCACCAACACTCGACGAGATATTTGTTGGCGCCTACATAGATACTTAGATAGCAGTTAGATAGGCAGAAGTTGGGTGCTCGTGACGCACATCGGATTGAGTCTATCGTTCCACCCTTACGTCCTTCGCAGGTACCAAACTCTCCCTCGCAGATAAACCTTGCCCCGAACAGGCGATGACATCGCGTAGCTCTTTCGGGAAAGAAAGAAACCCTTTCTTCGCCGTGGCCTGTGTCCTCCGACCTGCAACCCCCAACCAGATGCCTTCAATCTAAGATCGAGTACTGCGCGACCGAGCTATTTCCTCTACAGCCCGAGCGGCAAATTCCACGCCTGACGCCGCCGCACCACCACCTGCGCCGTGCTCGCCGCCAAACCACCCAGACGTCCAGTTCCCACCCCCATGACCGGACGGCGACCGATCGCGCACATCCTCAGGCTGGATATGATCGAACGAGTTGTCACTCCGGTTCTTCCGCAGCGACGACGCCGAGCCATACGCCAGATCGTCCTCCGGGGACTCGTCCAGGTTGCGTTCCTCGCGCGCCAGCGCGTTCCGCACCACATCCAACAGATCCCGCTGGTTGGAAATGTACCGCGCCTTCTCCTCGCGCGACATCGACGCCATCTCCCGGGGCAGCAGCGTTCCGCTGGCCGAGAGCTCCTCGGCGCGGGCTTCGGGGCTCTTCCCCGTCGACGTCACCGCCGCCACGGCCGAGCTGATCGCCGAGAACCAGTCATTGTTGGGGGTGGGCATGGGACCGCTCACACCGGTCGTGCTGGTGGGCAGGTTGAAGCGGGAGAGGAGCGACTGGGCGTAGGAGGCGGGCCCGGTCGGCGGCGGGGGCGCGGCCGGACGCTGCGCGGGCAGATGGAGGATGTTCTCGCGCACCCAGTCGAGGGCTTGGTAGAAGTACTGCAGGCCCAGGGCTTTGGCGCGTTCGTGGCTGCGGCCGATGAACTCTTCGATCTCACGTTCGTGGTGTTCGAGGAAGGGGTCCACGTAGGTCTGGTAGAGGAGACGGGCGCCCTGGGTCTGCGGGAGGACCAGGTAGGAGAAAAAGAAGAGGCGGATCCAGCTGTAGAAGGGGAGCCTGTGGAGAGTGTCAGGGAGACGGTGTTACACAGCGTAGATACTAGGGACCATGGGGACGTACCATCCCACAATGAAGTAAGTCCACGACTCCGCCATCAGGAGGGCCGACAGGACCACCCAGTACATCAGCCATGGTGCGAGTTGGGAGGGATCGCCTGATCGGAGGGCCTTGAAGGAGGCGAAGATGGGGAAGAGGATCGTAATGATCGAGCTGCGAGGTGGTAAGCATGCTGGACGGGTGCGTGAGAGCTGACGGGTCTTCAGCTGAAAGAGGACCGAGTCATCGACAGGGAAGGGGGCCAATGTATAGAGGTACGTACGAGAGCAGATCTGCAATCACGCCGAACATGATGACCGGGTTTGGCGTAGAAGGCGTTCCTCAAGAGGGATGGGGGGATGGGAGGATCGATGAAGAGTCAGTCGGAGACTGCGGGGCAGACAGAAGAGGGAGTTGAAGCTTCACGCGATCAACGGAAAGCGGCCAGCCGCCGGAGAAGCGAGAAGAGAGAAAAATAAAAAAAAAAAAAGTCACGACGAATGGTGGATGCCTTGAGATGGACCAGCCAGCGACGGACGTGATAGGATATGGAAGAGGAATAGGGAGAAAAGCTATGACCGATCGATCCACCACCGTCTTTTAGGGCTGCCGTGTTCGGCGCAGTGGTGACGTCACCTATCAACATTACTCTAGGAGTAAGCAGAGGAGAAGATGGATAGCACGCATATACGCTCTTGTATATCACATCTCTATTCTACTCCGTACATACGAGTCTGCGTAGGCTAGCTATCGGGTCTTCTACGGGCACACACACTGTCCAAGTACGATCCTCCAAGACCCTACGGTGGAGCCATGTCTCAAATATATCTCTCCACAACCCCGACTCCATCCTCCATCCTCCTATACGGAGTACAACAAGCTCAATACCTCCCAATCAAATAGTTCCGCCGCTCGTCCGCATCGATCCGATTCACCACCTCGATCTCGGCCCATTTCATCGAGATGTAGGGCTCCGCAATCGACGCACCCACCAGCTCATACAGCACCTTGTCAAAAGTCAATGCATCCAGACTCGCCGCCAGCGACCGCGGCAGCAGCTTCGTGATCCCCAGCGCCTTCAGCTCCTCCGTCGGCACATTGTCCGTCGCAAACGGACAGCTTCCCGCCGTCAGCGGCAGACCGCGTCGCATCCCATCCAGCCCGGCGGCGAGCAACCCACACAGTGCCAGATACGGATTCGCCAGCCCATCCAAGAGCTTGACCTCGAACCGGTTCGTCGCAATGCGCCGCAGCGCCACCTCTTTGTTCTGCCAACCCCAGCAGACGAATTCGCCGCCGCTGCAGATTCCATTCGCCACGCGCCGGTAGCTCATGTCCTGCGAGAGACTGAACGCCATCACGGCGGGGAGATGCTCCAGGATTCCCGCAAAGAACGCCTCGGACTCGTCGAGACCGCGCGACCCCGTGGGGTTCATCGACAGATGCACATGCATGCCGCTGCATGGGTCCCGGCCCAACGGGCGCGGACACGTCGTCGCCCGGAGCTGGTACTTTTCCGCGACGTCGCTGATGATGCTGCGGGCGCGGAGGAGCAAGTCGACGGCCGTAACGGGCGACGCCGGCGGCAGGACGAACTCCCACTGGCCGGGGGCAGCTTCGGCGTGGAACTTTTCCAGCGCGATGCCCGCGGCCAGCAGCGCGCGCGCCGTCTCCTCCAGCATGTCGAGGTGGCGCTGGTCGTCGGCGGTCATACTGAACACCGAGTGGGGCTCGTCGAGCGCCTCATAGTCGACCGTCTTCCCGCCGACGACGACCCGGCGCATGTAGACGACCTCGACTTCGAAGCCGACCAGCGGGGCGAACCCGGTCTCCTGCGTGAGCGTGTCGGTTAGGGAGGCCAGTCGCGATCGCGCGCATTCACCGATGGGTGCGCCGTCGGCGTCCTGACAAGAGACCATTACCACGGCATGGTTGGATCGCGGCGCGGGCTTGCAGTAGGCGGTGGAGAGATCGGGATGGAAATAGCAGACGCCGCCGGGGGTGACGCCGCGCGGCATGCGGTCGAAGGGCTCCAAGTGCAGACCGGCTTTCACAAAGGGGACGGGCTCACCTTTGTGTACGAGATCGGCGAAGCGGGCGACAGGGAGAATGACGACGTGTGGCAGACCATTGTAAGCGAGAACTTGGAGCCAGACGAATTCGACGCCCGGATGGTCTGCGAGGAAGGTGTCCCAAAGCGCGGATTGAGTGGGGGGGAGCATGGCCACTGTCGAGAGGGGTATGATAGTCAGCTCGTGCTGGCGGGGCTTGTCCTGGGTCTTATCTTATGAAGGTCAGACAGCCCCTCGGCTGATTTAGGCTGTGACCGCCAGTCAGCATTGCAGGGTGATGCATCAACCCGCGATCCAGGGTTCTGTGGCGTTAGGGGTGGGAGAAGCGGTGTGCCTGGGCATAAAGGGTTTCTGATGGCTTGAGTTGATGTATATTGGCAGACGTTTAGACATATAAACTGTATGTAGATGCATCTTGTATACTCTGTATACTCTGTATAGAAAGAGTAATGAGATAGAGTTGATGAGTGGAATGAGGAATGAAATACACAAGAAGGCATAAGGGTGTACAAGAATGCACAAGAATGAGTCAGCAGGATGATTGGAATTCTGGCAGCTCCACTTGTCCCGTTGTGGTTAAGGTGCCTGGTGCTTTGTTTGGGTCTCTGCCTAGCAGATTACCCCTTTAAGTAGCTGAGGGATCCGATCGACGCGATCTTCCATTTCCATTGCGATGCAGATCAGGTACCGATGACAGAGCCAGACAGAGCCAGATCTATACAAATATACAATATACGTAGAACAAAGTACACCGGAGTAAAAGTAAACTAGAAAAGGAAACGACAGAATATTTTGTACAACACTCTGGACTGACGGTCCACCGGTGCTTTTCATGCTGACAATGTTTTTCTTTGTCTGCCTACTCCGTACATCAAACATCGATATAGCCACCTAATATAGGCCTATCAGACCCTGATTCGATATCAAGCCCTCCCAATCACCAAACACCAAATTCAGCCACCAAGCCCTTGCTTGCCTGGCCATAACAGTCCAGCTTCTCCTAGCGGGTGGGTCTGCCACCAAAAAGCGGAAGCATACGGAATGGCTGCCCTGCGTCCCTGAAATGCAGGTCTGTCCGCCCCATAAAGGCTGCTCCTTTCTCCGCTCTCCTTCGTGAGACCACCGGCTCTGATCTCAACGGCCTCAGTCCCAGCGCCGTCGCCTCTGGCCTCCTTTCCCGCTCCCCCGTCGAGCGAGACGTGTATGGCTGCCCCGGCTCATGTGGCATCCTCCGAGTCGCCCACGCCGGGCCCTCCGGCTGTGGATGGTCGCCGCCGTCGTCGCATTCTCCGTGTGTTTTCTGTTGTTGCGGAACCCTGCCAAGGATGATCGACCCGAACACGTCCAGCGGAGGTATCCGTTACTCTGGAAGCACGTGCAGCAGTCGCATGGCGCTGGCGGTGGTGAGTACCCAGTCGACACGTCAAGAACTATTCACTTTTCGTCGAATTGTCGCATGGACTCCGGCTGATCGAGACTGACGTCGCTAGCCTGGTATCTGCCGCCCGAATGGACGCGCTCCTCGCCCTCTCCCCCATCGTCGATCCTACAGGCGGCGCATCTCGCTCGGGAATACACCAACTCGACAGATTCCCATCGCATCGCACACTCTGACATTCCCCTGATCATCCACCAGCAATGGGGTAACACCGACATCCTCCAATGGCCCGATGGCATCCGCGCCGGCGCTGAAAAATGGCTGGCCAGCGCCGCGTCCGAGGGTATGGCATACTTGTTGTGGACGGACGATGGGATTGCCCAATTCTTGGAGAAATACGAACCCGACTTCACTCCCACCTATCGTGCGTTGACGTGGAACGTCGAGCGCTCCGACGTGTTCCGCGTTCTGGCCGTGAAATGGATCGGAGGAATCGTAAGGCTGTCCTCTCGGAGACGATCCACCCTCGCTGACGACCGATAGTACGCGGATATCGACACGCTTCTGCTGCGGCCACTGTCCACCTGGATCGACGCCCAAGACATCGCCCCGTGGACGGACCCAGTCACCGGCAAGGAGCACAACTCCACAGGTCCGGTGGGCGCCATCTTCGGCCTGGAGGCGGACTTTGACCCCGACACCGACCTGTATTGGCGCCGAGGATACCACTATCCGGTGCAGCTCACTCAGTGGGCACTGGCGGCCACATGTGGGCACCCGGTGCTGTCACGCTTCATTGACTACATCCGCACCCATCTCGATGCCACCGCCCCGGGCTACGTGGGCGACGATGACCCGTCCACTCGCACCTTTCAGCGCGTCATGGACAGCGACCCGGTCAGCGCAACAGGACCCGCAGCGATCACGGAGACGGTGCAGTCATGGCTGGAAGAGAAGGCCGGATTGCGATGGAATGCGGTCACCGGCCGACACGACGATGGCCGCAGCAAGCTGGTGGACGATGTGCTGATCCTCCCCATCACAGGATTCAGGTAAGCCCTTGCCGATGGAGCAGTGCAGTTGCTGTCGGACTAACGCAGGCCAGTCCTAGCAAGAATCGATGGGATCGTATGGGAGCGAAGCCTCTCACGCATCCGGACGCGCGACTCTCGCACCAGGCGGTAGGGACGTGGAAATCATTTCGGTTCGGCGTGGAGGCTGGGAAGCTGTGTCGGACGGTTCTGGGATATTGCCGAGACTGGCCACGGATATCATAGCATGCTACTAGCTACTATACTCTTGACTCCATACTAACGGCATGATGCATAATGTATAATGTATTGATTCCCAACTGGTATAGACATAGACCACCGGGATGGCCCTAAACAGCAGGCGGTATGGCCAGTCGGCTGCCCGATGACTTCACCTTCAGGTACCTCTTTGGGCCATCCTCGTGACCGCTTCCTTTCCTCTTCTTTTCATCTCCTTCTTTCTCAGTACTTACTCTTCTACCTGCTGGACCGGGTATGACAGTCTAAATTCGATCCTACATCACCATCTCACCTCGAAAAACCATATACCCACCCTCACAGCACCATGTGCATTGCGTTAATATCCACCGCCCACCCCTCCTACTCCCTCATCCTCATCGACAACAGGGATGTACGCGATGCATTTCCCCCCAGAGACTCCAAACACTAACACTCCCTAGGAGTACGTGCACCGTCCCACCGCCCCGGCCGCCTGGTGGCCCGAGCCGCACGCCAACATCCTAGCGGGCCGCGACCTTGCCCGCGCCATCCAGGGCACCTGGATGGGGATCACGCGCGAAGGGAAGGTCGCCGTGCTGACGAACTACCGCGAGAAGAAGACGGACCAGGTGCAGGGCCAGCAGAGCCGGGGCGCGATCGTGAGCAGCTGGCTGGCCGAGGCGGGCGCGCAGCCGACGCGCGAGTTCGTGCAGAAGATGGTGGCGAGCCCGACGGCGCGGGATGTCGGGGGGTTCAGCCTGGTGTGCGGGTACGTGCACGAGCCGCTGGCGGTCGTGTCGAACCGGTCGTCGACGATGGACTCGATCAGCTGGCTGGCCACGGCCAAGGGGCAGACGGTGGGGCTGAGCAACACGACGTTTGACGACCGGTCGTGGCCGAAGATCCTCGACGGCGAGCGGCTGGTGGACGAGGCGATTGCGGCGCATGCGCGGGATGGCGAGGACGAGGACGCGCTGATTGAGAGGTTGCTGGCTGTCTTGAATCGCAATACGCTGCCGCGCCTGGCGGACGACGCCACGGCGGAGGACTACCTGCCGTATTTTAGGAAGAGTATCTTTATCCCGATTCTGGGGGTGAAGGAGAAGCGCGAGCCGGCGGCGAATGGCGCCCCTCCGGCGTGTGTTGAGGGGCACTCTGCGGCTCCGGATCAGAAGGGTGACCCGCTGGACCAGACGTATTTGCACGGCGCGTACGGCACGCAGCAGCAGACGATCATCCTGGTAAGCAACTCGGGCCGCGTGCGGTACTTTGAACGCACGCTCTACAACGACGATGCAGAGCCCATTCCGACGGGGGAGGGCGACCGGTCGTATGAATTCCAGGTGACCCGATCATAGAAGTGTCATAGGAGTGATAGGTCTGCATGGAGGAGTTATAATCAATAGTCATGATAGCACAGCCATATTAGTGGTAATGGAAAAGTCGCAGCATCCATGCTGTCCACACTGACCCCTTGAGCACGCTGAGTTGATAGTGGCTCAGTGGCAGAGCGCTCACGTATCCAGAGTGCTACATCAGAGGGTGCTGTACATGCCTACATGATTCACATATCAGGATAATATCCCTCAAACAAGTCGGTGTATCCCACTAAGCTCCAATATCATAATACTTTCCAATTACTATATTTGAGTAGATCCGATCCGATCCGATTTCGCCTGTCGTCTTTGGGCTTCCGCAAGTACCTCGTCTTTCATACTAGCTACCTATGTTCAACCTCCACGCGGGATTGACACGGACTCTTCGATTACAACTATAGTAAGGGTTAGCTTTTCGATAACTCAGAGAGCGTAGAGGCTTTTACATACGTTGAACGCTCTACTACTGTGCTATAGAGGCCTAATGCCAGTGTTAGACTATTTGTTTCCAGACTGACTTGAGAGACGTATACCTGGACACTTCTTTTCAACCTACAATAAGGTAGCGTATGCAGTCAATGGACGCTTTCCTACCATTTCATTTCTTTTCTCCCTCCTTTCGCAAGGAGGTGGAGCGTGTCATCCATAGGGTGTTAACTACCTGTGCCTCGAATCGGGTACCATGTAAGAGACTACAGTGCGATGCGGATATCCACATCAAGCTCTGCTGTTTCAGCTTGAGCACCTTTGGATGAATTCTCCACAGGCTCCCAGCCAATTCCCGATCAAAACCTCCGCGAGAGACAAGCTAAGCCTTTGGCTGAAACAGTCGTTCCGAACTACCGAGTCTTATCGAGCAGAGAAATTTAAGGGCCGCACTACCCTGGTACTTCCGGAGTGGTTCCCGTCTCCAACTGAGCCATGCCTGGAATCCCCTAGGCGTCGCATGTTGATGGATCCGCAGTCCACGGCGGTCTCAGACTTCATGGAAAGCCGGGTATGGTCTGCTCGAAGATTACCTGTGGAGCCCTGGAGATGAAGCGGCATCCTGGACCGTCGTCCAGTATAAAGGGAGCTTTCGACGCCAGATGTGCCTCTACTCCGTTGTTACCAAGACTGGCTCTTGATTCCGTTCATTCTGTTCGTCATTCTTTTCAAAGTCCTACTTCTTGTACTATACCAACTCAACACGCTCCTTCAAAATGAGAATCGGCAGCTTGATCATGGCGGCCAGTGCCGCAGGCCTGGTGCATGCGTACCCCCGTCGCGAGATCACGAAGCGCGAGACCGGATTCACCTGTGAGTGCTGACATCTATCAGCCCGGCCATCCGCTAACAGCGCCAGGGTTTGGTGTCAGCGAGTCTGGTGCCGAGTTTGGTGAATCCAACATCCCCGGGACCCTGGGCACCGACTACACCTGGCCGGATACCGCGAAGATCCAGACCTTGCGCAGCGCGGGCATGAACATCTTCCGGGTGCCGTTCCTGATGGAGCGCCTCGTGCCGGATAACATGACGGGAACTCCAGACTCGACCTACCTGCAGGGCCTGAAGAAGGTACAAACCTACAAACACTGCTCATGTCGCAGGAGATGTTGACTGTGCTAGACCGTCACCGCCATCACGGACAGCGGCGCATACGCCGTGCTCGATCCCCACAACTATGGACGATAGTATGTCCCTCGCCCATCCCCAGGAGCAAACTGACCATCCCAGCTCTGGAAGTATCATCTCCTCGACCTCGGACTTCAAGGCCTTCTGGAAGACGGTGGCCGGCGAGTTCGCCTCCAACGACAAGGTGATCTTCGACACCAGTACGCACATCCATCTCCTACCTTCATCTCCAACAGCATCTAACCACGACCACATAGACAACGAATACCACGACATGGACCAATCCCTCGTCCTCGACCTCAACCAGGCCGCCATCAACGGCATCCGCGCGGCCGGCGCCAACACCCAGTACATCTTCGTCGAGGGCAACTCGTACACGGGCGCCTGGAAATGGGCCTCGACCAACGACAACCTGGCCCAGCTGACCGACCCCGTCGACGACCGGCTCGTCTACGAGATGCACCAGTATCTCGACTCGGACGGCTCCGGCACCTCGGAGACCTGCGTCAGCGCGACCATCGGCAAGGAGCGCGTGCAGTCCGCCACGCAGTGGCTGAAGGACAACAATAAGAAGGGCTTCCTCGGCGAGTTCGCCGGCGGCGCCAACCAGCAGTGCGAGACGGCCGTCGAGGGCTTGCTCGCGTACATGGCGCAGAACGCGGACGTCTGGATGGGCGCCGAGTGGTGGGCCGCTGGCCCCTGGTGGGGAGACTACATGTATAGTCTGGAGCCGACGGATGGCGCGGCGTATGAGGCGTATATGCCTATTTTGAAGAAGTATTTTGTTGGTGCGGCTGGTTCCAGCAGTTCCGCTGCTTCTACCTCTTCCGCTGCTGCGTCTACCTCTGCATCGTCCGTCTCTGTTACTTCTGCTGAAGCTTCTTCTGCCCCTGCTCCTACTGCCCCCGTCTCTACCGCCCCCGTCTCTACTGCATCCTCCGCTACGACGCCCACGACCACCCAGGCTACCTCGGTGATCACCTCGGTGACCTCCCTCCTTCCCATCTTCACCTCCCCTCCCAGCACCTCGAACCCGCCCGGCGTGGCGTCGCGCTGGGGACAATGCGGCGGAATCAACTGGAACGGCCCCAAGACCTGCCAGGGGGGATACACCTGCGTGATGCAGAACCCGTACTTCCACCAGTGTCTGTAGCGCGCCCCTCATGTATCTAGCATATCTAGCACACCATAGAACAACCACCATCCATTCATCCAACCACCTACAGCTATATACATATACAGCTAAGCCTCACGCAACCGCACCGTAACCTCCACCGCCGGCGCCATCGTCAAATTCGACGCCAACTTCACCTCCCTCTCCGGATCCCCCTCTCGCGTCCCCGGACTGACCCCCTCAATCCCATCAAACCGCTGCAACAGCCGCACCAGCACATACGCCGCCTCGACCAGCGCAAACTGCTGCCCGATGCAGATGCGCGGCCCGCCGTTGAAGGGCAGGTACTCCCACCCGGGCCGCCGCGTCTCCCAGCGCTCCGGCATAAACTCCTCCGCGGCGTACTCGCCCGCCCACAGATCGCCCCGCCGCTGCATCACAAACACGCTGTACACGACCACCTGCCCGCGTCTCACATACACCGGCGCCGTGCCGTCATCGCCCCCGCCCCGCGGCAGCGTCGTGTCGCGCAGCGCCACGCGCCGGTTCACCGGCACGATCGGGTACACGCGCAGCGTCTCGTTGAGGAAGTGCTGCAGGTAGCGGCAGCTTTTGAGGGTCTCGAAGGTGATGGTCGCCGCAGTGGAGGGGTCGTACGGGCCGAAAGTGTCGAGGACGGCCCGGCGCAGCTTCGCAAACACCCGCGGATGCCGCGCCAGCTGCTGCACCGCAAAGCTCAGCAGCGAGGCGGTCGTGTCGCGCCCCGCGAGAAGGATGTTTAGCAGCTGCGAGCGCAGCTCGACGGGGTCCTGCGTGGCGTGCGCTAGGCCGCGCAGGAACACCGACGTCTTGCCTTTCTCCTGGTCTCCGCCGGCGGTGGTCGTGAGGGCCGCCCCCACAAACCGGTCCACGTACGCCCGCACATACGCCGAGGCGTCGCGGAACTCGCGCGTGTTCGCCAGCCAGTGCAGCCGCTCGAGGCGCACGCGCCGCGCCGCGTACCACTGGCAGCGGTCGAAGAGAGTGGCGAAGCGGGCGTCGGGGGCGTCGGCGCCGGCGCCGGCCAGCGCGGCGGTCTGGCTGTGCACGCTCTCGCCGAAAAGGAACTCGGTCGCCGAGTCGATGGTCAGGCGGAAGAAGATGGGCTGCAGGTTGACGGGGGCGGACCAGCGCGTGTGCGGGTCGATGGGCGTGATGGCGCGCATGGCGAGCTGCACATGCCGCTCTTCCAGGTCGAGGTCGCTGATCTGGTCGCGCGTGAACTGGGGGCGGAGCAGCGCGCGCGAGTGTGCCCATTCGTCGCCGTCGGAGGTGAACTATGCCGTTAGTAGACGCTCTTGTGGATATACATGTTGGGGTTGAGGGGGTGGGGGGAAGTACGATGCCATGGCCGAGGAACAACTCAACCGACGTCTGCCGCGCGGGGCCAACTCCGAAATCCTTGAACTGCGTCGCCAGCATGGCCTGGACGTTCTTCGGATCGCAGGTGAAGACGGTCTCGCGGCCCAGCTGCGTCACGCAGAAGGTGTCGACCGTACGGCCGGCGCGGGCGCACATGCGGTCGTAGCGGCGCTGGAACAGCCGTGGCAGCTCATACTCTTTCAAAGCGTGGAGGACCTCGCGGAGGGTGTTGATGCCCAGGAGGTCGCTGGGATAGAACGGGGCGGGCTGGCAGCGCCATGCGCGGGCGTTGCGGGCGTGGTGGATGCGAGTGTAGACGAGATGCAGCGATGCCACGAAGACGATGGCTGCCAGGACCAAGAAGTAGTTCATTTTGGTGAGGTCTGGTGGTGTTGATGCTGTGTGAAGGATGAGTTGGGCTGCTGGTGTCTCGGATGTTGGAGCTGCCTCCGCATAGCCGAGGAATGCAACCCTGACGTGAACTCCGCTATTTAACTAGCAAGGCCGATCTGCACGTAGCCGCGGAGTCCATCGTCGGAGATGAGGAGTCATGTCGTATCACGATCGTGATGCACAGACGACGGGTTGCGACGTAGAGATGGTGCTCTCTGCTGTGCAAGGCAGTCTTCAAAACGGCACAGCCACTAGTATAGTATACGTTCGCATTGAAGTAGAACAATACACGACCATATATACACCAGCAACTCTTCAAGGACGGCAGAATATCGTTCAACAGCAGCTGATTAATCAACGCCCATATCGGCGGCGTGTTATGCGACTCAAACGCCGCTCCGACATAGTACGACCGACGAGTCCCCTGCAGCGCGCTGAGCTCGCGATAGGGCGGACAGTCAGCACGCACAGCAGACGCGGACGCTGGGATCCCACGTCACGGTTCAATTAGCACATATCGGCGGGGAGACCGTTGGCTCGCACGATGGTCGTTAGACAGCCTGAAGAGGTCGGAGATAAAGATTGGAATCTCGCCTGGCCTAGCTGGAAGGAGGATTTGTAGCACACTCCAGAAGAAGACCCTACCCCCCGAATCATTCCTTCATTTCCCATAGTTCTAGAGTACGCCGAGTCGAAATGTCCTTGTATGCACTTACAGCAGAAACGAAGCTCCCCCAGCCTGGGGCGAACGATTCAACCTCCGGCCATACCACACCGTCAGCAGATGTCTGCCCTTCTCGAACCTCGACGAGCAGACTGGTGGCACCACCCAGCCCCAGTCCTGGAGCGGCTGCTCATCGCTTCAGACTACGATACCACCAGCAATACCATAATCTCGCCCTACGGCCTGCATGTCGTGCTCCCGCTCCGGAATCTACCTGAACCCCTGGGGTCAATCGGCTCCCTCGAGCCGAGCCAGAACTTCACGTCCAGCGCAACATCGGCATCCAGTTCGACCCCTGGCTATACCACCACTTGATCAACCACCTGAGCATCACCCACGAAGATGAGACAGCCGCACGTCCAGGCCTTGCCTTGGATTGAGAAGTTCGTCGCGACGTCGGCAGCGGAGACGCTGTCATTTTCACCTTCTCCTGTGACCTCGTCGCGCCGGCCAAGACGCGGTTCAAGTTCTACTTCGCCGAGACGGTCGTGACGTTTGCCGGATGGCGGATATGGACGCTGAATGGGTAGGTGTCTGGGGCGGACACGGAACGGGGAATGATGCTGCTCAGGGTGCTCTGGGATGCGTTTCGTGTCCCCGAAGGCCAAGATGAGCGCTCAGCCTCGACCGCGTGCGCACCACCGCTCCAGCCACGTTCTACCCTCTGTTCTTCAATCTGGAGATCTACCCGAGCAATGCACCGCCCCGAATGAAGATCTACTTCCCCGTTGCAGGCATCAAAGATGCGCGGGTCGCGAACGCGCTGGATGGGTTCTTCGTAGGGCATGGGTTTTGTAAGCTGGCGACGATGTACGAGAAGCGTTTACCGGGTTTTGTGTAAGTAGCCTGTCTTAAGATTATGATCGGCTTACTAGCCGCTGCTAACGCCATCAGGACAGGGCTGAACCTGCAAGAAAGCACCCATCTGCAGATGTGGGTGTCGTTTGCGTGTTCGGGAAGAAGAGGGCAGCGGTGACGGTCTACTATCATTAGCAACTGGGCAGTGCCTAGTAGCCTAGGTCCGTACGGAGTAGTTAGTGCATCAACGAGTGATACTCACAATACCGCGTACTTCGTATTACTCCGTAGTGAGGCTGAGGCTCTATCAATAGTAGTCCTAGTACTAGTCCAGCCCTATCTGTTTCTGGCCGTATTAAGGCGCCGATCGGGTCCACTAGGGCTAGGCATCATCATTCTTGACACGCATCAGCCGAGACATCATCATACGGCCAAAATAAATACTCCAGTCTCCGCATATCGTCTATCCTCTTTCACATCTACTATACTCCATATCCACTCCATCCCACTCCAATCCACTCCAATCTACGCAATGTTCAACTTCTCCTGGTTCAAGTCGTCCAAGGACGAGGCCCCTGCGCCCACCTGGAACGCCCAGACCCTCACCATGGAGCAGCCCTCCAGCCCGTCGTCCATGCAGCAGCAGGAGCAGGTGGTGACCGAGCAGCCGGTATGTTTCGATTTTTCTGGAGATGCATGGTGAATGTGAATCAGTCTGACTGTGGCAGGCGACCGCTGAGTCGATGGAGATGCGCCTGCGCGGCGGTGGAAACGGCGGCGGAATCTGCTGTGGCATGTAAGTCGCATCATCCTGATCCGTTGTAGAGAGGTCAGTACTGACTGGCGAAGCTGTGCGGGCCTGGCCTGTTTCGAGTGCTGCGAGATCTGCTGTTAGACGAGAAGAGAGTCATGTTGACGTGGTCAGCCCTGTATGTATCTTGGCTAGGCTTGGCTATACAAGCCTCCTTGGCATTATAATCTCTAGTTCTTCTACTCTATTCTAGAAGCGTGTCATGTCATGTCTTGCGCCGCACCAGCCCCCGTAGGAAATCAAAGCTGTTACTGTCGCTCTGCAACTGCCACACCCGTCCGGTTGGCCGGTCATTCCACCCCAGCTCCTCCGCCAGCAGCAGCCCGTAGTCCCGCGTAATCCCCTTGATGCGCGCCCGGGCGCCGCCCTCCTCCTCCAGCGTCACCACCTGGTGCATGTGCAGCCAGTCCGCGTAGTACATCTCCTCGAACGTCCGGTCGAAGCCCGTCCGCAGGAACCGCGTGTACAGCTCCTCCAGCGTCGTGACCATGCGCGCCAGCAGCTTCTCCAGCGTGATCGGCGTCGCCTTGGCCGGGAGGAACCGCGCCGCCAGGGCGTTCAGCGCCGTCGTGGGCGACGCATTCGTCGCGTTGATCCCGATGCCGACCACCGCGATGTACTCGGAGCCCGAGAAGTGCGAGTTGACGAGGATGCCGCAGATCTTGGTGTAGCGTTTCTTTTCGGGGTCTTCGGGATCGAGGGCGTCTTCGATGGTCAGTATCAAGCAGAGGATTAGCGGTTAGGGTGGTGAACTTACAAACATCGTTCGGCCACTTCACCTTCACCGGCATCGCCTCGTACCCCTCGTCGTAGCTCTTGACGCCCTGCACCACCGCCATCGCCGCTAGATACTGGATGAACACGACTGGTGCTGACTGCAGCTTCGCGATCGGGTGGCGCAGCACCGTCGAGAAGATCAGCGCTCCAGCTGGCGACACCCACACGTTGGAGCCGCGGCCGCGGCCCGCGACCTGCGTGGTGGCCGTCACCGTAAACCCGGAGGGGAGTTTGCGCAGCAGCTTCGGGTTCCTATTCACATTAGACGGCGTCTCTGCGTTCAGGTGTGGGATGGGTACTTTTCTAAAATCGTGTTCGTGCTGGTGACCACCTCGCCGTACAGCAGGTTCAGCCCGAACTCGTCGTTGCCGTCGCGGGTCTGCGACTGGTACAGTTTCAGATTGGAGTAGTACGCGTGGTGGTTGAAGCAGGGCGTCAGCTTGGATGAGGGCACATCGTCGTGCACGACCAGATGCTTGACGATGGCATTGTAATCCACAAAGCCGCCATCCGACGCGGTCGGCTGATTCGGCAGGGCCGCCTGCAGCGTGCCCATATTCCACGCGTCGGACGTCTCGATGCGAAACGTATCATTCTCGTCCTTGAGGTACTCTTCCTGGCCGTCTTTCGTGACATCCTCGCGGATCGACGCCACCAGGCGGGCCACGTCTTCCGGGTCGCGCGCCGACAGATGCAGTGACGACAGCGACGGCACCGTCGTCGTGCCCTGGGTGACCTGCAGCCCGAGCTTGACCAGACACGCCTTGAGGAAATCGGTGCGCGCGCGGTCATCTGCCGCCAGGTCGTCGACGACCTTGGCGTACTCGGGGCCTCCGGCGCTTTTGTCCAAGTTGACGGCGGCGAACCTGTAAGCGTCAGCCTCCCCTGGATCTAATGCACATGCACACGTGAAACATACTCCGGATGCGGCCCCGTTAACACGGCGGCGCCCTGGCCGACGCGACAATACACCACAGCCGCCTGTCCGCTGCCCCCGTGCACATTCAGCTCCTCCGTATAACTGGCCAGCACCTCGACCCCGCGATCAGCGTACGTCTCCACATCAACAAACACCCCACCTCCGTTGTAGTACGACCTGAACGCATCCGGCACGATGCCCTTATCCAGCGCGGCTCTGTTCACCTGCAGCGCGGCGGCGCGCGCGCCCTCCTCGCTGTGGTAGACGAACCCGGCAAAGGCGCCGCCGCGACACACGCCCGGGAAGAAGGCCAGTTCGCGATCGCCGATGACCTCCATGGTTTTGTCGCCGACTTCAAACTCGCAGCGCCGACTGCCGTAGTATCCGCCGGCGCAGAGGCCGAGGTAGGCGCCACCGCGGCGCACAAACTGCTCAATGCGACGGTTGCCGGCGCCGTTGAGCGCGCGACAGTACCCCAGGTCGGCGCCGCCGGGGAAGACGAGGAGGGCGCAGGTGAGCGACCAGGGCTCGTGGATGAGCATGTCGGCGGTGACCGGGATCACGGCATAGTGGGGGGCGAGGAGACGGCGGAGGGAGTAGAGGCAGTGACGGACGGAGTTGACGGTGGTTCCATCGCCTGGAGATAGAGGTTAGTTGACGCGAAAGAAAGGGAATTGAGGTGGTAGACCAGAGTAGACGAGGACGTTGAGTTTCGTCCCTGTGAGGGTGGGAGTGGCCATTTCGGAATGCAGAATTTCCTCTCCGCAGTTCCCGTCGATCTCTCTCTTCTCTTCTTCTTCTTCTTAACTCACAAACAACAGTACAGTCAAAGCACAACAATGTCGGGTACAGAAAAGAACCCCCCGGTGGTGGAGGTGGACGATGACGAGCCGGACGAGTGGTATGTCCGGAGAAGAAGTGGTGGTGGAAACGAAGCCGAACTGACGGACTTAGGGATAAGCGGATCTTCAGCACCGGCTGCGCAGGTAGGAGTTCGATAGAGGGTTTTCTATTGCTGAGTATGCTGACAGGAGCAGTCGAGCAGGACAAGATGAACGACTGTTATTTTGCGAAAAAGGACTGGCGATTGTGCCAGAAGGAGGTGCGTCCATCTATACTAGTTCCTTGCCCTATACAGCTCTATATCACTCCTCTGCTCTGATACTCTATACACAACTCCTATACTCCTATTCATTTCTATACATCTACCTCTACTTCTACTTCTATACAATTATCCTTCTTCATCCCTATCATACTGACTGTCACTGTAGATGGAAAAGTTTCGCGAATGCTGGAAGCGCCAGGGCAACGACCAGCGCACGCAGACCAAGGATGCCAATTAATGTACAATATCAATATCGATCTCTGCTCATCTTCTCTGATCCTATCTCTTCTCCTTCTTTCACTCTGCATTCTGTCTTACTGGTGGTGTCATATCACGTGACCACCACTATCAAGCATCGCGATAGCTTCACCTCCAACTTCAGCCTCACATCAACTCCCTCAGCCCAACTCCTACCCCTCCACCACCATGTCTGCCCCGCGTACATCCCGCTCCCTCATCTCCCTAACGTGGCCTCTCATACCACTCCCAAGAACCACCACCACCACCACCACTATACGCCCCCTCTCTCAATCCCACCGCCTCAACCAACAATCACCAGCACCACAACCACTAGCTCCCAAGCCAGCAACCCCCCAAACCCCGACGAACGCCCCCAAACAACCCGACCCCAGAGCAACCCGCATCCTCTCCCCGACGCCCTCGCACCCCACAACGGACAACATCTCCAAGACCGGCCTCGCCGACAAACCCCTCGAGCTGGACAGCACGCCCGCCGAGAAAATCGACTGGACGCGCTCCTTCCACGGCCTCTCCGCCGAGCCGTTCCCCGCCCACGTCGCCGACATCCTGCTCGCCCCGACGGACCCCGAAGAGGTCGAGATCAAGCCCGACGGCATCCTGTACCTGCCCGAGATCAAGTACCGGCGCATTCTCAACCGCGCGTTTGGCCCGGGCGGGTGGGGGCTTGTGCCGCGGAGTGAGAGTATCGTTACGCCCAAGACGGTAACGAGGGAGTATGCTCTAGTGTGCAATGGGAGGTATGTTTCGCTTCGGTGTCTTTGAAGAGATGAGGTGAAGGATGCTGACAGTGGTGGGTGTAGGCTGGTGTCGGTCGCGCGCGGCGAACAGGACTACTTCTCGCCCGATGGCATCCCCACCGCCACCGAGGGGTGTCGCTCCAACGCCCTGGTGCGCTGCTGCAAGGACCTCGGCATTGCCAGCGAACTGTGGGATCCCCGCTGGATCCGCAAGTTCAAGGCCCAGTACACCCGCGAGGTCTTTGTCGAGCATGTCGTCAACAAGCGCAAGTCGAAGATCTGGGTGCGCAAGGATGACCAGGTCTCGTATCCGTGGAAGGAGACTAAGTAATTGCCCTGCTGCGCGACAGGGGCTGTATTATAGATGTACTATACGATAAAAATCTCCTAATAAAATAAGATTGTGCCATACGCCTAGCCTAACATTACATATCATAAAACACCCTAAATACTCACAATTAAGAATCAGATTGTCTCAACCTCAGTACCCATGCGGTCGTCGCGACACAAACGCCCCGGGCATCTGCTCATCCGCGAACCGATGGTTCGTCGGAGACGTCTGAACCGACGACGGCAGACTCGGCGAGTCCCCTCGCTCCCGCTCCCGCTCCCCCGTCCCCGTCTGCTCCAGCATCGACGGCAGTTCGAACGGCTGCGTGGGATCGTACGGGCCGTCCTGCGGGTCGTAGTACTGCCCCGGGGTGTTCCGGTAGTACTCCGCGACCACCCGCTGATGTGCTGGAGGCGATGCCGCGGCAGCTCCGTGTCGGGGAGGCACCGGCTCCGACAGGATCGGCACGCCGCCGGTGGCTGTCGGCACCGACGTGCTGCCCTGCTTGCGGCGGCCAGTGGACGGTTCCCGAGCCAGGCCGCCCAACGAAGGGGCGGCGAGATGGCGCTCTGGAGACGCGTCGGGCGTCTGATAGGTATCCCCCTCGTTCCCGTCGCCTGGTCCCTCGCTGGGAACGGTTTCGGGGTATCTTCCTGCGCTGTAGGTACTGACAGACATTGCGAGGTTGCCGCCTCGACGGTGCACGGAATCTGGGGGAAGCCCAAGGTCAATGCCGGTGGATCGCGTCGCTTGAGAGGGTTTCCGCTGCGCTCCGCTGTTCAGTCCAGTAACAGGCTGGGTAGGTGGGTCGATCTTTTGAGCATCGTCGCTGGAGTCGGGCTTATCACCGTCGTCGTCGCCCTCAGGAGCAGCAGCGCCCGGACCACGGATCTGCAGCCGCCGCACAGCAGCAATTAAGGCGCACATGAACTTGGAGCGACGTGCAGCGCGCACCGTCTCATTGGCCCAATTGGACTTGTGACAGATCGTGACCGACAGCTCCATCTTGTCCATATCGCCAACCCCTACGACATCAATGTTGATGTCGGGCTGGAAGTCGCGGCAGTTCTCCTTATCACGGACAAACTTCTCCATGTCGGCCTTCAGGAGCTGGATATCGGTGAATGTCGTGTCGAAGTTGACGGCAACCGTCAGCACTTCATGCATGGCGGCCGAACGCGTGAAATTGTCAACCCACAAGGTGTTGAGCACGGCGTTCGGGACCTGCGTCGTCCGGTGGTCATTAACGTTGCGGAACACCGTGTAAAGCAGCGAGATGCGTTCCACGATGTATGGCTTCTGATCGACTTCCACGCGGTCTCCCACATCAAAGGGATGTTTGACGAAGAGGAAGATGCAGGAACCGAGAACCTCTTGGGCGGTGGTCGAAAAGACGAAGCTCAGAGAGAGGAGCGATGTGGCAGCGGCGGCGATGACCGTTCCGAAACCAGAGGTGACGAAAGAGATGAAGACGAGGATGGCAATGACGAACGCCACGGACAGCAGCAAATTATCCAGCACATGAATGGCCTGGTCCACATCGTGCATGCTGTGATTCAACGACTTCTTCGCCCGAGAGATTTCCGTAACAGCCATGACCATCTCATCCAGACTGATATCCCCGTTCCCGTCACGATCCAGGATGAGGAAAGACTCTTCTGCTTCCGCTTCCTTGCCGGCGCCGAGGACTTCACAGATGTCATCATGCAGGAGGGCATCTCTGCCTTCAATCACAAAAGACATCCAGATTCGACGGGCTAGGGCCTCCGAGGACCGCCGGCGCTCCAGGGCCAGCGTAACAATGGATTTGGCCGAGGTAGGGTTGAAGACCTCTTTGCCGGTCAGCTCATGAGCGACATCTCCAAAAGCTGCTGTGACCTTGTCGCCCAAACGGCCAACATTCTGGCCCACCTCTCGGAACAAGCGCATAGGGGCCGAGTTGGATCGAGGCATGACTCCCTTGCGTGTCATGATCGAGTCAGAGATAACCGCATCCTCCTCGCGGAACTCCCGACAATACATCGGGAACATGCTACGAGAAGCGTCGTAGAGTTCGGCAAGCAGCCGCACATTATGTTTGGACTCTTTGATTCTCATGTCGAACTGCTTCCGGTGGTAGCTGATAGAGATGAGCTGCACGATAGCCTTTTCTGCCAGAAAGATCAGGCTGCAGACGAAAAGTGCAAACAGGACGTTCTTCACCGACTTCTCCCACGACTTGACCTCGGTATCGTTGAGCCTTTTCTGCCGCGGGTTCAAGGTCATTGTCTAGACACCACGGTTAGCATACTGTCTCGAACACAGGACTGAGGGCCATACCGGAAGAAAAGTCACCAGTGCAAAGGCAGACCACATCACCGTTGCAATCGGGATTTCCAGACTCTGGAGGATCAAGGCATATTTTCGAGTCCCGGAACTGACAATCCCGCACAAAAACTGAAAGACGTAGGGAAGAAGGTGCGCGATCACTTTGCACACCCAGATGTACACCCAAAGCATGAATATCCAAAGGAAGAACCATCCCACGCCCACGCCACCAATAGTAGCATTTGGTGCGACGAACATCGGAACCAACACAGGAACGAGAAGGAGGAGTGCAATCGGAACCATGTAGATGATATATCTGGTTACGACCGAGAAGTTGCGGACCTTGTTGTAAATACGGCCCATGCGAGTCACGGTGCCATCCTCCGGCTCGTCTATGGAACGGCCCTTCGCATCGTCGATCCGTCGGCGACGACCTGGGACGAGCCCGGTCTTCTCACTGCTGACATTGGCCTCTTCCTGGGGCGGTTCATAAACACGCTGGGAGCGAGTGGAGTGGAAGCTTGGCCGAGCCCCAGTCTGGCTCCGGCTGGGGACGTTATTCAAAGGAATCTCAATGGTGACATCGTTCGAAGTGTCGAAGGGTTCTCCCGACTGATCAGGAAGTTGCTGGAAGCGATGAACCGATAGCCTCTTCTCCGCAATGCCTGGGCGGCCCGTCATCTTGCGCGTGCTGAAAATCCCAATTGGGCCACAATGGCAGCGGGTTGATCGAACCGGGTGATTAGCAGCGGTGCACGCCTAGGCAATTAATATGGCCTCTTCGCCAACATCTAGCAATGTGACGTGCCAGATTGATTAACCGCACCCGATTCCGTAGTGGCGAGGGGGTGGGTCGGGCGACGTAGGCTGCGAGAAATCGCCAGAGGTAGATGATTGACGAGATCTAGAATCCCACGAGTGGCGTGAAAGATGAGCTATATCAATGAGGCTGCGAAGATTTGCGCCAGATGCAGCCGGGGGAGGAGGACGCAGGAGAGCGAAAATTTTCCGAGTCGTCAAAAGTGACCCTCTGTAATGAGAAAACGGGGCGGTGTTTCACCATCGGCCGCCACCCGCTAAGTTGCCCTTGAGGGGTCGTTCCATAGTTTCTCAAGTTGCAATGGATTCTGCTGGTGCGCTTGTTTATGTCAAGTTGACATCAATTGGTTACCCGGGCTAGTAGAATGCGACGATCATGCCGGTGTGCATTCCGGCTTTTGTTGGCTCATCATCCCTTGAGTGGGACGCAGGTCCGAGGGAGAAGAACATTTGGACAGATTCACTTGTATGTGTCCGGTATGACAGGTTGCACGAGGTAAGAATAGACGAGAGTCTGCATAGAAGTAGCTGAAGAGAGGAAGGGAGAAGAATAGGAGAGAAGAAGAGAAGAAGATCAAGACCGTTGGAGGGTGTGGTTTGTGGCTTTCCTATTCGGGCGACTTATGTAAGGTGGTACACATTGTTCTCTAACCCCGAACATGACAATCAATACTCGTTTATGGGACTCAAGGGATGTGGCATTCTTTCCTGGCCTCGATTGACCAACCTCTGCCCTTCCGTGGTGCTCGTCGTGGTCCATGGTACAGGACCAGATGCTCCACCCGCGTACCCCATGTAGTGCACATAGCCACACAGCAAACTAGAAGTTATAGTGTCATAATAATCAGCTGTATTCCCTCGTACCAGAAAGGAGGACAAGAGATATCTACTGTCAAGAGTTCGCTTTGTTTTGGGGACGACGGGAGTGGGTACAAATATATATCTGCCCTTAGGTATCCTTGGTCTTCAGGCCGGTAGATGGTGGGATGCGTCAATTGACTGTATTGAGCCATGAACTAACCCGGTCCTTGGAGTCACAGACTGGCTCTTGCAAATCACAATCATCAATCTCACCAGCATCTTCATCGTCGTCCCATATTTCCCTCAGCCACTCATCTTGATAGATGTTCTCCGGGGGCAGGCCCTCTCCGCAGGCACAGAACCACCGGAATATGTCCAATGAGGCTTCCCGGGATGCCATTTGGTCGAGGTTCGTTCTCTTGAAATCTATCTCATCCTTGATCTCGAGATTGCTGAACACACGCTCAGAAAAGTCTAATATCGGTTGTTCCGACAGCCCGTGGTCTTGAATCGCAGTACCGTCCTCCAAGTACCACACCCAATGGTCGTATTTGTATTCATGTCGAGGGCACTCCAAATGTGCTGTAACACGGAGAGAGCAATCCTTTAGAAGAGACGCTCCGCAGGGTGTCCAAGGCGTGCTAGGCCTGTACTGGTAGCATGTATTGTCCTCCTCAGTTGAAGGGAGATGCATTAACCGCCAAACATCCGCTCTTAAAATATATTCGGGGTTTTCGCAAATGTATGAGCCTGACCCTGAAACATCCATGAAGCTTTGTGGACATCTAGTCCAGGGAAAGCCAAGCGGGTCAAGAGGAGGCCGGCCTCCTCCTACTCTACGGAGGATCTCTGGGCCCAACCCGCTCGTAACCGCTCCAATCCAGAGTGCGCAGAGATTTGGCTGGCGGATTGCACTGATAAAAGCAAGGATCTCAGGGTCAGGCGTCTCGCCTAGGACCTCATTCAAGACCGGATGCAGCCATGGACTGACAAGATTGCAGGGGATATCAGGCTCCCAAAATGCCCCGCAGAATGTCGACATGAGTACTTCAGGGCTGCAACTCAAAGTCATGTAGTAAGGCAGGTCGTCCTTAAGTCTCATCCATTCGGGCGGAATGACATCGATAGGAGCATTCAGTTTTTTACCACCGGCCGCTCTAGGAAGCGGTAGCTTGGCAGATGAACCATAGAACCTGTGCGTTGGGATTGTCAAGGCAATCGCAAAGGCAATTAGAAACTGGCTGTGCAATCCATGCAGGTGTGCAAATCTAACAAGAGCCTCGAACGCTGCCCCCGCGGATAAGGGCGTTAGGACGGAAGAGGACGAAGAGAGCCCTCTGTGTTTAACTGAGAGGCACGTATCACAGGCGCGAGCAACTGACCAGGGGGTCAAAAATTCCCTTTTGGTGGTTCGTCTTACTGTAGCTTTCCATCCATTTGGAGCGAGTATTGCAGACCACCATCGGGCTGTCCTCTCATCTACCTCACCAATATCTACAACATAGAATTGCGACGGATGTGGTGGGCTTTCATTGCGGTACACAGTTTCAAAACTGGTGTAATGCATGGAGGCGTCCCCTTCTAGCATTTCAACAAGCTGTGCAGATAGTGTATAGCACCAGCCAAGTGTGAGTAACCCCAGATAACTGGGCCCCGTGGCATTCTCCTCGCTAGTGCTATTCCATGGAACGCTTTCAGTAAAACTGAAAGATGTAGCAGTATCGGTGCCCAGTTGTAGTAAGGCGGGATGGGAAATCTCTCTTTCGAGTTTGTCGCAGTCATACTCGGCTGGCAGTTGCCACGTAGAAGAGGCTTCTATGCAAAGGCCGATCGCCGGAGAAATGCCAAAAGGGCGTATCTGGAGTCTGCTAGAGCACGGTTGCAATCTCGGAACTCTATGGAGAGCATGACGAGGATTGATGAATTCTGGAATCAACCCAGAGTCTCGAAGACCATAGGCCAAAGCCGCCAGCTGATACCAATATTTCCGACTCTTCTCCAGGGCATCACGAATTTGATCCTCCTCTAGTTGCAGGACATTGCTATCATGGAATATCTGGTTCAAGGTGTCAGCATGTTTGACCTGGCAAATGCTTCTCTACTGACCAAGGAGAGCCGGGGTGGCCGTAAGAAATCGTTATACATTTCTTTCCTGTAGCCTGCATTGGACATATTTCAGGCAAAGGCAGCTTGGTTTCCTTGACGAAGATTCTATGGGGTTTTGAACAAATGGAAGACAAGGGGTATATCTCTCCTTAGATTTGGAGTGATACAAAGCAGCCAAGGCTGCCACTCTACACGTCTGCCTTGGCTTGGTCAATACCCAATACTTTGCTCAACATATCCAATGTTTCCAAGGATTACCTATGAGGGCCATATAGAGTCTTAACTCGCTTTCCTCTGCTCCCTTGGTCAGTTCAGCATTCCCTCCCCTAGCCTGAGTCTCCCGGTGGGGGACATAGATAGGGAATGGGAAATTAGGGCCCAGTAGCTGCGTAAGGGACAATAGGTCATGTATACTGTCCAATATCATCATGTCTGAATAGAAGAGAACAGTCATTCCTGATCGAATCATTGCATGTAACGTACACAAGACGGTAGCATGAACATAGATCGTCTGAGACCAACTAGGCCAGCTCACATTCAAGCAAACTCTCCGACCACTTATCTGCAGTCCATATATGCATGATCTTGAACCCAGCAGCCTCCAGCAACTGTCGCCATTGACTCTCAGTGCGCTCCGCCCCAGCAAAGTCGCCCAGCATGATAAAATCCAGCGACGTCGCCTGCCAGTGGGCGCCAGTGTCCGCCACGACGTTCTCGTTGATAAGCAGCCTGCTGTATCCAGGAACCATGGCGTTCTTCAGATGGCCGAGAATCTTCAAGCACACGTCGTCCGGCCAATCATGAAGAACCGAGTGCATAAAGTACGCCCGGGCGCCTGCATTGCTGCTGTCAGACTTCCGAAATGCGGCATTGAATGGGGAACTCACCCTTGACGGGCTGCTCAGTAAAGAAGTCATGCGGCATGACCTCAATCTCAGAGCCGAGATCCGTCGCTTCTGCGAGGACTGGCGGCAGATCCTGCAGCACGAGTCGTCCCGGCGTGCTCGGCCACTTGCGCCGCAGCTCCTTCAGGTCGTGGCCTTTGCCGCCGCCCACGTCGACCAAAAAGACCTCGTCGCTGCCGCCTCGCATGCCCTCGACCAGCCGTTCCAGCGGGTAGAAGTTGGGGTCCATCCAGCTGGCGCGGCCCTGGTGGTACACCGACATGAGGTTATTGAACTGCGCATTGATTACGGGGTCGTTCTGGACGAATTCGAAGAACGAGGCTTTCAGACCAGTACCCAGCTGGAAGGGGCTGTCCAGCCCGTTTTTGGGATTGCTATAGTTCGTCTTTTGGAGGAACTCGGGAATGGCCAGGATTGGCCGAGATGTCGTCGCGGAGCTGGCAATTGCTGCGTCAGAAAAACAATCCAAGCCTCATCGAGTCGGAGAATTAAGTCAGAGGAAACTCTCCGCGCTTACATTGTCGGGAATGCATCCGAATACCGGGTGCTCGATAACGTCGTGGAGAAGCCGTTGCGAGCATACAGGTCCAGCCCAGCTTCGGTGACAGCGCCGACCGCCGCCAGATGCTTCATGATGCGCTCTGAACCTGGCGTCAGTCTCGATCGGGCGCCTTGGATTCTTTGTCTCGGGCATACTTAGCAGCTCGAGGTCAGCCCCGGTGGCGGTCGCTAGTTCGGCCACGGATCTTGGCTGGTCGCTGGCCGCCAGCAAGCGAAAGACCCCCAGATTCAGGGCTGTTTCGACCACAGCAAATGCTGTTGGCTGTGATGGTTAGTAAAAACGTTGTCCGGGTGCTCACTAGGCAAGACGACAACGACGTACATTGCGCCAGCAGTATCGCAGGATCGTTTCGCGCGGCGTCTCCAGGCTGGCCAGCAGCGACTCGGTGGCCTCGAGCAGCTTCAGGCGAGTATCGGTCTGTCCGGATGTATAAGCTTTGCTCAAGGTTTCCACCTTCTGCGCGAGGCCGGCTACGCGCTGCGCATCGTTGGGGGAGATGGCGATCTGGTCGATGTCCAATGCCGAGTTGGAGTCGGATGCCGCGGCGGCGGGGCCATTGATCTCAACCATGGTGATGGGATGGAGGGAGAGGGAGGTAGGTGTCACAATTGTGAATTGCTCGGGCAGTCTATTGGCGACTGGCAGAGGGAGACGTCAATATGCTGCGGGACATGGCGCAGTGCAGTATATGTACTCCCTCGATCAAGCCATGTCTGCGTGGGCCAGGGTCCATGCCGGTCGACAAAAGGGTATGATGATATGCAGTAGGCGTGTTCCGAGACAAAGACAGACTTTCTAGCGACCACGCCATCATCTGTAGTGGCAGGGTGTCTTACTGGAGGGGAATAGCCAGAGGGAGGGCAATATCGGAATGATACTAGTGAACCGCCCCCACCGGACCATGCTCGGCTGGAAGGTTGTTCTTATAGCTATTGTAGCTGCTGAGTTTGGGTACGGAGTATAGGGGATCAGTATGATGCTGCTGCCTGAAGAACATCCCATGAGATAGCTATCCCACATACAAAGCAGCTCTGCTCTATCATGATCTATAGTAAATACCACTGTCGATGCGCATCTTAGGCATCTCCATTGCCAACACCCCAAGACTAGATTACCTATGATCCGCCGGGACACGGGAGGATTCAGGGGCACGAACAGGCTATCTCCCTAGTAGTGGCGCTTGCGATCTGCCCAACAGGAACTACAGCGTCGATGAACTTATGCAGCATCCTGGCCGCCACTCTCCACTATTTGCCCATAGTAAGCACAGTCACCCCGCTGTCAATGGCCGGTCGGTCCCTTTGGCCCCATTGAAAGTCAATTAGACGAGCAACTGTCTGAAATAGACTGCCGCGAGCGAGGATGCGAATCCTGCGGCTACCTAATCGTGCATCGGTTGCTCCAAGGCCCCGTGCTGGTTCGTAATGACGATTTTTGGCCCCAATCGGAACGGAGGAGCCATTAGGGACGTAGCGAGAAGATCAAACCCTGTCGGACGATGCACCATGGCATGGTGCAGAGTCTGCCTCTGAGCCTGAATGGCACTGTTGGCATATAAGACCAGCCTCTGTCTGCAGGCGGGTGGACCGTGTTACTCGACCGTCTTTGAAGACAGGGCATACATACTGTACGCAGGCACGCAAGCCCTGCGAAGGTTCTTGTCTGCCGATGAAGCCAGACCTTCACGATGGCCACCGACACAGCATATGATGCGCAGGACCAAGGGCCGGCCCTGCTGGTGGTGATATGGACGCTCACGGGCATCACCACCGTGATGGTCGCCGTGCGACTATTCATCCGGACCAAGATTATTCGCAATCTAGGGCTGGACGACTGGCTGATTGCCTTTTCCATGGTCTGTACTCGTCCACCTGCGTCTGCAACCGCCCGCGACCATATTAACCCCCACTCCCCCGTGCAGGTCCTCGGCCTTGTCAACGTCGCGCTGACCACTCTCGCGGTTCACCACGGATTCGGCAAACACTCGTCGACTATCGGTCCGGTCGCCACGGAGAAGGCCAACTTCATCATCGACATCGGTTGGATCTTCGGCATCCTGTCGTTTGCGGTGCCGAAGCTGGGCATCGCCGCTCTGCTGACACGCATCCTGAACCCGTCGCCCCGGGTGTGGTGGATGATCTGGGGATTGACGGGGTTTGTGGGCGTTGTCGCCGTGGTCAATATCCTCGTTTTCTTCACCTCGTGCAATCCTCCAGAGGCGCTGTGGCATCCCACCGCGGGGATGACGTGTCGCAGCACCGATGTGATCATTGGCTATGCGACGTTTAACGGGGGTATGCCGTCTCTCGTGCTGTATATGTATATGCTATTTGATATGGCAGACTGACGAGTAGATAGCAACGTCCGCATTCACAGACTTAGCTCTCGCGGTCTATCCGAGCATGGTGCTCTGGCGACTGCAGATGTCGCTCCGCAAGAAGATTGCGTTGTGCTTGGCTTTGGGCGTGGGCACAGTGTACGTCTTACATCTTTCTTGTGTCTCGCTCCTCACGCATGTCTGACTTGACAGTTCTGCCTGTGCCGCCATCATCAAGATCACCCATCTGAAAGCTCTCGCCGACGTCACCGACGCTACCTGTAGGTCACTTCCTCTTGATATACTTCATCTCTGACAGCAACAGACGGCAGCTGGTCCCTGGTCATGTGGACAAAGTAAGTCGTCTTTCCCAGCCGAAGAATCCCGCTCACAGGAACAGCGTCGAAGCCGACCTCGTCGTGCTGGGGTCCTGCATTCCAACGCTCCAGCCATTGCTCGAGCTGATCCTGGGCAAACGCAGCCTGGGATCGTCCAGCCATCCGCCCTCGTATCCGTACGACTCGACGAACAGCCGTCCCAAACGGTCCCAGCTGTCGCGGCGCACACAGGACACGCTGCAGCTCGGCAGCGAAGAGAATATTCTCCCGGTGGATTCAAAGAAGGAATCTTCAGGGATGAAGATCCAACGCACGGATCATGTTGTGGTCGAGTATGAGATGCACCGATTGTCGCCGGAGCAGCATCGCGACAACGGGGCGATTCCGTCTGGGATGCGATAGTCATGGTTTGGTGGGTATGTTGTTTTTGTTTATAAGGAGCCTTAAGTCATGATAGAGTAAGGTAATACATTGGTCATCCTCTTTGTAAAGGGCTTCTCCATATCTGACTGCACAGCATCAAGTGGACCTGAGCAAATCCCGAGAACCGTGGATCAGCCTCGGAGGTCGAAAGACGTCAAGAGGGGCAGACTAGCTGGATACAACTAGTGTCGGTCGCTTGTCGCCATACAGCTGAGCTCTCAGCCTGATCACTTCAGCCCTTCACCATCTCATCAATCTCATCTATCTAATCCAGTACAGTCTAGCAATGGCCGCCTCCAAAACCGTCCAAGTCCCCCATCTGGGCGGCATCAAAGCCGGCTACGCCCTAGCAAACGACACCTACGACCCGTCCAAGCCGACCTGCGTGCTCATCAACTCGATGTGCATGACTGTGTCGCTCTACCAGGCTCAATTCCAGGACCCTCAGCTCACCGCCGCGATGAACCTCCTGGCCATCGAGCCCCTGGGCCACGGATCGACCAGCTGCGCGGCCGAGCATTTCACCTACTGGGACACGGCCATCATGGCGCTCCAGGTGATGGACCAGCTGGGCATCAAGCAGGCCTTTGCCTTGGGCACGAGCCAGGGCGGCTGGATGGTCGCGCGGATGGCCCTTTTGGCCCCGGATCGGGTACGCCCCCCCTCCCTCCCCCTCCCCATCTTCATACGAGGGTAAAAACTCTCCTCGAACCGTCCCGTCCGCTGACCCTGCAGATCCTCGGAATCATGCCGCTGGGCGCGTCGATGGACTACGAGTCCGCCGACTCCCGCTCCAAGGGCTGCTGGGACCCGGCCCCTCTCCTGACGCCCTTCTACCAGAAGTGGACCAGCGCCGTGCCCACGCCGGACTTTGTGGTGGACGAGACCTGGCGCGGCATGGTGGGCAGCTTTGGGTTTGGCGCGCACGCAACGGCCGAGTCGACCGCGTTCTGGTCGGACACGCTGCGCGATGTGTACCAGGGCGATGAGGGCCGCAGGAAGGTGCGCATGGCTGTGATCTGTCTGCTGGAGCGCGACGGGCTGCTGCTCCGGGTGGGGGATATCCAATGTCCGGTGCACTGGCTGCACGTAAGTTAGGAGGACCCTGTTTCCTGTATAATGCTCGGTGTTAATCCGCTCACTGATCGAATCAGGGCACGGAAGACACGGTCTACTCCACGCAGGTCGCGGCGGAGCAGATCCAGCTTTTTGTCCGCTCGCGTGAAGCCAAATTGGTGCCGATCGAGGGTGGAGCCCATTATCTCAACGCTACGAACCCGGACCAGGTCAACCAGGCGTTGTTGGAGATGGTCAACAAGTACAAGTAGTAATAGCCGTTTGAATGCGTTCAATGGCTTGAAAGAGGAATCTTCACGAGCATTTCACGAGCATTTCAACCTAGCCGGTATAGGCCAACGGCGGATCGTCCAGGAGAGTACTATAGGAGTAATTCCGCATCCACCGGGTACTGTGCGGTTTAACCGGGCCGCCTCGTCTGTTTAGTCGCTTCTAGTGATTCTTGGCCCGCCAGGAATCATCCGACGATGCCCCTTGCAGAGTATAAAGGCCGACGACGATGATCCTGCACGCTGGTAGCGCCGCTTAGGCTCCCCAGTGGAGTCGTGGGCGATTCCACATGGCCTGACGCAGCTTTCCCCGTGCAATCAGTCGCCATGGAAGACGCCAGCCAAGGGCACTAGAGCATGCACCGGTGCTAAGGAGTGGAACAACTGCTTCCTTGCAGACGTTCCTGACAGGTCACTTGGATGCGTATAGTACGGAGTAGACACCGTTGGGCCTGTGCAAATGCCGACTCCCATATCTACCATGCTGGTCCCTGGTCGAATCGATCGGTGCCATTCGATCGGTACGATTCAATCACCCCGTCGCAATGGCTCATGATTCGGACAGTCTGCAGCCGTGGGTGTCGGCCACGACCATCGCCGTCACGGTGCTGGCCTTTGTCGCCGTGTGTCTGCGGTTGCTGGCGCGGTATGAGCGCAAGCAGGCGCTGTGGTGGGACGACTGGATGATTCTGTGGTCGATGGTAGAACCCCCAGCTCAACGGCGGTATACAGATACTAACAGCCTAGGCCTGGAACATCATCGTCGTCGGCTTCATCTTCGCCATGGTCCGCGCCGGCATGGGCCTGCACGCCGCCACGCTTCCCCCGGAAGACGTCGTCCTCGTCGCCAAGTTCCTCGTCGTCGCCGAGATCCTGTACGTGTTCAACCTGGTCTGGACCAAGATCAGCATCCTGCTCATGTACTACCGCATCTTCCGCTTCGCGTACTTCAAGAAATGGGCCTACATCATCAGCACCTTCGTCGTCATGTGGGTCATCTGCATCACCTTCCTGTTCGTCTTCATCTGTGTGCCCGTCCAGAAGCTGTGGTATCCGTCGCTTCCCGGCCGCTGCATCAACCAGGTGGCCACCTGGATCGCGAACGCCATCTCGACCATCCTGACCGACCTGGTCATTCTCCTGCTGCCGATTCCGCAGGTCTGGCGTCTGCAGCTGCGCCTGTCGGAGAAGCTTGCCCTAACCTTTGCCTTTAGCTTGGGTTTCTTGTGCGTCCATATCCAGATAATCCCCCTCTCCCTCGAACACACCTAGCTAACGCCAGCGTAATGGTAATGATAGTGTGGTCTTCGCCTCCGCCTACCGCGTCTCCGTCCTCTTCACCTACTCCTCCGCCGACTCGTCCTACACCCTCGCGCCGACCGTCGGCTGGACAGCCATCGAAATGTCCGCCGGCATCGTCTCGGCCTGTCTGCCCACGCTGCGGCCGGCCCTGCAGCTCGCCGCCCGCGCCCTCGGCATCCAGCGCTTCATGCCGGCCCTGCTGCAGAGCCACCAGGAGAAGCTGGTCAAGAGCGCCGCCAGCAACGCCCCGTCAGCAGGACAGGACAGCGCGCTGGCCGCCGCCCCGCGCCACTCGTTCTACCATCTGTCCGACGAGTCCGACTCGGACGGCCGCCGCGCCCTCACCCAGGGACACGCGCACACCTCGCTGGACGCGGCGCTGCGCCCGGACTACGACCGCAGCCACACGGTGACAGACGTGCGCGGTAGGAGTGTGAACGGCAGCGCGGAGGAGATTTCGCTGAGCGGGATCCGCGTGCAGAAGGAGTTTACGCAGTTTAAGCAGTAGACCCGTACTATAGATACCACATACCACATACCACATACCACATACTATTCCTCTGTCTACACCCAGAACCAATCTAAATAGATCCAGTCCTAACTACTTCAGCTGCAATCCCATGACAAAACCCCAACCGATTCTCCCCCCTCCAGTTCTTCTCATCCTCCACCTCCCTCCCATCCCACCGCAGCCCAACCCCCCACACGCGATCGCGCGGACTCCCCTCTACAAACGTCCGCCCGCCGGCAGCAACATACACCCTGCGCAGGGCGGGGTCGACCCCGGCGCGCGCAACACACCCGCCCACCACAACCGCCACGCTGGCAGTCCGCCACACCTCCTCGTCGAACCCGCGCACCCTCCGCCCGAGCGCCTTCTGTGCGCGCGGCATGTTCGTGCGCAGGATGCGGCACATACTGCTGGCCCACAAGGTCGCCCGCACGGGGTCCTCCGGGGATGTGGGGGAGAGCATCTGCGCGTGCAGATCGGAGAGGTCCTGCTCGGAGAGGGGGCCGTCGCTTTCGGAGAGTGAGGGGGCGTCGTGCTCGAAGAGCCAGGCCTTCAGCGCCATCATCCATTGTTCGCCGCGGGCGAAGTGGGAGATGGAGAGAAGGCGCGTGGTGAGGGAGGTTGCTGGCGGGTGGGGGATGGAGAGAGTGGTGAGGCGGGGGAGGGTGTGGGAGAGGGCTGCGGCGCCGCGGAAGGGCGTTTGGGCATGGGTGCCATTGCAAAAGGAGGCCCCCGTGTAAGATCATGTGCCTGGGTGTTGTGCGG